GCGCGCTAGACCCGTGAACGTGGCGTTGTATATAAATATTCTGCTGGATTTTCTGTACAACTTATTTTTGTATGCAAATATTGTCAAACGTCGCCGAAATTCGGCTAGAACGGTCACTCGATCACAGTAACCGTGGATCACAATAGAGTGTTTTTACTATAGATTGAAGCGTGGCTATGTATATAGTCACGTTCACGGGTCTATGTGCGCGCATGCATTCTTCAGCTTTCTGCAGAGCTAACTGGTACTCGGCAGGCTCCTATCATTTTGCGCGTACAGCTAGTTGGGGTACCAGAGACCAGTGTGATCATGAAAAGATACAAACGTTCGGACTCGCCTCCATAATTCTCTCTCCAAAAAGTCAAATTAATTTGGAATGTTGAGTCTTACGTTGATTGGAATATTCACACTGTCAGTGACTGTATTCTTCACGTGTGTGTAATTAATATCATAGACATAGGACAAATGTCGTACATGTAGAAAATTTTGAACACATTAAAAGTTTTAATTAGACAGTTGCGCTTGGCGTTATTATTGACACCATGTTCATGTCTAGGGCTAGGCATGCTACAACAAATTCAAATTCAGCACGGCACAAATGGAGAAATTGTTAAGGGAGTCACAACATGTTCTTTAAAACACACTCTAGGCCTATAATAAATTTTGCTTGAGGTTGCACTTGCAAAAGTCGTTTTCGTCCGCTAAATAGTTTAAATCTAAATAGAAAGAGGGGTCCTAAACATAATTAAGCAATCGCCCAGCCATGCCAACACTGCACTCCTTCATTCATCATACAGACTGTCCTGGAAAATCCACTGTCTTTTTACTCATTTACCAGTTTACTGTTGTCTTGTTGTGTCTTGTTGAGACATTTGTCTAGGTCCAAGTCTAATTTATAAATACTTTCACTCTGTTATCGTCAAATGTACAGTAATATTCATCTCACATGGACTATCATTATCAATCCATGAAAATCATTCTTTTAGTAAATGGTGAAATTCTGTTTCTGAGTGGAAGTAAAAAGGAAATTTACGAACCTCTTTGACATCCAGAAGTCGCGCTCCAGTCTTTTTCGACACGAGACGTCTTGCTCCCTGTATCGTCGAGATCTCATAACGCATGTAATCGCATTTCAAACATTTCCCACCAAAAGAGCACCCGTCTTAATTCAGAGAACAAGGACGTGGAAAGCACGCCCTCTGTAGTCCAGTTTTGGACTTTGCCACTAGCACAATTCTAATCACCTTTTAATATTTTAGACCAAGCTTTAAAATTGATTTAAATTTGTAAATCGAATGTAAACTTTAAAAATCAATATAGACCAAAAGTGTTACGTCGAGGGCAATATTAGAAAGATGTTTTATGGTTGGTGACGGGTCAGTCTTTAGGTTGAAGATTATACACACCAACATAGATCAACAAAAATTTAACAATCCACATCCACTTCACAAAAGTAGGATAAATATTATTCACTTTGATAAACAAATTCTTAACAGAATTCACATACACAGCCAGCCTTTCTGGTAAGTGAACACCCAGTTTACATGTTCATGAATATTGTTATAAATTTTGTATTTAGACTTTTCACCATTTCTTTCCGTTTATCTAAAATAAATACTTGTAACTTTTCAAAATATTTCATCACCAACACTCAACTGCAACAATATCACACGTTTTTGTTTCCACTTCTGATAAAAATCAGAATTTTTATTATCTACAAAAGGAACTTCATGTACAAGCTTTGTACTATGCACAATTAAAAGTAGGCGACAAACAATATGCAAAACATTTCATTTTTTATAAAATTTACAAATTTTTCATAAACAAAATTCAACAGATGCGCATTTCTTTCCCCATCTACTATTTACTTTAAACCTTTAGTTAACCCCTTTTGTGGCGCCTGACACCGCTCCACCTATTATCTCTGTGGTGCCCAAAGCCCCCCGAGCACTCAATGGTCTTATTGATTATTCAGTGAATAAACACAAAAATGTAGTATCTATAGCCGGTGCGTAGAATGTAGTTTGAGTTAATGATAATGAAATTACAACAATGGACTTGAGTATCAATTGAAATAAAAATTTTAAAACATGTTTAGCGTCCTCGCCCTCTTCCTTTTTGGAGGCTGCCCCCTTTTTTTTTCATTTATCCCGAAAAAATGATAAATTTTAAACTCTGACATCATTTTGGCCTCTTTGTCTGTTGCATATGCCCCGAGTCTAATGGCGGGCATTTGAAGAAAAAAAAATGCCGGCCATCTTGGAAAATAGCCCGGTCAGAGGCCATTTTGGAGGGGGAAAAAGGGGCAGGACGCTTAACATGTGTTGTTGTTTTTTTTGGCCTTACATCTCATCAAAGCAAACTTCCCACCCATCTATATCTACCACAGTAGCTCAATTACAATATGTATTTTTTTCTCTTTCCAAAAGGACAACTTTTGCCCAATTTTAGTTTCCTTCTTACAGAGACTCAGACTATTTCACGGAGAAAAATTAACCAGTGAGGACAGAAAACAGCAAGTTCACAATATAATTTTCCATGAACATTAAGATTTTTACATGTTGGGGGTTGTGGAAAACACCTAAGGCTAGCACAACATGTCTGCAATGGTTGGAAAAACTACCATGAATCAACATCATGACATTGTCCAAATATCCTTCAAGAAAAATTGGGCCAAGGCTTCAATTTGATTTTTGTGTTCCTGGGCCTTGAAGGTACGTAGGATTGTCTGCTTTTGGCAACTGGTTATTTTTTTCGATTGAAGCAACAAAATTGCTCAAAACCTTAAAGGGAAAATACAACATTTGCAAACATCAAAAAAAAAATACAAAATCATTTTGAAATACCTTGCTGGACTGTTAGTGAATGACAGTGTAAAGCATCCTGTAAAATCATGGCACCTGGTATACTGTCATTTTCAAGAAAAGTGGTATTTTTGTATCAATTTCCAACACTGGTCGGCCGACCAGCGTTGGAAAAAACTGGCTTTTTTTCAAATACTGTCCCCAGTTGACCATCGCACTTGTTTGCAATCGATTACACACCTATGAATGGGTACAAGCCAGCTAGACTGGTTCCCTGACCTTACAATTCCCCAATGTATGTAAACTGCTCTGTTTCTTCTTATATGTATCAATTTCCAACACTGGTCGGCCGACCAGCGTTGGAAAAAACTGGCTTTTTTTCAAATACTGGCCCCAGTTGACCATCGCACTTGTTTGCAATCGATTACACACCTATGAATGGGTACAAGCCAGCTAGACTGGTTCCCTGACCTTACAATTCCCCTATGTATGTAAACTGCTCTGTTTCTTCTTATATGTATCAATTTCCAACACTGGTCGGCCGATCAGCGTTGGAAAAAACTGGCTTTTTTTTCAATACTGGCCCCAGTTGACCATCGCACTTGTTTGCAATCGATTACACACCTATGAACGGGTACAAGCCAGCTAGACTGGTTCCCTGACCTTACAATTCCCCAATGTATGTAAACTGCTCTGTTTCTTCTTATATGGAGTCAGGGAGCCAGACTACAGGAAAATGATTGTTTTTCTTGGTTTTTATAGCATTTTCGAACCCAAAACCTCAAAAAGTCAGTGTAACTATATTTGCTATATATTTCCAACCGCCCAATTCCATCCATTTCTGAAAATTACAGCAAAAGCAAATGATGTATATTCCCTTTAAGAAGGGTGCATAATATCTAACTTGTTGAAGTTTCAGATCAGTTGATACTATCCATAATGAGAAAACAGGGAAAACATATACACAATTTTTCGGGTCTCGTAACTGGATTCCGTTGCTAACATGCTTATAAAACTGTGCCAGAGGGCACACTTTCTAAACCACCTTCAATAATTGTTTTCTTCCGAATGATACCATTTGAGGCGGAATAATTTCACAGGGTATTTTGTACTGGTCCTATCTCCACTTTGAGCTAGGATTTTCTTGTTAATCAGTATGTACATTTCGGGGTAATTACCACAGAGCTATATTAAATTACTAGAGCGCTAACTCGATGTACAAAGTGATGCCTGCTGGGCGCATCCATGTTTGTGCACAAACCTTTGGAGAACTAGAAATTTTGTACGGCTTTTGTACGGCTATTTGCATATCTGCGTTTGTATTCCATACCGGTGCGTTATCGCAGCCGATACACTCTACGCAAGCATCTGCAATGCGTGTGCGTACTTGCTGCAGATGCTTTTTGCCGTCATGTTTTTTTAACCGTCAATGACGCGCTTAAGTTGTTTGCGTATGTTCTACTTGCGCGTTGCATGTAGAGTACACTTTCAAAATTCAATCCATCCAATTTCATTATGTTCTACAAACACGCACATGAATTCAAAATGTCTGAGCCCAGGACGGCTTCAAAGTGTCTCTGCACGTAAGAATGAGGAGTTGGTGCTCTAGTAATTTAATATACCTCTATGGTAATTACAAATGTTCCTAAGTACCTTAACACAAAAACACCTGATTCTGAAGATAATGTTTGAATGGGGATTGGTATGTACAAATACTGCAATTGATCAGAGTGTGCAAATGGCACAATGGAAGCTGTGGCTACAACAGACTAACTCGGCCATAATGGATTCTCATTGCTTACAGCAGCCATTGGTGTGGCTAACTGGGGGTGGGGGTGTGGCTAACTGAGGGTGGGGGTGTGGCTAACTGAGGGTGGGGGTGTGGCTAACTGGGGGTGGGGGTGTGGCTAACTGAGGGTGGGGGTGTGGCTAACTGGGGGTGGGGGTGTGGCTAACTGGGGGTGGGGGTGTGGCTAACTGGGGGTGGGGGTGTGGCTAACTGGGGGTGGGGGTGTGGCTAACTGGGGGTGGGGGTGTGGCTAACTGGGGGTGGGGGTGTGGCTAACTGGGGGTGGGGGTGTGGCTAACTGGGGGTGGGGGTGTGGCTAACTGGGGTGGGGGTGTGGCTAACTGGGGGTGGGGGTGTGGCTAACTGGGGGTGGGGGTGTGGCTAACTGGGGGTGGGGGTGTGGCTAACTGGGGGTGGGGGTGTGGCTAACTGAGGGTGGGGGTGTGGCTAACTGGGGGTGGGGGTATGTGACACCTTCCCCCTCCTCCCCCTGGCAGTTAAAGAACATCTTTTGTTATTTCAATTCAGTAACAATGAATGCACAAAAGGGTCACTCATGCATATCCCGGCAATACAAAGGCATTGCATCCTAAGATGGCTTCTAAGCACAAGGTCCATTGTGGGTTGAGTTAGGTTCCAGTTGTCGCTTTCTTCTGTGGCGGTTTCATGGCGTTCCAGTCTGGATAGACCTCCTTGAACCGTTCGATCAGATCGGGCTCAACTAGATGCACACCATCCAACTGGTTACCCAAGGTCATCCTAGAAATGAAACCAAAAATGTAATTTTAAAAAAAGAATTAGGCTTTCCAGAAAAACAAAGAAAAATTCATTTACATTAAAATTTGCGTCCTTACAGATGAGCGATTACTGTATCTGGCCAATGAGCAATGACTGTGGTGTATCTGCAAACATTGACGTGTGGATTTTGCACTTAGATTTCTCCTAAATTATGATCTTTTACTGTTATTGCCTGAAGCATTTGTCACAATGTAAAAAAGTGAAAAAGTAAAGTCTGTCACGAGCCAATGTGGCCCATCAGGCCGGCGTTTATCTCCGGTTTCTGTAGCATGAAACGACTGAGAATATTTCTACTCCCCCTGGATGGGATGCTAGTCCATCACAGGTTACTCCCCAGCTAATGCCGGTACCCATTTATACTCCTGGGTGGAGAGAGGCAAATGGGGTGAAGTGGCTGGCCCGAGGACACAACATATGACCAGAAGCGGGATTAAAACCCCTGACCCTCTGATCACGAGTCACGAACCCTAACCACTAGGCCTCACTTCCCATTTGTCACAAGCACAGCGTCTTCCTGAATGTCCCTTCTTACTTGCTGTTGCACTTTTGGTTTATGTGGAATAAATCAAAAATTCACGAAATTAGGACGAAAAGCCCTCATTTTGTGGGGATTTTATATGGACTCGATCAGCTGGGTACACCAAAGTGACCGAAATTGTCAGGCACCCTCAGGTATTTCAGTACAATCACCTGATATGTCTATAGAGTAATTCGTAAATTTCTTACCAGTTTGGTTGGACGTTGTGGGCTCGTCCAAACAGCTCAATTTTCCGCGTACCCGGTGACAGCCTCTCAATCAGTCCGTAGATCTCGTCTGGTTTGTGACTGGTTTCTCGGACTTCAGCGACGATGACATCACAGTCTAGACCCTTGTTAAACCCCTTAGGATCGCCCTTTCTTCCAACCTAAACAAACAACAAACATCTTAACTTACAGGAAATATTGTTACACTGACCTGTTGAAAGGTTTGTGTTCTTAGATGCTGGAAAAACCAAGAAAAAAAAATGCTGTTCTTATAGTCTGGTTCCCTGACCCTACTTGATACGAAACTGTGGACTAAATTTGGTAAATTGGGGGCAATATTTTTTAAAAGTCTTATATTTTTGTCCAACGATGGTCGGCCGACCATCATTGGAAATTGATACAAAAATTCCACTTTTCTTAAAAATGACAGCACATCAGGTGCCATGATTTCACAGGATGCTTGAGACTATTACTCACTTACAGTCAAGAAAAGTATTTCAATCAATTTAGTAGGTGGGTTTTTTTATGTTTGCAAATGTTGTATATTACCTTTAAATATGGCAATATTCTAATTCTTCAGACTTTTTTCGAAGGACCTTCCTGAAACTTCCAAACTACCTGTGCGAGAAACCATTAGCACATTCTATGTCCTTTGAACTTTTGAGCGGTATTAAACTTTGTATCAATAACAGTGGCTGGGCTCTACCCACTTCAATCCTTCAAAATCCTTGAAGACTACCAGGTGAATAAGTGGAAACTCAGAAGCTCAATACAGACGGAGGTGTTTCATTAATTATGATCATGGTTTGTTCTCGTCAGTCTGGTTTTCATATAATGTTATACAAATATTGAGTGGCTCAGAGTGAAATGGGACGAATATTATCGCAAGGTCAATCTGGACTTTTCCAATTCACGAGGCGAAGCCGAGTGAACTGGAAAAGTCCAGATTTTACCGAGCAATAGTATTCCTTCCATTTCACAATTTAAAGCCACTCAATTTTTGTTTTTTATAACTGACATAAAAATCCTTGTCATTTGATATACTTGATCTTTTATTTCAATACAAAATTGGTGGAAAATGTGTTTCTCTCTTCCAAACTACCCCTTCGCGAAAATGTTTGAACCCAACTCTGTAGCGCTGGCTCTTTGGAACAATACGCGCAACGCTGAACGCGCACACCAGCATGCATTTGAACACAAAAACCGCGTCATGGAACAAGCATCGATCCTAACTGTTCAATAGTATTTCCCATTCCCCATGGGCGAATGGGACTTTTTGAGCCCCTGCGTGAATGCGGGCAATAACGAATGTCACGTGATGCGAGTTTCACCAATCAAATGACAAGGATCTGTATATCGGTTATATAAAGAGTACTAACCACACTGACAGTACACGAGTTTATTGTAGGTGAGAATTGATTGAAAATATTTTTAAGGTGTGATTGATTAACAGACTATGCACAGTAAGCCAAACAAAAAGTAGAAAAACTTTTCAAACACCTTTGAATTTTATTGGAAGGATATAACGTTTGCCTAAAAGCCAAATGCAGAAAAACTGAACAAATTTTGTTAAGACTGTCAGAAATAAAGCCAAATCGACAAAACCACCATTTCAGTTACAGCCATATAAGGTCTCCCCACCCCCCCCCACCCCCCCCCCCCCATCCCCAAACATCTACACTTTAACGCATTCGTCACTCACCAGGCAGTGTTCCTTTCCATGGTTCAGCCAATGCCCTGTGCGTCCAGTCCGGATCAGTCGCTGTAGCTGGTTAGTTTTGACCCAGATGAGTTCCTCAGTCCTCTCATAACCCCAAAGTCTCAAACACTCACGCCCCAACTCCATAGCTCTGACGGAAACAAGAAATCATGGAATAAAAATCACTCATCCTCAGAGGGTAGGTTGGGGAGGGGGTCAAATTGCCAAACAGGGTGTCATGAAAGCTTGACAAATTAAAATTAACTGAAAATATTGCCAAAATTTGCCGTCTAATTTTGTTTGTTTTTATCTCCAACACTGAATCAATGCAGCTTACATATTTCATTGTAGTTACTTGCATCCCTCATACTAAACCTTTATTTTTTTTTTTTTTTTAAATAATAATAATTTAATAATCTTATTCCAGGAAATGGAGAACTGCAATAAAAAAACTAAAATTAAATAATAATAATTGAACTGAAAATACCTGATCAACTCTGAATTTCCGTACATTCTCAAACATTCTGATTTTTTTTTTTTTTTTGTAAGGTAATTTTGTGGCACACTTTTGCCTCCAATACATGGAATCTTCATTTGAAATGTCACTAGAGGGCGACATATCACCCACCTCCCAGTGACCCAGAGGAATATATAGCCCTCGTCTTGCAGCATGGGAACGTTAAGATGTCTCATTTCATCGTCCTGCATGGTGCCGTAGGGAAGCTCCATGTGGATATCCCAGGGTGGGTCAGCCATGATGACGGCAAACTTTCCCAGAATGCTCTTGTCCAGACTTCGCAGGTCGCACTGGATCCACTACAATGGTGAATAATAACAGTGTCCAATGTAATATCAAAATGTCCAATGTAAAGCCCGGCGAACTCCTCGATTTTACCGGTTCACTGGATCATCGGGCCATCGTAAAGAGGTGTACGATATTTACATTAACCAATCAGATTCACAAAGGAAGTCACAGAATTCAAAATTGACAGTTCAATTTTTTTTTCACAAAAAGAGATTTGTCACTTGGTGCTACCGTAAACCTGTATGTTATTGCTACCTTCGGCATGCAAACCTTCAAATCTTATCTGAACCAGATATTTTGAGGATTTGAATTAAGTCAATGAAAAGTTCAATGTTAGAAACAGTTCCTAGCGACTTTTAAAGAGGTTGTGGAATGCTCGAAGACATTTCCGTCATTTTTTGGGTATATGTAGCCTAAGGTGTGATGAAATAAAAACGACAATTGTTTCGGTCATAAAATGAGTACAAAAGGTACTTTTGAGAGCTGTTTTTCAAGTCCTGTCATGCCTGTTTCGACCCGAACGTGCAATTTGTGTAAAAGTCGTCGTTGCGGGCAGCAAACAAAACACAGTAAATCGTGACGTAATAAACAGGACTCCCGATGCAGAGTAGCATAAACGAGTCCTGTTTATTACGTCACGATTTACTGTGTTTGTTTGCTGCCCGCAACGACGACTTTTACACAAATTGCACGTTCGGGTCGAAACAGGACCTGAAAAAAAGCTCTCAAAAGTAACCTTTGTACTCATTTCATGACAGAAACAATAGTCGTTTTTATTTCATCACACCTTAGGCTACATATACCAAAAAAATGACGGAAATGTCTTCGAGCATTCCACAACCTCTTTAAAAAGATCGATTGTTACAGTTTGTTTTGGAATAACTCCAAACTTTATTTATTACACTGAGTTGACATGTCTGAAACCAAACTCTATTGGGGTCAAAATCTAGTGGCTTCTTAAACTATTTGGTTTGGCACAACTCTCGAATTCCAGTTTGAAAATAATGAAATGTAATAGAATTGCCTTGCAGAGATTGACTGCTGAGTGTTTCAGTGGTAAGTAACTCCAACCAACACTTTTCTCCAAACTCTTATTCCCCCATCCCCAGCCCTCACACCACCCTCCCTAGACTCATACTGAGCCCCATCCTCCTTTCCATCTTACCTGAGCAGGAATCATGGTCACGTTGCTGTTGCTACGGACACCCCTCGGTGCGCCCAGAATTTGCTGGTTATTGTCTGGCTTGGATGGGTACTCAATCTCATAATGTACATACTGCCATGCAATGAGGGCGAAAGAAAATGAGTTCAACTTTTAAACAAGTAAATAGAAACACGACTCCAATGTGACTGTCTCAGTACACAGAAAACTATCTTATCCCTCCTATGCAAACATACATTCTGTGCCAAGTTGTCCTTTCAGTCAAAATCAATCAAGTTACTGCTTTCAACATAACGCAGGATTGACTTTACATTTACATAAAGCAGGATTGACTGGCTGTGACTGTTTATGTAGCTTGATACAGCTATGCTTTGACTGTAGGTGATTGTTAAGCCAGTTGCGCCAACCACTTGCATGTTTTTGTCTGTTGACTGAATTTGACTAGTCACAGTGTTTGCTTGAAATATGATCTGACTGTTGGTGACTAGTCTGTGTAAAAGGCATGGCAGGGAAGAGGATTGATTGTTTGACTGTCTGTGACTGTTCAGATAGCAGCAGGATTAAGGTAATGAAAGACAGCGCATAATTATGTGGAGCCTTAACAATTTACGTATTTTCGAGGAACCAACACATCTTTTTGTTCAATTGTTCCCTCCCTTGCCGATTGATTTTCTTGAAAACTAAAGGTTATTTCTTTCATTTTTTTACTGCCATTTTAAAATTAAAATACCATGCTAGTTCACTTCAATTCAATAAACATTTATTTTGCACTCTCCAATAAACCCAACACAAAGTTGGATAATATTAATTACAATACAGTAATATTAAAGTAATAGGAAAGAGTCTGGGTAATTAACACAAGTAACTAAATAATAGTTCAGAACAAATGTATTAAATTAAGGTTAATAAATAAGGAAAATGAAAAGAAAGGAGAATACAAGGCTACATAAGCCAAGGCTTGTAGGTGGAACAACCTGGACAATTTAACAACATAATCACACCAAGAATAATTGATGTGCATTATGTTGTTTAACTGTCCCCTGACTGGCCTGACATTACCAAACTATGGCAGTATTCTGTGATTGGCAAGTAACTGAACATTTCCAACTCCTTTAAGATTTCTGTCAGCTATGCTAAAAAAGAAATATTATTGATGTTTAGATCAAATTTCTAAGTATAACTTACCTTGCAGGTGTCCATGTGAAAACAGGTGTTTAGAAACGAACAGTCACCAAGCGATTCTGGAAAGAACAAAACAATATCAACATATATAAATTTGGCACGTAATATTAAACATGAAAGGAATGGGAATTACATTTTTAGAATGGCCAAGGTATACTGGTCAGACGAGAACTGTATTTATGTTTGTATTTTGTGAAGTTTGAAGTTGAAAGTTTCCTATAAGTGCAGTAATTTGGATTCAGCAGTTCATTTAACTTTTTTGGGGGGGGGGCAAACAGGATTTCTTGTTTCTTCTAAAAACTTACCATCGGTGTGTTTGTTTATGAGTCGTCTGAAGTGAAGCTGAAGAAGAAAAGATTAACAATTTGTTTTAATCTTTAATCATTAAATCTGAATGTTTGTATCGGTAATAATGAATCCCACATGAAAATTGGTCCATGTCAAATATGACATGAAGCAGGGTTTGACTTAAGGGGTAGCCCGCTAGCCAAATGCTAGTCAAAACAGTGGTAGACTAGTCAAACTATTCTTTAAGTTAAAATTATTAGGCTATGGCAAAGATGAAAGGACAGTAAGAAATAAATCATTAAGTTCAGAAAGCCAACCTGTATCAATTTGTGTCTAATTTTATTAACTGTTTAGGGTTAAATTATTAGATCTGTTTATTAAGAACACTGACAAGATTGCCTCAGGATACACGTTTTAGATATGCACATTGTTGTTTATGAGACACTCTATAAAAAGAAAACATGCGGCTAGTGAAAATACCCGCGGGCTAGTTAAGAGTCTGTTTCAGTAGCCCGGCTGGCTAGTGAAAAAAAAGGTTACGGTCGAACCCTGCATGATGTGGTCAGAAACATGTTGACGTTTTGGTAAGCAAACACAAAGATGTTGCGGAACAAGAAATTATTTAATAAAACCACCAACTTAATTTTGCACAGGTTGCCCCTGGACTACAAAGTGGGGAAATTCTAAAATCACATCAAGTTTTATTTTCCTGAGCACCCAGACAACCAATTTAAGAACCTTGAAAAGTTCTTTCCATAAATGCAAAAATTTGGAGGTTCAGGGGGGTTTTGGGTTTTTTTTTTACTCTTGTCAGAAAATAAATATATGAAACGTCGTAAATGTTACCTTATTGCATTTGTGATTGGCACCCATCTCTTTCATACAGTCAGCTCTGGTTCCGTGAGCACAGAATTCTTGAACAGTGCCTTGAAGATGAGGAGAAAGAATAATAATAAACAAATTTTGGATCAAAATAAATGTAAAGTTCAGGGGCCACCGGACCTTATGTATAGCAGTCGTCTTAGACGGTCATGCGATTGTTCTCTGGGGATAAGAATGAGCAAACCTTTGTGCATTCACTGGGTCTGAATTAACACAACTAGGCTTGCCTTGTTGAGTTTGACCTAGGCGTTTCAGTTTAGGACACTATTTTTACTCAGTGGATCATTAACCTCCTAGTGGCAAGTCAATATTCAGAGCAATACGTAAAATCCTTGAAAACACTGCAGGTCATTTTCAGGTGAAGGGATACGAAGTGTTAAAAGGCCTGATCACACTAGACAACATCTCGGGGGTGGCCCCGGGGCGACGCAGGGGGGAAAACAAGCCACGATTCAAACTTGAAATTCTCAACCCCACGCCACCCCGAGATTGCTCATTGCTTATGACTCAATGTGCATGTACAATCAAGGATTTAATGAGGCAAGTTTTGTCGCGAATTTGGCAATGAAGAGTTCAGCATTTTTCATATGTACGTTGCCTTACAGGCCGTCCCGAGTTTGAAAACTCGAGTGAGAAACAGTTGTGCAAATCCCCGGGGGCAAACTCGCCCTGGGGCGAGATAAACACTGTTTGCACGAAACGGGTATGAAACGGTGCGGGGTTAAACTTGAGGGTCACCCTGTGGCGCCCCGGGGCGGCCCTGGGGCGACTCCGGGACGAGTTCGCCCCGGGGATGGGTGTTCTAGTGTGAAAAGGCCTTTAGTAACTCTGTCACACAGAGAGTCACTGCAAAAAAAACAGCACTGTGGAGAGCAGTGAAGCGTGACTGAATCTGCCTGCTTGGCCTGATCAACCACACAAAAGAATTGTGCAGGGATTTGAAGTGTTATCCATACTCAACAGAAGATTACCTCAAAAGAATTTGAAGTGTGGGTGCTAACTCTATGGACAGAAAGTGGTTTTGCCAAATTATAAGAGTTGTGAGGCGCAGAAGACTAGGAGGGTTAAACAGACAGTCAATGGCTCAGTTGGGCAAAAGACGGTAGGCTGTCTCTTCGGGTCCAGCAACAGCGATAAAAAAAACAGTTTTGTGATTCGTAGAGTAGTACCTTCCATCCACTACAATACGTAAATGTCAAAGAACAAACTACAATGTGATTGGTCGTTACCTCCTTGGGATTTGAACTTTTCAACCAATGACTGCTCCTTGGCTGTCGGAATGCTCAACAATTCAAACAACTCCTGTCCCATCTCTTTATTCTGAAAAAAAAGAAGAAAAGAAGCAGGAAGCACTAAGTCTGATTACATTGAAATTTGTATACCCAATAATACATTTACCACCACTATTCAGTTAACTCAAGCTTATGACCAACTCCGGTGTCATATTAAAATTGGACTCCTGTGAAATCTGGTTTCTGTTACCTTATATGGACTGCAACCTTTTTCACGTGAGCTGTCACTTTCTTAATTATATCCACTAAGGCATGCGTGACACAACCAATGAATCTGCTTTTCAGAGTCAAAACTTCACACTACACAGAGAACAGTCCAATATTCTTATCCTACCTCTTGTTCCTTGAAGGATGTCGCTGACAGCAAACTCTCCAAGTTGTCCTCCTTCTGCACGTCCAGTTGCTCCTCCCCCTCCTGTTGTTGCTTCTCTTTGGACGCCGCAGTCTTGCTATTTTTGGATGCGTCGTCTTGCGTCTTAGGCCCAGGAGAACTTGAGAACAAAGACCAGCAAATAGTTTCTTAAAGAATCTTTTGAGACTTCTCAATAGACATGAGTGGTTTTTTTTGTTTCCATTTCAGGCTATTTTAGTACAACAAAAAGGAGTAATTGGAATGGACTAGTTTAGGATTGGAAAGTTGTTTGACTTGTTTCAACACAATATTTCTGAGATTATGCCTAGATTTTCCCCGGACATCAGCATTGAGCTAAGGAAGTTATATTACACATTCAAAAACCAATTGGATACTTTGACGGCTTTTGTTTTGATAAAACAGTCTGAATGTAAGATGGAATTTTGCGTCGGGGTAATGTAAATCAAATTAGGTTTTTTTAGGTTTTTGCCCTTCACCGACGTCGGTGAAGGGCAAAAACCTAGTCTGAATGTAATTACTTGACTGAACTCACCCCTCTCGTTTTCTCTTTCTGCTTGATGGCAAGGCTGGGCTGACTCCTCTATCCCGCTCACTCAGCTCAACTGTCATAGCTGAGATCTAAAAACAAATGACTACAATACTTAAAAGCAGGGTAAGCAAAACTTGAAGACTTGTATTTTGTGTAATTTCTACTTCACAGAAATTCCTAATATACAACTTCCGACTCAGTTTCAGACAGACTGGGACATTTGAGTGCAGAAATGTGCAAAACAAAATCAGGCCAACTTTACTCACCCTTTAGCCAACAAAATTCTCCAAAATGTTGATGAGGCAAAGACAAAGGTCCTCAGTATTTCACCGACCAAGTTTGAGGTCTCAATTCATTTTTTAAAGGAGACTTTTCTTCAACATTTTGCATCTGAGAGTGAAGCCAAGTGGTTTCAATTTGAAGCGTAAGACTAGACTGGTACATGTCCAACTTTTGGAAAAGATTGCCCATTCAGTATTCTGGTGGCATGACTATGGAGAACGTGTAGAAATAGAGACTGGGTACCAGATGTTTCTTTTGACACGGTTGATTGGTGCAGTTCTAAAGGGGTGTTGGACTGGTTGTTTCATGTGCCAGTCTATGTTCTTGTATTGCATGTTTTCACCATCTTAACTTTTGGGACTTGCACACACAGCATTGAGAGTCCCAAATTTTCGGAATTGAGAATAGTGACTGTGTGCCTCATATATGATTTGTTACTAAAGGTACAGTCCATCATTTGTAATTTTTGCATTTTGTTCGTTTGAAGCAACAAACGTGCTCAAAATCTAAAGAAGGGTGCTGAACAACTAACCTGACAAAGTTTCAGCTCAGCTTCAGCTGTATATTTCGAGAAAAACATCATTCTAGGATCTCGATTTCAAATCAAAAGTTGCTGAATCATGTTTTGATTTGGGCCTGAATTCAGCGTCCGAGACACATTCTCACTGAGCCGATTGCAGCTACGCGATGTTGTGCACTGATCTGACGAATTATAGCAACCGCGCGCGTGTGCGTCGTGCCAACGCTTGCGCTCACTTTGCCGAATAAGAAAAACAAACTACTAATGGAAATTTCCAACCGAGCATCTTAAGACGCATCGTTGGAAAGGCCTTCTTTCGTTGATTTCTTCAAAATGACAGCTTGTCAGAAAAAATATTTTCACAGGGAGTTTAGTCCCCTTACTATCTTTCAACGAAGTATGTTTTTCAACAATAATTACGTCAGATATTTTTTGAATAGCTGCAAATGATGGACTGTAACTTTAAACCGAACTGATTTTCTGAACTTACTCTGTCGTACATTAGGAAATACTGTCTGTTTATCATGAGAATGATCAGTCATAGCTTTGACTGTCACCATGGAAAAATAAACAGCAAAAGTTATTACTGTTGGGTTTTCTAAAAACACCTTACCCTATTGAGAGGCATGTGTTGTTGATTTTGGAAAACCCAAAAATGTATCTGAACTTGACGGTATCTTATATGCTTTATCCGCTCCATGACTAACAAGTGACGGTGTTTTTTTGAAAGCCCTGTGGATGGGACACACACATGTGCGTACTAGTTCGCCCGCGTATAGCGCGAAATACGCACGACTAAGTTTATTCAGATTATGCACAAGTGTCTTCGCGTGAGCGTCAGGCGTCTTCAGCAGTGAGTTTGAATGTCTCCCAGCGGTCCCCCCCCCCCCCCAACTCTCCCTTTCTTACCGTTGAGGGGGTACCTGTGCACGGAGCCCATACCAGGGCCCAATGTCATTGAGATGCTCCGCGGAAAATACATTTGAGCAATTTTATCTGGTAATGTTTTGATTTTCATTGTCTTTTACCTTGTTATATTCCACGGAGACGACAACCAAACAAGGTTGGCCATCAGCTGTGCTGCCCTCTCTGACACTGGTGATTGAAAATGTAAATAAATAAACAGTTTAAATGAGACTTAAGCGACCTTGCATTACTCGGAGCCTGTAACCAACCAAGTCAGGTCATATGAGCACTCTTCTATCCGTCGTTCAAACTTAGTCAAGAACCTGGCTTTCATGAAAAGATGCCGAGACTCGAACACAATAATGACGAACAGAGCATACTGTTCAAAACGTCGAGTTAAAGCTATAGTCCATCATTTGCAGCCATCCGAAAAGTAACTGGCGTATTTACTGTTAAAAACAAACTTGGTTGAAAGATAGTAAGGGAACTAAACTCCCTGTGAAATTATTCTTTCTGGGAAGCTGTCATTTTGAAGTAATCAACGAAAGAAGGCATTTCCAACAGTGATTCTTAAGAAGCACCGTAGGAAAATTTAAATTAGTAGTTCGTTTTGTTATTCAGCGCAGCGCGCACAAGTATTGGAACGAGTATTGGAACGCGCGCGCGGTTGTTATAATTCGTCGGATCAGTGCGCGACGCCGCGTATAGCTGCAATTCAAAACAATTCAAAACATGATTCAGTAACTTTTAATTTGAAATCGAGATCTTAGAATGCTGCTTTTCTTGGAATGTACAGCTGAAGCTTAGCTGAAACTTCATCAAGTTAGTTGTTCAGTATCCTTCATTAGATTTTGAACACTTTTGTTGCTTCAAACGAACAAAATGCACTAATTACAAATGATGGACTATAGCTTTAAACCAACTGGTTCTTCTCAGAACCACACAACTCACTAAGAAATATCATTCACATGGTGTTACCGCAAACCTCCCATTCAAACAAAAGTTTGTTTGCATTTTAAGTACAGAAGATGAGTTTTCCTGAATATTTCACACTTTGTCAGAAATCATGGACAAAATCTAATAGTCAAAAGCATCATCAAATACATCAAAAACCTTAGTTTACAGACTTCCCTTAGGATATTTCTAAATCCAATCACATCTTACTTTCTTCTGACATGGAAGACTTGCATGTAGAAGAATAAGTCACTTTTTAAAGTAAAATATGTTTTTATTGTCTGTGATTTTAGAACTTACGTAATGAGTTCCTGGGCCAGGAACTTCTGGAGTAGACTCTCCACACTCGCTTGGGACACTTCATGGGCTAATATCTGGGAAACAGAAAAATGCAACAAGTGTACATTAGGCCCCAAAAAAGTCTCCGGTTTCTGGTATGGAGCTTGCCCAAAAAGTGACACAGCGACGCAGCTTTTTTTTTTTTTTTTTTACAGGTTTTTTGCTTCAAATGTCGGCTGATGACTGCAAATGGTGCCCGACTAAACTTAGTGCAAATATATGGGAGTGCAGAGAGGCCACATAAAGCTTATTCTCGATCATAACCCCATCTAAAAACACGTTAAAACTGTGCAGCAGCAGGATTCCAGTCAAACCAGTGAGTTTGGCGGTTTTGAGACATCATCTTTTATTAAAAAAAAAGCTTTTTCATTTTGCCGACGCGCATGGCTACAGCGACGCGCGTGCATACCAGAAACCGGAGACTTTTATTTTTTCCTTATTTACAGTCAAGAGCTACCAGCCTACATAAAGCAGCATCGACTGGCTGTAAATGTTTATGTAACTTGACACAACTATGCTTTGACTGTAGGCGATTGATAAGCCAGCTGTGCCTACCACTTGCCTGCTTCTGTCTGTGGACTGAATTTGACAAGACATAGCGCGTACTTGAACTATAATCTGACTGTTGGTGACTAGCCTGTGTAAAAGGCATGGCAGGGGAACAGGATTGATTTTTGGCCGTCTGTGACTGTTCAGACTGCAGGAGGGTTAAATGTGGACTTATTTTCAATGAAATCGGTTCCTTTTGTCCACTGTCATTACTTTGCGTAAATATTTATAAACTACCTTGCTAAGAGAGGAATGCAAACTGTCCGAGTCCACAGGGAGTGACAGCGAATGATCGCACAGCCTCTCCAGAAGTTTCTTCTCTGTTCGTGGATCCAATTTATGTTCGGCAGCGACAGGGACTACCGTGAGCGGACTGTTGGTGTCGCTTCGAGAGACGGAAATGCCCGGAGTCCCTGGGTTTGCAGCAACATCTGAGATGAGAAACAAAAATTATAAATTCAAAATCAGCAAAGGAACATTAACGCTGCTGATACAATTGTTTATTTTTTACTTCTTTTTTTTGGGGGGGGGGAATATTTTCATGTCTTTAATTATTTTCATGTCTTTAATAATTTGTCACTTCTTATAACCTGCAGCAACAACGTACACGTGTACGTCAGTCGTTGGGAATTGGTTCTCAGACTTTACTTCCCTTGAAAAAAAATCCTCCAAAGCAACAAATCGCCAAAAAAAGGAAAATTGTCATTTCATTGAGAAGCAGGACTTGACGTTTTGGGGAAGAAAAAAATTGTCCCCGTGAGGAGTCGAACCCAGGACCTGGTGATCTTAAGATACCACCGCTATCCACTAGACCACCAAGGAGCTTCGATAGCTAACGAAAACCTTATAAAGATCTGATGGTATTCGGAATAACTGCCGGTTCTGTAGCCTCACAAAATTGGAGGCCGGTACCGGTTCCATAGGCACTGCCCAATAATTAAGATGGCCGTGGTGGCAACTGTCAAAATAATGACTGCTGTTTTATGTCACAGTAAAAATAGACTTGTGTCTGTATAATCCAGAATTTCTTATTTGGACCAAATTGTCCTCATATTTTTTGGGGGGAATGACAGATTCTGTACGAATGTCAATTCGCGATGCCTCATAAAATGTAGTTTGTGCTAGAGCTCCTTTTTTCGTACTAGAAATTGGGGAAAAAATGTTGCAACCCGACGCCACTTCCGCGATTGTGTACAAAGTCTATGGAGAGTCAAGAAAATTTTCCAAGTATTTTTTAACAAAATTGGAAATGTTTCTCAGTCCCAGATTCATGTCTTATCATCATTTTTGCAATGAATGACCTTCATTGAGATGATAAATGAAGAAAAAAGTGGCGTCAGGTTGCCAATTTTTTTCCAAATTTGCAAATGGTGTTGAAAAGACATGAATAAGATGTTTCATGGTAATAAATATGCGCCATCTTGCCGACGGGGCAATTTTACATGCGTTGCTGTGTACGCATCGTCAATGGAAAACTTTGGCGTTTCGAAGTCATCATGCGGTCATTCCAAAATGCGCCTGCATCTAGCAATGAGTGTTCTTTTTGCCCCGTGAACAAGATGGCACAATATTACCGTGAAACACCTTATTGAATCTGGTATCTGGGACCGACATGACTGAAAAACATTTCCAATTTTGTTACTAGGAAATATCGCTGAAGTGGCATCTGGATACTACATTATTTCCAACATGAGAAATTGGACATAGAACTCGAACTAGAATGCCGTTGTCCCGCCCCATATCCCCCCCCCCCCCCCCCACCCCACCAACATGACCAACCCCCGGCCCGGTGCCCATCTTGATTGTCAGACAAGTCGACCGTTGAGACAACTCGACTCGGGACAAGTCGACCGTTGAGACAACTCGACCGTTGAGACAAGTCGACCGTTGAGACAACTCGACTCGGGACAACTCGACCGTTGAGACAGCTCTACTTAATGGAAATCTATACACGTGGAGCGGAAAAAGTTGCATAAATCTGTGGCAAGACCGGTCCCGGGCGCGGCGCGGGCATACTCGATGCACAGAGGGCGCTCCGATCCGGTGGCCGGACGCGTCGGCGCGCCCCGCCCGCGAGGACCGGGCCCGGCCCGCCACGCGGGCACGTCGACCGGCGCGGCAAGTGGGCGCACAGACCCGGCACAAACGATGTCACCGTGCACGGTACGGCCACGTTGACCGGGGATAAGTGCGCGCACAGGCCCGGCAAAAATGATGTCACCGTGTACGGTATGGCCACGTTGACCGGGGATGCGCGCACAGGCACGGCAAAAACGAACGATGTGCACGGACAATCACGCTGCGCTATATTGGCTCTGTTATATGCAACAAAAAAACCTCATGTATCACAACTCCCAAACGGCGATCAGCCGCCGTCAAAATTCCCGGTACTATCCTCAAAACTAGGCCCAAAAACATGCGAGGCGACTTGTCTCAACGGTCGACTTGTCTCAACGGTCGACTTGTCTCAACGGTCGACTTGTCTCAACGGTCGACTTGTCTCAACGGTCATGACGGTCGACTTGTCTTTCCATTTTTCGCACATACGGTCGAGTTGTCTCAATGGTCGACTTGTCTGACCCCCCCCCCCCCCCCTTCTTTCATTCACCAGTTATCGCCGCACTGCCACTGCCGTCACTCGGACCACTCAAGCCCAAGTTCTGCCGCTCTTTCTTTCTGCGTTGCAAACGTTCTCTGAGGTTTTCTTGGCGGCGTTTGACTGCCTGAATATCGCTCCAAGTGTCTGACATTTTGGAATTCTGTCAATATCGTGATTTTGATTACACAAGGAACCACGAATGTACATGTAATTAATGCATATAAATAGGAAAGATGTTTCTCTCAAATATTCAGCAGTCAGCTGCAGCAGCACATGAGCAGCACACATGTACGTGACAGCGCCCTCTATTGGTGTCGTCTGTAGAGCAGTGACATCCCCTCCCCCCCCCCCCCCCCCCCCCCCCCCCCCCCCAACAAAAAGATGTACTAAATAGTAAATATAATCCAAGTTTTTTATACTTGGGAAATGCAAGCTCCTCTTTTCACACATGGCATGACTGAATGTAAACAAGGCAAATTACAAACGTAATACTATTTTATGTACAAGATTATTCCTTTTTTTTTAATAGCACGATGCCTATCTTAATCGACTTTAAACAAAAGAAAACACAAGTACTGATGCAGAAATTCAGAGGAAAAATAATTTTTGGTACGGTATGGGGGAATGATCGAATAATAGTTTCATGTTTATCATATAAAAACACAAGAGAAGTACAAAAATGGACAGGACAAAATGTTCAAACTCTCCGAAACCATTTATTCTCTTTCATGTACCGACAATCAACTTATACCACCCGTACAAGTTAAATAGCGCCCTCATTCTCAAGTGGGACCGCTCTTTACTAGCAGCAGACTAGCGCCCTAAAGTTGCCAGTCTACTTCTTGAAATTTCCCCACATTTTGAAACCGTTTCTCTTTCAACATCGACTTTATATTAAAAACTAAGTTTAAAATAAAGAAACAGGCTAGGGGGAAACAAATCGGTTACACATTCAGTCAGTCATGGTGCCTTCCGCTTGCCAGCAGGTCGGGGCTATCAGAGATCTCCAGCCTTGTCTGTTCTGCGCTGCTCTCACACATCCCTCATACGTCTTGCCGCTCCACTCCAAGAGGTCTGTTGTCCACTTGCGTTTGAGACGTCCTCTCTTCCGCTTTCCTTCCACCTTTCCCTCTATGAGCTGCCTCTGGTGACTATCAGCTCGGATTATGTGCCCAAAATATAGAATGCTTTCTCTTCTTTAGTAGCCGATTGAATTTTATTTACACAACCATTTTATTTACTTGACACAACCAAGTTACATTTTCACTTCCAGAACCAGGCAGGTGCATGTAATTTAAATAAATGCACTTGCATGATGACCAATTTTGTTCGTGACAAAAAAATATCGTGGACAAAACGAAAGTGCGTCAACTCAAGATATGTTTCAAATTCCCAGGAAAATACAAATGGTAATGGTATTGGTGCCATGAATCATTGGGCACATTGTTGGATTTATATAGGGCATGTTCATACTATACTAAGACCAGTCAAATTCATCCTCACTTTATCAACTCATGAGTGAGGCACATCCAAACCGCTTATAATGAAAGCAAGATTGACAGCAAATACCACATCCCTGAATGACCCAGCTAGCTATAGATACATCTACAATGCCTAGATGACGACTCTGACGACGAGATGCGATCAATAATGCATTGTCGCTGTTAAAAATGCCCCCGACTTTTGTTAGATTATTAGGACTGGCAGCGCGCGTCTCATGCATCACGTTCCATGTTTAAGGCTGTAATCCGGACGTTTGTTGTTACTCGGCGGAAAGACCTACATTTGAAATGTTCTTTGAAGGATATTATTCAGGGGTGTGAAATCTCAGCTTTATAGCTGATTTCAGCTTTTTTTTGTTTTGGATTTCAGCTTTTCCCCTCACTTTCTGTGTACAAAAGTATAGCATGTATAGGAGATTTCCAAATTTCAGCTTTGTTATACCTATTTCAGCTGTTTTCAGCTATTTTTATCAGTGGTCACTCAGTGCACTCACACCCCTGATAATTATTAATCCCCCACTGCTTCTTAGAATTTGGTCAACCATTTTTTGTTAGAATTTGTAAATCCAAAACCGTGCAACAAAATATAAAATTCCTTGTGAAAATACTACTACAAAATACTACTAAGCCCCTACTACTAGTACTAGCATGTACTATTTAAAAAAAAAGGGACTATTAAAAAAAAACCCAGAAATGCGTGCTCGTAGGATATTATTATTAATAGAGTAGCTATTAAATCACGTTTAATACTAAATACCATGGGGGTTCATATTCCTCCATGATATTTTTACCCATGCAATAGGCCTACTAAGTACTATACAACGCTATAGGCAGTAGGCCTAACTATATAAATTCATGAGAGGACACAAAATAACTTAACATACTCAACAGTTGACATAGAATTAGTTCGGGCCATAAAATAAATATTCACATTCTGCGATTGCTCAAAAAATGTTTTAGGAAATGGGGTGGAAACGACTCTGAACTATAAAGCCTTGCCCTAGGCCTACCACCACTACCCCCCTCTAGCACCCCCCCCCCCCCCTCCAAGAAAAAAAAACTTCGTGCAACTTATCCCACGAATTTCAAACATCAGCAGACCTAAGTATTAAAAGTTGAAACTAGCTTAGTAATTTATAAGTTAATTTAATTATACTTAAAGCGACAAAAAAAATGAAACACGGGAAAGTCAGACATGATTCTTCTCTCTTTTTTGAAGTTGTGGTGGCTCTGAAAAGAGCCGGTTGGTTTGATGGTGTTCAGTACACCGTTTATTTGGAGGTGGTGTACTTGGTGACTGCCTTGGTGCCTTCGCTGACAGCGTGCTTGGCCAGCTCACCGGGCAGGAGGAGACGGACAGCGGTCTGCACCTCGCGGCTAGTGATGGTGGACTTCTTGTTGTAGTGGGCCAGGCGGGATGCCTCGGCGGCAATACGCTCGAAGATGTCATTGACGAAGCTGTTCATGATGCTCATGGCCTTGCTTGAGATGCCAGTGTCGGGGTGCACCTGCTTCATGACCTTGTAGATGTAGATGCCATAGCTCTCCTTTCTCTTGCGCTTCCTCTTCTTGTTGGTGCTTGGTGCACCCTTAGCTTTTCCGGCCTTCTTCTGTCCTTTTCCACTTGGCTTGGGAGGCATGATGATTTCGTTTGGTTCGCAAAATCAGCAGAATGACGCTTCTCAGAAATCCTGCAGTTTTTATACACACTGCTATGCAAATTAGGGATCCTGAACCGGATTCTGGCACGGATCCTACGTTCCCGCTTAAAGAATGTCGAATCTGGTTGGCTGAAGGCTTTTAGTATATACTGAACGAACGTAACGTGCACAGTTTAGTTTTGTATGGTTTATCGTGTCGTGTGCAAAAGTTGGGCGGGATTTCAATAGCAGCGCGATTTCATTGGACGGTGCTTGGATCCCTCACGAGACTATAAATAGGCTGACTGCGCCGTAATCCGCATTCATTCTATTCTCATTTCGTTTGAGTTGAACGCATAATACCAATCATGTCTGGACGTGGAAAAGGAGGAAAGTCTCGCGCCAAGGCCAAGAGCCGATCTTCCAGAGCTGGTCTGCAGTTCCCCGTGGGCCGTGTTCACCGTTTCCTTCGCAAGGGCAACTATGCCGCGCGTGTGGGAGCCGGTGCCCCGGTTTACCTGGCTGCCGTCATGGAGTACTTGGCCGCTGAGATCCTCGAGTTGGCCGGCAACGCTGCCCGCGACAACAAGAAGACAAGAATCAACCCCCGTCACTTGCAGTTGGCCATCCGCAACGACGAAGAGTTGAACAAGCTTCTCAGCGGTGTCACCATCGCCCAGGGTGGTGTATTGCCCAACATCCAGGCCGTTCTGCTGCCCAAGAAGACATCCAAGGCTCAAAAATAAGCGCTGAATCCTCAGCTCAACAAAAACCAACCGGCTCTTTTCAGAGCCACCACAACTTCAAAAAAGAGATTGAATTTCGTGTCTGTTTTCATAGTGCAGTAATTTACCAAGTTGACTTAAAGGATACGTTACGAATACGTGTAGGCTTAGCCTAAATAAAATTCAATTACGTTCTTATTTAAAAAAAATACATAGGCCTAGGGCCTAGGCCTAAATAAAGTGTTTGAGACACCCATCAAATAACTTATTTCATCGTATTTCATTTTCTGCTCATTCTTTTTTTTTGGGGGGGGGGGGAGGTAGCCGATGACCTTTAGGAGAAAATTCCATCGAAAGTGATGATCACCCCTATTAAAATCAACGCATAATGAAGCCCATCGTCATTTTGGAAATGGCCGCCTAGCCTACGCTCCATTACAAATAGAGCCATTTTACTATTTTTAGGGCCTAATTTCATCCAAAATTCACAGAAATACGAGCTTGCAGTCCTCTGCACGTCTTATTTATTTCATTTCCCGGATATTACAAACGGTGAACTACAGACAAAACAACCCTTACCCTTCCACCCTTCCTTTTTTTTTTTACAAATCCTGAAGTTCACGGCCTTCAATTGGCCTCAAAATGCTCCAATACCTGAGAAATTGAGGGCGCGCGTAGGCAAATTAGAGCCTACATGTACATGTATTTTTAATTCCTGTAGAGATCTGCACCCACTGAGCCAGAGATCACAAAGAACGGTAGGGCCTAGTTTATAAGTCAAAGTTTCAGTTAGACTTGGTTTCTTCAATTTTTCTCGCCCTCCGAGTCAAATTACACTGTAGTCCTCCCAACCCCAATTCATATATCTCATATCCCACATTACATTATACTTGTTGCTTAAAAACTTCTCAGCTCCGGGAGTGCCATTTCATTTTAAAGTGAAATGCGAAGATAGAGTCGGATAAATTATTATTCATAATTATTTAAACATCTATCCAATAAAAAAAAACCCATTAATTATGAATAAACACAACAGAAGTAATCACACAAGGACAAAACATTTCAATTTCCAGTGACAATTCACAATGTTCTCTTTTTATTCAGTAACTGCATGCTGTTTACAGAACAAATGAGCTGGACAAATAGTACATTTTGTACATGTATTTGTAGATTTAAAGACAATAACAAAATCAGTCAATAATATTAAATATAGGTTTTGACCCTCGTTTCAAAATTTGTGTTAATTTGCAGATTGCTGACTTTTTAGGTAAAGCACACAAGGAAGCGTTTGCATTGTAAAGCTTACGCTACTGAAAACGGAATATCTTCAGTGAAAAAAAAGCGGCCATAATTTTTTTTTTTAAATGGAGTACCCTGTTTTCACAAAACCAGAATACAATTTTTGTTTGTGTCGTCAATTTGTTTTGGGATAATACACTAACAACTCGTTAGTTCCCCTTGCTTATCTTCAATGGAGTACCACAACTTGATAAAAACCACCTTTGAGTGTCAAATCATTAAATGAGACTGCTGACTGAAATACATGTAGATTTATCAAAGGGACGGAAGCAAAGTGAATGAAAACTCATGCACTTAAAAGGTTTGTTAACAGAACCCTACTCCACATAAGCTACAAGTACATGTAAATTGTTCATACTCGAGTATGTGAACACACCAAAAAAATGCTGTTTTAATAAGGCAAGAATGCAAACGAGTTGAAGTCGAAACCAAACCTGTTCTGTAAATTTCATGCCGGTATATTTCTTTCCAGAATTTGGTGTCAAATTGTGCCCCAAAACCCCCCAATAGAATGTTCAAAATCATGTCTCTTGTTCAAGCATAAATGTTAACCCGTTTGGAATACACGCAGCAAAAACAATGCCTATACAAGTACCGCGCGCGCATACATAATTTGGTGTTCAGCTGTTGTATGGGAATATTTTTGTACGGTTGAAAGATTTAACCTAAATCACCTTCACTATTGGATATATCTGAAAATCTGAGTACTTCAGCACAATAAACATTATTTTACAGCAAGAAATGAAAAAAAACTGCATTATGTAATAATATGCATCAACACATTTTTAAGTCTCAAAGCAAGTTTTGTTTTACATAGTTATGCTGTGTGCAGCAGTACAAACATGCTTTGTAAATATAAACTTTACTGGTTAAAGATTATTTACATATGTACTTGCCCCAAATTTGAGGATCTTAGAGTGACCTTAAAACAGTCGAGTGTTCTTTTCAGATTTTAATTCAGTATTTAACCATATGAATGATTTGGCAGTTTGTGAAATGAAATGTTATTTTGAAATCATTTTGAAATGATTCTACAAACAGGATTTCTGTGTACCGTGTTTCATCAGATCCTTTCCGGAGACAGTTGTGAATAATTTACTTAGCTTTGTACATTCAAGGTTCTGCTTAGCAAGAAGGCATTTACAAAACTAAACAATACAAAAAGAAATGTACACATATGTAACATGGGCAATGTGATTGCCTCCTCTTTGATTATAGGTTAATAATATACAGTATTTACAGTGTTCTCTCCTCGCGTCTGGATGCAGAACTCGGTTGCTTGGTAGATGTTGGTTCGCAACACATCCTCTATAACGAAAGAACTGACGAAACTGTGGAAATAAATGCAAGAAAGAAAAATAAGTCTCGATGTAACACTACATTAAATCCAAATTCAGACCAACACCACAGCACACAACGGATAGTAAAATGGAGATCTGGTTTGGAACTACCAGTGGAAGGAAAGAAATGGGTTATTTACACACTTTATTTTCCCGAATAGGAGAGGAATAAAATGTTAGTGTCAATGTTGAGGAAGCACAAGTGTTTGTCCGGTGGAAGGTGGAGTGCCCTACAAGATTATATTTCACATTTAAATATATCATTTATTTCCAACCTATATCATGGTAAGCAAATGTACTTGGGGTTTTTAAAACAAAATCAAAACCTAATTTTAACGACTAAGAAAGGCATGCTCCTGGGTGCTTAAGGTTTTTGGGGGAATTCTTTAGTGCGAGAAAACTCACATTTTCCAATGTAGATGGGAACGAAGAGTGATTGTAAAAGAAATCATGTTCACTTAATTATCAAGGGGAGATGTTCATGGGGTTAGTTATTACATTGCCATACATCATACACATTCAAATCTAGTTCAAGTACTTGGCAAAATGAGACAGCACACATGACAGCTGTGTCCCTTTTCACAATATTACTTTGGTCAAATTCTCTTTTCTCTTTCCCGTCAGTGAACTTCCAGTATATTAACATTTCTCAATCCACCAAAATCCAACAAAGTGTGGTTGGAGAGCATCTCGTGACTCGGAATACCCCTACATGTATTCCAATAGGAATGACGTACTTGGAACATGGCACTTCCCAGATGGAACCAAGAACCAATTTTTTCCTTTTTTTTCCAAGGTAGAAAAGGCTTTTGAGCCAAGTTAGTGTGCCGCATTTAAGCACATACACGTACTCTCAAAACAGTAAGCCATTGTGTTCCAAGTTTTGTCCACATGGGAACAGCACATGTTCCTTGTTAGTACCAACATCATTCCTGCTGGAAAAAACATCCAAGCATCCCAAGTTTTCAGATGCCCACAAGTCCACTGCACAACCTGCAACAAAATTGGGACTTGCAGCCCTTTATTATTTAAATAAAATGGTTATTGAGCTGCGCAATCCTGCATCACAATAATCAAGCAAAACCTGCTGTTGGATTTTGAGTGACTTGCTTGGGTTAAATACTAGAATTGTCACCAACTGCTGAATGTGTACGAGTACAGCACGCTTGGAATGTCTGTTTCGGATAACAGGCAAATCTAAGCAATGAAGTAAGACCACGGTGAAACAAAATCTTGGAGAAAACCACAAGATGAGCAACTCAAAGTTTGGTTACAAAGCCGAGTTTACATGAGTATCCAAACAAAGAGTTGAATGACTGACTCTCCTAGAATTTGTTTTTCTGTGAAGTTACTACATTTATTTCATCTACAGTTCTGCAGTAAAAGGAGATTAGCACAAATATTTCGACTGTATCCGGATTATTGTGGGACAACAAAAGCCCATATTTGAATGAAGTTGGTTGCTTTTACCATCATCATTGTTCCTGTTATGATCAAAGTCAAAGATTAGGATTATAAGGTACTTGCATGCTAAACCTGGCTTAATACAATGAAACAAGAATGTCATTAAAATTTTATATGCACAACAGTTAAATTCATACTAGGAAACCAGATTTCAGTCAAATTGAACAGACCGAGAAGGTCCTTTGGCTTCATATCTTTCAATAACCCTGGTCTGGTTTTTTATATCATACCATCATCCAAAGTCGCAGTAGGGACACTCCCTTGATTGAAGTGAGCTTGTTCCTTCCACCAGACAAGAAGATTATCAATCTCATCCAGTGACATCTCTTGGCTAGTGCCTTCCTCTAAAACCACCCCCATTTCCTCAATGTTCTCGATGCCCACTTCATCTTCGTTATTTGCCTGTTTAACGCCAACAATGCCTAACTGGATAAGCTCTTTAAACACTGGCTGTTCCAAAACCAAAGCTGCGGTGTTGCTCGATTCCGATATCAGCCCTAGAGAAACATGGTTAAAATTGATGAAGATTAGTATAAAATGAATGTGATGACAACATGGAGCCTGAAGCAAAAGCCCTGTGGTGACCTGCCAAGAAAAAATTAAATAATTCACCTACCCAGTAAACTTGAAATGTTGGGATCTTGATGAGCCAACTTGGCAAGAAGACCAGGACTTTTCAGTTCAAGTTGAGCAGCTGCTTTTAGTGTGTCCGCAAAGCTCTTCCCTCCATCCATCACACAGGCTTGGGACTGGGCCACACTGATTGGTTGCATGGGTTGGACCATCGGAGGGGAGAGAGCAGACTCCACAACATTGACAGCTGAATAAAACATATTCAAAGTTTTTCTTACTTCAAAATTTCCAGAATTCAAGCTTGTTACAATACATTAACTGCAAAGGCCATCAGTGCCTTTAGAATACAATAATTTTGAATAAAATGTGCACAATTTTTTAATTTAATCTTGGCAAAAAGTCCATGAAAGTTTTGCTTGAAGTCAATTGAATACACAAAGAGCCACTCACCTCCACCATTAACCACTGGCATCTGTACAGGAATAATCTCTGGTTTTCTTCCAGATTCTGTTGAAAAGGTGGGAATACAATGCATTAGTAAGGCAATAATGCTCGGTATTTCCTTGAGATGGAAATAGAGAGGTAGGATATTGTGTCATGTCAAATCTCCAAAACAAAACCAAAACCACTGGATCAATCAAGGCCAAAATTTCCCAGGTTCCTCAAACAAGAATTGCATTTTCCCACAGGCAGGGAAACACTAGTTCGCACAAAATCTCCATAAAATCAGAAATCATTTTACTATTTAATTTTTAAATCTTTCAGCTTTCAATTTCTGTAGTTGCAAAGATTTTGTTTGTTTTATATGTTGAATTGATTAATTGATATCATGAAATGCCCCTGACAAAGGCAAATACAACACATCGCGATCAAATCAAGGTCAAAAGTTCTTTTTTAGAGTGTACTTGAGCTTCAACACCAGCCTGTGGATGATGCAGATTGAATGAACGTAATCAAATAATGAGACAAATTATTTTAACAACCTTTAACTAAATTTCTACCTCCATTTACAAAAGCTACCACCATTACAGATTTGCCTCATGATTTGACATTTGTCCATGAAAAGTTTCTTGAGACATCAGTAAAGCATCTTATATCAATGCCAACGAACAACCAAATTCATTTCCGCAATTTTATTTTTAAGTTCCATTTTGTATAAAAATTGTTTTGATTTTGTTTTGGCAAGTTGTCATGTCAAGAGGAAAATAAAGAGACACAGAAAATGACGCCCGTTGCCATCAGGTTCAGAACCTGTTTGGGAAAAATTAAGTTATGCTGAGACCAAGACTTCTTCGCATTTCTGCAATAAAAACAAATCTGATATTAATAGGCACGTCACTAGGTCAAAGTCTCTGCTCCTACAAGCCCAAAATGTTAACGGTGCATACAAACATTTCGTTTCATAGCACTACGATTTACAGATCAGCTCAAATTGAATGCCAAAACGTTTTGTCAATATCTTCCCATTTCCAAATCAACATTGCAGTTAAATTGCATTTATCATGGAGGTTTGTTTGACTTTTTTGTTCTTTTAAAAACAGATGTATCTTTTTTTGGAATTTTCTTTTTCAATTGAATTTGGAACTACTTTAAGCCAATTTCAAAAGTAGTTTGAACAGTATTTCAATACCTCAACCTTTGTTTGGGTAGCAAAGCAAAAACAAAACCGTAATGCTGATGTTGGTTTCCAATAAACCCAGTAGTCATGAACATGGAAGAATGGGTATTAAAAAATGGCCAACATAATTTTATTAAATAAAACTTTTTTAATAACATGAAGGTGGGACAATGTTCAAAGACTACCATCAGCACTAATGTTTTCCATTGCCTTTCTCAGCAACCCCAAGCATAGGTATCAGTAAGAATAACCAAAGATATGTGACTGTACTGTACTGTTGAGCCGTGATCCAACTGTGAGCCTGGATGAACGTTAACAGCTAGTTAACGCCGCAGCCAAGTGCTATTGGGAAGCACAGCACACAAAGTGTGCGCTTTAAGCCGCGAGGGCAAACAAATCTGAAGGGAAGAGCAGAGTTCATTTGATGAATAAAAACCCACCCCACTCTTTCATATGCAACCCTTCCCCAGGACAACTACATGGGTAACAAACTTGGGCAATGAACTTAACATGAAATGTGCTCAGCAAAATATATTATTCAATTTGGTTCAGTGTTTTGGTTTCTTCCGGGGTTTTTTTTCCAAGCACTCCACAAAAGTTCACTTCAATTGCTGGGAATAGATCGAACAGTGTCGGTCACTGCAGATTGTTTCAGAAAGCTTGTTCCGCTTACATGTACATCTGAGACTTTTCAGTTGTAGTTAAAAAAAATTGTGTAGAATCCTCTTAGAGCATAGCATCATCGAAAAATGCAGAGGAAGTTTATAGATATTCCACAATCAAAAAATCTTCAGTCTGCTGAGCACTTTCCATGTACATGTACTTCTTATTTTCTCCCAATGTGATCAATACTAAAACCATTTTATTTAACGTTTGATTTTTGATTCAGATGACGGGGTTTTTCCCTTCCAATTGATGTAGATTCATCTTTTGTTTTTTTTATCTTTCTTAAAAATCAATATTCTTGAGATTTCAAACGGGATGAACTTTTTGAAAACAAAATGGTTTTCTTTACATGGTTTTAACATTGATCACGTAAAATATCAAACAATCTATCACTGCACCATTTGTTTATCTAGAACACTATTTTATTGTGGCTTTTGGCTTTGCACAAGCTACTGGAAGCTTTCATCGCGCTATTTCAACAAACGCACTGTCTGCACTTTAACATTTCCGAAAATGCATGTTCAGATTTTCAAACAGTTGATGCAATGATACCAGATTTTAACTTTCAAAATAAGGCCGTATTGGATTTACAAGTTGAACTCTTTGCACAACTTCACAAAACAGCAGGATTTGTTTAAGGCATGAAAACCTCTTCAAAAATCATCCAAAAAAAGGTTACATAAATAAGTCAGGGTCAAGGAGATTTTTGCTATTCCGACATCCTTCCCCATCTGGGAATATAGCATGTCCAAGCAGCGAACAAATTGTGGGTTAAGATTCTTAAAACCTGCTAAGTTGCTTCATGGCAAAGTAATGAAAACAAATGCATGCATCCCAATTCCAGCAGTTATTTACAACAAACAACGACAAAGGAAATCAACTTAGGAATTCTGGGCAAAGCAATAATTACTTGTCTCTATATTCTTTTTCAATTGTCCGGTTCATACCAATTTTCAAATATTTGACAATGTAGTTGCACAAGTATCACTTGTTAAAACGAGCGACAGCTTTCACATCAATCCAACAACTGCTGAAATTGTAATGATTAAACTTCATGCATCTTGCAAATCCAAGAAAATTTCACTTCTTGTGTCACATGCATCCGCTTGGCAAATTTTTATTTGGGAAGCACCAAAAACAAACCCATCCAGCAGCATTGGCAGCTGGCTGAATTTCTGTTCTTTCAACAATTGACAGGATGAATTGCTTTCTTGCCCAATTGAGCACACTTTGACAAACACGGCACCCTCCTTTCTCAACATTCTGAGCATTTCACAAGGTTTTCAATTTCCGCTTTAAATTTTGGGTCAATAAAGGAATGCTATTCCCTTCATAGTGCTGGCGATGCATGGCAGCAATAGCTTAAATGCGACACAAGTGAAAGTTTCTCATACGACCATAACACTTCACTGCATCCAAGCACAGCAAAGATGCTGGTACTTACCACTCAGTGGCATGTAGTTGAAGGGGTGAGCATAGAGCTCACTGGTTTTACTCGGTCCACTCGTGACCACAAGATAGACCTCCTTCGGTCTATCAATGTCCAGAGCTTTGTAGGGTGGCACTTTGCACACAATGTGGGTCTGCAAAAAAACAAAGGTTGTAAACGTGAGTCAATGCACTAGAACTAGATAATTTGCAACAAAATCATGTAAAATGAAGTCAACAGAAGCTTCAGTTTCTTTGATAAAAAAATTGTCGACTTACATTGTGGAACAGTGCCTTGTCTATCTCACAGTTGCCTTCCCAGAGGACTTTGCCAAGTGGACAGAGTTCCTGCAACTTCACCTTAGTGTGCTTGGCGATGAAGTTCTTGCCAATAATGAACATATCCTCATCACCTTTGACAGAGCAGGAAGTCAGGCTCTTCTTGACTATCTCCGGATGACCAAGTGGCTGAGCTGTTACAGGGGTAAAGGTCAAAGATTTTTTAAGTACATGGATATATATACATTGTCAAAATATTCATACATGTTCACATTTTTTAATTCAACTCTAGATGCAGTTTAGAAGTGCATGTACTTACTGCAACAGATTGGAGAAGACGTTTCCTGAAGTATCGTGACAGAACCATCAGGCCTTTTGAGGAAGACTCTGAAAACGAGACGTACAGTTGTACTCTTCCTCTTTGATCTTGCAAGTCCTATTCTCTGTTCAACATCTGCATTCCTCAGCTTGAGAATACCCACACAGTCAACACTAAACAAAAATTGAAAGTAAACGAGAACCAAGTAAAAAACCTGCTAAATATTCTGAAGTTGTGAAACTAGGTTTTCAGGGAATGTGTGAACACTTAAGAATTATTGTGTGTACTTTACCTCATTTCCATGTTGTTGCCAGTACACTCCCAAGGGATCTCTATGACTGTTGTTCCGTCAATATCGATCTCTGTACAAGGAGTTGTATTTCTGCCTGTCACTTTGCATGCTTGGTAGTAACCATGCGGTTTGGTTTTGCCTTGGTCTGAAGCGACGAAGGCATGTAACGTCACTCCCTCATTCACTCCATCAAGCTAAAGAGTAGAGAAAAAGAAACCGTTACATCATGCAACATGTTTTAGGTTAACAAATATTACTAATAAATTGTAAAATCCTTAGCAGAACATTCCATCTGCAAAAATTTGTTGATGTAACTTACCTTCAAGGTGGGGAATGCCTGTTGTGTTTCATCTTTGACACTGCCACGGCTGCCCTCTGTGAGATATCTGGCCCTGTGATGTTTCTCTGGCTGGACAAGCATGGACAATACAGCACTGCCATCACTACTCGGGAAGGAAAGATTCAAACTTGGTGGCTTCGACTTGGCTGCTTTGCGTTGACTACACTGTTTTGTGCTGTTGAACAAATTATAAACTAACCAGTAAATATCTAATTACAAAATGCTTTGTATTTTCCTGTCGGGGGAAAATGGGGTTAATAGCACTAGAAACAACACAAAAAATCCACATGTGAAACTTCTTGTTTCACATGTGAATCTTTTACAAAGAATGAATGGGCCCGAGGATGGACACCTTAACTGTACCTGGTTCTGACTGGTACAGAAGCATTTCCGTTTTCTGTTGCAGGACCTTCTAGGTTGAAGGTTGTACACACGAAACTGGGGTCAGTGATTGCCAGTCCAAAGTCGAAACCTCCCGGTGGACTTCTTGGAACCTGGGCAACAGACCCAGGCGACAACTGCGAAATGGAAGTCCGGCGTACTTTTGCTTTAGGTTCCTCTTCCCAAAAGCCAGGATCGTTGTTATTTACGTCATCCTCCAGTAATGATGCGAGGGAGCTGATAGTGTCCTCATCAAAGGTGAGGTGGTCCGTGCTTTCGACAATGGGAGACGAAGCTGTGCTGTTACTGTCCATGCTGAATGGGCTTGAAGGTTCACTTGGGCAACTTGTGGACATTGGGGAGGAGACGGCATACGAGCTTTCCTCTGGGCTGCCCACAGCCTCGGACTCATAACCCTGGGTGATTTGGCTGGCCATCAGGAGGGCCAAGCTGTCACTTACACTTACCTTGTCGTTTGACAAGAACGGGTTAAATTCTTGACTTTGAGCAATGTTTGCAGTTTCGGACTTCACAGAGGATAGGTCTGAAGTTGCCTCGTTCATTGAAAGATCTGGATATTTCATAAAATTCAGATATAAAGGCAGATACTATCAGGTTGTGTCCTTCAAAAACCAATTCTTTTTCCTCAGGCTACCTTCAAGGGTGGAAACACCACATTAACAATACAAATGTAAAGGTGGTTGGTTGGGTTTTTTTTCTTTGCCTATTCCAGTTTATATTTATTTCATTTTTTAAATATCAATTGAAATTGAATGATGGCTACTTTAAATTAGGCAAAAGAACCAACACCAATACATTTGCATATTTCACTCAACACTCAATAAAGCAACAGTTAAATTTAGTTCAGATGTAAGTTTTATTAGCAAATCAGCACTAAACACATCACACCTTGGATACATTTACATGCAAATTATATATCTATTGCTATGTTTAAAATAACATCTATATTTATTCTCAAATCATATAGCTTTACAAATTATGTCCAATGGTTTTACTTCAAAACGTAGGCCTAGTTGCTGGCAAAACAAAATCCAACTTTTACTCAAGTTTATAACATATTTGGAAAATGACTTAGTAAAAAGGGAATAAAGCAGTTTTCAAGGAAACCATGCATCTCATGCATTCTGTTGACTTAACCACCACACACAAAATATACAACTATATTTTTCTAATTATAAAGCAACAGTCTGATTGGTGAAACAAATGTACAAGTTTGACTTGCATATTTAATACAATTTTAAGCTGAAGATTCACTAAATGGGCTAGTGGTTACGAAAACAATGTACATGTACATAGGCCCTATATACAAATTAAATTCTTAAAAATACTTGGCCGGATATTTCTGTAAGACATTATTAGTATTACAGGCAGAATTAACTTTGAAACGGGGTTTTTCTTACCTGTCTTTATGGCTAAGAAATTACTTTGAGACTGCTGGCTGTCCAATACAAATGTAAAACCTGCAATGAAAGAAAACAAAATCAAAACAAAAAGAATAAATTCCAAGAATCAAAGACAATTTCATCAACTGAAACAGCAAGAAACAGTCCCCGCGATAAGGCCCACAATAAGCTGATCAGAAAGTTAAATCCGCACACCATTCATTAACATGAAAAACAAATCACATCCAGTTCACACCTCTCATAATTGCAAAATCCCCAAGTTATTTCCTCATTGCGAAACAAAATGTCAATCATTTTGTTGCCAGCGACCACACAAGAGCACTAAGCGATGCCTCGAATGCAAGCGCAGGGTCCCCAGAAAAAACTCTCTACGATGATTGGTCAATCCACTGAAACTCCTAATTTGCATAGCAGACGGTAAAATAAGCCACGCCCAGGTGCAGTTTTTCGGCGCCATTACTGGGCCAACGTGCCTCCAAAGAGAGAAACATATTTTGTTCCGAAATTGTATGCCTTTCCATCGCAAAATTATTGAAAACAAAATACTACCTCCTATTTCAGCATTTTCAGTTAATAATGCAGAGATTTTATAACTAATGAAGTATTCAATAAGTCCTTTAATGGATTAAAAACAGAACTGCCCCTGGCCTTGAAATGGCGAAATTTGAGCAAATATAAAACCATCATGACCATGGAAACAAAGGATTCGACACGCACCTTTTGAGCAGTTATTGAAAGAATTTAGGTCTTCTACTCGTAAACCATCCAGCCCTAAGGAGTCCAAAGAAAACAACGGCATCGTATAGTTGTTGCGGCTTGAACCTTGGCAATAGAACCTTGTGTAAACTCCCAGAAATTTTGTGAAAATAGTCGTTCGGTACGCAGACAGTTTTTTGACACGTCTAGTCCTCACGGCGCGGCTACAAGAAATGATGAACACGCGACAGTACGACTCTTATTGGCTTATACCGAGGGTGTGCGTGAAGGGTATGCCATTACGTCATTTTGCGCGAAGCTCATTGGACGCCGTGTGAATATTTTTATCCTCATTTGCATTGACGTCAGCTACACGTGAGAAAAATAAATATCACGTGATTTTTTACGTACGCGGTGCTGCGCAACCGGAATGGGGATTATAAATAGTAACTGACGTAATGCATAATGTCAAGGGAAAACAAAATTTAAGTTGAGCAGCAGAGCTTGCGCGTTATACATTGTAATGTTGTGACTTGTGACCTATTGCGGATGCACGACACAAGAAGGAAACACATCGTGAAAAAAATCACAAGACATTGGTTTTAATTTCTGCATCAAAGTTCATTTATGCGTGAAAGCATACGTAAGACATCTTTTTAATTTAAAATGAATAGCATAACAAGCTAAAAGCCTGAACCAATCGAGAAATCGAAACAAACCAAACATGATTTTAGGATATTGTACAATTTGGTGTATGGAAGACTACAGATGTCAAACTTACCTGAACATATGGGTTTTTATTATTATCAACACAGCATTCGTAGTGCAGTGTAACCATGGAGGTAGAATTATACCTTTTTATCGGTAGCTGATGGGGTGGGAATGTTTTGTTCTATTTATATAAACACTTCCTGTAAATGATGAAACTGGGGTGGACAGAGCTAGAGGGACTTTCCCTGCAGGATTACGTCACGTGTTAAATTCGGGGCTGGGGCCGTGTGCAGAGCAGTTTTTGTTGATATTTCATTTTTATATAAAAAAAATTAACAACTGTTCTGCTGGTTTTTTTTATTTAAAGGGAAAATACAACATTTGCAAACATCAAAAAATAAAAATACCAAATCATTTTGAAATACCTTGCCGGACTGTTAGTGAATGACAGTGTAAAGCATCCTGTAAAATCATGGCACCTGGTATACTGTCATTCTCAAGAAACGTGGTATTTTTGTATCAATTTCCAACGCTGATCGGCCGATCAGCGTTGGAAAAAACTGGCCTTTTTCAAATACTGGCCCTAGTTGACCATCGCACTTGTTTGCAATCGATTACACACCTATGAACGGGTACAAGCCAGCTAGACTGGTTCCCTGACCTTACAATTCCCCAATATATGTAAACTGCTCTGTTTCTTCTTAAATGGAGTCAGGGAACCAGTCTACAGGAAAATGATTGTTTTTCTTGGTTTTTATAGCATTTTCGAACCCAAAACCTCAAAAAAGTCAGTGTAACTATATTTGCTATATATTTTCAACCCCCTAATTCCATCCATTTCTGAAAATTACAGCAAAAGCAAATGATGTATATTCCCTTTAAAAATAAATGCATCACATAAATACGAGTGGTTCAATTTTTAACACCGCAGTTTCCACGGCACTTTCATAAAAAAAAAATTTCTAAAAGGATATTAATTATAAAACTACACTTTCATAAAATATTACAAATACAATGTAACATTATTACTAAAGTACACTTTCATAGTGTATACAATCTTTATATTTAATACATGTTATATATTTTAAAGTTTTTATGACTATTGTGATAACTTTTAAACTTTCAATGGGGACGCTGTTCAAATCCGCGACGATTATTAAATATACCCCCTAACCAAGCTGGCTTTGTCCGTATTTTGTGCACAGGCGGGCATTATTAACGTCACACTTATACGGAATCAGCATGAATCAAGCAGAATAATTGTCTCGGGTGTCAGAGCGGGGGGGGGGGGGTGTCCGCATTATTGTTAAGGAATTCCTACATATATTATATATTATAGAGATAACCAATGAAATCGTCTTCTATCACAATTCACAGTGCTCGATACATCTCTGTAGAGCTACAATCATGCAATAAATTCAGATTATGAGCTAATCAAACTTTGGCATATTTCTCTTCTGGACAGACTGTTTACCATAAGGCACTCATTTCTTTGTGCGTATAAGAGACTCCTTTTTTTCAGAGGGTCGCTCAAAGCCCAATACAAAAGTAGTTTCTCCGGTTAAAAAAAACTAACCATAAAAATTGAAAAATTCTTTTTGGAGAAAAAAACAACCTTTTTTTAAGTACGGGGAGATTTTATCTCTATACTCTACATGCAATATGCACCAAAGTCGCAATTTGCATCGATTTAACTTACCCAAATATTGTTTTCCTCGCAATTTTCTTGAATTCAAAATGTAAATTTGAAGTCAAAATAAATATTGAGATGCTTTTGAGGCAAATAATCGAAGTAAACACATAATGCGAAGTATTCTATTCATCCACACGACCGTCCTGCATCATTTATTAGTGCGTATTATTATTAGTGCCAGCCTTGGTACTGATTATGTGCGCTGCACCCGGAAATTATAAATTCAGTTTAGGCATATACTTTTATTTCTGTAGGTGTAGCCGCCGGAAATTTCCTTGGAGGGTTGTTGGAAAATTTGGTAACTTTCTATTTTTATCCTGAGGTATAAGGGAAAAGGGAAATCCCCTAATAATTCAATCTTTTATATAAAAGACCCACAATAAAAGCGTATTTAAGGGTTGCAAAGGTCCAAAATATAGGACGAAAAAAGTATGCCGTTTAAATAAAACAAAATAAATAGAAAGGTCATTAGAACTCGAATATGTTAAAGAGCACGAGTACAGACTCTTGGCCAATTGAAAGGCAATTTTGCCTTTAAGAAAAACATCCGGATAGGATCGAAATGTCAGGCCCTCCCCGAGTTTCGAGTCGACAAGCATTTTGTCTCACATGAAAAATCCACATAGGGCCCAAGTTTATGCTCACGTATATAATTATACTGTGCACTCGTAAATGCACCAATATTGTATGTGACCAATACAAGTTTCGAGTCGACAATTAAGCATTTGCCTCACATTAAAAAGCCGCATAAATATTTATGTTCATGAATATATACTGCATGTACACTCGTGCACCAACAGGGCATTTGCGACAAAGCACTTAAACACAGCAGCAATAGCAAAGGGCGGATAACCGAGGAGGCGCTTACCCCCCTCCCCCTCTGCCAAATTAATCGTCCATACTAGGGGCGGATCCAGGAATTTTCGCAGGGGGGGTGTTTCATCAGCAAAAAAATCTGAAATGTACTCAGGTTTTGTTCTCCGGACACTTAGACTCCGAAAATCAATTGGGGGGGGGGGGCCTACCATACTTTCAATGAGGGCGCTGTTCAAACCGGCGACGAATATTAACACTTTTATTACCAACTAGTGTACAAATACCCCCTTACCATGCTGGCTCTGTCCGTATTTTGTGCACAGGAAGACATTATTTCCAGTATAATTTTTGGGGCGGGGGGGGGGGGGTCGCATTATTTTTAAGGAATTTCTATGAATTTCTTTTTTAATAGAGCTGGGGGGGGGGGGCTGGATCCGCGCCTGCATACTGGAAACTACAAATTTTCTTCCTGACTGAATAACCTCATGCACCGTTGCAAATCTTGGTTTATTCCTAGGATGCCTTTGGCCCGTTTACTGGTGAGTTGATATGATTTCAACACAGGCGTTTCAGCTATAGGAGGCCTATATACCTCCGCATTAAAACAGGAAAAAAATCCGCCACTGACAAGACGGATAAGACCATAAGATGAAAATGCTCAGACCATTTTAGACCGACTTTCTCTTACGGTTTGAGTGCCAAGAAGAAAACGCCGTGCCTCGCTATCAGCTTCGAAACAAGAAATAAATAGACCTATATATACAAGTAATTTATTACTTTGGAGAAAAAAAACTCTTTTGTTTAAGTACGGGGAGATCGAGCATTTTTAAATACAATATCTGACCGTTTATCTCTTTATATAGGCCTAAAACTCTCCATGCAACATAGAAAGTCGCAATTTGCATTGATTTAACTTACCCAAATGTTGCCCACGCAACTTCTTGAAGTAAAAAAATAATATTCCTCAAATAAGACGCTTTGGAGGCAAATAATCAACTATTCATCCATACGACCTTCCCGCGTCATTGCGTTAAGCTATGCTCGGTGCAGCTTGCCGCACCCGGAAATGATCGACTTTACTTTTATGAAAGGTAGTGTTGCCGTTTCGGGCCGTTTGTTATATTTCTATAGGTGCAAACGTGGGGAAATTTCCATGGAGGGTTAATGGAAAATTTAGCAACTTTCCATATTGAGGTAAGGGGAAAGGGAATTCCCCTAATAATAAATCTTTTAGAACAAAAAAAACCCAACCTTTTTTGTTGTTTGAAAAGGTTTCTTTTTTCAGATACACTGCAGGCCTAGGCCTATAGAAAGGCCCGATGACGCGAGAAATAATTCGACCATCGCGTCCCTCATTTTACTCCGAACAAAATATGTAAACAAACTTCAAATGATAATTCTTTTATGCAAAGTCCACTGACATTTTGAAGTTCAGCCCGGTTTTAAACATTTTGATTGACACCGATTGGCCATAACATGCTATACACAAATCGCCCCTGATAATCTTTTTTGATTTAGCAACACAAACCAATTTGCGATTGTGAAAAAAAATCCCAATCGGCCTCACTGTGCACTAACTTGGGTTTAGCGGCATGCAGCCATGCACGCCATAATTTCTGCATCAAAATATTTGGTTTGTGTCTTGACTGCACTGTCTTTGTGATAATATTTTATCTACTTACGTGATTTAAACGTGATATTAAAAACGTTAATATTATTTTATGTGGCATTATTTATTTTAAGGTAATGAATACTACAACAAACACCTAAACATGAAATTACCAATACATGTATCAAATATTCTATTGTAAATAAATACAATGTAATAGGATCAAATATCATGTGAAATCCTATGCTGTCATTTTCGTGAAAAGAGTCTGTCATCATTTCCTCGCGATAGGTCCCGGCCATCGCGAAAAAAATGTGTTTTTTTTTTCCAACTACTGTTCCAAATAGACCGAATCCATTTCAGTTTGCAATCGGTTACGTGTACGCCTACCCATCAATGAATATTATTTTCACGAGTGACAAACTGGCGATCATACGGTGCTGAAACGGTCAAAACGTATTAATAAACGTTTTTGAAGGATTTTCAACAGAAACCTTGCTTTGCCTCGAAAAAACGAAGACGCATTTTCAGATTTCTCAAAAAAAATATATAATCGAACGAGCTGAAATTTCGACAGGTTACTTTTTTTTAATAAACTGCTTTAGATTTACTGTATTATTGTTCCTTGATGAATCGCATTTTTTTTTGGCAAAATGGTGGGTGTCCATATACCTGCATTGACTGGATAGCTAAAGGTAACTTAATTTTACATATAATAATAGTCAAAGTGCAGCAAAGTTGACGTTTATCATCTGTGTATAGGCCTATGTGTTATGCAGGCTCGATGGCTCAGCCCCTTTACACACTTTTTTTTGTCAAGCTCATAATAAACCAGTCGCTTGCGCACAATGCTGCTGGCTGTGGAGATGGAAAATGAAAGAAAATCTAACATTCCATTTGTATTTGTCTCTATTTTGAAAACACAAATATAATCGTTTTAGCCGATTTTCGGCTAACTTTGACCGATTTTTTGTTTAAAAACGATTTTGACAGAAAACTTGACAGAATGGATTTTTTGGCAGATTTCTGGCAGAATTCTGCAACAATTGTTATTTGACAGAAAAACGTAGCAAATTTGAAAAAAAATGGTACATTTCTTTAAAAAAGCTTCAATCTTTTCAAACAAACCCTTGCATAATGGGACAGGTTGGTCTAGCTGCCGAGGTTCACTGGGAACCCGACTTTGTCGTGACGCAACTTTTGCCTGAAATCTACGCAATATCTTTATGTGACTATAGATTGTTTGTAAAGTAATTTGAACCTTAATTAAGGCAATACTACCACACTTGCATGTGATTTTAAGTGGTTACAGTGTATTTTGAGTAATTCTGGGGAATTTGGCAGATTTTTGATAAATCTGACAGATTTTTGAAGTACATTTAGCAGAATTTGTCCATGACCTTACGGTCACCTTGGCTAAATTTCTGATGATAATTAGACAGCCGAGCAAGTATAGGAGCAGGTAATATTTTTTGGCGGTTTGCCAAGAGGAAGGGACGATTCCATATACATGTACATGTAAAAGGGGAAAAATAGATAATAGCTTACGATTTCCTCCACCTTTTCCGAGTTGTCCAACAGGCAAAACGAATTGCAACACCAAAACTGCCATTGATAAAACTTAAACTTTGTAATTCATATTTGCTGGGTCAAAAATGATTTTGTTATACATGTAGTACAAAGAAATCTGGAGTGCACGGTCCACTTATAATTTTTTTGTCAAACTTTATACAACAATGGACCCGATCTGACCCTGATAAGCTTGACGGGGTTAAATGCTGCAGGTACTATCGTGAAAATAAACCATGAAATGAAAGAAGAACTATACATTCCACATGTATGACAACTTGCATTTTTAGTCAAAATGCTATAAATGAAATTACCAATTGCAACATAGATTCCAAGCTTCTGAGGAAATCTTTCTTTCCTCTCTATTTTATTGCATAATTACCCTCCACACATGTCATGTGTACAATAATTCGTACATTTTAATGATATGAAATTTAAAATTAAATATTTTTAATTAAAAAAAATATTGTATATTACAGATGTATTTTTAATTTAAAAGAAACTGAATATTATACAACCCATGAAACAATAGTTTGGGAAGCCTGGGTAAGTTAGGATCAGGATTAAAAAGCAAATAATGTCCCTTTTCATTTGCTCAATGTCATTAAAAGTACATGTACACATCAATGATCAAGTTACAATCATGCACACTGGGATATATTCTTATTAAAACCAACACCAAAATCCCTCCATAACAACATAGAATTTTGCATCATTTTGAACGATTTGAACTGTAGAGCCCATATTTGTTTACATGGCTCTTTAATATATGTATGAACAATTTGGTTACTGTAATATGAGAGAAATGCTCTGGGGGGAAAGAAAGGTTCTCTAATACCGAGAATCTGTGAACTTTCACCTAAACAATGCTTAATTCAACAATATAAACTTTATATTTTATTGATCAAAACATTAAGAAGTTTTTGTAGGTGTTGGATTCTAGAACGGACAGGCTACACACTGGGATTCAATAAGGTGCTAAAACCTAAATACCTTCTTCTCTTCTTACCCCCTAATTCAGCCTAAATTTAAAGATTGCCTTGCTTTGCTTTTTCATATTTCCTAACTTGCCTCATATACGACTTTTTCGAAATTTCATGAATTTTTCTCGGATTGGAACTATCAAATTTTATCAAACTCTCAAAATCGGGACTTCGACCGAAACAAATGGATGCCGCTGTGATGCAAATTATTGCAGTGAGTCCGAAGGTAGTAATCTGCTTGCCATCTTGATAATGAGTAAAGAAATCCAACAGGAACTCCTGCCCGCTGTCAGTCCAGACTCGCTGCTTGTGATCCTCTGACGATTGGAGAAATGTTGCAAAAGGCACTGTGAAGACATCCTGAACCTCTTCTGGGTTTGGGACGGGATCAAAATCCTCCGGTATGAACCCCACGAATGGTACGACTAACGTTCCCCGCCGCGCAAATACCGAGCTGAGTTGGGAGATAATTTCAACCCTGTCCCTGGCCAGTCCGATTTCTTCTTCGCTTTCCCTAAGAGCTGTTTCTCGGAGATCTGCATCACCTTCGTCGCTCTTTCCACCGGGGAAAGCAACCTCTCCCCGGTGGGAACTCAAATTGCTGGACCGTACAGTCAACAGGACATGCAACTGGCTGTTGCGGTAGAAAAGCGGCACTAGAACGGCAGCTCTTGGTACTGAGGTTGGGAGAGGAGGGAGGCCTGCAAGCATGTCCGCTGCATCGGTCTGTCGCAGTCGAGCGATCACATCATCTTTTGTGGGTTCGGTGAAAGCTGACGAGGATGGTGATGAAACCTCAGCCATTCCTTGAAGACACCTTGGTAAAAAGAAACAAGTTACATTTGTGTTACTCATATGGGGCATGTGTTCTTATTCCTCCATGGTTCACTTCACTCGATGCACGGGATTATACGGGTATCAGGACGGATCCTACCATTTTGTGCGTGCATGACTCAGAGTACCAGTGTACCACGCGTGAACCTTTTCTTCCCTCAAATTTCTTGTCAATGCCAGATCCAACGCTAGCATAAATTTACAGAAAGCTTTATTCGTAAGTACTTCAAATAGTGGAGAAATGACGTGTCGCGTATACATTTAGGGTATTCTGACGCTACTCTGGAACGTGCCATGAAAATTGAAGCCACGTTTACGGGTCTAATTCCTCAAATTTATAGCATAAATTTACAGAAAGCTTCATTCGTAAGTACTTCAAATAGTGGAGAAATGATGTGTCGTGTAAACATTTAGGGTATTCTGACGCTACTCTGGGACGTGCCGTGAAAATTGAAGCCACGTTTACGGGTCTAATTCCTCAAATTTATTAGGTTGATTATGAGGCCCTAGCGGCCTAGGCCTATTAATAATATTACACGAAAGTAAACGGGAAATAATTACAAAATTAGTGTGATCATGAAGGAATATAAAAAAATGCAAATAAAAAATGAATTTTTTAAATCCTCCATCATCATCCAATTCCAATCATCCATGGTCATGATGGTGTGTTATATGATGTTGCCTCTTCATGAGTTGCGTTTCTGCAACCCTACACTCAACCATGGAGGAATAAAAAAACGTGTTTATTCCTCCATCAACATTATACATATCCATTGAAAAATAATCCATGATCATCACATGATCGTGCATGTGGGTTTAATCACTTAATTATGGCCCCAGGATGGCAACGGCCGGTGTCACATGCGCTGTACGCGAGGTAAGCATTTTTATTTATCAGTTTATGGACTGACTGGGCGCCGGCGACTTACACAATACACAATAACATTACAACAGCGCATGCACAGAGCTGCTGGACCGCCATGACCGCTGCGCGCTGGAACTTTACATCACTAAAAATAAGACAAGTTACTTTGCAATTTACATCACTTTACAAAGTGCTTATGTACGAACATTCAATATTTGCTCACCTGGACGGATGCAATGAAGACAACAGGGTTTTAGAATGATGGGTTTTGAACAAAAATATGCGTAATTTAGTGAATACTAATCCATGGGCGCGTAGCATTGTGCAGTAAAACTTTGACGAACCGGCTTTTTCATTATTAGAATCCATGCAACAACAGGCGAAAAACTTACGGACGCCGAAAAGGAACGTAAACTATATTTCAAAACTAGTTTCAGGCCTGACACACCCATTCAACTGAACGGGGTCATTCTAGGCCACCGTGAACCTAATTTGGCCTGGGCTACTTACACTGTATGTGTTTTGATACCACTTGCCTAATAGTTTGGTAAGAAAAACTATTTCTTCCTCCATGGAAAAACCTAGTAAAATTGCTGTGTTGGTGGTTGGCATGTGGCGTGGTTTGATTTTATGGGGATAGCTTAGGTTATTTCCAACTCTAAGTCTAACACTAACAGTCCATAAATTCACAAGATGTAAACTGTATCAGTGTATGATGCCGGCAGAGGGTTGGGTGCGGAGGGAATTTGAGTGTGCCTAGTGCCTAGACAGGCCCTAGTCAGGGCTAGTGCCAGTGGGGGGAATTGAACTTGAACTTGAGGAGAACTGAACTTGAACTTGAGGAGAACAAGTCTGATGGATGATGATTAATACTACAAAGGCCAAAAAAAAATAATACTCGGTCTCTGGTCAGCGCGCGCGTCGATTTTATCATGCGCGTCAACCTTTTTTATTTCTTTCAAATTAACACGGAAGCTACAACAGCGCCCTCTATTGCCGCACCTCCTCAAATTTTTGTACCAAGGAGCACCAAGGAATGGGGAAATTGCACCAAGGCAAATGATAAAGGGCACCAAGGCAAATTATGGAGGACACCAATGTATAATGAGGACACAAAAAAAGCAAAATAGTACCCACCTTGTCTGTACAATACAACTACAAGCTTGAAAAGAAAAAAAAGAAAAAAAAAAGAAAAGAAAACGCGTCGCCGCATCAATTCCGGAACTTCGGTCTGACCAGAGACCGACTATTTTTTTTTTGGGGCCTAATACTAGTAATAGTAAACTATACAAGTTAATAAGGAAATAAAATGTGTGCTTGGCCGGTTTTAAACACTCTGTTACTTGTGTTAGTGTTTTAGACCCGTGAACTTGGCTTTGCGCTTGTATACAACGCCATGTTCACTGTCGAACTCTATTTAAAACTGGCTTGAGTCTGGATGTTGATAATGAATTATCCAAGCTGCCTGAAGGTGAGGGTATAATTTATCAGCATCCAGACTCCAACCGGTCTTAAACAGAGTGTTTATGGGCCTACTGGCCAAGCACATTGTATATTTATTCCCATTCATAAATACTTTTCGGTCAAAAAAGCAATCAAAACTTTTCGGTCCAAAAAGTCAAAACATGGAGCCTAGCTCCATGGTCAAAACAAGTCAAAAATTATAAATTTCCAATGATTTTGTTCAACACTATTTCATGTTTTTCGAAACACCCCTCTGCTCTAGCTTCATTATGGTTATGTTTTAAACAACTCCTTAAAATTATATGGAGATTGGTGTGCGCATCCCGCTTAATGCGCAAGTGGTGCAGAATGCAGCTGTGCTGGTGTAGTGTAAATTTAGGACTATGAAATACTGACTCACTGGTAGTATTGCGCATGCCTACGTGAGCATTGCATTGTGAATGTTCATCCAATAAAACAGGAACTAAAATGTGACCAGGATATGTGTGCCCAGTACAGCACAGCATGGAGGAAGGATCACTATAGATATCCCGGACACTCATGTTATGCGGAAAATGCATGTTATGTTGTCACTAGCCCTATAAATGAGGCCAATTTACTCCGTAAATAAAGGCCACACTTCCACCATGTACAAAAACATGTAGAACTTTGTCAAATTTTGATTTTCACATTTAGGCTTAGTATATATAGTAGTTTATTTTTGCTTTAGAAGCATACTCACCCGCTTTATAGGCTAATCAGAAAGTGCTGCCTTTTTCAGATGTCTATTTTTCGTGAAATTTCCAGATTCGATTGCACACGTTTGCGTATCAAAATTTCAACATGAAATTTCACGAAAATTAGACATCTGAAAAAGGCAGCACTTTCTGATTAGCCTATACAGGGGGTGAGTATGCTTCTAAAGCAAAAATAAACTACAAACTAAGCCTATGTGTGAAAATCAAAATTTGACAAAGTTCGACATGTTTTTGTACATGGTGGAAGTGTGGCCTCTATTTACGGAGGTTGTCCAGTAAATTGGCCACATTTATGGGGTTATGTTGTCACTTTAATTTGAAGTGCATGAGTTTTCGTATTTGGTGATGAAAATGAAAAAAAGTTACACATTTTATTCAGGAATTGTGACCCCCTTACAGTTGCAGGATCCATTCATATAATGATTTCCAATCATTTTCTTTACAATATTATAGTCGGACCATGATGGCATGAAAAGACTCCTCAGTGTCGTCAAATCGCCTGAAAGAAGATCTTTGATTTGTTTGTGAGCACCAATAATGATGCATCTTATGAACTAGCAAGCTACGGCCATGGCTATGCAACAGCGGCCCCACATCCGCAATCCTCTCATGCGGATAGCCTATGAGCATCAGACAAACACCAAGTTCAACAGGCAAGAAATCCGACGGCATTTTGATGTAGACAAGGTCAGTCTTGGTTTCATTTTTCAAGTAGCTCTCATCTTATTGAAAAATGTCTTACAAAAATCAATTCATCTTTGCTATAGCCCAATAATTTAGTACTTTCCAGCTGGGCTACTTCAGGAGTAGTTCCTGATGAGAAAAAAAGTAGGGATTTTGAGGTAGTTTTCGAACATCCCAACAAGAAAAATGTATTCAACATCACTGAAAAGTGGAGAAACAAAGTACAAAAGCTTTTAAAATGCGCCGTTTTGATGTAAGTGCGAGTATACATATTGATATACATCTATATCCTGAAAAGCGCCCCCTAGTGTAATGTGGTGTTGCCCCCCCCCCCCCCTTGGAATTTCCATGGCATGGCAATTCTTGGATGTTGGTCACCCCCCCCCCCCCCCACTCGCCAGCACAGATTTACGCCACTGCCGCCACTGTTTTGACTTAGCATTTGGCTAGCTACCACTAAAGTCGGACCCTGGTTTTTGTTGAATATGACATAGCACATAAGAATCTAATGGGTTAAAACTTCAAAGAACAATAATTTCTACAGACTGTGGGTTTCGGTTTAAAAATATTCAGTCAATATGAGGGTCAACAAAAAAGTTAACAGCCCGGATTTGAGTCGGTGACCTCCAGAGAATGATGAACCAACACTCTACAGCTGTACGGCCCTATGTTGGCAACTTGGCAGTCGCTATTTTTTTTCTTTGTTCAAATGTTTGTGTTGAAGTAGAAAAAGAATAATACACTGTACAATTACTTTTTTTCTTTTCGATAGTGGTACAACTGCAACTTGGATGACTTCCCAGAAGATCTCAGGGTTTTGTTTCATCAGTGTCACATGGACAGTGCTACAGAGAAGTTCTTGGACAGCTGCTACCAGAAATCCGATTGGATAATCACCCAAGCCTGGCACTCATTGGCTAAAGCGTTCTTAGGTTTCTTTATGTCATCTACCTCGATCAATGGGTAAGGTTTTGGATGAATGCCCACAGTTCAACCAGTGGTGCTTTGCATGCTTCTTGGTTTTTTTGTAACCATGGGAACTGGTTACAAGATACTGTAATTTCATTGGTCGACAACGGCCACGGGTCCAGTCTGTACAAATGCATATATAATGGTTAATGTCATATCCATTTGTGTTGTGCGTGCGCATGTAAAATCTGCATTCACAGTCTCAACTGAGAACTCATGCAGTATGCAAGTTGTGCAACTGCAGTTTCATGTCCGGCACTAAAGCCTGCAGTTATGGCACGCCAGACACTTAAGAGGCATCAACACTACAAAACCTTCCCAGATCCTTCAAAATATCTCCCGGGAGGTTTTTGCGGGATTTTGTAGGATTGAGGAAGATATGGAGCCCAGCCACTATTATTTAACATGGGACTTTTGATGACATTTGAAAGTAAAAGTCCGAAAAATGTGCCATGTGAGGATACAGGAAGGTTCCCCAGAACAAATCTGATGTAGATGTAACCCAGAAAAATGGAACAAAGGAATTGGACCTAGGATCTCTAGAAAATCGCGAGGAAAATTAAGTTGGCAAAGAGACAGAGATTCAAGAGCTATCACTGGAACGCATTTATTTCTCCTGAACGACAATTAAAAAAAACAAACTAAACCAAAAATAAAATTATGAGACTCGAAGAACAACGGATTTTGTACCTGACACTCGACCAACCTTGATGTTCTCCTAACCAAGCAAATGTAAATGACCTTTGACTTTCCCTAAAGATAAAAAACTGCTATGAACCAAAAAAACTCAGTATAATGACCACAACTGAAACTAAGTAAATGAAGCAAAAATAGACTAAAAAATCTAAAATGACAAGAACCAATAGACAAAAAAACAACTCAATCACTTCAAGCCATAAACCAACCAAAAACCATAAACCAGATAAAAAATAAAGACACCAACAACTAAAACCTAGAACGAAGATTTAAAATTTAAACCAACAATAAAAACCTAAGATTTAAAACCAACTAAAATTAAAACCAATACAGCATCAAAAGAAGGTCATAAATCGAAAACAACAGCTTAAACAACCTGTAGAAATAATAAAAAAAACGCAAAGTAAGTATAGAACTAAATGAGTACATTATAAATCCTAATAATAACTAGGCCAACCTAAAACAGGTGCTCTATTCTGGCAATACCACACACTCATCCTTATCAATGCGATTAAGAACTTCTTACCACTGCATCCACAATCAACAGTGCTGAGTTGCCACAAGCATAGTTATGTGTGCTCCAGGTAACAACACTAACTTTCTTGTGCATACTAATGAGTCTTGCCTTGTCCATGTGCTTATCTCCAAGGTCATCTACTAGGTTCTGTGGCCAAATCCAGCCACCCAGGCTGTCAGCTAGAGAGTTTACAAGTCACTTAGCACTTCTTGCATACGTACACTAGGGAACCACTATGCCTTAATTATTACCACAAAACATACAAAGCATTTCATCAACCAACTGCTCAGTGGACTAGGCAAAGTCTAAGGCCCTATTATCTTAACTGGTGGTCAACCTGATAAAAATAAGACACTGTGGCTGGGCAATGTCCCTTCAGTAAAGTAAAGAAATGCATCATACATGTGCACAAGTAGGGACTCATTATACAGAATAAATGACAAGTGAAGGATTTACTTCCAACTATCTAAATTCTAACACTATTGGTTAAATAAAAAATCCAGCTATGTAAAAGATGAAATACACCTGTGCAAAACTTAAAAGATCACTTGTTTTCTTCTCAAGTTCTCATACAACGAAAAATTAAAGTTGTAAACCATGGGACTAACTATTGGATACGACATACATGTAGTATAATGCACAAAAATACATCGCGCAAAAGTAACTCTCTTGTGAATCAATCTTAAACTCCAAGTGTACTTGAACTTCACACTCCGTATAACAAGAAAAGAACGAGGAAATTTCAATCTCAGGCCACAAGAGCAAAAGTACCAATTGGATCACTAAATATTTATCTATTAAATGTACTTTCACTTCTTAGTTAACAAAACAACAAAAACTTGAGCTTACCGAATCCAGCAGCAGACCAAACTTTCAGGGTAGAAAAGCCATAGATTTTCAAGGGAATCTGCAGAGCAAAACTAAGTGATGCTGCCCTGCCTTCTACCAGTCTGCAAAATGAGGCATGGACCACATGGTCTCACAGATAAGGGGGTCTCTGTTCTGGACAGGATGTTTACTCTATCCAGGGGGCGTACACTACTATCCTCCTACAGCACTGCTATTACTTTACTGTGTCATAAACTTCTACTTAATTAACTTAAGAGGGCTACAACACAAACTAAGCGTATGCAAGTCAGGGGGAGGGACTCCTATGTTGAAAACCAAAAGCTAATGCAAGTTAACTATGTGGCCCTGCCACATAGACATTAACACAATACCCTTTTTTTTCTCGAAGGTTACTAGACAGGGGATGCATGTTTGTCTTCTCCATGGAGCAGTTCCGATCTCTCCTTGAGATCAATGCAGACTTCAAGGCTGACCATCTACTGGACTTGGGAGCCGGGGATGGGAAGGTGACGGAGATAATGGCAGGTCATTTCAGGAGAGTGTCTGCTACGGAGGTGTCCTACACGATGCAGAGAAGGCTGCGGCAGCTGGGATACACGTACGGTAGAAATCTTGGAGCATCACAAATCAAAACATCACAAGTCATCACAAGTCCTTACAAGTCATCACAAGTCCTCACAAGTCATTAAAGTTCTAACAAGTCCTCTCAAGTCATTACAAGTCATCACAAGTCCTCACAAGTCATTGAAGTTCTAACAAGTCCTCTCAAGTCATTACAAGTCATCACAAGTCATTGAAGTTCTAACAAGTCCTCTCAAGTCATTACAAGTCCTCACAAGTCCTCACAAGTCATTAAAGTTCTAACAAGTCCTCTCAAGTCCTCACAAGTCAATGCAAGTCCTCACAAGTCATTAGAGTTCTAACAAGTCCTTTCAAGTCCTCACAAGTCATTGAAGTTCTAACAAGTCCTCACAAGTCATTAAATTTCTAACAAGTCCTCCCAAGTCCTCACAGGGCCATCACAATTCAACCACAAGTCATCTTTCTATAAAAGTGAAGTCACAAGCTATTCAAATGGACTGTAACAAAGGCATTCCTTATTTTTTTAATCTCCTGTTTCTTGGGACTGGACTTGTGAATTGACTTGTAAGTGTGACTGGACGAGTGTTGGACTTGTTATGGAGTTAACTGCAATACTGATTTGGGATGAGGTTGTTCTTGCTCAAAGACTTTGTTTCAAATCTGAATGTACATTTTCACTCCCTCCTTGCATTGCCATGTCCTAGAATAATTTTTGGTTTAATAGTCTTGGATCTTCTTGCTTTTTGGACCTCCAGTTCTGGGTCTTGGTCAAGAAGGTCATGACTAACTAAAGTTTGGTCCATATAATAGTTATCACGCATCGAGTTTGTGGAAGTCTCCCCAGAATTTCAGGAAATTTATGAGTAAGAAGTTTTGAATTGCTTTTACTATAGATATACCCGTGAAGAAATCTATCACACATATTACATTTTTCCTCATTTTCGCCTTTTTCATCCAGAATTCTCGGCCTCGACCAGTGGGCGGGCCACAAGTATGATGTCATCAGCTGCTTGAATCTGTTGGATAGGTGTGAGAGACCAGCTACCATCATGAGAGATATCCACAGGTCACTGGTCCCCGGCGGTGTGACGATTGTTGCTATGGTGCTTCCATTTAAACCATTTGTTGAGTCAGGTAATAATGAAATAGCAATGTTAATTGTAATCAGGTCGACTTAGTCAATCGCAATTCTATCACAAGTCATCAAAATAAATCATGTCTATCACAAGCCAACTTCCAGTCAGTCACAACTTAATAAGTCAATCAGGTAGGTCACAAGTCATCTTAAGTTAGGTCACAAAATCCACAAATACATGTAAATTAGATGAATAATATGGCAAAGGGATCCGATAGCTCATTTGAATAGCAATCGACTTGTGATGATTTGAGCATAACCCTGGCATAAAATAAAAGTAAAAGAGTTTATGGCCATTCTTGGATCCAACTGAACTTTTTAGGGAGCATACACTGCTATTATTGACAGTCTCAGGTGCACTGGGCTGTACATGTAATTCCACATTCATTTGCAACTCGGCCTTCGTAGGCTTCCATGATAATCATGGGTTGAAAGAAGATACATATAGTATGATAGAGTATCTCTCCAAATTAATGACGATAAGTTTTCTTTTGGCAGGATCTGACCCTACCAAGAAACCTACAGGAACTTAACATACTCTAGATGCCGTATAGGTTCCATGATACTCCTGGGTGGAGCAAAACTACATGAAGTTCAGTACAGTGTCTTTCCCAAGGGCAATAAAACTTTCCCTTGTTGGGATTCGAACCCACCCAGATATACTACATTGAAACTTAACATGCTGTTGATGCCCTGAGAGGTTCCCATGATTTTGTAGAAAGATAAGCAAATATGGTACAGTCGCTTGCCCGGGGGCACTAGGAACATGTCCAACACCTGGATTCGAACCCTAAGTCCGAGGAAGTCTCCACACTTCACTGTATCCAATTTTAGTAAAGTTCTGCCTTTGCTATCCTTTGCAGGTTTTAATCAAAACCGACCCGTGGAAAACTTACATGTCCAAGGCAAGACGTGGGAAGAACAGGCAAGGAGTTTGATTGTAGACTTTTTCACACCAGCCGGTTTCACGGTTCTGGCGTTCACCAAGTTGCCGTATCTCTGCGAGGGCGACACAGAAAACCCCTTCTACGTCCTCCAAGATGTTGTGTTTGTGTTGAAGAGAACTATGGACGCTGGGGTGACGTTACCTCATGTGTCATGTGACTCCGGTGCCGATGATAGTGACATTGTTGTGGACATTACTGGCTAAGGTGCCCCAAAAGTTGGAATATTCCCATTTTGAAGAAAAAAACCCAATATGTAACATTTCCCAGCTGGAATGGGCTGTTGCTGAGATCTTTTTTTTCTCAATAAGGTGGTGTCCGATAGTATTATATAAACTTCCAACTATTTTTATAAGATGGAATTTGCGTTGGGGAGAAGTAAATCTTATATTAAGTTTTGTCCTTCGCTGACATATTTTTTATTAACACTGTATACTCAGTGTTGTCCGAGGGCTTACGAGAACAACTTCACAAGCTTTCTCATGTGGGACTCGAACCCATAACCTCCCACTTACCAGTGCAGACTTCTTGCTACTCGACCCCCGACATTGTCAGGGTCGGCTGGCCGATTTGAGTCTGAAGTACCGCACATTTTTATAAGACGGAATATGCGTCAGGGAGATTTAATCTTATAATTGTTTTTTTTTTGCCTTTCAACTGATAGTTTAACTTTGCCTCATTGCTTTAAGATGCCACTTAACTACCATGCCATTAGTATAACTTAAAGCAATGCTCAGTTTAAAATGCAGATATCTCAACCTCGTCCCCAGTGCTTACTTTATTTCCGTCGTTTCCAATAGTAAGCCCTGGATAGGAAACTTTCTTCCTGTATCCTGATTCGATACCGCAATTGGCTAGTAATGGATTTTTATCGTTTGCTTGGTGTTATTATTCACAACCTGCAGTATGTGTTTTCGCGATCGTTCGTCCACGCCTTCTCGAAAAATACTTATTTCCTTTCCAATTTGTTCATATGAAATGTGATACTGCATGTTGTCTCGATCAGATCGTAACAGTTTAATTAAATAAATCGTGTTTTTGTAACACACGCCACGCTCGCGCTACCCTAGACACCGCATACAAAAACAAACGCAAATGTAACGCATATCCAGGAACCAGACTATTCCTCATTTGCATACGTGTTCAAAAATCTTGCACATGCAAATGATCCAATACCAGGGTGAGAGAGCAGGTAGTGATAGGCGTGTACTGTTCGACATCCTGGGGACGAGGTTGGCAGATATCTATATGCTCTTAAGGTTTTCTTAGACCATCCCCCCATGTTATAATTGTCGGTGCATTTTGCTCCATTTGCCTATGTCCAGTATTATGTTACGTTGCTTTCTGAAATAACCTCGGTTACTACTTTTGAAATATCTCTTCAAGCAAGTAAGGTGTAATAAATACAAAAGATACTGATGGAATAACGGCGTTATGTAATGAGATTTGAGGTCAACACCCCCCTTGCTCCAAAAACCATCCCACTGTTTAGAAATTTGTAATACATGTAATCACACTGTTTCAGCCCGTTTAAAATTAAGACTGATTTTGAAGCAAGGGAAAACAAAATACTGAGCCCCACCAAACTGAGATTCAAGCCTATAAGCATCCAATGAATGATGTTTGAATGAAGGTCCTAAATTCTGTTCGTAGAAAGTGGGGAGACAGCTGGTCATTATTTCACCCAAAAATAGTGTTTCAGTTCTTTGGACCCTCTTAAATATCTTGCATTGTTTTAAAGGCTGAACTCGGAGAGGAAAAACACAAGTGGGGAAACAATGGCTCAGACTGAAATCAAGACCAACAGGGAAACATTCCAAAGCTGTGATTTCTTCACCGTTTCATTTATTACTCAAACAGACCCGCACTGGGCCAACGATTTTACACCACTATGGGATATTTGGTAGCTCGTCTCAATCTTTATACAAATCGAAAGATTTTGACCGGTGACAGTTTGTAACTAATCACGGTTTTGAAGGGTTGTAACGTGTATGAGGTTTTGAGTGACTGATGTTCTTGACGATTGAGGACTGCATCTATTTAGCAGCGGCTGCGGCCTTCTTCGCTTTCTTCAGCTTGTTCACCTCACCGTTGATGATGCGAGTCCTCTGCAGAAAAAAAAGTGTGAAATGGGAAAAAGAAAAGAGATTAACAAGAGAAAAAACGAAGACTAGGTTTTTCTAGTCAAGCTGGACATGAAAACCTCAGTCATTATCTGTATTCTGTGGGGTGCTGTGGTCCAATGGTTACGGTGTTCGACTCGTGTGCCGTGGTACATGGGTTCCAATCCTGTCCGTGGGAACATGGTGCTTGTGCTCTTGAGCAAGGCACTTTACCATTATTGCTTCGTCCTTCGGATGGGACGTTAAGCCGTAGGTCCCGTGTGTTGTGTAATGCACGTTAAAGAACCCAGTAACACTTATTGCTAAGAGAAGGGGTTTGCCCCGGTGTTTCTGGCAGTGGCTGCTTAATGTGCTGCAGCACCTTGTAAACCTTATAAAGGTGCTACATAATGGTTCTCATGTACTTCATTTACCTGTCTCTAATAATAGACAAAATTTCCAGCGCCTTGAGTACCTAATTGTTGGTAGATACGTGCGCTATATAAGAATTTGGTATTATTATTATTATTCTGTGACCCAATCAGTCAATAATTCAGTCAGTCAGCAAATCGGCCCGTCAAAAGAAATCAGGCGAACCCTTCAGCCCCAGCAATTATAAACCACAAAGACAATATGACAATAGCCATACCTGGATGGGACATATGTAAACAATAAGTGAACAAATCTTAGCCGAATATATATCTGATTTGCAAAATATTTCTGCCTTTTTTAAGACCGAGAGAAAGATAATTTTGCCCCTCTTGTAGTACAAGCCTAAACACAACAAATTTGTTCAACAGCACCTTAACTATCCTAAATAATTGTCTAAAAAAATGATAGACTGCCAGTGACATACCTTTTTCTTGGCGATCATGAGCTTGTAACGGTCAAAATCTGTCATGTTGGCTTTCTGGAAAGGTTACCAAAAAATAGAGAAAAAGGTTAAGAAACAAATTTAATATTAACTTTTACATACTTATATCAGGCATGCAACTGGGAAGTCACAAAAAAAGAGGAAATTCACATCTTTCCAAGACTTTGTACAGTGTTTTTCTATTTTCAATGGCACACATGGGAAATGAAAAAGAGGAAATCAGCTGATCTGAGGAAAAGTTGCATGCCTGTTATATATAAGATGTTTATCGCATGATTTGAGACAAAATATGCCGAGCAATACTTTCAAATTTTAAAATATTTGAGTATTCCATGGCGCTTTCAAGTTAACTACTTGTACAAAGGTTTGCAACTCTTTTCCTGGAGGAGGGGAGTTTCAATCTGCATTTTTAGAATGTGATGGGGTTTGCCACAGATTGCAAGTAGCTTTTGTGACAATTTCTGCTAGGCCTGCTCAACCAAACCGAAAAGCAACACCTGATTACACTACAGGGCTGGTCATATTCAATGCTGCACACAATAAGCTGGTTCTGTATTTCAATGACCCGAGGTCATTCGGGATAACATCGCTGACGTGATGTTACGCAATGATACGCGCACGCCCATTTTGCTGGTAATTTACATGCAAGCCTCCTGCACCCGTGTTCATGCGCCTTCTAAACGTTCATCTAACCTGAATGACCCATGACCTTTATCATTGTGCCTATGCGCAGTTGAAATACCGAACTGGCTTATTACAGTGTCAAAAGTGTTTTGAAAAGGGGGCGATGGAACCCTTCCACGGTTCCCTTCCACTTACTCTCTTCTTGGCATCCAGCTTTCTGGCCCACGTGGTGGCACGCCACTTCTTGTCAATCTCGGCCTTCTCCCAAGCGTTGCGGACCGTGCCGGTGCGGGCGGAGTGCGGGATGCGGATCTTGAAGGCCGTCAGGTGAAGCTTCTTCAGACGAATCTGCTGACGAGGGAAACGGGTGCACGGGCCATCCACTAGCGCCTGAAATGAGGTACACAAACATCAACATGCGGTAACTCTTTTATGTTTAGAAAAAAAACCGCGACAAATGAAACTTGAAAACATATTTACTACGGGAAATGTAAATGGTCTTGTTTACAAATAGATTGGCGCGGACATCCAGGAACTTCTGAAATCTTGTTCCCAGACCCGTTTTCATAAAAATGAACGGTTCTTGAGTCTGGGGTGCTGAGTGGTAACACGTATGAAACACACGTGCTAATGAAAAGATGTTTTTATCAGCTGAAGTAGTACCACACTGCCCTATAGTCAGTTTATCAGTAACCTTAACCCTAATAGAACTCAACCCATCAAACCCCAACGGCATGTTTTGTAGGAATCTGTCAGGATGGGTACAGTACACAGTCTTTTACATTAGGTTGGCACACCTCCAGAAAAACCAAGTCAGAAATAGGTGGGTGCAGTTTTCCATATGGTGTTGGAATTTGTCAGGAAGGGTATGGTTCCTAGTAAATCATGCTGGGGAGTTAGGTTAAGGTAATTCTTGCCAAATCTTTACCCTTTTCTGGTCGATAACGTCAACGATGGCGCATAGCTTGCCCCTGTTCCTGCCAACGGCCACAAAGGCCACGCGGCCGATCTCCACAAAACGTTCAAAAACCTGCAACACAACCAAGAAAACACATCAACATCTGTTATGATGAATTATATCACGGGTGTGGATGAAAAAACAAGCATTGTAGTTTATAAACAAAACTTTACAGTGACCAGTCAAACTTTGAATTATTTTTTTCTTGAGTACTTCCCCCCCCCCCCAAAAAAAATCTGTTACCCACTTCACCTATTAATGCATAGAATATACGAAATATAATTTGGAAATATATGTCAGATTTTAAACTTATAAAATTAAAAAATAATGTTGATTTTTTTTTTCAAGGATCGTGATTGGTCAGTGTTGGAGGCATGAACCTGAAATCTTCATTCTGATTGACCAATATTTGAAGTTTTGAACATTTAATAAACAGACAAATGCATATAACTTCAGATTTCTTCCTCTGCTGAATTCAAACTACTGCCATAGAAACTTTGCCCCTATAGTTTGCCCCTATACTCCGTACTTTACCTCTTGACATACTCACGTATCATGGGCAGAACTAACATAGGTGGATTCTGTCGGTTTTTAGGCCAAAATGATGAAAAATATGCCCTTTCCGCACTGAGCCAACCGAACACTTGAAACGTGCACACATATGATCGAGCGATGATTTTCGGTTCGCTCGGAGCGCGCCGCGGCGGGTACGGTACATGCACTTGTACGCATGCACATACTATCATTTCGCCTGTACCGTACCCCCCGCGGCGCGCTCCGAGCGAACCGAAAATCATCGCTCGATCATATGCATGCACGTTTCAAGTGTTCGTTTGGCTCAGTGCGGAAAGGGCATATTTTTCATCATTTTGGCCTAAAAACCGACAGAATCCACCTATGTTAGTTCTGCCCATGATACGTGAGTATGTCAAGAGGTAAAGTACGGACTATAGGGGCAAACTGTGCAGCGGTTCTGTGTGAAATGTCTGCATTTTGATGGACGTTTTTGTACTTTATTAGTGTTTTGTGCTGCAGACAATTTTGCGGGCTTCTACATCTATGAGGCTCCGCTCACGCGGAGCCTCATAGTTCTAGGAGTAGGTGAAATCTGATATTTTTGTTGGGCAATGTTGGGTTTTGGGTCAAGGACAAAGTTGTGTCTACCGACTGATGCGGTTAAGCTTGGACCCTACTATCGCTAAACCATTTCCGAATGTTAATAAGGCGATTACTTGGGTCCAAGTTACTCGGACTAGTCATGCTAGTAATTTTGTGACTTTTGTGTAATAAAATGTGCCTTTCTTACCTTTTTGACCCTCATGGCACTCGGAACATAACAGTGTCTTTTTGTTCTCTTATATTGAAGGGTGTCTAAACTACACAATTACCAAAAATGTCATTCGTGGTTAAATAATGTCATTTTATAAAAGTGTAAAATGTATGTATGCAAAGCCTATGCAAATATCCGTCCGGAAACTGGGCAAAGTACTACAGGCATTTGCATGCAATTTTTCCCCACTGTTTCGGCCACTAAAAAAACGTACCAAAATACACCTCTTAATTCGAACATACAGATTTTCAGTCACAGTTCTACCACTACTATGTCTTTTTAGGTTCCTGTACATAAGAAATAAGATACGGCAACAAAAACATTTCCGCTACAATCGCACAAAATTCGGGGCAAATTGTCGACCATGCTTTACCATGATTTGGGGTCGGCGTGAAAGAGACCGAGGTGACGTCACGTTCTCTACAACTTTTGACCAAGAGAGGGCGGTATTGCGCAAAAATAGTGTCTACTTTGAAAACAGAAAGTTGAACACTGTTGTTGTGTTGAGTGTTGTTGAACATGCCTTCCAAAAAGTGCCACTTACGCCCTTCTTTTGGCGATTTGTGCGCGAATTCAGAGAGATATGTTATCCTTTTAACATTTGAAGATGTTTGTGGTGAGCAATATTGCCTTCTTTGCTTGTAACTAGTATAGTTATATGACTAGTTTAAGTTTTTTTTTTGGCATGGTTGGGGGGGGGGGGAGATTTGCCCTCCCTTGGCCTTACTTCGTCTTCCTTGACCTTCCCCTTTGTCCCCCCCCCCCAACCCATGGAGCTATAAAAACCTGACGCCACTTTTTTTTTCATAGGGCCTATATCATGTAGATCAGTCATTGCATAAATTTAGAAAAGACAGGAATCTGAGACTGAAAAACGTTTCCAATTTTGTTAGAAAATAGGCCCCGTAATTAGAAAATTTTCTTGACTCTCAAAGATTTTGTGCACAAGTCAATCTTTTACACATAAATATGTATATGAATGTTTGGTACATTGCCCCCCCCCCCCTCCCCCTCCCTGTCAAATGACGTCGTCAAATGGTGTCGTCAAATGGTGTCGTCAAATGATGTCTAGGGCCCCCCCCCTCAACTATCACTTTTTCCATGACCGGTGAATTGTCTATGCTGCCCCCCCCCAAAAGAAATTACTTCTTTGTCAAGCACCGCACCTGAACTGAAAATGAGCATGCAGAATGGTGCACATAAAGAGCGGTAGAGGACTTGCGTTGTGTGAGGGCGCTATAGCGCTTTATGCAAGCTCTCTAGATATTCCCACATTTTTACTTTTGTTTCAAATGATGTTTGATTTGATATATTTTCCCAAACATCATTCTTACAATAAAGCCGAAGTTTGCACTTGGTCAGGCCCTCGTGACTAAACAATAAAATTTAGATTGAACAAAAAAGAAGAAATAAAGCACTTCAAGTTAAAAATACATATATATAAAACTTAGTTAAAAATACGTATATATAAAACTTAACTAATTATGAGTTATTACAGAAATGTTATATTTTTAATTTTACTGGCAGGTGCTACTCGTGAATCTTCAAGTTCATTCCTGCAAGAAGTCTTCACAAACCTTTCACAAATCAACCATAAAAGTGGTAAGAATGTTGCACCCCAACTATTGCAATTGCCCCAACTATAGTTGGGACAAACCCTACTATAAGTATAATTGGGATCGTTCAAACTATACTTGGGTTGATGCTATGTTGGGGCGTATTGAGAATCATTTAAAAGCTGTACTACAAATAACTCCAGAAAATGTTTGTTTTTTTCAAAGATAATAAACAGACTGGATAACAATAATCTGTATTTCACTTTTCTTATCTTTTCAGATAAGCTCAGCATTCCACAAAGAAGACACCGCTTTGCCATCGTGGATCCCGCCTCCTGCCAAAACACAGATGCTGATTGGCTGACAGTAGATGATTTGCATACAGGCTCCGCCTCTACAAATGGCAGGAGGGCGTCTGGCAGAGTTGATGGTTTGCCAGAAGGGCAGGACAATTCGGACAAGAGGGAAACTGATGAGATTAACACAGGGTGAGTTATAAAATGCCCAAATATAAGTAGCAATTTTATAATTAAACCCATTCTCAGAGATGATACTATTGTTATAAGGAATTACAGTCAACTGACGGGCTCAAATTAGCAGCCCGTGAAATTGGCCCAGTAATCTATCCAAAAAAGTTGATTTTAAAAAGGTAGTGGCTATCGTTACGTCGGCCGTAACACAATTTTCATCTGCTATCGTTACAGCATTGTAAAAACACCATTGCGAATCTATGTTACATTTATAACTGCCCTTCCAAACAGAGTGCTTTGGCAGCTCGATTGGTTAAATGCTCAACCACTGCGCCGAAGGTCTCGGGATCAAATCTGCACTGTGCCAAACTTGTTTTCCTTTTTCCCCCTTCTTTTCATAGTTGGCTGTTTCGGCACTTTTGCCGAAACAGCCTTTGTTTTCGTTAAGATTTTTATTTTTTTCTTTTATTGTTTTTTTTTTAGCAGGTGTCGGGTTACGCCACATTAAAGATGCATTTTTCCCCATAGGGTTTGTACACATTTTAAAACGCTCCATTTTGGCACTTTCGTGCATCCATTCGACGTTACACTTAATACACACTTAGACCATCACCCACAGATGGTCCTAGAAGAAATTTGTGATCGTGACGTCATCAGGTGTCACGTTACTTCACATTAAAGATGCACATTTTCCCCTTTGGTTTAGTACATGTTTTAAAACGCTCCACTTTGGCACTTTCGTAAATTCGATGGACTTTATACTTGGTACACACTTAGACCACTACCCATAGATAGTCATAGAAGAAAGTCGTCATCGTGACGTCATCAGGTTTCAGGTTACGTCACATTAAAGATGCATTTTCCCCATAGAGTTTGTACACGTTTTAAAACACTCTACTTTGGCACTTTCGTAAATGCGATCCATGTTAGACTTGGAACACACTTAGACTACCACCCACAGATGGTCTTAGAAGAAAGTCGTCATCGTGGCATCATGAGGTGTCAGGTTACATTACATTAAAGATGCATTGTTTCCCTATTGGTTTTGTACACATTTTCTTCAAACTGATACACTTTTTCACTTTTTCACTTTTTATACATGTGTGTCTGATTGATTGTCAGACACTAGTAAGACCAGCAGCCTAAGGTGGTCCCCAATGAGTTCATAACGATGACGTCATCATGTGTCACGTGACGTGACATTAAATTAGCATTTCTTCGAATCGCTTTAACTTCGAAAGTACAAGTCCGATTGGATTAAAACTTGGTATGCACATTCACAGGGATGGTTTATAGATGAAAATTGAAGTGACATCATCATCAAATGTCATATGACGTCCCTTAAAGGGGCATTTTATTCTTTTATAGGCCTATATCTACTGAACTATAATGTTGGATTTGGTTTAACTTGACATGTACGTATTATAATGTGCTGTTATATAGATGACATTTACAGTGACGTCACTGATTGTTCGTCACGTGCACAGAGTATTTCAAATATCCGAAACAGCTTGTGTTTGTACACAAACACATTTCTAGTTTTTTTTGTTTTTTTGGTTTTTTCCTTCTTTTTCAGCCATTCCTCATGTAGCATTTGTACACGTTTTTACACTTTGGGCTCTAAAATCAATCCGATTGACTTTATACTTGGCACACACTTAGACCAGCATCTGAAGATGTGCCCCGAAGATTGACGTCACGGTGACGTCATCGACTAATTTATTATAGAATTTTGAATATTTAATTTTTGACTTTGTACACAGAAATTTTAAAAAATTGTCGATTTTCAAAGGGCATGTTTGACTCTTTGCCAGTAATTCTTTTGCACCAATCTTTGTCCAAGCATAACTTTACAGCAGTTATCAAAGGTACAAAACCGTGATTTTGTTTATTTCTTGTACAGTAAGTCACAACATTTATCTTTAAAGTTGATGGCAAGATGTAACAAAACAATTGTTGACTGCTGTGATGTGAGACATGACATTTATTTACTCCCGAGAGAAGCAGAGCACTTGAGTAGGCGCTGAGCGTACTACATGTGTTCTCGCAGATTTTTTTCAGTCATCCCCCCCCCCCCAAAAAAAAGGTTGCTGACAATTTTTAAGGGCTGTACATCACAACCAGGAACCGTTCTGGGTACCAGACCGCTGATGTCAGGATTGGAACCCGTTCCAGATTATGGGATCGAGTATCCGTACCCAACTTTACAAATTACTACTAAGTGACTTCTCCGACAATAAAAAAGAAAGGTTTTGTTTGTCATTTGTGGGGAATTTTCTAGATGAAAGCCAGGCTGCATGGCAAACCAAAACACATTTCATGTTTACCACGCACGCAAAAGTTGCAATTTACACCGTAAGGCCAAAAAAAAAAAGTCTCCAGTTTCTGGTATGCGTGCGCGTCACCGTAGCCATGCGCGTCAGCAAAATGAAAAAGTATTTTTTCAACGAAAGATGATGTCTCAAAGCCGCCAAACTCACTGGTTGGACTGGAATCCTGCTGCTGCACAATTTTATCGTGTTTTTAGATGGGGTTACGATCGAGAATAAGCTTTATGTGGCCTCTCTGGACTCCCATATATTTGCACTAAGATTAGTCAGGCACTATTTGCAGTCATCAGCTGACATTTGAAAAAAAAAAAACGGTAAAAAAAACCCCCAAAAAGTCAGGTCTCCGCACCACTTTTTGGGCAAGCTCCATACCAAAAACTGGAGACTTTTTTTGGCCTAAAGCTATAAGCAATGATAAAGCTTACTGTACACACTTGTATCTTGCTGTGCTGACGCAGCAATGTGGCCGTGGTAGTAGTATCATGCGAACCTTTATGAACAATCTTAACAGCAGCTTCCAAGATTTGAATTTTAGGATTGGGTTTCTTTAGCGGGTCATTACCCAGGTACCAATGGCTTTTTTTCAATTGGGTACCCGGTTCCCATACAACCCGTAAATGCACACCGACTTCACAAGCTTTTACTTCACAATAACAGTGGTGTCTGTAATATATTATGCCAGAGACCTGTTCTCTCCGAACAATTATTATGGGACAAAGGACATGTTTGTCCAAACTGCTTCAAAATGTATATGGCCCGGGATTTTTTTGGCACTAAAAACTATCGCTTGGCTGCAGGTAGTTCTGCCACGCCTACTGACCCAGGTACATACAGGTCATATGAATAATTCTTATCATAACAATTCTAATCATCTATAAGGCCCAAAAAAAAAAATACTTGGTCTCTGGTCAGCGCGCGCGTCGATTTTAATCATGCGCATCAACCTTTTTTTTCCTTCAAATTAACACGGAAGCTACAACAAGGCAAATGATAAAGGGCACCAAGGCAAATTATGGAGGACACCAATGTATAATGAGGACAAAAAAAGCAAAATAGTACCCACCTTGTCTGTACAATACAAGCTTGAAAAAAAAAAAAAAGCCACAAAAAAAAGTGTCGCCACGTCAATTCCGGAACTTTGGTCTGACAAGAGACCGACTATTTTTTTTTGTTGGCCTTATAAATGATTATACACATGAACGAATCTGTCTCACTGCCAATGGCAATTATTCATTATGTATTCTGTATGTACCTGAGTCAGTAGGCGTGGCAGAACTACCTGCAGCAAAGCGATAGTTTTTAGTGCCAAAAAATTCCCGTTTTCCATCAAATGTTTTCTTTGGGAGACGGCAGTAGTTATAAATGTGAAGAAAAACTTGTCTTCAGGGGGATTCTGATTGTTTACCCGGACTTCAGTGCTGACTTTGTCGGCAAGATGAATCTGAAAAAAAATGCAGCTGTGACGTTGAAGTAATAATTTGAGATATGGTCAATTAATCCTGCACTTATGTTATCTATGGAAATCCAGGTATATTTGCGTGTATCTGGTCTTGGGCAATACTGCTTGAGGTTGAGATTGGCAATTGCTGTTGGTCTCTGGCCTTGGTGGTGGCGGCTGAGGGTGATTGAGTGCCGCTTAACTGCTGCCAGGCTACGCGATGCGTAGTCTGTGAGTGGTTTGGGGACTCATCACAATACATTGGCATAATATACATGCACAATGTATTGCAATGCAATCTAAAGATAGAACTTCAAAATTCTCTAGAATTACTACTCCCAGACACTCCAGCTAGGACTGTCGTTAATATTTCTTACCCAGACTTCAAGCTCAGACATATTGCAAATTTACTTGATACCATTAATTTCTATCAGAAATTAATTTGTCATATTGTGTCTTGATACTGTAAATTCATTGGTCTAAAACTGTCACGTATCTAGGCTATAAAAATGACTGTTTACCTCCGATACATCGCATTTCACATACAATTGTAAATTACCTCATTTGGTACACTGACTTGCTCAGAATGCTTGGCACATTTTAACTTTGAATTCTCCAGACCAAATACACTGTTGCTCATCACATGATTCAGGGCAAGCTCTTGCATAGTTACGTAAGAAACGCTCAGCATCAATACATTGTTCACAATGGGTGAGAATGGCACAAAGACACCAGACCATGCCAGTGCTGAGCTGGGGATTGCTAGAATAAGGCTTGCCCCGAATCACGCGATATAGTAACAGTCTCTTTGGTCTGGAGAATGCAAAGTTAAAACGTGCAAAGCGTTGGATTTAGTCAGCGTTCCAGATTTCATTCAAATTTAACTCGCAAATGGCTTAAATTGCTGCTACATATTTTACATACTTAAGACGTGTGCGAAGTTTTAGGCGAATGAAGTCATCAGACCGGAATTTATAATAAAAAGACCCTTTTTCATTTGAAAATTCCTGAAAAATTAACCATGGCAGTTTTTATGTTATTTTTTACTTTAATTGTCGATTTAAGGGTAGGTCTAAAACATTTCAAAGCTTCGAGGCAATAAGCGAACTCAGACATGCCCTGCGCACGTTTAAAACTTCAGGTTGACAATACCTCTGCTTTAAAACATGCACAGAACGTCTATATGTACATACACGTACAATGTACATTACGCACATACATGTACATCGTATGTCAGTCAGCCTGCAGAGCACGTGTTGCCGGGGTCAAAATCTGGCCACATCACAGTGACCGTTTTAGCCGATTTTCGGCTAACTTTGACAGATTTGATGTTCATGCATGCGCATAGTTAGGGACGTATAATAAAAAATCATAATGCCGAAACACCCTATGTTTGTCCACAAACATATGTCTAGTTTCGTTTGATTTTATGTTTTTAAACAAATAGTCCTTTTTATTGAAGTATTTTAAAAGGGAAACTAAAGTCCAAGAACCATTCAGTTGATAGTCTGGTTCCAAGAGCCAAAGATGTTGAATACTATTAGGTCAGGGAACCAGATGGTCGACTGCCATAACGATAGCCACTGCATTATAAACAAAAATGGTAAATTTTCAATTGAATATTCAGTAAAACTCGTCATTGAAATTAATTTCACTGTGATTGTCCTTTCCCAGTGGACTTGACGTCGCATTTTCTGAAGCGATACATGCCTTGGCAGACAAACTTCCTCTTACTGGTAAGAAAACCAATAGCTGGACTCTTAAATGCACTGATTATTTTTTAACTGACTTTTTTGTGCTTAGACTGTACTGGTTCAATCATCAAAATAGTAATTAAAGGAATTATTTTTTTTAAGTGCCATATTGTTGGTTTTAAAAAGACAAATGGTATAAATATGAGGTTTTAAAAATTTAGAAGCAATAAACAGTAAAGGCGGGATAGCTCAGTTGGTAGAGCACCGGAACGGCAATCCGGAGGTCGCAGGTTCAAACCCCGCTCCATTCAACTTTGAAAATTCTACCAAAAGTAATACAAAGTTGAATTTAGGATTCCATCAGTAAGTTCAAACATTTACATTAATTTGTATTAATTTGTATTTGAAATGTTTAGTTTTAGTATTGAAACATTTTCTTTTATATTTTCTTCAATTTTTTTTTCCATTTTGTTGCAGGGCATTATTTGGACATCATATGGCTCACTACAACCAGTACAGATGTGCCAATCACAAGTCACATTTCACTCTACGGAGCTCTGCAGCGACTGTGCTCCTGGCATGCAGGCCTCCTCACCGTAGTCTGTGAGGACGCCACCCCTGACAAACCCCTCAACGATACCCTGAACGAATGGGTGAACCATCTGCAGGGGAGGGTGGTGAGGGGTGGGGATTGGTTTGCTGAGGCTGTGGGTCAGGGTATGGCGTGGCGGGGTGAGGTCACGCTAGCAGATGGAAAGGTTAGACAATGTCTTGAATCTTTGTCAATAGTATGTTTGTTTGTTTGTTTGCCTATTTGTCTGTTTGTCCTTTAAATGGATGGTTGTTTGTTTGTCTGCTTGATTTTATATTTATTATCGCAGTGTCTCAGTATTGCTCTCCATCATGATCCTACTTCAGATTACGAGGGGGTAACTTTGAGCATTTCAGGTTTTATGCAGTGGCAGTAAGGAGCATTCCAAGTAACTGACCTGCACCCCATTTCATGAAACTCCTCATAATGCACTGCAGCGCTGCGACACGTCGTATCCCTACAATGCGTCGCAGCTGCGACGCGTCCTGCGATCCATTTCACAAAACACGTCGTAAGTGGGACGCGTTGTAGATGTATTTATAGCACAACTCGGTGACTGTTTTATGTACTACTTATTCAGCGTACAGTAAATAGTCATCTGATATTCAACAAAGAGTCGTCAGATTTCCTCTCGAAAAGTTTTAAAACGTTTAACAAAATGGCGGACGTGTGATGCAATTTTAATGGAAAACAAGCTCTCAGTGGACTGTTTAGCTACTTTGAAAGCCAATCTGTCAAGCAGTTTAAGGGTCACATCTGGGGTTTTTAACTGAAAGCTGAGGCTTTATAATATTCGAAGTTGCTTTCACAACTTGTCAATTACATTGAAGTCAGTTCTTAATCCAATGTACTTCTTTTTCTTTTTTTAAGGGACAGAAATCTCTTTGCATTCCAGGATTAGTCTTGAGTTCAAGACCCAACGACGACTCAGCAATTCAGGTTTCCACATCGGCTGACACCAGCACTTGTTTGTCCCCACAAGGGAAGCCATCCAAATCACATGCAGCCAAGAAGGTAGAATCCATTCAACACGCTCATTTCCTTACATTGTCTATGTTTTTTTACCTCTCACCAATCAAGTAAAATCTCCCAGTATTTGATGGATTTTGGACGTAATATTCTGATAAGGGGTAGAGAGTAAGCCATAAATTCAAAAATCTTTTCTAAGCAACCTAACTTTCATTAAAAATGTCTGGCCTCAGTGTTGTTTCTCTTTTTTTCTTCAGATTGTTACATTTTCAAGACAATTAGAGGTCGTCTGTTCCGTCCGTCGAGCAGATGTTCCGAGCATATTTGTTTCTCCATTACAATTCTCATTGTATCCTTTTGTCATTTATCCTCCAATAAACCAGCCGTTTTTGCAATGAAATTCCATTTTGCACAGTGGCCATTGGAAAAAGCACTGACCGTAATAAATATATCATTGATTGAGAGCTTTAAGTTAAGACTCTTGGCTCAATCTTTAAGTCTGAACAAAATATTAATATTGAACAAATATCAGACAATGCAATTTTTTTTTACAACTTTGTTATTTTTTGGTGCTTAATTTGACAATTAAATCAAATTTTGTAAATAAGGATTTTCGGTCTGAACTTTTTGGGACCCTTATAGCTCTCAACTAACAATTTACAGAAATCTTTGGTATCATTTTCTGGTCAATTTTCTTTAAAAAAAAACTGTAATGCTTATATAGCACTTTCTATCATATCAACAATCTCAAAGCAAATACAATTATTCCCCCGTTCATCAGACCACGAGACCACGCGGCAGCCGATATCAGCGCACATTCGGTCCTTTACCCTCACAGGTACCCATTTATACACCTGGGTGGAGAGAGGCAATTGTAGTTAAGTGTATTGCCTAAGGGCACAAACACCATGTTCCTGGCAGGCTTCGAACCCACGTACCATCATACATGAGTAAGAAACCGTAACCACTGGACCAGGGCATTCAAAATGTTTAATTTAGAATTGCACTTTTCATTTGGTAGTTTGACCTTAACTTTTAACCCCTGACCCAGACACTGTCTACCCAGTAGCAGACTGCCCAGATCCGAGCACTTCTTGCATTGGTTGAGGGAGATCAGCCAATCACACGACTCGACTGTGATCATGAGACTTCCCTGTAGGACACTCACGCCAAACACTCGCTCCAATCGCAACGCCAGGCCGATCAGTACAAAGGCTTGGAAAGAACATGTCAAGACTTGTGCTGGTGATTTGAAAGGTAAAACATTTGGACAAGAAATGTGTTGGAAAAATTTCAAACAATTCCGAATAATGTGTACATGTCATGCGAGAAGGATTTCAAACTTGTAAGGATGTCTCTTCAGTTTACAAAAAAATCTTGAAATATAGAAGCTTAATGACTGTACTGGGGGAAGTGCAGAAATTGTAAAAAATTTAAAAATTGAAAACTTTCTATGGAACAAATTTTGCATTTTTCCCCTTATTGTTATGTTCTGTCAACTGAGCAAAATTCACATTGTATTTATGATTGAACCAGATAGGCTATTAATAAAAGATTGCAAGAAACAAAATCCAATTTCAAGATGGGACCCTCCAGTGCAAGTAACAATAATTTCCTCACTACTTATTCTATTTTTTCCTGAAGCAGTACCAGACTTGCATCTTCATGAGACGCAGGAGTTCTTCTACCTTCTGGTACATTGTGATGGAAAACACAGTCAAGATCTCGTAGCACAGGTCATGTACTCGCCTCGTGATCTGAGCGGAGACGTGCATGCACAGCTAGCAGAGTACCAACAGTCACTCACATTCGATGGTTAGTTATTTTGAGATCAATCCGTCAATTTTGTTTGAATGGAAATTTCAAGAGTTGTAGTCATGTCATCACAAGTCAAGCACAAGCTTATCACATGTCAATCACAAGCTGATCACATGTCAACCAACAGCTGATCACATGTCAATCACAAATCAAACACTTAGTCAATCAACAGTCAAATGAAAGCTACCACAAGTCAATCGCAAGTCAATCACAAATTAATCACAGGTCAAAATTCTCAAAGTGGCTGCCGTTGCTTGTTATTTTACCTATATTTTTTTCAAAGGACAAATTAATCTTCGATGGCCCTATAGCCAGATATCTTTCTCATGACATACTCTGACTGTGTGCCAAATGCCATGCTTGTATCATCAACGGCACAATCCCATCACCTATCTGCCGTACTAACTTACTCTTTAATAGTTTTGATTTTTCATTTAATGTGCATGGATTTTCATTGAGTTGTTTGTTCATTATGTTGCTTGTGCATTCGTCTTTGGAAGTGGTAACCTGCTCATTAATTATAAATTCACTTTACTTATAATTTTCTCAGTGACATATCACTTTTATATCATTTATCTTTTCATTTGTGTGTGGGCACGTGTGATCTAGCGGTGGAGCACAGGATTCATGATCGTTAGGTTGTGGGTTCAAGCCCCTCCGTGGTCATGCGTGTTGTGCCCCTGAGTAAGGTGCTTTACCTCAATTATCCCTCTCAGCCCAGGTGTTAAATGGGTACCGGCATTATTCAATGCTGGGAAGGTAACAGATTCGCTGTGGAGGAGGTGTGGCGATCCCCCCACAGCAACATATGAGTCTGGCCCAATCGCTAACGAAAGAGAGATGGGCACTCTGTTTCTGTAAGCACAGGTTTGCCCCTTTACTTTTTTTTTTTTTCCATTCGCCATTGTGATTTCCAATCGGAACGTTTTCTGTGAACAATTACATTTTCCAGACCTCCTGGGTGCTGGAACGACACTGAAGACAGTCCCAAGCCTAGAAGGTCATCAAGTGCAGACATTACTGGAAACCATCAAGTTAGCTCAAGCTGAGGCGATCAAAGCTTTCCTGGGTAAGTCTTGGAAGACGTTTTGTCTCAATCCTTGCAGAACCTGAATTTTGAAATGTTTACGTCGAAGGTTGGAAATGTGACATGTATGTGAATATTCGTGTTCACATTCCTTGCAGGTAAAATTTCATTGATGAAAAAAATACAAAAGAGGCCTGTTTTTGCCTTTCTGTTAACTCGACGGAAAACCTTTTTTCTTTCTTTTATATTTACACTGAGAATATTGAAAGTGATATTGGCCATGTCATGACGCTTGCCTTCCTCAGTTGCAAAGGCAGAAATGTTTGGTTTTTAGGTCTAAAGTACAGTAACGAAATCCAAATTTTTTTTTTCTTAGGTAGGGATTCAAAATCTATCTGTCAAAATTTTGATTAATTTTAAAACAACTATTTGTCCTGACAGAGGAGAGGAAGTCAGAAGGCAGGGAACCGGCCATGACCATTGGTGAATTACAGCAGCTGATGGGAACCGTCTATTCCATTGCCATGGCAGAAATGGGTGAACTCTCAAAAACAAACAAAGTGGATGATGACAACGATGTTGAGGAGGACTTGAGAAATGAAAATGTCATCTCGGGTAAAGAAGTTATGATAAAATTATTGAATTTTGTGTAATACTCTTGTGATTGGCAGTAGTTTTGATGTTGGAGATTTCGTGTCCAAAAATGACCTTACAGAAGTTTGCAGTTCAGCGCTTAGTTTGTCTTGAAGTTGATAGTAACTCTCATTAACTATTAATTGGGGAATCAGGTTGGCGTAGCGGTACTTTCCTCGCCTTCCACCGCTGTGACCCGGGTTCGAATCCCGCCCGGGCCAATATGTGGATTGGGTTTTCAGTCCCTGCCTGATTCCGTGGGTTCTCCCCAGAATATTCTTCTGGGCTTTTCCTCCCACCTCTCAAACTGTGATATCTTCTCATTGTCTACTCTCTACAGGTTTCGTCAGGCTTGCGAGCTACAGTGCCTAGGGCGCTTTTGAGGAATCCTTGGTTTCATTACCAGAAAGAAAAGAAATAGATTAATTTGCCCAGTGGTCAGAGTTTAATGCAAATAATCGCTTTGGACGGTTTCCACACAGAGTTGGATTGTAGCCCGTCCGGCTGGCTGCAGAAACTGGCTTTGCAGAACCACGAGGCTTTGGAGAGGAAAATCAAACGTTTCAAGTCAGGCGAGATGATGCTTGCTGGGATGGCTGTACCTGCTCCTGCAGATAACAGTGAGCATTGGCTGATGTGACCTCTATTGACCTGTGACCTCTATTGACCTGTGACCTATTGACCTGTGATCATGATTTACATGTTACTTAGGCCGTGTTCAAAGTACTTGGCTACGACTGGGAATTACACACGTGCCTATGGCAGCGGCTGCAGCCTCTTCCCATAGACCAATGCGTTATTTCTAGCCATAGCCAAAGTAATTTGGACGTAGCCTTAGAGCGACTTGTTACCCTGATTAACCTGTGACCTTGATTAATGTGTGACCTTGCTTGACCTACGACCGTGATTGACCTGTGACCTTGATTAACCCATGACATTGTTGTTCCATACTAAAGCCTTGGCCTATTTGCCTTAAAGGGAAAATACAACATTTGCAAACATCGAAAAATAAAACTACCAAGTTGTTACGAAATACCTTACTAGGATGTTGGTAAATGACATGCTTAAGCATCCTGTGAAATTATGGCACCTGGTGTGAAGCCATTTTCAAGAAAATGGTATATTTGTATACATTTCCAACACTGGTCGGCCGACCACCGTTGGAAAAACAGTAATTATTTGTCAATTACTGCTCCAAATTTACCATTTCTTTTTTTAGTCTAAATTTTGTTTTGCTAGCTATTGGTTCCATGTTCATGAACGGGTGCAGGCCAGCTAGACTGGTTCCCTTACCGTACAATTTCCTGGTATTTTTTTATCTATTTCATCTTTAGTGGAGTCAGGGAACCAGACTACTTGAATCTTTTTGTTTTGTTTGGTTTTTCCAGCATTTTCGAACACAAAACTTCAAACATGTCAGTGTAACAATATTTGATCTATTATACTAACCCCCCAAATAGTTCATTTCTGAAAATTACAGCAAAAGCCAATGATGTACATTCCCTTTAAACTGTGGGTGTTTTCCTTCAGAAATGATTATGAAGAAGTTACAAATTTTGGTGATATTAGCCTTTTCTTTTTAGTCAACACCATAGCAGCCATGATTTGAGTCTGTTTATGTTCATGATGTATATGATTGTGGCTTAGAAATTTCTGGGCATGTATTTAAACTTTCAGAAATGTTATTACCTTGGTTATTCTGTTATCAGCTTGCAAAAGATGCCAGTAACAAATATGTGTCAAGTTTTAATATTCTTCTGTGTTGTTTTCTTTGGTTAGCTATCACCCTTACTGCAGAAGAATTCCTGAAGCATTTCCTAGCCAGCGGATTGCCGAGCACAGAGGATCTCTCTCCCATCTCCATGGCATTGACCAGCAGGGCCGACGGTGTCAACACCCAGAATGACTGTCCTGGCTTGTCCTGGGATGACCTCAAGAAGGCAACGTTTGAACAGGCCCAGAAATACACCCATGCAGGAATTCAGTAAGTCTTCAGATTTTTGTTTTCGCTTCTTTAATCTCTGTGAACATCTGCGACATGTAATCAGAATCTTGATAACCACAGATCTGTTTGTTACAAACAAAGTTAGAGTAGAAATGGGTTGTGAGCCGAAATGTCTATTCATTAATGGTCCTGAACTAAAGTTCTGATAATTTTTTCCACCAGGTACTTTTCAGATTCTGGGCAGAGTCAGAAGATGGATACTCGCTTCTCCAAGATGCAGCAGCGTTACATCCGATACGAGACGGCATCCACCTGTTCCTCAGATCAAGCAGCCTCACCAGCGACCCTGACACTCCCCCAGCCATCCACCTCCACCACAGATCCCGCTTCTGACACTGTTCATCCCACTTCTGACACCAGTGAAACAAAAGGTAACCCTCAGAGGAACAGGCAGAATGCCAGGGGTCAGCGATCGGCTGAGAAGACCCAAAGGTCAGCTGAGAAGGGACAGAGGGCAGCAGACAAGGGTCAAAGGTTGATGAGGCTTCAAAGGTCAGCAGAGAAACGTCGGAGGATGGTGCTAGAGAGGAACCACAAGATAAGCCCCGGGAGACCACTTGTCAGAGGCTTGAAGAGGAAGGGCGAAGTGACGGTATCGCCAGCAAAGAAAAGGTATCAGAATAGTGTGGGTCAGTTTTTGTGCTCTAGAGTTTCATAAATGTCTTAATGTGTTCTTCTGACCAAGTCCAAGAGACATTAGAAATCAGATGAAGATAACTTCGAAGTGTGTAGAAACTTTATTGAAACTTTGAGCATAATTACACCATATTTTGGATTAGACGTTAAAGTATAACAAATCTTTGTAAAACTTTGTTCTGCTCTATTTGGAATCTTTTTGTGGTTTCTTGTTTGTGTTTGTTTGGTTTTTTTTCCTTTGTTTTTAATTTTTTTTTATGTAAAATTAATATTTCAGATTGGTTCCAACAAGAACATCACCCCGCAAAAAAGTAACCCCAAGTGTGGCCCAGCAGGAAAAGCCACTCTCAGCGAAGACAAACAAAGAGTCTAGTCAGTCATCATCAACTTCCAGCTCAAAATCAAGGACGATGTCGCGATCCGAAAAAACAAGAATGGTAAGAATATTTACACCTCAGCCAATCAAAGTCTTAAAACTTTACTCCAATATCAAAATACTACATTATATTTAATCCCTGATGAGTTACAGGCAGGGCAGTTTAGGGCGGTACGGGGACAAGTGTTGGGGTACACTCAGAAAAGCTTTCACAAACGTTCCGGTCTTTCAATTTCCAAGAATGACCAACTTTCAATTCCGGTTTTAAGGAATTTTAACCGAGGCCATGCAACAAAGTGACAAATTATTTTTACGATAATATAACAACGTTGAATGTTTTTGTATTTGTTTGACGCAGAAACTACGAGAGGTCGTCAAAGAGTCGCTTGCGGGCCGAGGGATCACAAAGGAAAGCAAATGCTACAAAGCTTGCATGGAGAGATTGTACAGAATGGCCGAGATGTATGTCAAGGTATGTGAGATGTTATTAATAAGGATGTTATTTGGCTGGTTCTTCACCCCTTCTTTTGAATTCTAGCAAATTATGGGCGGGCTGGGAACCAGCCAAATTTATTTGTCTTGTGTTAGGCCAAACAGCCCCGGTGTTTGTTTGCATATTGTACCCATTAAATTCAATGGGAGACTTTTGAGACGTTGGTGGCGGCAAACACACGGGTCCTTTTCAATTGTTTATGTCTTGTTTAAACCAAAGCGCGCATGCTCAATATGACGCAAACTATGGGAAAAGGACCGGTGTGTTTGCTGCCACCAACGTCTCAAAAGTCTCCCATTGAAGATCTTTTTAAGATCCCTCTGACCCACTATATTATTTTGAATTGCCAAAAATTGTGAAATTTTGTTGCTACTGCAAGGTTGGATCTATACCATTTAATTTTTTTTTAAGAAATATGAAATTGTGACGAATTTTAATCACAAAGGAAGGTTAACACCTCCTTTTTTTTACTTTTGGAGAAAATTGAATTTTGTCAAATTTTATTAAAAATGCAAGGTTAACATCTGATAATTATGAATATTGGAGAGAAATCTAATTGTGCCCTAAGAAATCTAAGGTTGACCCCTTAGAATTGTGAACTTGAGAAAAATCAAATTATGTTTAAAAAAATTGCTAGATTAACCCCTTACAAACTTGAATTTTTGAGAATAAAAACTGCATAAATTATTAATTTTTTTGAATTTTTGGAAAAATCTAGTTATGCAAGCTTAACCTCTTAGAACTGTGAATTTTGTGAAAAAAAATCAAATTATTTCAACTTTAAATTACAAAAATGCTAAAATTACGAAAAACAAAACAAAAGTGGATTTTGTTCATTTTCAATAAAAATGCAAGGTTAAGGCCAAAAAAAAAAAGTCTCCGGTTTCTGGTATGGAGCTTGCCCAAAAAGTGGTGCGGCGACGCGTTTTTTTTTTTTTTTTTTACCTGATTTTTTTGCTTCAAATGTCGGCTGATGACTGTAAATGGTGCCCGACTAAACTTAGTGCAAATGTATGGGAGTCCAGAGAGGCCACATAAAGCTTATTCTCGACCATAACCCAATCTAAAAACACGTTAAAATTGTGCAGCAGCAGAATTCCAGTCAAACCAGTGAGTTTGGCGGTTTTGAGACATCATCTTTCATTGAAAAAAAACCTTTTTCATTTTGCCGATGCGCATGGCTACAGCGACGCGCGCGCATACCAGAAACCGGAGACTTTTTTTTTTGGGCCTAACCCCCTTACAATGTGATTTTTTTGAGGATAATTGAATTTTGACCATTTGACCAACTTTCAGTTGCAAAATGCAAGGTTAACCCCTTACAGTTTGGAATTATTGCAAAAAAAACCCAAAAACGGATTTTGTCAATTTTCAAAATGCAATGTTAACCCTTAACAATATAATTTTTTTAGAATTAAATTTTTCCCATATTTAATAAAAATACAAATTTAACCCCTTACAAGTTTGCGCGTTTGAGGCAAAATAAAAAATTGGGATTTAATCTTATTTTTCTCCCCAGGATCTGAAATCGTCCAAGGGTCTGGATGAGCAGATGAAGAGTATAGCGGAGGCCAACGCAGACTTTGTGGTGCAGTTTGAACAAAACAGAATCAAGAATGCTTAAGTTTGGAACCAGTACCTTTCGTCGAAGTAACTTTAATATGATGTCACGCTTTTGTGCGTTTTCCTGTGGGAGCCAGGTGGGGACGCGAACCACCAACCTCCCGTAAGAAAATTGTGATGTCATTTTCAATCGGGTCTATTTAAACTTGGAGATTTTGAAGAGATGGCCACCGCCATTGTAGATGCAACATTTTCTAATTTTTGTTTATTTTTACAAATTTTGTCTGAATATGTATGTTTGTATTTATATCATTTTAAAAATTTGGTAAATAAATCCTATTGAATCCCGAGTAGTTTTTTTTTCTGTTATTGTTTGGTCTGTCTGTCTGTTTGTTTGGGTGCAGCTCAGCTGCCTGTTTGTCTGTTCGTTACCAAAAAAAATGACAAAAAGTACAGGCATTTACTATAAACTCAGTATTAAAAAATACAAATTATGAAACAACTTCAATGAACAAACCAAAACTTGTTTATGCGATAACTTCATAGCACTCTTTTATTTTCCTTTGTTTCACACAGTGACCAAACAAAATATAGTAAAACTCAAAAACCACGTAGAAAAGTGTTGAATCATTTCTATGTACAAACTGAAACAATGGATGGAATGGTTTTAATTGGACGGAAATATCAAATTTTGGTTTTACGATCTAGTTTGCATATTTTAATTTTGGAATCATTCGATCATTTATACAGAACAAATGCTCAATGAATTGAGCAGTGAATTTGGACAGATACTAATACAAACGCATTTTTTTTTTGGACGGATGAAATTTGTCATTAAAACAGCAATATTATACAAATATTGACTGCGTCGAGTGGTGTAGTAAAACTAGCCTCCCGAGGTGATCCATGAAGCATTCTATTTTTCCCGAGGCGAAGCCGAGGGAAAATAGAATGCTCCATGGATCACCGTAGTTTTACTACACCACGAGATAAAGCAGTCAATATTTGTTTTATAACACCTCTCCCACAGATTCTGCTTGATTTTAAGCGATAACTGATTAATTTAATCTGAATACAATGAAAATTTACTTCTATTTGAATACAAAATTAGTTATAAATTAACTTGCACTTTTTCTAACTACCCCTTCACGAAATGTTTGAACCCAGCTCTGTAGCGCTCGTGCTTGGAAACAATACGCGCAACGAAGTACCCCTATGCATTTTGCACAAAGTGCGTGTAGTACTTTGGTTGCTACGGGTATAGTTCTTTGGTTGCTATGGGTATAGTACTTTTGGCCGTGCCCTGAAAGATAGCAAAAATAGAAAGTACCATGTGACTCGCTCTCGGCCAATCAAGACACGGAATCTGTGGGTGGAGGTGTTACAAAAATGAATATTCTCTGAACATTTTAACAATATTAGTTCAACACAAGATTTAAGAGGTGCCCTTTCAATTCATTTGGTTCCAGAATCAGAAGAATTGTATCAAATATTTACAAGTTAGGTGGTATATTTTTACATAATGCAATACTGTACTTTTACATAAAGAAACACAGCGTACTTCAAGCGATATCATACACCAAGTTTATTCACTACACTTTAAAATAATACTCATCAAAGAATAACTACGCTTAGTAGTAAACATAAAGTCAGATTCTCAACTCGTTATTTATTTATTAATTAATTAAAAATTAGTGAACACTAACTTACATACATATACATATGTTAAAGTCTTCAAAGACTGGAAAAAAAAACGTAAGCACTAATATCCTAAGTCGAGCAAAGCTGAAAAATGATAGCATCTAGTTTTTTTAATAATATTATTACAAACTTCATATCCTTTTATTATTACCAACAACTTAATATCCACATCACATACATTACTTACAGAAAACCACACAAGCAAGATCGATACATATCTCACGGAGTAATTCCTTTCAAGTAGAAGGTCCAAGCCACGTTAGCGTTCCCACCGGCCGACCGCGGGCACGTCACCACCAGCTTACCCATCCTGGGCGCCTTGGTAGGGTCCGGGTTGCCGTCGTACCCAACGATGATGTTATGCTGCTTCTTGCCTCGGATGCTCTCGCCGGGTTTGCAGGAGAACGCCGGATTGTCGACCTGGAAGGTGAAGGCCGTGGTGTGGGGGAAGATATTCCGGAACGGGATGGAGGTGGTCGAGTTGGCTTTGATGGTGTACGGGCCCTGGGGTTTGGGCGGGATGCAAGTGCCGAAGAGGGGGAAGGTGTACTCTCCGCCCACGCTGGAGGTCACGGTGAGGGTGCCACGGGTTTCCCCGAGGCGAGATGGTTCAAAGGTGATGTCGATGCTGACTTCGGAGCCACCGCTGGAGCCAGGGGCTGCGGTCAGGTTCTTGTCAGAATGGAAGTCACTGTTATCAACCTGTTAAATGACGTGATATGGATGATAATGAAAATTTCAAAAAGTGCATATATCTGCCACTATCGCCACTCAAGGTGCTGCATTATTTTTCCTGATCAGCAAGCCAAGAAAATTTCCTTGCACTATCTCTGCGCCTTAGTTATATTCCTAGTTATATGCCCTCGTGAAGTCTGGTGGAAAACAACCAAGTACCAAGTAGGGAACAGCTCAATGTTGCCATTTCAGGGGCAAAGAGCTAATTCAAACTCACAGCCATTTCTGCCCTAGCAAGTACCCCTGGGTTGGGAGAAGCTGTTATGACAAAGCGCCTTGCCCAAGGACACAAATTCTTGAACCCCCTTAGGTTGGACTTGAACCCACAAAATGCAGAATAACCCACGTAATATTGAGCTCAACACACCAGACCAGGAAGCGACATAACCCAATGCGAAGTAAAAGACATTATTTTGATGGCTACAATATATTATTTGTAAACAAGATTTTCTAATATTCTAATATGACTTTATTACACACTTCATTGCATAATCATGGATTGAAGTAAAATTTCACGTCTCAAGAATTGACTTCAAACAATGACTTACCTTGCAAGTGTATTCTGTCTTGATCTTGGCAAAGTTGACGAACCTCGCCGTCTGTTGCTGATTACCCCCCAGCGGCGCCCTGAGGTATACAGCCTTCTCCGGCCCTGCTGCAGTTGCTGTCAGCAGCAGGTCATATTGGAACATGCCCAGCTCGGCGCTGCTTAGCTGTAACTTGCTGTTGGTCACACCAGTCTTGAGAGGCAGGAACTCAAAGCTCAGAGAGCCCTGGTGTTGGGGAGGAAAAATATTGGTCATTTGAAGAAATCTGTCGATAAAGATTAATTTACTCAAGAACTAGGGTCTTAAAGACACCTTACTGAATTCAATGGAACAAAACAAAAACCTTTTTTCCTTGAGCTTGCAGAATTCATAATTACATGTATTAAGTTTTCAATTTGTCTCTGGGACTAAGAGTGACAACTAAATTTTTATTTTTATAAACTTTAAATTCGCTTTCCATTTTTTCCCCATTGATCTAGTCGTGAAAGTGAGTCTTATAAACTCAACCAGTGTGTTTTCTAGTCATTGGCTTTCAAATTTAAGGGCAAAAATCCTTCAAAATTAAATTATTTGAAGTAAAGAGGTTTTTGAAGCGCTGAAATTATGTTTGGAAAAATGACAATTTTCCACATAATTATTAGAATTTTATAAAAAAGTAAGGTAGCACTTTAAATGACCAACTAGAGTGAAAGTGTGCATACGCTTTCGTAGCTACAACTTCTTCATCAGATGCAATGAAGAGGGGCATCATCATACAAGGTTTATATAGGGGTACATGTACAGTCAAAACAGAGGGTGGTGATCAATCAATTATCAATCAATAATTGGAACATTTCCAGAATGCTTTGCTTAAAAGTAGCAAAAGTCTTGAGAAATGTCACTCACAAAAGCTGATGACTTTTTGGCGGGAGAGGGGGGGGGGGGGCTCAACTGCTATATTTTTCAATAATTTGCCTAGCATCTTAATAACAACACTGAAACTTTCTTATTTAAGCTTCATTTGCCCTACCTCTGACTGCGGAGGGACCACCAGCTGTGGTGGCAGCATGATATCAGTGACAGGGCAGTTTGTAGTGAAGGTGACAGGCATGCTGAGAGGATTGTCCAAGGAGATGGTGTGAGAGGTGCTCAGGCGGACCGGCGTGGTCATCTCGATGGTGTCGATGATGCCTGGGGCGGTGCTCTTGAAGGTCACGTAGTAGAACTGGAACTCGTTGGATACCTCATTGCGGAAGATAACCTGAAAGAAACACAGATGCTTAGAGGAGTGATGTGGTCCACTTGTTATAGTGTCCAACTCACGTGCCATGGTGCATGGGTTTAAATCTTCATAGGTTACATATTGCTTGTGTTCTTGGGCAAGATACTTCACTACAATTGCCCATCTCCACCCAGGAGTGTAAATGGTACCTCATGGGTTGAGACCAGATTGGGCTGATCTCAAGCTGCTGCTGAAAAACGGTCTCATGGACAGATGAAAAGGGGTAATAATTGTGAAGCATTTTAAGACATTGGTAAGTGCCATATTAGCACCACATTATTATTTAAATATTCTGTCAATATTATGGTAATCTAGTCATAAACAGGGGACAAAAAATGTATTATTTGACACAATAATGAAATCTTCAAATGAAGGCTGAATAAGATGGCTGTGTGTGTTCCTCATGAGTTGAAGTGGATTCAGGAATGGCTGTTAGCCAAGCAATCATGATTTAAAGTGTGTTATGATCCTACATCTTTACATTTAACTGTTCCTCTTTCGGCCCAATTTCTTGAAACTTCCTTACCTTGGCAGAGTAAGATGCCTCCTTATGACAGAAGAAGTTGAGTTTGTAGTCTCTCTTGCTGTGGCCCGGCACGTCGATGTAGTCCAGTCCCTTCAGCGTGGTAGCCGTGTCTAATTTGTCTGGTTTCATCATCTCAATCACTACCTTGAATCTGGAGAAATGGGAAGAAAAGTCCAACAATCAATAAAAAAAAAGACTAGACTTGCCTAACTGAGCTGGTGGCAAAAGTCTCAAGTTAGGATATTATTTATACTCAGTGAGTGGGGGAGTTAGTCAGTCAGTCAGTCAGTCAAAGGACTATAGGCTGGTAAAGCAAAAACTCTTTATATAACGCTGCTTCGGTAGCTCTTCTCTAGATCTGTTGTCTAGGTCTTCGACAATCACAACTACATGCACACATGCTGAAAATAGACATAGTCGTAGCTCTGGAACCCTGTTTCACAACACAGCATATACTCTTTGACAGCTCACACATATTTCCTACACCAGTCCATTGAGGTATTTGAAACCTCGGCTCTGTCTCCAGCTTTGGATTTAAAGGTCCCTAACTTGGGGGACTTGATCAATATAGACCCATGTTTTGTTAAATCTTATATGAGACAATTGATTACAGAATTTCCATATTAAAGGCTTCTAATCGATTCCAAAGCCACAGATAAAGCCACAGATGAAGCCACACCTGGAAACAAAGTCATAGTTTCGGAATTGCCTCAATTTCCTTGAACTTACCTCTGTGGTCTCTTGAGCCAGTTTGAGACAGACAATAGCTCCGTGTAGTACGTCTTACTAGGCACCTCTCTAGTGACGCTACCTGCTGCCTTAGGGGGTTCCGATACGCCTGTAAGATTGTACAGGAGGCCGGAGCCGTCTGGTAAGGCAAAGAATACTGTCCCCTGTAGGAATGAGAACAAATGTTGATGAGATGGGTGAGACAAGAATACTGTCCACTGTAAGTGAATGGCAACAAAATATCACTGTCAAAGGTGAGGCAAAGAAAAGTAGTTTCCTGTGGGAATGGGAGCAAAACTCGATGTTAGGTGTGGCAACAAATACTGTCCCCTGCAGAAATGGGAACAAAAGTTTATGTGATGGATGAGGCAAGAACAGTGTCCCCTGTGGGAATTTGAAAATTTTTTTTTTGATGTTACATGTGCCAAAGAATGTTCGCCCCTGCAGGAATGGGGAACAAGATGATGCGATGGGTGAGGCAAAGAATACTGTTCCCTGTATAGCATGGGAACAACAATGACTGCTATGGGTGAGGTAACGAATACTGTCCCTTCTAGAATTGGAACCAAAAATTGCAGCAATAAATTAAAGGTAAGAAAACTAGCATTGCACCCAAAAACACAATTACGTAGTCGACCAGAAACAGAAAACAGTAGATAGAACTGCATGGCTCAGAGTGTGGATATCAAATGCACGCTGGTTCACGCAGCAATGGCAAGACACATGTAGGATAATTTTCAACAGAATGTGCAAAAACGGAATAGTCTTCATGTGACTGTCAGGCATACAGTGGTAATGCGTTCATGAGTCCAGCCTAAATCTCTCTTTGTAGCTTGTCACCTGAGCCTACTGTGGAAATTCATCGTCTACCGTACTCACTGTATGCTTCTTTCCTTCGGCCGTCATGATCAGCGGCCTATACGTCATCTCAAACGGTTTACTCTGCTGGGGTTCCAGCATGATAGTATCCGCCCCGGTCCAGTGCTCCCCCTCGATGACCGGCCGTAACTCCCAGCGTTGATTGGTGCGGTTGTGCAGGGTCAGGGAGCGCGTGTCCTTCACACGGACGTGGGTGTTGAAGTGTAGGACTTCCTTCTGGGGCTGGCTGCCCACGCACATGCCGGTCAGGACTAGGCGTAACGGGCGACCGCCCTCAATGTGGCAACGCAGCTTCTGTTAGATGGAAAATAAAGGTTGCACCAAAACTTTGTTGAGGAAAATCCAGAGTTGTTTTGTTGCAACTTTATATCAATAAATAAATTAGGGGGAAGGAATTCACTTTTATTTACCCAAAGACATTTATACAATTTACAACAAATTGACTTGAGTTGAACGAAATCTATCAGAAAGAAAAACTATTGTTTATTGAAAATAGACATCTTAATTTTCAAATTTTATTTTTTTGGGGGGGGGGGGGGGGAAGGGGGATTGACGATGGGGGTAGAGAGCAAGTTTTTATCTGTCCCTAGAACACCATTTGCTGTAACCACAAAATATCCAAAACCCACATAGTGTTTCTGGCTCCAGCCTTCAAGGTAAACACTGATGAAATTATATTGATTTTTATAGAGGAATGGGTAAATTCCCACCGTTTCTACTGAAAATTCACCCTCACTATTCCTCTAATTGGTGAAGCCCTTCCTTTTTGTATTTAAGAACTTTGTGATTGGTTCTACTTTTTGCTTCAGAAAGCAAATGTTCCAAGCAAGTTTTTCTTCCAACAGGTCAGTGAAACCAAAGCATGTGACTCACATCATAGCGGATGTCTTGGCTCAGGTCCTTGGGGAAGAAAGTGACTTCAAAGGGCACAGTCATGCCAGGGGAGACGTAGCCCTCGGTGGGACTGATGGAGAAATCGGGGGCAAACTTCTCTACGTTCCACTTGAAACTGGGAAGAAAAGAAACCAAACTTCAAGCCTTACATAGAATTTAGTTAAACTCTGTGATTTTAATCTGGTTTGAGTTTCAAAATTACCAATGGAATGCAAAAGAGCAATTACCAAAACCAAAACATTTGGAAATGTTCTGATTGACAAAATATGTGGTATATGTATTTGTGTTACGGGGAATTGTCCATACACTTGCCAATAAACCTGCTGCCGCCATGTTGGTCTAGTTCCCCGCTTGCATGCCATATCAAAGTACTGATTTCTGATTAAACTTGATGCTGACCAATCTGCCACTTTTTAGGCATCCTTACAAAATACTCAGGAACTTTGTCTCAATTAAAATGAGTAGATTTTGATACAAAAGAGTTCCAAGATAAATTTGACGGTTATTTTACGACTGTACAGCCATGTGATGGATGAACTAGAGGACAAAAATTGCTGGCAATATAGTAAGCCTGCATCAACTGCAGTTTTTGTGCAAAATTTTCTGGGTCTTTAAGACAAATTTACGAGGTTTTGGGGAGCTATTTTTTACCCTGCTCCTATGTCGCCAGTGTTGTACATGAGCAGCTTGCGTGTGGTGCTACTGCGCTGGACCACGGCTCCAAAGGGGATAGACTCCTGATCCAGACTGATGTCGATCCCCTGGCAGGAGCCTGTCACTACAAACAGTGGTTGGGACAGGCCAGCACACTCAAGCATCACCTGGAAAAGAGGTTAAGAATGTGAATACAAGCAGAATTATATCAAGACTGCAGAGTATAAGACAATACAAAATTTCTTTCACAAGTCCTCACCAGTGCACCACAAGTCATCATAAGTCAATCACAAGTCATCCAGATCTACGTCAAGGCACAAGCTATTCAAATGTACAGTGACAAAGGGCATTCATTTGTTACTGGGGATCCCCTGTTACTTGTAAATGGACTTGTGAATGGACTTGTGAGTTTGTTGTGACTGAACTTCTTACTGAACTTCTGACTCGACTACAACGCTGCAATGAGCTATGGAATCATGAGAGTAACTTCCACAACTGTGCTGCATTCTCTTACAGAAATCCAAAAAGGAAACTGCAGTTCTTTTTTAGATGCGAGGATAACCCAAGAGGATTTTAAGGTAATGTCTCAGTTCTAAGGTAATGTCACTTCATGTAGGAAGTGAAGAAAATAATCCGAATGTTGTACAAGTTAGGATTTGAACCTGGGTCACAAGACTCGGATGGTGCGAAAAAGAACCACTAATGTAAACTTCACAACCAAGTTTTTTTGGTGTATAAGGAGAATGCCACTGAATTAATATTGAATGAATAGCTATGGAATCAAGGTGGGGGTGGGGTGAGAAACTAATCTCATTAAGAATCTTAGCAGGATTCGAACCAGGATCACAAAAGTTGGAAGTAAAGTGCCAATCTAAAAAGATAAACACCATCACTAGAATTACCTCCTCTGTGAACTGTGGGATCCGACACTTGGGCGTGAAGACCAAGTCAAGATTACAAGTGCCTCCTTTTGGTTTGAGATGGATCTCTTTGGTGGGAGCCAGGGACAGGACCTGGGGTAGCTGTTGGAGGATCGGACTGAGTGGCGTGATGACCACAGTGAAGGACAGCGGGGCCGGGCTGTTGTTGATGACCGGGACGGTACGCTTGACCGCCTCGCCGACGCGCAGGGCGCCAAAGTTGACCAGTTTGTCTTTTGGGTTGGCCACCTCGACTCGCATCTCAGTACCCTCGCCAAGGATCTCCACCTAGAATTTGAAAATAAGATCCAAGGCTTTGGTTAAATATATAATTTTGAAGAAACAAAAGATGAAGACTTCTTTAATACAAACCATTTTTTAGAACCACGAACTTTTCTCTGAATAACATTTGATGGAATTTTGATTCAGGGTGTTATAATTGTTTTATTTTATTTGGGTTTTTTTTTGGGGGGGGGGGGGAATCCTATTTATATCCATTGCTATGTTTACCCAATCTTAATTTTCTTTAAAATTAGATGCGATGATTTAAAACAATTAATTACAAACAATATTCTTCATATCAGTTTTTGTCCTCAATCAGTCTGTTTGAAACTTTGAAGATTTTAGTGTTTCTGGTGCAAACCTAAGATGGTTCTCACTTTAAAAAAAAACATGCAAGGGAGAACTACAAACTACATTGACAGAACGTCATTGCGAAGTTCTGCCATATACTAGCAGAGACTATATGAGTGTACAATAGTGCACGGGGGTTCAAGGAAACATATTTTCATATTGTCTTCAATTTTCGACCTGTCAATCAATTACAATACAACTTTGGTGACCAGGGTAGCTGTCAAACACGGTCCCAAACACAGTGAAAAATGTACACAAACCGACGTCGGTCAAGTAATATGAGACTATCGAACCAACAGCCTCCATACCTGAGTCCTGGACAACCCGTTGACCTCAAAGACAACCAGCTCCCTGTATTTGATGGCCTCCCTTGGGTAGAAGGTTAGCTGGACCTCACGGCTGTCACCAGGCTGTAAGACGCAGGCTGAGAACTGGACCTCAAGATGGGAGGTACTGGTATACAGGCAATCAACGCTGTGACAAACAAACAGACCACATTTCATTGAGATTAAGTGCTTAGCACGGAATACACTTCCTAAGCAGAAACAGGTTTTAGCCAAAATGTGAGGTGTTCTGGGCAAAATGAAATGGAACTGGGCACAGGCCTTAGTGGAAAAAAATGAAGAAAAAAATTGGGGGGATTTTTTTGTGATGGACGTGTAATGACTTGTGAAAGCTTGGGATGGACTTGTGAGGACCTGTGATGGAATTGTGAGGACTTGTGATGGACTTGTGAGGACCTGTGATGGAATTGTGAGGACTTGTGATGGACTTGTGATGGACTTGTGAGGACTTGTGATGGACTTGTGAGGACTTGTGATGGACTTGTGATGGAATTGTGAGGGACTTGTGATGGACTTGTGATGGACTGGTGATGGACTTGTGATGGACTTGTGATGGACTTGTGATGGAATTGTGAGGACTTGTGAGGACTTGTGATGGACTTGTGATGGACTTGTGATGGACTTGTGACGGACTTGTGATGGACTTGTGATGGACTTGTGATGGAATTGTGATGGACTTGTGATGGACTTGGGATGGACTTGTGATGGACTTGGGATGGACTTGTGATGGAATTGTGAGGACTTGTGAGGACTTGTGAGGACTTGTGATGGGCTTGTGATGGGTTTGTGATGGGCTTGTGAGGACTTGTGAGGACTTGTGAGGACTTGTGATGGACTACAACACTGCCGATGAGAGGGTGCTTGTGCACTGAGTCTTCAATTTTAGAAAATTCAAGCATCCAAACAAAAATATTTTTCTTACCTGATAGCCTTTGAATCCCTATTGGTCACCGTCAGCACATTGGACAGAGTGGGCATGCCAGCGCGGTGGATGAAGCACGGTCCAAAGTCATACTTGGTGAAGGAGAAATGTAGACCAGGGGCCACGCCCTGACCAGCTAGGACTATCTGGTAGGTGGGACCGTTGGTTACCTGATGAAAGGAAAGGGGGGAAGGTTACATCAATTTAGGAAAAATGTTATGAATACACCATGTGAAGTAACTTTCTCTATAAATGTTAATTGGTTCCGAGAATAACCAAGGTGTTAACTTTGATTCTTCTCTGAACAATTTTTTGTTTTTTTGAGAAGGGCACTTCATATGGTCCACCAACAAACCCCAGCTGACCACTATAAATACACTTCTAGGACCTTCATTGGAAAACTAAGATGTAAAAGTTCTTGAATTCGCCCCCCCCCCCAAGAGGTTGTCAATTTTTGGGGGGTAATTTTTTGTTATTAATTTCCACGATTTGACCTTGGTGATATGTATGTGGCCTATTTTTGAGTAGTATAATAGGGGTGTAAGTGGCGCCACCAACGTCAAAATAGTCCCCCCCCCCCCCAAAAAAAAAAACACCAATTTTTTCTGCGGCCAAAAATTTTGGGCAACATTTTTTTTTTAAATTTAAACTTATACAAAATTTGAAACAAAACATTGTGAGCCCCCCCCCCCAAAGCCAAATCCTGGGTGCGCCACTGAGTTTGATGAACCTTTGGTTTCATTAGCGAAAAGTAATAAAATCAAGGTGTAAGTGTGCATATGTCTTGGGAATGTGCTTGTTTGTGTCTTGAGTGTGAGAGCATCTACCTTGAGTAGGAGCTCGCAGCCCCGCAGGGAGGTCTTGTGAGGCGGTTTGAATGCCAGCACGCAGCGTTTGCGGTCGTTGCAAGGCACCAGGCCGCTCTCAGGGGAGATAGTCACCATCTTGACCGCCTTGCCGGCGCGCTCCTTCAGGGTCCACTCAAAGTCAAAGTTGAACTTGCCGGAGTTGACGATGAAGATGGACCGCACGGCTTTCTCGTTCACTTCCACCTACGAGACGGAATAATGAACAGTTTTAAACAGGATTTTGACGATAAAGGGGAAAATCTAACATTTAATTTATGATTTCTGTAATGACTTATTTTAAAGGAGTACAGAAAATCTTTCTTTTTTCGTACCCTTTGCAAGGTGATCAGGGGACTAGATAGGTTTTTATGTCAAAAAATTTGACATGTGAAAACTCACAAATTTATTTACTTAATATAAGGGCACTCGGCAAAATTTAGGGCCACAAGTACTGAGTATATTTGCTCAAAATCTTCACTTTCATTGTGAAGTTTACAGATTCTGTTTGGGCTTGTCCACAAATTCAACAGTCCAAACAGGTAAATTGTTCTCCATTTTTGACCTTTACCTCTCCAAAGTTGATCTCGTTTATCCCCCTGCATGACAGGGGGACGTTCTTGCCCGTCGAGTCCTCACACAACACCTTGGCGTTCATGGAGTATCCCTCTGCCTTGACGTTCAGGTAGATGGGCAACGTCTTCTTCTTGATGTTTATCTCTACGTTGAAGTTGACTACTTTCTCCTCGTGGGGGGTGAAGGAGACGTCAATGGGTATCCTGGGTAGAAATTGGAATGATAAATCTCAATTATGATCGGTCGTGAAAGTTGAGGAATTGCTTATTAAAATGTCAGCGGAATCTCCAAGCAGGAATGCTACAAGTGTAATGTGGCTCCTCTTTCAATTCGCACTGCAAATTGCTAATTCAACTCCCGCTAAAATTTCACAGCGAATACCTTATGACGTCCAATTTGAAATTACTGTTGATGGTCAAAGAATTCGGTCTTAGATTCCAACATTGCTTGACTAGGGCTTAAACTTCTGGATATCTGGAAAAAAAAGACCCAAATGTGGCAATGTGCTTCTTTTTTTCACCTGCCAAATGGAGGAATGACGCCATCCTTGGGAGTGACATTCAGTTCTGAGGAGAAGGCTTCCGAGTGACATGACGCCTCCGAGATGTCAAAGGTGAAAGGTCGACTCTCATTGTTGATAAGCTGGACTCGCTCGCTGGCTGTGTTGCCTGTGGTGGCAAAAGAATAAAATGTGACGATAAATCATTGATAAAATGATTCAATGTTTGAATATTCATTGGTTGACTGTAAAGAAAAAGTAACATTCTAAATGTTGGAGGCCCTTCTATAATGAATATTTCCATTTCTGCTGAAAAAAGGAAGTTTGAATTCCAACTAGGCTGGTAATCAGTGTTGACATGACTTTTGATTTAAGTAAACAAATCATAAAGGAATGGTTGGAAATAAAGATAACTGGACTCACCTAGAAGCAGAGACTTGAAGTTGATGTGGGATCGGTCGGTGGCCACCGCAGGCTCTTTAGCGTCACCCACTAGGAGGAACGGGACCAGGATATTCTGCTCAGGTATGGTGAACCGCCAGAAGGATTCCACGACGCCCAGCTGGGATGGAGTGAACTCAAAACTGATCTGAAATAATGGAGGAAAAACGGAAACATATCTTAAAGAAGTTGTAATCAAGTCAATCACAAGTCAAGTCAGATGTTACAAATAATCACGACGATAAAGCTATATCCTCTCTGAGTGATCCCCGTTTGCTACTTCTCGGGTTTGCAGCAGTGCTAATGTTGCTAGCATCGTGACTTAAGGCGTGATCCCTGGCTACATGTTACATACAGGTTTATGGCTTCTAACTAGCGCCCCATGAACAAAGACATTGACACAATGCTAACCACTAACACAAAGCTAGATAGCTCAGTTGGTAGATCACCGGATGGAAAGCCAGAGGTCACAGGTTCAAACCCTGCTCCAGTCAATTTCTTTATACAACTTTAAAATTATGATGATAAAATGTGGTAGGTTTAGATGACAATGCTTGCGTTGTACACAACCATTCACAATAGGGAATCATGTAAAACAATGACCGTTTCAGATTGATTTTACGCCGAATCAAATTATTTCTAAGATTTGAAATCAGTTTGACATTTGAAACAGTTAGGAGCGACAAAACACGAAAGACTGATCACTGCAGTCGTTCAGACTGACTCCAGGACCTAGTCAATGGAAAATTAATACATAAAGATACCCTGGGCATCTAAAACCAAAAATCTAATTGAGTCGAGCTGAGTTCCTTTCCTATATTATTTGAAACGCCAGTATAAACCAGAAAATCACTTTAAAAAGTTCCCCAGTCTGACACCAAAATACATTAGGGTTGACTGAAGTTGCTCCTAACATTATTTGGATTGGTGCGACTCAAAACACGTCTGGAACAAGTGTAATTTAACCATAATTGATATAAACAAAAAAATTTACCTCCGTTTTCTTGCCTGGTGCGACGAACCCTTTCGTCGTCACGCAGCTGAACTGCTTCATTTTCTTGGGGTCCTCCTCGTCCTCGCAACTCCAGACGAACGAATACTGGGTGTTTGTGGGATTGATGATGTAGAAACCTCGCCGGTTCCGCACCTGGACTCCGACGGAGCTGAACTCGATGACCCGGGTGTTGGGGTCTAGGGTGGCGCCCGGCGGGGCCCCGCCCGGACCGCGGAGTTCCGGGTTGCGACGAGAACCGGTGATGTAGTCGGAGTCCTCCAGTTCGAAGTGGCAGTAGGGCATGAGACTGCGGCCGCGGACCGCGATGACTGGGCCCTGTTTACCTTCTTCAAGATTGGGGATCCTACACCATAGACAAAATAAGTAAACTTTCTTAATCCAAATAATATGAAAACGATAAATCTTTATAATTTTTAGCAGATCATGCTGCAAGCTTGGCCTTTTATCATATAGCTGCGTGTTAGAATATACTGCTTAGCAAATTTATATTCTAAGCACAAAGCAGTTGGGTACCAGTCACAAGAAATATCAATTACATGACATATTGGCTGGTAATGTGCTTCTGCAAAGCAAATATTATCTACGCTTAGTACATTTCTGTGCTGAACCGCTCAGTGAAAAGGCCCCAATAAAAATCATTTCCAGTTTAAAAAAAAACATAAAAAACTTCACCACTTCAAAAAAAATCACTCAGGCCTCACAGTGCTCTTCTTCAGCAATATAGTTTTTTCAATAGGTTTTGTTAGTTTTTAAAGGTTTTCCAAGCGCCTAAAAATAGGCATTTATGGGTTCCAGATTCAAAACTGTGCAACATTTTCAGCATGAGGTAGCAGAAGTATTGCGAATTGCTTACCTCAAGTTTTCCCCACTAGATAAAGTTACTAATTTTACGCAAACCGCCAAATTCTGAAACACTTTTCAAATTAATAATTAAAATTATCTTTAAACAAATATTGAAAATGTGTGTCAGAATAAAAACATAGGTTTATATAGGTTATTTATAGGTTACTTTAACAAGAAAATAGGCTCCGACGTTGAAATATAGCTCTGTATAGGTTTGAGAGGTTTTTAAGGTTTTGCTGTGAGGCCTGCTTCTCCTAACAGCCAAAGTTTTGTTTCAATTTTTAATCCTTGTATACAAGCATATCCTCCACCTACTGCGGTGTTGTACTTGGCACAATAAAATGAACTAACCAAAAAGAATTAATAGTTCTTTACAAACCAGTAGAAAAGCAAATCATCTACAAATTTTCACTGTGTACCTAAGTCATCATCCAAAATTCCCAAATTTCAGAAAACAATGTGCTACCAACCTGCAGATGATACGCCCTTCAAAGTCATGCATGTCCAGCGGCGAGAACTTAACCACGAAGTTCTGCTTCTTGCCGACACCGACAGTACCCATGTCTGGGATGACGGTGAACGGGTAGACGTCTAGGGATTCGGTACCGCTGAGCGCCGTGCTACAGCGTGAGGGTAAGCGTAGCTGGTCCTCGTCGGCAAAGCTGACGGACTTGCGTCGCAGGATCTCTTCTTCCATGACGACCTGCCAGTTGTAGGAGAGCTGGACGGTGCCCTTGTTGGTGAGCTGGAACCTGTAGAAAGGGACAAGGTTCATGAGAAAATAAGGGTTATGAGTAGTGTAACCGGAAAAGTAGCAATAGATGCTTTCTCACTTCCTCAAGGTGATGAATAAAAAAAGACGTTCATAAATTCCACCAAAATGCCAGATTGAAGAATTGTTATGTCTGTAATTCTGTCAAAATGGACAATTATCATGGGCGTTGCGAGGGGGGAGACCAAAAAAAAGGAAGAAAAAAAAGGAGAAAAAAAAAAAAAAAAAAAGAGGCGCGAAGTCATAGTGGTGTAAATTTAATGGGTGGGGGGGGGGGGGGAATGTCCTTGCCCCCTCTAAAACTGATAAATCGAGAATATGTTGAGAAATACAAGAATTTTTTGGGAAAAATATGTTTTGCCCCCCTCTAGAAAAAAATCCTGGCGATGCCCATGACAATTATTACTAATACTATGCTATTTCTAGAACTACTATTGTAAAGTGCTGTCGTTTGTGCCCAGAAAAAGTGAAAAATTGACATTTTCATGAATGATTTTTGCCTTAACTTGATAGATTCTTGCAAAAAAATTATCTAGTCAAATTAATGTATGTGAGGGCAATTCTAACATTATGGAAGAAAATGTTATGTCCGTGACAGAGCCAATTAACCATGATATCTAATTAATGAGTTGGAGAAATGATCCAAAACTTTTAGTCTGTAATCTCTTTGACAATTACTAAATGTGTAAGATGAATTTATAAGATTTGAAAAACTACATTTTCAGGTTTAAAAGGCTGAGCTCTTAAACCTCTGCCAGGGACATTGCATTTTCTTCCATAACACTAAAATTGCCCATAACCTTTACATATTGATCCACCAATAATTGTGACACCTACACAAAATTATCTGCTTTCCTTTTCACCATCATTATGTTTCTGGTGACGGTGATGAAAACTTGCCTTAAGTCAGAACTAGCTTTCACGTTATGACTCTACTAAATAATTGGCAGAGAATAAAGTATCGGACTTACGCAAACTGTCTGGTTTGGAACATGAGCGTGTCCTTGAAGTGGATGGAGTCTGTCTTGCATTTATACTTGGCATAGTCCGCATTGGCGCTGACACGCAGCTCAACATCACGGCTTGTATCGTCCAGGGGTGTGTGGACGGGCTCTGGCTCTGTCTCAATAACCTACAAAGGAGAGATAGTACAATGCAAAGGAATCACTATTTTTGTAAATAACTTCTACTGTGGGTAATAGTTACTTTCGAAAAGAGAACGTTCTTCAAATTTCAAGAAGTTAGAGAAATATAAGCTTGTCTGATAGCTAGTCAACATTATCATTTGTTTTTGGTCAATCCAAAACATTTCAAAGACAAAACAGGCCACTTTAAAATGACGGTTAAAACCTCAGTAGAAACAATTATCTTCTTAAAAAAAGTTCAGATGTGTCAGGTGTTCCAATCCTGCTGCTGGCCACATATTGTGTCCTTGGGCAAGACACTTTATCCCAACTTGCCCCTCTCCACCCAGAAGTATAAATGGGTACCGGCATTAGCTGGCGAGTGACCTGCGATGGACTGTCATCCCGTCTACGGAAACTGAAATGTTCTCAGTCATTTTATACCAAGGAAACTAGAGATAAACACCGGTCCGATGGGCCACATTGGCTCAAGAATTTACTTACCTTTTTCTTGGCAGGTTTGGGCACCTCAGCAGCCAGCTCCCCAGCAGCGATCTTTCTCCTTATCTCCTCCTCCGTCTTCTCCTTATCAACCATCTCCAAGGCGGCCTCCTTCGCCGCCTCTTTCTCCTTAGCCCCGCCCTTCCGATGCTCCTTCTTGGCTTCTTTCTCTTCTTTCTTGGCATCCTGGTTGGACTTGGGTCGGTTGGTCGAGGCCTCGCCGGAGGTCGGGGGTCGGAGGAGGGATGCCACGGGGATGTCAACCCATTTGACAGTCCGCATCCTGTCGTCCCAATCAGCAATCTACGATTATGGAATGAGAAGTGAATGAAATTCCTCAATTGCAGTGGATAACTTTCAATTTTCATTTCCAGAGTAATTTCTTTAGAAATTAGTGAATTAGGCGTGTGGTTTTTAAAGTTTGCAATTGACATAGCTATGGGCGCTTTTGAGGATTCCTTGGTTTCATTAAACAGAAATAAATAAATAATACAAAATAATAAAATGATAATATCCCTTTAAAAATACGAAAAAAAAAGTGCTCTAGGGCGTTTAAGCTTCCCATATTGTACAGAATGACTTTGAAGAAGTTTGCAGATTCTCCATGCACAGTGACCAATGCTAAAATCAAGGTGGAGTTCTGAACAGAATTAGATACTTAACTGAGCATTGGATTCAGTACACTTTTGACCATCATCAAAAAACAAAAACACAATATTTAGCACACATATGAATATTGTTGACGCTCCTTGTTTACTAGTTCTTTGGGAAAAAAGTAGAAAACTGAACAAAGTAGGACCTAAACCTAGGCCCCATTTACTATAGCAGTGCTTTTCCAGCTACACCTAGGCCTACTATGCTAGTTCTTTATTAGTCAATATCTAAAATTGTTTTTCAAAAAATAATTTATACAGTGATCTGCATGGTCCCAGGTTCAAGTCCAAGTCCAACCCTAGTCATTTTCCAGGTTCAAGTCCAAGTCCAACCCTAGTCATTTTTTTTCTGTTTGTGTAAAATTATTTCATAACCAAGGTGAAATTATCCATGCATTTACCTGATCGACTGGCTTGTCAAATGTGATCTTGCAGACTTTACAGCTGACGATGGAATCCAGTAAATTCACCGCCTCGTCTGTCTTGAACGTGACGGAGATATCCTTGGACAAGCCGCCGTGCAGGTGACCGACGGAGGGAGAGAACTTGAGCTGTGGGTGCTCTGGCCACTGGAAGCGGACGGTGTCCGAGGCGTTGTGATTGGTCATCGTGAAGGTCAGCTGATAGGACTCCCCCACGTGGCAGTCACCAAACTGGATGTGATTGGACGGCACAGCTGCAGCGGACACAAAAGGCAGAGAAATCTTAACCACGTGGTAAGTACGAATTCTCTTCATTTGTTCTTATTGATGAATTCCACATTCACCATCCACAAAACTATGGATTATTGGTCAAAACATCAGCAGCACCACTTCATGAAAACAAAATTCCCTTGAGTTTTCCCTGATATTTCCCTGAGAAACTGCCAAAATTCCATGAGAAATATTTTCACTTTAACGAGGTTGCTGGTAAGTCAAGAGGTGGTGCAGCTCAGCCAATTGTTATTGTCTGGAGAGGTGTGTAATATTCACACTGCATAAACACTAAAAAGCAACACATACTGGAATTTGTATCCTTGTGGAGACATTCCTTTGTTCTTGTGTACTAAAAGTTTTCGAGTTGGAAAGTGTAGTTTAAAAATGCTCTTATTTTAACCGGAATTAATTTCCTTGGCTGAAGTTTGGACTTAATATCCCTTTTCTAAAACTCTTTCATTTGCGACTGATCAACATAGCTTGGAAATTCCTAGTTTTTGAGTAAAATCCATATATCTATTTCGTGAAAACCTTGTGGAGACGTATTCATCTATAGAAATTGCCCTGTGGAGACGTATACAATCTTTTGTTCCCTATTGCACACATGTCTCCAGAGGGCACGGTGTATCAGATCACCATAGCCAGTCAGTCAATGGACACAACTTGGACACACAGCAGAAGACACACATACACAAAACTGGTGAAAGCCTTTCCCTTCTGGGTCACTGTCAAATTCCCTGAGTTTTTCCTGATTTTTGGTGTTTTTCCCAAATTCCCTGAGTTTCCCTGACTTGAAAAAATGGGAACTCATTGTCAAGGTTTCCCCTGAGTTCCAGAGTGGCTGGGAATCCTGGCTTAAGGGATCGGTCTATCCAGTTCATTAGTGTAATGTCATCTCAATTCAACCTTGCGTACTTCACACGGTGAAGCATAGCACAAATGGAACCGGAAGCTAACGCAACTTGAGCGTTTATCCAATGGGCGCTAGTAATCAGTGGTGCACGCGTGTGTATGACGTTTTTAATAACGAACCGTATTGCATACCTGAGACTTGGCTGTCGTCCCCAAGTAACTGTTCCACGTTCTCCTCGGCCGGTAAGCTGTGTATATTCTCCAGCGTGATCTCATCCTGGTACCCTTCACCGACCAGCTGGACCACCCGGTCCTCGTACTGGTTGTCCACGACGGTCACTCGGATGGACCCCTCGCAGCGCTGGGCCCCGTCCGGCTTGAAGACCACTTGGAAGGTGGCTTCCTCTCCGACACCGACGATGATGGAGGCGGTGTGGGGATGGCGGATGGGCTCCTCAATGTCATCTGGTGGGGTGAGGGTTGGAAGATGAAATGATCAATTATGAATTTTTTAATTACAAGCTTGAACTAGCAAATTAGGGTCAACTGCGTGGGACTGCTGAATGATTGGAAGAAATGTTTTGCTAACTTAGGCATATTTAATAACATGCAGGTTTTAATGCTTGCGCAGGAATGATATACACCATTATCATGTTGCAGCCGTTTGATTTTTTTCCCATTCAGATCAATGTAACCAATGCGAGGCTGGAAGGGAAAATAGTCCGGTTCCTTTTTGCACAAAAACATTATCATTCAGTACTGTTATTGGATACAGGGAACATGACTAAAATGGTGGAAGCATAGTAAAGGTCTATTCTATTGCATCCCTATTCTTAAATAAATCCTGCATCTGATATTAGGCCCCCCCCCAAAATAAGTCGGTCTCTGGTCAGCGCACGCGTCAATTTTAATCATGCGCGTCAATCTTTTTTTTTCCAAAATGTTCCGCGATAGCTCCAACAGCGCCCTCTATTGCCGCCCCTCCTCAATTTTTTTTACCAAAGAGCACCAAGGAATGGGAAATTGCACCAAGGCAAATGATCGAAAGTACCAAGGCAAATTATGGAGGACACCAATGTACATGAGGACACCAAAAAAGCAAAATAGTACCCCACCTTGTCTGTACAATCCAAGCTAGAAGAAAAAAAAAAAAAAGCAAAAAAAAAAAAAAAAAAGCCGCGTGGCCGCGTCAATTCCGGAACTTTGGTCTGACCAGAGACCGAATATTTTTTTTCTTTGGGCCTTAGTAAATTATTTGCAGTGATTAGTGCATATAGTTCATTTGTGGAACAGGTTCTGTAAACAGAAAGTTAGCAGAGCCATAAATTTAGCTCATATACTGAGCTAAATAGTGCAGAACTGCTGAGGCCAAAAACACTAGCAAATGTACATGTTTCTGCCAAAATATCTGTTGAGAACTAGCAAAATGTATTTCACATGAAACTTTGTTTGATAACCTTGCTTTGGTAGGCTTAGCACTTCTCTAACTTAAAAATGTGTATGACGTGCAATTGTGTGAATTTATTTCAAAAACTGAAAATCACAAATTCTATTATGGACGAAAACAGATTGGATGGTTGACTAACCGTTGACATATGCCTGGATATCCGTTTGCATGGGATAGATCAGCTTGGTGTCTTCAGAGCTCTGTAGACTGTACACACCACTGGGATCATTCAGATCAATATCCACCTGATCAATGAAAATACAAAGAGTTATCCACTAAATTAAGTTAATATTCAAACCTAATCCTAATTTTAAACACAGAGATGACTGAAGCCCTCAACCATAAGTGCTTTTTAGTTTTGATCTTTTTACTTTATAGTGTCCAAGGTCGATTAAAAACAAATTGAAGTTAAGTGGGAGATTTGATACGTTCAATTAAGCAAATTGTTTTCTTCTGAATTAAAAAAACATAGTTACAGCATCTAACTTGAAAAAATTTCAACATAAGCACCTGGACTTCACTTTATTACATTGTGTTTATTCACTGAAAAATCAATAAAACCACAGAGTGCTCAGGTGGTTTTGGGCGCTACAGGGAGTAACAGGCAGGACAGTTTGGGGCGCTACAGTGACTAAAGGGTTAAACAAACTAAAATAAAAGGTATTTTTTTTCCCGCTGAAATACTGTATGGACCAGTCATACGGTTGCGAAGGGTGATTTCTAAAGGTTATGTAACACTTCATTTTGAATGAAACTACATGTACACACACATGTTCACGTTGGGGGGCGAAATCTTTGAAAATTAATTTCTCCCGTTTTGAAGACCGTATCTTCATGCAACTTTCAGGGTTCACTTTCCTCATAATGATCCAAGTATATGCTAAAAATCGTTGTGATGTGTTCATTACTTTCGTTGAAATTGACATGAAGCTAAATATTTCTTCTTCCGTTATAATTCAATTTACAATCATACTGTGCATATTTTCTGAGAAACACAACGTTCAAAAGGCCATGTTTTTTGTGGTGCATGAATTTCACTGCTCTGCTATAGCGTCTCAGTACGTAATCGGATTAGCTTTGCCTAACAACGGCAGACGCTTTGCCTTAGCAACCACATGACTGGGACTGTGAGCCAGGCTAACCATGAAAAAGTTATAAAAGTCCTCCAAAGTTGTTTTTGAGTTCTGATCAAGTGGAATCCTATAGAATTAACTAACGCTTGGTAACCCGTTAGTCCCTGTATCGCCCCAAAGCACCCTCTCTTTTACCCGTTATACTGCCCCAAACCGCCCCAGCAGGATTATAGGGATTAATAAAGGAATAAATACGGTGTAGTATAATGTAATACAAATGCAAATGGGTGTAAAGCAAAAAACACTCCAGAAACTTTTGATGAGACTGAATGTATTAATTGAACAAATCCTGTACCTTGCTTGGCAATGTTCCATCGTTCTTCAGGCACAGCGGCAGTATCTGCGTGTTCCCAAGCAGCAATCGCTTGAACAGCAGCAGAGGGCTCCCTTTCTTGTTGCGTATGGACGGTTTCTGGATCGAGACGCGAGGCAGGTTGCCCTCGCCTTGGACTTCAAAGGACAGGTTCTTCTGCTTGGCCAGAGGACCGGTCAGGCCGTCCAGGATGACCTCAAACTGACCGGTGTAGGTCTGGACATGAAAAGATAAGACATGATACAATAGTTTTGATTGGAACATTTGTTTCTAAAGCAGAACGATTTCAATGAAATGTTCCAATTTTAAATCAACTAGTGAAGGTTTGCGGTAACACCATGTGGAAATCTCTTTTGGGAAGATGTGTAGTTCTGAAAAGAACCAGTTGGTTCTAAAATCTCTCCCCAGCTAATAATCCTCAACAGGACAGTTTTTATCTCCAGTTTCTTTAGCACAATATGGCTATGGCTTCATCACAATTACTTAAGCAAAACTTAAGCAGATTTTTTGTCATTATTTCAAGTGCATCCTTTGAGCAGAGCAAGCCTTCACCTGCATTGATGGAGGGCCAAAGTTGACGGTGGCGTAGACGTGGCTGTGAGCTGGGATAGACGCCCTGGACGGCTCCACCTCAAAGATGTCCTGAAGCTTAGAGGACGGTTTGGAGGTGACGAGCTTGCAGGAGAACACCACGTCGCAAGATACCTGGCATAGAAAGAAGACAATGAAGAAAATGAAAGAAATGATTCTCATCACAGAAACATCTTCTCAAAACAGACAAATTTGTTTAGCGCAACAAAATAAAATTGGCTACACATAATGAATTGTTATGAACCCTACTCACTGCTGAATTTAGAGAGCAGTTTTGCATTCTCTTCAGGGCTCAAATCTGTGGAGCTGCTAAGCGGAAAAAAATTTTGCTTAGCAAATTTTTGTGCTAAGCAAAAATCAGCTGGGAACCAGTCACAAGCAATACAAATCACATGGCATTTTGGCTGGTAACCTGTTTTTGCTAAGCAGATATTGTTTGTGCTTAGCAACTTTCAGCACTTAGCAGCTCCTTAAAATTGACCCAAAATTTTTCAGATTCGATGTCCATACTATCATAAACTAACCTTGTTGGCGTTGGAGATCTTGAACCGAGCCTTAACTTTCCGTCCCACAAGCACGTGACCGAAGATGAATTTGTTTTCATCTTCTCCGTACACCCCTCCCCCATCCAGCTCCAACTGGTGACTGTTCAGGAAGACGCTGAGGTTCTTGACCACGCGGTGTTCCTCGAAGATTGAGGCTAGGTCTACTAGGTTGATACCAGGGCTGCAGGCTTCGGCTAGGATCTTGTAAGGGATGCCCTGGGGATGGTCGGCCGGGTCGCGGTCTGTGATCTCAATGGCTAGGTCCTGGAGAGAGAAAGAACAACACAAAGATATTAGCTTAGTTATGGTAAATCTGCACCATTATCAAAATGTTATCGTTTCTAAACACTCTATTCCTCAACTCTTTTCCTACAGTGAGCCGATATATCGATGACACGCCACCCACTGGACATGATATAGATATCAGCTTGACCCTTGTTTTTAATCCATCTCACTGAGGCAATTAATTTATAGTAAAAGATTTACTTCAGTACTGGAGTAAAAGTATTGTCTCCACTATAGTTGTTGAGTCATCACAATTCAAATCACAGGTCAATCACAAGTCAAATCACAAGTCAATCACAAGTCAAATTCTAAGTCAAATCACAAGCCAATCACAGGCAAGTTCACCAGCAACAGGTATGAATAAAAACAAATTAGTACCTTTGTCATAGATCATATAAAAAGCTTGTGTTTTTTTTTTTATAACTTGTGACTTGAATAGCTTATGACTGAGAGGCCTGTGATTGGCTTGCGACGAAATCAGGATTTTGAAAGCATTCTTAGCGTTTTCAGTTTTGAGACAAGCATTACTTAAAGAGGTTGTGGAATGCTCTCAGACATTTCCGTCATTTTTTGGGTATATGTAGCCTAAGGTGTGATGAAATAAAAACGACTATTGTTTCTGTCATAAAATGAGTAAAAAAGGTACTTTTGAAAGCTGTTTTTCAAGTCCTGTCATGCCTGTTTCGACCCGAACGTGCAATTTGTGCAAAAGTCGTCGTTGCGGGCAGCAAACAAAACACAGTAAATTGTGACGTAATAAACAGGACTCCCGATGCAGAGTAGCATAAACGAGTCCTGTTTATTACGTCACGATTCACTGTGTTTTGTTTGCTGCCCGCAACGACGACTTTTACACAAATTGCACGTTCGGGTCGAAACAGGACCTGAAAAATAGCTCTCAAAAGTACCCTTTGTACTCATTTCATGACAGAAACAACAGTCGTTTTTATTTCATCACACCTTAGGCTACATATACCCAAAAAATGACGGAAATGTCTTCGAGCATTCCACAACCTCTTTAATGACTGAACTTCTTTATGTGAAACAAATCAAAGCTGAAGAGTCCTGTACCAACCTCATCTCCCTTTCCAGTAATCTCCGGCAGGCATTCCACCTGAATGATCTGCTGGTTGTTGGGATAGACCACGCCATAGGCAGGGTAGACGGTGAACATTCCAAGCTGTAGTCTGGTGGTGCTACCCCCACCGCCCCCACCACCGCCTCCACCGCCCATGTCTTGCCTGATGGATTGAGAGAAGAATTAGGATTATTTTTATTACCCTGGATTGGACGTTTGGGAGACATCCCCATAGACTTGTGCACAAAATTCTTCAAACTTAAATGTGCCCTAACCCAATATTCCCTTGTCCTTTTTCCACGAATTTCGGTTTGTTTACTGATTAGACCACGAGCAACAAATATAACCTAATTGCGACAATAACATTGTGCCTCTAAAGGGGGGCTGTGACATTAGGGAGACATGAAAATGTCTCCCTAATGACCGATGTCTCCCATCGAGCAAAGAAATTACGATAACGTGTCTCCTCAGTGGTACCTTTACACTAATTATCACTCAGGTCTAATTTGGAAAATTGGATAGATCTTAGAAAGATAGAAATTGGAAATTAAGACCATTGGTGCTTTCAGACAGGAAACAGAACTTTAAAAAGTTACTACTTGGCACCCAAATTTGGTTGCTTTCCTTTGAACGAAAAAAACAACCCAAAAAACCACCATTCTCTTAAATTATGAACCTCTGATGTAGTCAACAATACTTTTACAATGGAAACATATATGAATTTTACATTTGAATTATGATTCAGCCAAGATTGCATAGATTTCTAGTGAAAATGACAAACACTGTAAGCCACACACAAGGCCCGATACCTGAGAATGCATGTTTCTCCATATATATTGCTCAACTTTACACACACAAACATAGCTTCATAGTGCATTTGAAAACTGCATCTTGTGTGAAAAATATAAGGAGGGGACAATCTTTTTTTTATAAAATGAAACAAGTTTCCAATGCAAAAAATCTGAAAATTTACAAAACAGTGCAAATGGTCTTCACAGAGTGATGCTTTGTGTGGGTCACCCAAAGTGCTCATCCCTTAAAAAAAAAGTTTGTTTTGTTTGCCAAAAGAAACGTTGGTGCAGGTGTTGAGAATCATATCACACACTGTTTGGAAATGTCTGTCTGAGACACTGAAATGCAACATTCAAGGTGAAGTAGCAATCAGGAAATAAACAGTTTACCTCGTAGAAAGCCTGGCAGAGAGTTTCATGGCATAAACACAAAAATGAGTTAATCTAAATGCATTAACTTTCATGATATTCTTTCAAATAACAAGAATATTTAAATACATGACAAAAGCTTCATATCAAAAAAATTGTTTTAGGAAAATTTCAACAAAATATCCATCTTATAAAATACAGTATCGGTCATTTCTTCTACCAAACAACCAATTTTGCAGATACAGCAATACAAGCTTCATTATTATTAAAAATAAATTGTGGCAAATTCCAATATTAGCTATGCCTTTCACATTTATCATTTCCTGTCATCAAAACACAAAACAAATTCTGATAATAATATTCAGTGAAACTTCAAGACTTTTACCTCATGGAGTCTGCTCTCTTGGGCTTAGCCACAGAGCGGCCAGAGCTGGAGCCATCCCTGGATTTACTGCGCTTATTGCCTCCTCCAGGCCTGAGTGTGTGGAAATGACAGAAGGAGCAAGTACTGGAATTAACTTGACATTCAAACAACAAAGATCACTACAGCAACAGTGCTTCCATCAGTAAAACAAAACCATCACCAAGTGAAACAACTTCTGCTCACATTTGTGGCTAACGTGATCATAAAGTGAAGCACACATGTAAAATACTAAACACATATTATGGGAATGTCACATTAATAACTTTTATGTTAATTATCCTCATCAATTATGTATTTCCTCAATATATGTTATATCAAACGTAAGTGACAAAACCTTTATGATACACTTCCATAAAAGACTATTTCATTTGGAAACATCACAATATTTTGTGAATTTGTTCAGCACGTGGATTAGCTTAAAAGACCCCTCACATTGAAACAGGTGGATTAATAACTTTCTTTAGCTGAAAGAGAAGGTGTGAGGAGTGGGGATGAGAGCGGGGTGGGGAGGTGGGTTGGGGAGGTGGGGTGGGACGAGAGGGTGGGGAGAGGGGGGGGGGGCCATGAGATGGAACAAAGGATTAGAAATGAGTGTGTGCTCGTGCATTGCCACTGTGGAACTTGTACAATGTTTCCCAGCAAAAAAATCTACAAATTCTTGTGCTTGTTTGAAGTGCGTATCCTGCAGCACTGGCTGTGAGTGCTAAATGCTAATTCGCTATTAAACCCCGGATGGAATTGTTTGAGAATGAGGCTTTGTTAGTATTCAGCTGAAAAGTGTGGATTGGTGCTGATGCTTTTTTGTGCCAGTGCTATTTATAGTGCCAGTGCTATTTATAGGCATTACCTCAGAAACTGGAAGGAAGCCTTTGACGCTCGAGAACCGCTACAAGATGGTAAGCAAGCAAGCAATGGATAGGATTGGGGAAGTATGGAGAGGATAGATAAATGTACAAACAAAATGAGGACAGAACTGCAATATTATTTCTTCTCAAAGTGCTATCAGAGACATTTCACAGATTCTACCCAAATTAGAGAATTTACTGAAAATTATAAATATTGAAAAGTGGGGGGAAAATATGATTTCACTCTTTGTTGGATTGCTTTATAAAATGAATCAGTTACGTAGGAAGGCAAGCGTGAATTACAGGCTGGGCAAACAAAGACAATGCCATTAAATTTGAAGCTGGAAACTTATAAAAGAATGAAAAGCAAGCACACAAACAAATAGAAACAATAAGATGTGAAAGACATAAACATTGCAATTAGATGGAAAATGCAACAGTCTACATGCAGCAGAAACAAACTCCTGCAAATATCATGATATCATTCAGAGGACAAAAACTGATAGAGGTTAATTAAACAAACTAAAAAATGACTGGAGCAGCAGTCGAGCCTGTGACCAACAGAATTTAGGATCATCCCTCTACCAACAATGCTATCCAGCCCTACGTTAACAGTCTCCCAAGATGTCAACGTCTTTGTCCTAGGGGCACTAAAAATGCAAAGGAACAAGAAAACCAAACAAATTTTTAAAGAAGTTGTGTACTCACACTCTTCCCCTGAGTAGAGGCTGCATGGGCTGGGAATCCCGGCTCATCCGATTGATATTATACTTAAAATCAAACTCTCCTTTGTTCTCGATGATGAAGGATCGCGTGCGGCGCTGGCTGACCAGCACGGCGCCAAAGTTGATGTCGCCGACCGGGTAGACGTTGTACTTGCTGAAGATGCTGCGGACGCCCAGCTTGACAGGGATGCTGGCGATGGTCTCCCCGCCATCAGATATGTTGGGCTCGATCACCTTGGATAGCGGGAGGAAAGTGTTAGAGTTTAGGAACACTCTTGGAAATCTGTGTATAGTTTGTGGTTTTTGATGTTTGGTAATATGTTGGAAAAGCAAGCCTGTCATTTCTAGGTTACTCTACCTGCACCTACGATGCTAGGTATGATGTGGTCTCTGTTATACAGAACAAAGTACGGGAAAGCTGTTGGAAATGTATCTGCCGTTTATTAGAAATGATCACACAACAGAACTCTAGCTGGCATGATTTGATCATGAATATTCATACATACCTGGCATTTCAGCATTGGCTGGTCTCTGATGGTGACCTCTTTCCGTGACCTGAAGATGACCTGGACCTGCGTGGGTCGATCGTTGGGTACCAAGACTCCCTTCTGGGGGATGACTGAGAACAGATTGATGATCTCCTGACCGCACGTTTCTGTCGTCTCAAAATTGAAGCTGAACATTTTGGAATAAAAATAACGATTTATTTTTTAGAGCATGCGCAATGTTATGCACAAAAATTGGTCCATCGCAGGTTACTCCCCAGCTAATGCAGGCTCCCACTTATACTCCTGGGTGGAGAGAGGCAAGTGGGGGTGAAGTGGCATGCCCAGGGACACAACATATTACCAGCAGCTGGATTTGAACCCCTGACCCTCTGATCATGAGTTATGAACCACAAACACTAGGCCACACTCCCCCAAGATGACCACAGTAGCTCGGTCAAACTCGGTCACAAAAACTGTGAGAAATATACACAAACCAAAGATTGGGGGAGGGGGGAGGGGGGGGGGGGCTAATGGCGAAATCCGGAACGGTCCATTGACTGACCTGAATGCTATCTCATATCGTCCCTTGTTCTTGAGTGAGCATGTCTGCTTCGTCTCATCCATGACGCGGATGGTGCCAAAGTCCAAGCCACCGTCAGCACCCTTAGGGAAGCTCATATCTAAGGCAACATCGTAAGCCTCTGCTAGGACTTGGATGTTCTCTGTCTGGAGGAGACCCATGATATTCTCTACATCTGAGACCTGGACAGAGAAAAAATATTGTGGTGAATATTGATGAGATGAGAAACTAAGCAACTGCATAAGAAATACCGGATATTTTCAACATGATCTGCACGTTGGCCTCGTTTTATAGAATTTGATACTCCTGAAACTGAGTATGGACAAATATTGAGCTGGGGTACTTCACATCAGAGGCCTGAAATCTCCTGCAGCCAAAGCTGGAGGCAGAGCCGTGGTTTCAAAAACAAACTACAATTTGAAATAATGTCCATGCATTAAAAAATGGAAATAGCGCCCTCATGCGTAGAACCATGCACATCACCAATTAGCTGCTGCACACTTTACCTCTAATCGGATCATCTTCTTCAGGTTAGTAGGTCTCATGGCCCTGAAGTGAGCGTTGAGAGCAAACTCTGACTTGGGGTCAATCACGCCGGTATCCGTGGTCACTGAGAAGTCATCACCAAGGTTCTCCAGCCCGCTGAGACGCCAGGCTACGGGGAGTAAGGTGCTGTTGCGAAGATAGATGGTCTTGGTATCTTTCCTGAATGTCAAGAAAGTGGGAAATCGAATAAGAACAGGCTGCAAAGTAAAAACAAGTTGATCTGAAGAATTTTGCAGAATTTTGTAGAACAGACCTTCCTGCCTGTCAATCAAACAGTGTGCATTGACCAATTGGATCAGGACTTTTAGTCATGTGACTACAGTACCTCGATCAAACTCGGTAGCAAGCACTGCGAGAAAAGCATACAAACCAAAAGTAGGCGGGGCCTATGGCCAAATTCAAAATGGTCCATTCTTTGTAACAGGAAGCTACTTTGCGACCCAATTTCATGAGCTGCTAAACAAAAAATTGTTGCTTAGCAAATTTCGGTGCTAAGCCAAAGTCAGCCAAGAACCAGTCACAAACAACAGCAATCACTTGCAATTTTGACCGGTAAGCTATTTTCACTAAGCAAATATTTACCATGCTAAGTGAATTTGTGTGCTTTGCAGCTTCATGAATAAACTCATAAGCCAATTACCGGGAACTTCTAAGCAGAAAAATATCGCTTAACAAAATTTCATACTGCGCATAAATCAGCTGCAAACCAGTCAAAACCAGTAGGTCTCTCTCAAATGACGTCACTTCCCACAGATTGTCACATGCATCAGCATTTTGGGTGTAAAATTTTCGTGACGCGCATCGGCTGTGCCGGATTTCAAGAAATTTCGAGCAACATGCACGCGTGTTTAGAACATTTTTCACACTGCGTGCACACGCACCTGATGGCGTTGAACATGCAGTTGTAAGTTTCCTACGAAGACGGCTGTCTATGAGAGGGGTCTATATAAAGCATATGACTATTTAGCTGGTAACCTGGTTTTTGCTAAGCAATTATTTTTGGTGCTAAGTAAATTTCCACCCTAAGCACAGCCATGAAATTGGCTGCTTGGATTTATCGTGCTGACCTGTGCAGGAGAACTTTCTCAAAGTGCAGTTGTTTCTTGTCTAGTTCCAGCTCGGGGCGCACGCCATAGCAGCTGATCTTGAAGAGGGTAGGCTCTGGGTTCTCCTTGACGCAGCACACAATGCTGTCTTCAAAGAAGCCTTGGTTCTTAGGGTAAACCCACAACGTCAATTCCTGGTAGACAAATAACAAGAAAGGTTAGGATATGGGAAATTCTCGCATATTTCTAAGCTTGAAGAAAAATTAAACAAAAGAAGCTTGTTTTGTTGCAGGAGCCGCATTTAATTATAAAATATTTGCTGAATTTCTCCTTTTCTTTCTATTACTACAAGCCATTCTTTACATCTTAGGCCAATTTTCTGGAAGTTATTCTAACGAAAGCTTGACCACTCAGTTTTCCCGACAACGAACTCAAGAAACCTAGAAACATATTATGGATTCAACTTGTGATAGCATTTCCTAGTGGTCTCGGGACTTGCCAGAAAAATAATATTTACTCACCAAAAACAGATTACCAGCTCACATATTAAATGATGTGAACTGCCGTTGGCTTGTTCTCAGCCGCTTTTCGTTTAGCATATCAAAATTTGGTAAGCAAATTTGTTCAGTTTAGATGTTACATGAAATACGGCCCTGGTTATGAACAAGAAACTTAACTCTCTCAAATAACATTTTGAAAACTAGGAATAAAGAAATATTTTCAAATGATTTCTTGAAATTTTAACTGACCTGAGATTCGCCGGGTTTCAGCGTCATTGTTGTCGGTTCCATCAGGAAGGTGGTCGCGTTGCTATCGTGCTGGAAGCAGAACGCAACCTCGGCCTCCAGCGGCGAGGAGTTATTGATGGTCAGTTTCTCTGAGTTCTCCGGGTAACGGCCATCCTTGTAGCGGTCCCGGGACTTGCCGGCTAAGAGAGGACCCATCTGCAGTGTCTCTGAGCTCAGGATGTACTTCTTGTGGACGATTTCGTCTGCTCGCTTGCTCTTCTTGCGGTGGGGGAAGACAATCCTGACAACAACGACGAATGAAATATTTTAACAAACAAAATTACAAAATTTTCATTCAGACTGTCCAAATACAAGAAAATTTAGCGCTGCACAATATTTTTTGTCTGCATTTACTGGTTTTAATGGTCTTGACAGGAAAAAAAATTAAATAAGCAGATACAAGGAGAGTTATAGGCCAATAAACGTGAGGATGAAATGCTTGACGAAACGAAAGCGGCAACAAGTTTCATACCTGGACATCACTCAACACCCTGTGCACAAACCCTATGAGACTGGTCCGAAAAATTCCGTTTTTTCAGTAAATGCTTCAATATTTTCCCTGCTAAATTTGACTTTTTAGTATGTTATCGCTTTCTGATGGCTGATAGGTCACTGCAGGGAAAATAAGTGATGTCCATATATGGAATTCTTCCCCACAAGTTGAAAGTTTAAAAAATAGACAACTATCCTATTTGTTTAGTGATATCATTGAGTAACAGACATATCAAATTATAACTTAAGAATGCAGCTGAAATTTTTTTTACAGAAGACAATGAAAGCACAAGATAAAAACTCAGACAAAGGAAGTCCCATCCAATGCCATCAATTCTAAAATTCCTTTCAAAAGAATTCCTTTCATGAAGCCTACCTCGGTTCACGGCTGATGTTTGGGAAGCTGCAAACCCCGCGGCAGTACAGTTGGTAGCGTCGTCGAGTACCAACGATCTCAAAATTCAGCGTCTGGTCAAACTGGCCGAGCTCATCCGACTGGAAGCGGAGACGCAGGAGAATCGCTGACTCAGCACCGATAGTCCAGCGGAAAATACCAAGCCTAATAAAAATACGATGAATAAATTGCGACGATTTAGAGGAATTACAAACATCACTTTAGAATTTCAATACAAATTGATCAAAGTTTTCTTTTTCTGGTAAAAACTTGCTCAGGAAATTTGCCATGCTTAGCAACTCAAGGATTGATTGCTATTATTATTAATTTATTTTGGGTAATAATTAAACCGATTATTACCATAGGGCTGTAACTCACAGTTTAGAAAAAGCTGCTAAGAGATAGTTATCAAGAATTAGTTTTAGAAATGGGAGAAAACTCCACACTGATATGGTACGGGAGATCACGGTATCAGGCAGGAACTGACAACCACATAGTTGTGGGTGGGAGTCGAACCCAGGCCTCAGATGTGAAAAGCGAGGAAACTACCATGAAGCCACATTGATGGAGTTGAAAACTGAAAACTATCCAAACAGATTTATGTAGAGAGGCAAAATTTAGTTGGGAACCAGTGACAAGCAATAGCCTTATACATGGTATTTTGGCTGGTAACCTATTTTTGCTTAGCAAATATTTCCTCTCCTTAGCAAAAATCTTGAATCCATAAAACAAGCTCCGTTGTTTACACTCACTTGGGGTTCTTCGGCTCCTGCATGGCAGACATGTCCCCGGCCGTGCTGCTCTGACCGTCAAAGTCTGACCCCGGGGTGGTGGTCCCTGGGGGTGGGGAGGTGACCGTCAGTGACCCTTTGCGGTTACGGGAACCCTTGGCAGACCGGCGACGGGAGCTTGTGCTCTCCGCCCCAGAGCGGGTTTTGTCCTTGCCTTTGCCCTTACCGGTGGGTGTGGTGTGTTCATCCTGAGAAATAGGCATCAGTGATATTAAGTAAGACTCCTTCCCTTGAAATCCAAACTTTGTTACATTGAAGGTTAAATTACTATAATTTTTTTTTACTTGCCACAGCTTATTGAAAAAAAATGTTTTAAAAGTTTCACTTCTCAAAAAATAATTATAAGTTTCACATTTTTTTCATCATTTTTGAAATTATTTTCATAAATAATCACAGACTATTTTTTGAGAGGTCTCAAACACCAAGTTTGTAGCAGTTGAATTAAGCACACCAAAGCATATCATCTTCACAGTTCCTCTAAACACTGAACCTTTCATGAACTGACCTATCGCGGTCGAATCGCATTAGAATCGCGTCAAGGCCGCTTGTGAAATATTGTCCAATTATGTGATATACAAATGGATGCGGAACGCGCAAAATCTGAGACAAACAAAATTTAGTGTACAAAAACTCCATAGGATTGTCTAAGGGGCGTGGCTAACTCGCAAAGGGCAATAGGTCAATTCTAAAGGCATTTACAGAGCCAATCTGCACAGATATTCACAGATTTTTCAACTGAATGAGTGCCTTGTAGTTTCAAATTTTGCCTGTCGTTTATAGAAGATTCTATTTGTACTCTACCTTCTCTCTGGCCTTGTCTGGAGTGGAGGAGTCTGGTTCCTGGTCCACTTCCTTGGTTTTCTCCTCCGGAATTACATTCCTACAAATGAAGAGATTACAACTAATGAACATAGACCTGTTGTGCACTAAAACGTTCCTTAAATTTAGCTTTTAAACTACACTAAGACAAAATCCACGGTATGAAAAAATGCAAGTTTTTAAAAATCCATTCTGCAAATATTGAAAGCAAATAAATATCTCTGCAAAACACTACTTGCATACCAAAAATGTACTGTAGTACCAAACACAGAAAATCCACAACGGTTCCAAAAATTCACTACAATACAAAACTATCAACGGAAGCACCAAAAATCTGTTACAGCACCAAAGTCAACTACAATACCAAAAAAATCCACTTCAGTGACAAGAATCCTCAAAAAAAATTCCACTCTAATCAAAAAATTCCACTGGCGCAATAAATATCCACTAAAGTACCAATATCAGTACCACCATTCCACTTAAAGTACTAAATAGTGGCTATAATATCAACAATCCACTCAAGTGCCAAAAATCAACTGTAGTACCAAAAATCTACTATAGTACCAAAAATGTCACTGTTGTACCAAATGAAGTACTAAAAGTGTAACTTACGGGTCATCAGGTGAGGATGCCACAAAGACATAATGTCCAGACGGATCTGCACCCAAAGGAGCCTTCCTCTTGACAGGATAAGGTACAACGGAGAACATCGCCGATGGGGGCATGGGTGGGCCGTTGGGCCCTAACCCTAACCCATCTAGAACCTCAGCAGATGTGGGCAGGCGTTTGGTACCCAGTACCCGGTCGCCCATCTGGGTGTCGGGCTCGCTGGCATCCATCAGGAGGTGGGGTACGCCAACCTCATCTTTCTTGCCTCCGTCTTTTTCGTCATCTCCGTCCTTGAGGTCCCCCTGCTCGCCGCTCTCGGCCAATGCCTGTTTGGGACGAAAGAGAAACTTCATAAGCTAAAAGGTCTTGGGTTCAGGAAGGTTGTGAGGTTTCTCTTGCAAGCTAAAAAGAACTGAGTGAAACTTACATTATTTTGTTGGTGAATTACTAATCTATTATTTAAAATTCATCATAGCTCGATATGTTCCACCTTTTCTGCTTTCTCCTTTTCCAGCCATTCTCTTTCCAGCCGTTCTCGTTCCTTCTCTCGCTCCCTCTCCTTTTCCTTCTCTGCCTTGCTTTTGCCCTTACGCCCAGAGGGAGGATGAGCTGGTATCTCCTCAGCCTCCATTTCGTCTGCCAGCGGGTCAATAACAACTTGTCCTATTGGACGAAAAGAAAAAAAATCTCCTTGAAAGTTTTATCATTTCTAAAATCTATTATATTAATGGATGTCAGTCACACAATTCAATTCTTTCATTTTTTTTATTATTTAAACAGATTTGACCAAAAACTTCTTTTTAGCAGTAACTTCATTTGCAATCAAACAAGAAAATATTTGATTACATTTCAACTTTTATACAAGAATATCTAGTTGCCTGAATGGTGCTTTTAGGGATACTATAATAAAGGTTTCAAATTAGGGCTGATATATTAACTGCCTAAGTCTAGTCTGCACTACTCTGAGCTGACAGAATCATCTTGCAATTAGTAGACTTGAGGCATTTTACTTTTATAGTCAAGTCCATAACAGGACAAATCACAAGACAGATCACAAGTAGTAAGCATATCATAATGACAAAGGAATGCCTTTATCACAGTTCAATGGGCTCCGTGCGCCAACAAAAGAGGGCGCGTTTGTACCTCTTTTGAGAGCTCCGTGGACGGGACACACAGCATGCGCGTACTGTACTGTACTGGTTCACGTGCGAAGTACGCACAACCTCCTGAATGTGCAAAACCTATAGCCACCGTACCTTTGCGTGAGCGTCAGGCGTCGTCAGCACGCAAAAACATTTGAATTCAACTCGCGATGGTCTCAGAGACTAATCCCCGCCTCCATTAACTTTGGATACATTCGAAATACGCAGTGGATGGATCGGGAACCAGTCTAGGTCACCCCAAACGCTCCATTTTTGGCCGTTGATAGGGTACTTGTGCACGGAGCACTTAGCTGGTCACCTCACTTGAGACGGGAGGACTGGCGATCGACCTTTGAGGGCTTGACTACAGTTCTGACTCCTGGGTAATTACAGACTACAAAAACAATTACAGATTGCCAAAAAAACATCTGAGTAACATACCGATGGTCCTGTCCCATCGATCCAGAATCTTCTCAATTTCTTTCAGGCCGTGCTCGAAGGCCTTGAAGCGACACGTCAGTAGCATCTCAGCTTCCTTGGCTGGGTCCCTCTCCGGTTCAGGCTCTGGGACGACTTCGTTGGAGATTGGCCGAGTCTTGTCCTTCTTACGCTTCCTGTATTTAGGAGAAAAGATGAGTGTCATTCAGAGAAATTACTGGGGATTTTTTTTTATTTTAAACAGAACGAGGGGACTTCAGACATTGTGCCTTTTGATACATTATAGGTGCCATCTGAGACCTATTTAATTAAAATGTTTAATCAAAAGCAAACAAAATGATTAGCAAATTTATGTCCATTGCAAAAGTCGGCAGTGAACCAGTCACTAACAATACACACTACATGGCATCTTGGCTGGTACCCTTTTTTTTGCTAAGCACATCTGTTTTATGCTTAGCACAAGCCTGTTGTCAGCATCTCAACGCACTTGACCCAATGTTCCATTTCTGAACTGAAGTATCTCTGTAGAAGATCCTTACTATAGGGTTTTCCAAACTAAGGCTTCCTTCCGGCTTTGGCCACATTTTGAGCTAATGCCTAAACCAAATGCTAACATTCTGAACTTTGGACAAAGGTCTAAAAGGAATTGATGTGTCTCAGGCAAAGCTGGAGATGAAACCGTGGTTTCGAAAACCCAATAATATATTACAAATTGATATAATGGACACTAACTGTCAATCAAACAGTACATATTAGATAACCCAATAAGTGAACCAATAGGATCACTACTTTCGGTTAGGTGACCATATTAGCTCAGTCAAACTCAGTTACAAGCACAGAGAGAAATGTAAACAACCCAAAGGTGGGTGGGGCTAATGACCATATCTAGAGCTATACCAATACAACATCTCCAAGAGTTAGTTATAAATTTGATTGTTGGATTTTTACTCACTTTCCACCTTCCTCCTGTGATTCGCTTCCGGCCGTCCCGTGAGACTCGGGTCTCTCAATGACCGACGACGCCCCTGCCTTGAGGCCGTGCTCAGAGGGCAGGGCTGGCTGGTCGTGTTTCCCCTGATCCCCGGGGGGTCTCTTCATCCCCGCCTGGCTGGCCGTGGGGCCTGCCTTGCCTCCTCCCTCCTGGGATTTCTTCAAGGGTGCCCCCTTGGCATCTTTCTCTTGGCCCTTGGCTCCTTTCTTCTTTCCTTTCCTGGGTTGAACAGGATGAAATTTATGAATTGTGCATTTTCTCAATTTGATTGTTACCATCACAGTAACTGGATTTTATGCACAATTTCTCCTTCAAAAATTAAAGAAAATTTTTGAGACTCCCTTAAGACTTTTTAAAATCCAGCCACTGACATTGACCCTCAAGGTTCTAGCATTAGTTTGACCTACCCAATGATTGGTAAAATTTGCAGCCCACACTGTGCTGCTAAAAGAGCATCTTAAAAATTTGTAAAATTACTATTTCCTTCAGAAACATTTAGAAAAAAGCGCATTATGTGCTAAGCATAAGCAGTGTCCCAAGGTGAAACAGGTTGTGTTTTTTTAGTTAATATGAGGACACTTACTTATCATCTTCAACTTTCTTTTCTTCAAGGAGAGCAGCAAGTTCTCGCTCCTTTTTCTCCCTCTCAAGTCGCTCTTCCATCTCCCTGTGAAATACAAAGAAAAAAGGTTCAGATTAAGACAATCAAAAACATTTCTATTTCAATTAAAAGACCTCCTTGTTATTTTACTGTGACTTCAAAAAGTAACAAATTTAAAGTTTATCTTTATAAGTAGTGTGGTGAAGTGCATGAAGGAATTTCTGATATCAACCAGAAAGTTAATTTAATATTAGGTTCGCCCTTCACTGACATAATTTACGAAGCACTGCACACTCAGTACTGTCTGGGAGCTTGCGAGAAAAAAATTCACAAGCTTGCTCGGGTGGGACTCGAACCCACGACCTCCTGCTTAGTACTAGTGCAGATGTCTAACCACTAGACCACTAAGCTTGCCAGGACGGCTGGCTGGGTAAAATCTGATATAGCAGTAGATACTGCAATTAATATCTATACAATGGCGAGCTATGATGACTATACGCTAACTTTTTCAGGAGGCGTTCCTTCTTGGACTTGAGACGTTTGCGGTCAACATCAGCTTTCTCCTCCTCAGTCAGGTTATCGTACTCATCTTCTGACATCTCCTCCAGTCGGCGTTTCTCCTCCTCTTCTTGTTCTTTCTCAAGACGCTCTGTGGAAACATAAAGACAAACAGATGACATTTTAAAACCTTACCAGATTTGCACAGAGGTGCTTCTTAGCCTTACACTTTTATTGTATCTACCGAAGTCGTTACTGTAGCAACCTTTGAAAATCTGTAACAGTTGGTGTAAACCTCAAATACATAGTCGTCATAAAAGTGTGATTATCGTTTGTCAGCTTATTCCTTCTAACAGATCTATAACATAATTACACAGTAATTGAACCTTACTTCAACAAACACAATGGAGTCAATAAAAGATCAATAGAAGTAGTTGATTATAGTGATTTCTGGCAGCAAATGCTCAGTATAAATGTGCACAAAATTCTGGAGCAAAGAGGGCATGTTTGTCATAGCCAAATGTTGGGTATAGTGGTGTTTGTCATGGTGGTGTTCTACATCACATCAATTCTCATATCAGTGGCAACTTCTTGACTTAACTGACCTTTCTCTTCCTGAAGCCGCTTCTCCCTAGCCTGGAAGACAGACTGTTCCAGCTTCAATGTGACAAAGTAGATGTACTTGCGGTTGTTGAAGGCCTTGAGGAGGGCGTTGGCTGTGGCCGTGTGGTTAGGACTGAACATGGTCTCCAGGCTATCGATGACTATACCGCGATGGCAGTCATTGAGCTGAAATGTAGCAAATGAAATATATTTGAAATTGGTTAAAAAGTAAGTAACAAAAAAGATGAAATTCTAAGCTTTACAGACTTCATACAGTGTTTTTCAAGTCTCAATGGCATAAGTGTCAAGTGAGAAAGAAGGAAATCGGCTCATCTGCGGAAAAGTTACATGTCTGATCACGTCTGGTCAAAAGTACACCATGAATTGAGTTCTGACTGATTTGTGATTGACTTGTGATTGACTTGGGATTGACCTGGGATTGACTTGTGATTGACTTGTGATTGACTTGGGATTGACTTGGGATTGACTTGTGATTGACTTGGGATTGACTTGAAATTGACTTGGGATTGACTTGGGATTGACTTGTGATTGACTTGTGATTGACATGGGATTGACTTGTGATTGACTTGTGATTGACATGGGATTGACTTGGGATTGACTTGGGATTGACTTGTGATTGACTTGTGATTGACATGGGATTGACTTGGGATTGACTTGGGATTGACTTGGGATTGACTTGTGATTGACATGGGATTGACCTGGGATTGACTTGGGATTGACTTGTGATTGACTTGTGATTGACATGGGATTGACTTGGGATTGACTTGGTATTGACTTGAAATTGACTTGGGATTGACTTGGGATTGACTTGGGATTGACTTGGGATTGACTTGCAACTGACTTGTGATGACTTACGACTGACCTGTGATTGACTTGTGATTGACTTGTGATTGACTAGTTAATAACATGTGATTGACTTTCGATGAGTTATGTCTGACTTGTGATTGACTTGTGACTGACTTGTGTTTGACTTGCAATAGACTTGTGATTGACTCGTGATGACTTATGATTAACCTGTGATTGACTTGTGATTGACTTGTGATTGACTTGTGATTGACTTGTGACTGACTTGTGACTGACTTGTGTTTGACTTTTTGTGATGACTAGTGATTGACTTGCAACTGACTTGTGATGACGTATGATTGAGTCTGTGATTGCAATCCTATGTTTTACCTGAAGTCTCTCAGCCAGTATCTCCACCAACAATTCCTCAGGCAACAGACAGCTCATCAGCCCTTCCTCCCCGGCCACGCTGGCGCTGACGCTCAGCCTCCTTGCGATTGGAGCAGCTGGCGGTGGACTCCCAGACAGCTGGGTGGCATTGTCGTCCTGTTTCTTGTCCTTCTTGTCCTTCTTGTCGGGTTTTTCCACGCCAGGGGCTGCCTCACCTCCCACCGGTTTGTGGCCGGAGATGGTGCTGGTCTTGCGGTTGCTGATGACGGAATGGGCCCCACCGCCAGCCATGCTGACTGAGCCTGAGATGACAAGTAATATTATTAGCTTCAAGAATTAATTTGTTGGCTATTGTGTGAAAAAAACCTGCTTTGAATTTCAAACTAAATATTAAAAAAAAAAAGATCTTTAAAGAAGTTAAGATATTTTGAAAAAGGCATGCGTACCAAACTATTGAAATTTGTGTTTTAAATGCTATTTTAACTGTATGCAATATTTACTTGACTAGAGTTTCGTACCTGTAATGTTTAATATGTAACTATATATTTAACAATTCACTACAATATCCGAGAACCATTTGATGGGGATGCTCCACTTTTTGCCTCTTGCTTCCATTCAACTTACAATTTTCTTAGCCTTAATGGGAATGCAATTGACAAAAATGCATTCCTCTTTTTCATTTCTTAAATATTTACCTAATCTTCCTTAGGTAGTACTTTCTGCGTTCTGTGAGGTGGTTGATCACAGAGTGGGACATGCCAATACCATCACATTTGTCTGTCCATTTTCCCCCTGTTTTCCTGTCTACTTTAGACTCCAAACCTAAGCGGCTTCTAGCCATAATGGGATTAACCTAAATGGACAAATTTGAATTACCTGAGCCAGCTCCAAGTCCCATAGAGTGAGCCGCCACAGCCTCGACGCTCAGCCCCCCAGCCCCGGGGGCGCCACCACCCCCGGCCATCTCGCTCCCGTCCCCTTCCCTGACCAGCTGCGCCTTGGCTGCCTGGGCACACAGCTCCCTGGCACGCAGGCCGGCCGGGGTGTTGCCATTGGAGATAGCTTCTAAGACCACACTGTCGACAGTAAGAAGGGCTGCCTCGTAGTATTTGGCTAGGGTGATGGCAGTCGAGGTTTTTCCTGTGTGACAATTGCACATTGAAGAGTTAATAGGGCTCATAGTCTTTTCTTTTTAATTCTTGATGTTGCCCTTAACTAAAACAATTTTAACTCATAAGCAATTTTATGGGTCTTTTCATATGTGCTCTCACAGAGCGTTATACAGTGCATCTAAAATAATACTGTCTTTTTAAAATAATTACATCTCCAAAATACAAAAAAAAAAAAAATTCCATCATCCAATATTCAATGTTGTTAGTCTCACTACTCATGACAAAACACAAGTAAACCACAATTAAATAACAGATAAGGTCATAAAAAATAGGGAATGAATGCTCAGGAAGGGCTGCCTTCTTCACAGCTTACTTGAATAGCTTGTCACTGGACTTGGGCACGGATGACTCGTGACTGACTAGTGACTGACTAGTGAGGACTTGTGATTGACTAGTGAGGACTTATGAATTAAACGGGAGGACTTATGATTGACTTGTGAGGACTTGTGATTGACTTGTGCAAACTTTTGGTGATTTCTGATTGACTAACAAGAGCTTGTGATGACTTGCGATTGACTTGTGATTGACGTCTGAGGACTTGTGTTTGACTTCACTTTTCAGCACTTAAGACAACTTATAAGAGAGGACTTATGAGGTCTTGCAAAGACTTTTAAGGACCAGAGCCAACTTGGGGCATCTTGTGAGGACCTAACTATAATTCCACCCAGACCTGCACTGACCTGACATGGGTGCTCCATGGACCATGATAGCCACCCCTCTACGCCTCATGGCTGCCTTGCCTTCAGGGGACAGGTCGATACCGAGGTGTCTGGCAATGGCAGCCGAGATGGGAGTGATCTCTAGGAGCTCTCCCACGCCCACACTGCTGGCTGCATCCTTCTTGTCTGTTGGATGATGAAAAATAAATAAAGGGGTGAAAGTCGACCAGAATCCAAACCACAGAACACACCAAAAATGTAATGTTGATTGAAGGATTGAATCTCTATACTATCAAGGTAACAGTTAAAAAAAAGATGGAGATTGCAATGATTGTTCTTTCCAAAACTTTGGGTATAATTTTAAACCAATCCCGTACAGATCATATTCCCCCCCCCTTCATATTCCGCATCGCACTCCTTCTATATTGGAATGCCACCATTTTTGTGAAGAAGCAAGCTTCTCAAAAATCACAATACTTTGTTGTCCGATTCCTCATGCCCGTCCCTTTGTAAAAATAGTACGGAAATATTTAACGTGAACGGACACTACGTCTGAAACAAAATGATTCTACTAGCCTATCACCCCAACCCAGCCCATGCCCCTTCCAAAAAAAGTATCCATTCAAAATGAGGACATATGTAATAAAACAAAAAGCAACAAAAGAAAACTCGTGTAAAAAAAAGAAAGACAGACATCTCAGTTTTGCCTCTTTTGTTTTTTCGTGCTATTTATAAAAAGGGCTATATATTCTGCTCCTGACATTCAGGAAATATTCAATTAAACATTTAAACATTTTACAATCTCTTTTTTTTATTTAAGGGTTGGATTGATGACTTTTTTTCCCCACAAACCTTGAGGTCCCTCCTTATCCTTAGGCAGCTGCAGTCTATCAGTCTCCTCCCCACCCTCGGGGGCTGGTTTCTCACCCTTCTTGTCACCCTCCTGGCTAATGGTCGGGGAAGTGGCTTGTCCCTTGGTAGTGGGGACCGAGAGGGACCCTCCATGGCTGGCTGGGTCGTCCTCTGTGGCTCCGCCCACTGCCTCCTGACCTCCTGCTGCTTCATCTGATACAGACAACAAAGAGATTCCCAAATGAGAGTACAGATTGGATCTGTTAGAAGCAGTTTGCAGAATGCCTATGCAAAGATTATGATGAGATTTAAGATGTGTTCCCCATGCTATTTTCGAATTTAACCTCGAAAACTAAATTGTTTTCAATTGCTCTTTTCCTAGCAATATAAAACTTATTCAGTTTTTAATGAGACATCGAACAAAAAATCCACCAGTTTAGTTATTGAATTATTTTTTCACAAAAATTGAATTATTGGCTGCCAGACAATAATTCGTCTCTTGCAGAGCCAGTTCATTTGTGCACAAAATAAAAGCCCTCCTTCAGAGAGTTTCAGACGCCCAAAAATTGGAATAAAGTAGTTTTTGATGTTGAAACGAAACATACAAAGCGAAAATTCGGAGACGAACACTCATTTTTTGAAGAGCACAGGATATCATCTTTAGCTATAGATGGATGTTTCATGACGTCACGATCAACGCATTTGTACTTTATCATCAAAATGAGAGGCAGTGCAGTCAGAGATAAAGTTAGAATGAACGACACTGGACAAACATCACCACAAGAGGGGGCGATTGCTCCTACCTTGTGTCGCTTCCTGTGCAGCAGCAGCAGCAGCTTCAGCCTTAGCTTTTTCCTCTTCCTCCACTGTTTTCTTCAGCTCCTCGTAATGCTCCAACAGTTCGGGAGGCAACTTCTCCCCAGGGATGCGAGGCGGGAGCAAGATGGTGCCGTGCTCGTCGTAGTCCTTCACAGTTCTCAGCATCTGAAAGAGAACATCAAAAGCACCGAGAGTTTGCACAGATTATCACAGAGTACCAAAGACTGTAACGGATTATCATAGATTATCACACACTATCACAGACAATCACAGATTATCAAAGATTATCACAGATTATCGCAAATTATCACAGACTAACACAGATTATCACAGATCATTACTGATTATTGCAATTATCACAGATTATCACAATTATCACAGATTATCACCGATCATTACAGATTATCACAAATAATTACAGATTATCACAGATGATGTCACTGAATGAGAGTGGGTGTATATCTAAAAGAATTCTAGGCGGTTTTACACCAGGAAATTGGAAAGAATCGATTGTACCTTCTCTTCATCGAGATACTGATCGTCAAACTCCAGCGAATAGAACTCGATGGGGAATGAGCAGGGATTCTTGACGACCACGTCCACCTCGTCGCCGATGCTGTGAGGCAGGATGGGGTCGAACTCCAGCAGGGATTGGTTGAACTCGATACGGGGTTCCAGACCCGTGCCGTGGGCCATCAGGGTCAGACGCTGACTGCTCTGGCTCAGACGGATGACGATGCGATCAGAGTAGAGTTTCTGTTGAGGATGGATTGTGGTTTAAGATGGTTAAGAAAATAACAGGTGAAACTTGCCAAAATGATTATTGCTAAAGATTCTGTGAGGATCAGAATCTCTGGCTCTCCCTAATTTACTTGTTATCTGTTTGAGGTAATTCCAGTTGGTTAAACATTTTGCAGCAAATTATTATTTCTTACATTTCTGATCCAACAAAAGGACATTGCTGTCCTGTGCAAGACATCACGACTAGCCTATGATTTAGCAGCTATCTACTTGAGCATTCTTCTTCTTTTTTCCTTTTTTTTTGGGGGGGGGAGGTTTGTGCTTACCAACAAATTTTTGAAAATGAGGGATTTATATTGAATCTTACTTGAATATATTTGGGGTGTTTTTATGGGATTAAAGCATGAAAAAAGCATGTGACATGGACTCGGTCCATATTCAATTCAAAGCTTCCTGATTATAGCATTTACAAAAAATAATATACAGTGATTTCCCAAAGTGAACACACGTTTTTGATCTTTGTTTTTAAAAACCAAGGTTTTTAGAGAAAATTTCAATAAAATGTAATTTCACATTCTTTAAGTCAGTAACAAATACTAAACATTAATGCTTTGGCCCAAGTTTGATACTCTTGTACTTAATAAGCCTTCTAATCTGCCTTGCTTGCAACAAACCTAAGAGTTTTTACAAATAAATATAATTACTCCAATCATACTCCAATTATCAATCATAAAAATGAAGACAGAGAAGGAAAATCTACCTCTTCAGTGGGCATGAACTTGACCTGTACGTTGACCCTCTGGCCTGGCAGTAGCATGCCCAGAGGGGGCATCATCTCAAAGTTACGTGGTCGCGCTTTCTCTGGGCGGAGCTTGCGCCTTAGGTGCATCGGCATGTGCTTGTCAATCTAAAAAAAAGCACAGAATGACTTCAATATTACGGATTGGTTTAGTAGTATACAAAAAATGTTATCCACACGCACACAAAATCTGAAATCTTGCAGGCTCTCGGACACCACTGAGTTATAAATCTAAAATGCTTAGTGTCTCTCCTGTATATAATAAGGAGGGATGAGATTGTCAATTTTTTAGAAGTCTGAAAATTGGAAAAATTGTCTAAAAGATGCATTTTTTTCTATATTGATGTCTTTCTCTCAGATTTGAAATGTCTGATTTCAGACAAAAGTCGGGAACTTGAATCTCATGCCTGAATAATAAGTTCAAAGTTGAAATATTGTAAAAAAAAAGTGAAAAAGTGAAATTAAGTTTTGTCCACAGATTAATATGTGTATTATCACATCAAACCTGAACTTTCTTTTAATTTTTTGGAGATTGACCACACATAGTTGTTTTTATGTTAGTGAATAAAAAAATGACGCAAATTCAGGTTAAGTGTTGCACATCATTCAGAAAATGCTACCTTTAGGAGTTTCATTATTTCCTGCAGAAGGTCAAGCAGTAAAGAGAAAACATTAAAATGTCACAAAATTACATAAAAAAATGATGTTTCACATGTATTCTGCTAAAAACATACTTATCGACAGAGCCCAGTATGGACTGTTCTGAATTTAGGCATAAACACCGCCCACCCATGGTTTATAACTCCGCCCACCCATGGTTTATAAACCCCGCCTACCAATGGTTTATAAACCCCGCCCACCCATGGTTTGTAAACCCCGCCCACCCATGATTTATAAACCCCGCCCACTCATGGTTTATAAACCCCACCCACCATGGTTTATTCACATTTCCTACAGTGCTTGTGACTGAGTTAAACTGACCTACTGTGGTCACCTGACCAATAGCCATGATCTTATTGGTCAATGCACATGTTTAATTAACAGGCAGGAGGCATCCACTTCTATCATAACATTTTTTAAAAACGAACAAGAACTGCTATCCACAGTTTAACCAAATTATCATGAATTCCTCACCATTTTTCTCTCTTTGTCTGTGGGAAGCGACGTCCACTCACACTTGACGTGTTGGTTGTTGTGTAGCTGGACCGTGATGACCTTACACTGACCGCACTGGACGGGACCGAAGTCCAACGAGTCGGTGGAGATCTGCATGTCCGGCATGGTCACGTTGGCGCGCAGACGCAGGAAGACGCAGGGTCCATTCACGATCTGAGAAATCAAAACACAAGTTACTGTCATACAGGCCTACATCTGAATGACAGATATATCAGGTGATGTTGGGAAGAACCTAATATTGTACTTTTTAACAACAAAAGTTTTAGAAAACTCAAAACAGAGCATTTCTCAGTAAAAGCTAACAATTAGCTTTATTCACCAATTCAGAGTTGAGTTCAGTTCAATCACACGTCAAATCACGATAATCACAAGTCGAATCACATTTCAATCACAAGTCAATCGCAAGTAAAAGAGGATGAAAAATAAGAAAGAAATGCCTCTCTGATAGTTTGTTTAAATAGCTTCTGACTTGATTTCAATTTGGTTTTCTTCTGATTGACTTGATATGAATTATTAACTAAAGCCACTTTTTCGTTTATAACAGCTAAAACCATGAATTTCCTGCCAACCCCCTCGTTATGGGATAATTATCTTGTTTGACTCGTGTATGTATACTTTTATGGAAGTAGAATTGTCAAAACTCAACTCCAAAATGCACATAGTTGAAGCACAAGTTCAGCAAGGTTTAATTTGTCAAAACTGTCAAACGTGGAAATGTTGGATAAACTTGGATTAACAACCATCAGAAATGTATACGTACATTTACAGGAACCACAGCCTGTAAGTCCCCCAGTCCCACATTAGCCCCTCGTGGGTCAAAGCTGACTCTGAAGTCCACGGTCTCATGCTCGGGGTAACCGGGCAGCTGACGCACGCGGTCCAGCTCAACATTGAAACCGGTACCCGTCAAGCTGGTGCGATCCACAGAGAACGAGGCTGCATAGAAGCCGGTGTTGGTGGCACGCACGATGTGGGTGCGCACCATACCGAGAACCACATAGCCGAAATCCAGAAGGTAGTCTGGTAAACGGGCCCTAGTGGGATAACATACAATAGATATTTGAGTTTTGGATACCATGAATTAGTTAAAAATTCTTTACAGTTTAGTTTTAGGATCTTTGCTTGGGTAAAGAAGGAGAATAGGGGGAGTTAGAAAAACCTAAGTAAACCTTTTTTTATTTCTTTTTTTTTTTTTGAGCTTTTTTTTAATTCTTCAAATGTTGAAGATTGCAGTGGTAATAATGCTACGACAGCCAAAAGCCCCAAAATCCTAATTTTTAAAATATTTGAAGCAAAATCTGGAAAATGTCATTACTAGTAGTAATTGATAATTGCTTGCATATTCTTTTAGAATTCTATGAAGAAAAATAAATAATTATATATGAGAAAATAAATATTTTGGAATTTTTCACAGCTTTCACATCTTTAAAATTTATATTGTAAATCTTTTTTTAAAACAGTTCCCAAAATAAAACAATGTTGCTTCCAACAGTTTTAACTTCACCTAATGCACATGTCTAAGGGAGTGTGGTCTTGTGGTTAGGGTTTGTAGCTCATGATCAGAAGGTCAGGGGTTTTGAATCCAGCTGCTGGCGATATGTTGTGTCCTTGGGCAAGCCACTTCATCCCCACTTGCCTCTCTCCACCCAGGAATATATAATGGGTACCAGTATTAGCTGGAGAGTAACCTGTGATGGACTAGCATCCCGTCCAGGGAAAATAGCTACTGAAACCGGAAATAAATGTTGGCCTGATGGGCCACATTGGCTTGTGACAGACTTTACTTTTTTACTAATGTACATGTCTTACAAATCATAAAACCAAAAAAATATTATTTTATGATATAAACTTGTACGATTTGACCAAAAGAAGATTTTCTTACTTGAGTTTGGTGTTCTTCTTGCCTCTAGAGGCCCTGGATGTCTTGCTGTATGCAGGTCGCGATGGTGCGGTGGTTATCAAAGCCTCGTGGTTGGATATGTTGCTCTGTTGCATGTCCACGGCAAACTCCTTCACTACTAGGCGTTCCACTTCCATCTGGAGCTCCAACTCCGACGGGAAGTCATGCTGAGTGGAGATGAAATAATTGGGTTTATGAAAACTTGAAAACAATGTTCACACTGTGATATGGTCTTTATATAGTCAGGGTTCGACTTTAGCGGTAGCCCGCTAGCCAAATCAGCGGCGGGCTAGTCAAACTATTCCTAAAGAAGCGAGTTAAGAATTATTGGGATACGGCAAAGATGAAAGGACAGGAAGAAATAAATCATTAAATTCAGAAAGCAAACCTGTATCAATTTGTGTCTAATTATATTAACTGTTTAGGTTAAATTATTAGATCTTTTTGTTAAAAACACTGACAGGATTGCCTCAGGATACACGTTTTACATGAATGCACATTGTTGTTTATGAGACACTCTATAAAAGAAAAACATGCGGGCTAGTGAAAATGCCCGCGGGCTAGTTAAGAATCTGTTTAGTAGCCTGGCTGATTAGTGAAAAAAAAGTTAAGGTAGAACCCTGATAGTATTCTTGTTTTAATGGGGGGTCATTAATTGTCTAATGGAAGCTACTCTGGGAATTTTTCAGTCTTGTGTTCTTGAGCAGGATACTTTTTCATAATTTGCTTTCATCGCTGAACCGAGATAAAAGTCATTGCATTATTAGTTAACTCTAAATTTAATAATCAAACAATGTTCACACTCTGATATGATATTAAGTCAATGTTATTACTCATGTGGTGAGATCATCCATAAAGCAGTATGTGGATGTTCATGTTTGTGTTCTTGAGCAGGATACTTTACTCCAATTGCTCCTACTTTTACCATACTAATCATGTGTGTGTGATATGGTCTTAAGTCAGTATTGTCGTCAGGATGGTGAGGTCATTAAATGCCTTATACAGTGAAATCTCGATAAGTCAAACCACAAGGGAACAGGTTCAAAATTTGACTTAAACAGAGTTTTGAGTTAAGCAGGCTTGTATTTCATTGTTATACTACTGAAGGGAATGGATTCTTAGTTTGACTTAACAGTTGTTTTGAGTTATCAGAGTTTGACTTTTCGCGATTTTCACTGTATACATTTCTATAATTCAAAAACAAAATACTTTTACATTAAATTCTTTGAAGTAAACTCAGTAAACTGCTTCAATAAACTTGATACTTCTAATGTTTGTAGTCAAAAAATGATGTTGGACTATTTTACACATCACATTTTAAATCGGATAATCCCCTTACCTGCATGGACAGTATAGACTTAGCATCCTCGTGCGATGGATCTCTGGGCGTCGGTGAAGGCATAGGTGACCCGGCCCCAGTCCCCGCCTTCCCTTCCTTGCGTGTATCCCTACCCAGGTGCTCTTTAGCTTCCTTGAGGAGCGTGGAATACAGGCCGTCCTCGTCGCCGTGGCGGGGGAGGTCCAGAGAGATGCGTGGGAAGACACCCTCACCACAGAGGTTGATGGAGTCTGGCTCAAAGTGGGCCACTTGGATCTAACGCCACAAAATGCAGGAAAGGAATATGTTTTTGATATTTTGTAGATTTTAAATGATTTAAGACAAACACAGAATGTTTTGGTTTTAAAATTGAATAGTGGGTCACAAGTACAGGTTAAGGAATATATTCAAGCATTTTTCAGGTTCATGAAAAATTAGGGAAATTTGGGGGTTTTATACTTGGATCTGGGATCATGAAATGCAGGTAAGGAATAAAAAGTTTGATTATTATTCTCTGAAAATTTAAGAAAGTAGGGATTTTCAGATGTATAGAGACCGTGAAAGACCATAACAATACAAGGGGTCAAGACAATCTTCACAAGTAAATGGGGGGTTTGAGGGTTTGAACGAAACTTTAAAGTTATTTATTATAGTCTTTCAGGACTTAAAATGCTTCAGGTGAATTGCAAAGTCCAATTTAATATTTAAAGAACAAAGTTCATTTAATATTTCCTTTGATATTGATACACCTAATTCTCAATCATTTCATGTTCCTGAAATGCCCATGCACTTTTTATACACAGTCTGGGGTATTACTTTGTGTTCTTACACAAAAATTTAACCACCTTTTTGTAGCTTATGTTGAAACAGTCAAGTTGTTTCAAAAGGGTCAATACAAAAAGCGAGTTTCAAAATCCAGACTGAAGTTTCAATGACATTTAATTTAAAAGTGTTAAGACAAAAAAATAAAAACTGCAAAGATCAAACAGCTACAAAAGATATGTTTGAGTTTTCAGAAAGAAATTAAACACATGTATTTCAGACTACAATGGCAATTTTTTTCATGACGTTTATACAAGGGTCGCTACTTACATCAAAGCTCTTGTGGAATTTCTCCGGTACGCCGGGCAGAAATTTCACCAGCAGTGTCTGTTCCTGGTAAGCCTCGATGTGTCCCATGTGAGGGATCATGACAGGGACACCGGGGACGGGGCGCCGGCTGACGCTGGGATCCATGTTGATGGCTTGGAAGTCAAAGCCAACCTTGCCAGTGTTGTGCAGGACGATCTCGGCTTCTGCTACTTGGTCAAACATCTACGGTCGAAAGAAACAAAAAACGGTCTAAAGCAAAAGTTGTAAGAAAAAAAGTAACTTATGCTCACTTGTGGTTGGATTACACTGCCTTTCATTAAAAATATGTATTTCATAATCCAAATTTGTCACTATTTATTCTTACAGTCCAAACACAGTTGACCAATGTTATGAAGTTGTTAGTCATCACAAGTTACTCATCCAATCTCAATTTAAGTGACGAGCAATTTGAATAAACGGTGACAAAGGCATCCTTTTTCACTGTTCCTCACCGTTTACTTGTGGCCTTACTTGTGATTAACTCGTGACTAACCTACGATTGACTTGTGACATGATTTGTGATAGGCGTGTGACTTGACTTGTGATTGATTTGTGATTTGACTTGTGAGTGACTTGTGATTTGACTTGTGAGTGACTTGTGATTTGACTTGTGAGTGACTTGTGATTTGACTTGTGAGTGACTTGTGATTGACTTGTGATCATTGATCTCCATTAGTAAGACTGGATAGGACACCAACTTGTGCAGGCACGCGTAGTCATTGGTGGGGGTTTGAAATGCGTTCGTCACACACAGACACGCGCACGTCACGCACAGTCACAACCGTTAAACCCGCACTGTACTACCCAGCTGCAGTGTCCGCATTTTCCGAACTTCGCTGCACGCCAAGTATCTAGTCCAGTCTTACTAATCCAGTCTTACTAATGGAGATCAATGCTTGTGATTGACTTGTGAATGACTTGTGATTGACTTGTGATTGACTTGTGAATAGCCTATGATTGATTTGTGATTGATCTGTGACATAACTTGTGATTGACTTCTGACCCTGGTCACCTGACCAAAATTCCAGATCTAATTGGTCAACGCCCACTGTTTGTTTGACAGGCAAGGAAGGCTCCATTCAAGATTGCTCATAACGTACCCGTTTGCCGTAATCAATATGCTTGGTGTCAAAGTTGTACTGAACGATGGACGCCTCTCCCTTGAGTGCGAGCTCATAGCACGGGCCTCCCTCCACGTGGCATAGTGCCTTGGCTTCACTTCCAATATCAGCATGGCCGTAGAAGGTGAAGGTGATGGTATCTGACTCGCCGGGCATCAGGGTGCCGTACAAGGGCAGGATGTCAAAGACCTGATGTGCAAAATGAAATTATGAAAGGGTTACATATTTAACCCCTAAATGGGTCAGGTTTTTGTGGCCATCTTTCTGTCCATCCCCCCCCCCCTCCCCCACTGATCTTGAATATGTAAATACCAATTTCTATGAAACTTGGTATGCACATAGAAACATTCATGCTTAGTTTATAAAAAAAAATTCAGCACAATCGGGCAGAGCATTTTGTAAATATGATAAATTTATTTCCAACCATATGCCTATGATAGAATGCATTTTCAATGAAAAACACAGATTTGGTATCCCACATTGAAAACTTGTCATTTTTTGCAAAACTATGATCATCTTTTATTAAATTGGTAATGTCCGAAAAATATCACTCTGGCTTGATATGAAAAACAATTGCGTGGAAATGATATCAGACAAAAATGGATTCCAGCATCATTCCCCCCCCCACCTTTCAGGGTTTTAGTAAAAAAAAACCATGAATTTCTAGTAAATTGAATTATGCATGATAAAAGATTAATATATTTTTATCTGGCCTCTGTATCTTTTGTTTTAGGCGTGTTTGCACCAAAAGTCATTTACTGATCCTGCACTGCATCAAAAGCATACAGGATCATGCAAGCCTTGTAAGGCCCCCCCAAAAAAAATAGTTCAGCTTCCAATTACTTGGTATTCGAAAATAGGGTAGGTAGGTAGGGAATTTTTAAAAAATTGTTGGCCAATATTTTTTGTGTACAATCATATGGAGGGCATCTGCGTGTAGTCAAGGGTAAAAGGTAGAAATCAATGGTTTTGGGTGTTTTTTCCTCATTATTCCCCCCAAAAAATTAGGGTAGGGGCTGTCAGACCGGAAGCAGAACTATTTTTGGGGGGCCTAACTAATCCTCATTACCTCTTCAATTCCCACCACGGTGGGTTCCGTGATGGTCTGGAAGTAAGCCAGCTTTGCGCGACGTCTCCTCATGGCGCTGGTGGGGCGTAGGGAGGCGCGGCTGCCCACGCTGTGCCTGTCCTCAGCTGGGTGTTCCTCCATTGATTGCATGTCGACAACGCTCAAGATCTGAGGACAAAAGTAATGACCAACAACATGCAAGTCTAAGCGAATTAAACAAGGACATAAATTTTACCAATTTATCACTGTACTGCCCCAAACACCCTGCCTGTTACTCCCTGTACCGCCCTAAACCAAACTGCCTGTTACTCCCTGTACTGCCCCAAACCACCCTGCCTGTTACTCCCTGTACCGCCCTAAACCACACTGCCTGTTACTCCCTGTACTGCCCAAAATCGCCCAAACACTCTATATAGTTTTATGAATCCATCAGTGAATAAATACAATGTAATGCAATGTATAAATACAGGTGCAAACAGGTTAAACATTTCAAATAACCTTACTGGTTAATGTTCTGGTTTATCACCAATGACCATGTCAACATATACACCTCCTTCACTGTTAGCAATTGTTTAGCATTTTCAATGCTTTGGGGTACATGCATAGTATACAAATATTGAATGCTTCGAGTGGTGTAGTAAAACTAGCCTCCCGAGGTGATCCATGGACCATTCTATTTTCCCGAGGCGAAGCCGAGGGAAAATAGAATGGTCCATGGATCACCGAGGGAGGCTAGTTTTACTTCACCACGAGATAAAGCATTCAATATTTGTTTTATAACACTTCTCCCACAGATTCTGCTTGATTTTAGTATTTTACATTATTTAAATCTGAACACAGTTGAAATAAACTTCAATTTCAATACAAAATTGGTGGAAAATGTATTTCTCTCTTAAAAACTAACCCTTCACGAAATGTTTGAACCGAAGTCTGCAGCGCGCTCTCTTTGGAATAATACGCGCTACGCACAACGCGCAACGCGCACACCAGCATGCATTTGCACACAAATACCGCGCCGTGGAAATAGTACTTTGGTTGCTAATGGTATAGTACTTTGGTTGCTATGCGCATAGTACTTTTGGCCGTGCACAGAAAGATAGCAAAATTAGAAAGTAACATGTGACTCGCTCTCAGCCAATCAAGACACAGAATCTGTGGGTGAGGTGTTATAATACCTAATAGGTGCAACCAGGGCCTAATATTACGAAGGCACTGTTTCATCTAAGAACCTGTCCTAAGCAATGTACATAGCATAAAACTGTGGCTGGCATCCCATTTTTGCCTAGCAAATATGTTCTAAACTTTTACAACTTTTTTGTACTGAGAAGCTGGATGAAATTGGCGCCCTGGCCCAACTGCATGAACCTGCTAAGCAGAGAATGCTGCTTAGCAGAGTTATGTGCTAAGCAAATATCAGCCATGAACCAGCCACAGGCAATATACATCCCATGCAATCTTAGCCGGTAACCTGTTTTCGCTTAGCAAATATTTTCCATGCTAAGCAAATTTCCCACCCTACCTGCTCAGCAGGCGTCTCTGATTCCCTCGCCTCATCCTTGTCCTCTGTCTTCTTCCTCTTGTGACCGACACTGTCCTCGGTCACCGACGTCTTGACCGACTTGGCCGACTTCCCTTGGCTCTTGCCCGTGGACTTGCGCGGGGTCTTGCGGGGGGATTTCTTGGGGGACTTCTCCCCGCCGTCGTGATGGTGTTTGTCATCAGCCAGGGATTCCTTGGTGTCCTGGGTGATGAGTTTGACTGACTGGGTGTCCTTGATGCTCTCCTCCGGGGGGAGTTTGATGTTGACGGTGGATGGGGTTTCCTCCGTTGGGGCTGAGTCAAGAGGTTTCTTGGTAGGAAAATTACAAGATGTTGTCTTCAATTTAGTTAACGCTGGAAAATTTTAAAAATTAGACTACTTTTTTTTTTTGGTCTCGCCAAAACTAGTTTGACATTCTCTAAATTTTATTTGCTTAGAAAGGGTTCTGCACTTATCCAGTCAATCAATGAATCATTCGAATGATCAATAATTTGCTATGATATTGATTCAGAGAACGACCAATGCATCATTGTCCTTATGACCTCTATGACAACTAATCAATTTTTTTTAATATTGAAATGGACACAAACTGACACTTGAGAACTTTCCAATGAGACTACAGACAAAGTAAACCGTCAAGATGAACCAGTAACCGATAAACGTTTAGATGCCTTGAGGTGTTGCCCGTCCTTATATCCATGTACATGGTCTGGTCTTCAGTCTACATCTGTACAAGCAATTCAACGTTTCTTGTCTGCTTAAACAGAGTGTTCTTTAAACTACTTTAAATTTATGTCAAATCTTTTTTTCACAGAAGGGTGATCATAATCAAGTTTTGAGGATAAACAATTTTTAAACTATGAGGATATACCTTTATCTTAACATGAACCAAACCACTAGCATCTCTGACTGAGTAAGAACAATTTATTAAGCAGCTCTTTTCAAAATCTTAATAAATGGAGTAAAATTCTCAGACTCTTTTTTTCACAGAAGGTCGATCATAATCAAGTTTTGAAGATAAAATTTTCTGAACTATGAGGATACAACTTAATAACATAAACCAAACCACTAGCATCTCTGACCGAGTAAGAACAATTTATTAAGCGGCTCTTTTCAAAATCTTCAGAAATGGAGTAAAATTCTTTTTTTTTCTTTTTTTTTTTGAGGGGGGGGACAGATTTCGATTTTCATCTAACCTCTTTTTCCTGTTCCTCAGCCTCCATCCCCTTTTCCTCCCCATCAGTCTCCGCCCCCGGCTCCCCCTCCTCCTGCAACTCCTCAAACGCCACGTGCTGGTCCCCTTCACCACCGGTTCCCTCCCCACCCTCGGTCATCTGAACAGGCAAGGGCTGCGGGTAGACCACGATGGGGTTCGGGGGTTCCAGGAAGGACCAGCGGTACTTGACGGGCATGGGGCTGTCGTTGGTGATGTTGACGTAGCGGGTGACTTCAGTGTCGTTCAGGATGCAGCCGAAGTCGACCTGCATCTTCTCAAAGGTCAGGTTGGGGAAGTAGACCTCGCCTCGCAGGCCGACGTAATCCTTCAAACAAACCATTTATAAAATAATGTAGAGAGGCTATCTACAGAATACATTTCTCTCATTTTAAATCTTTCAGTATCTATCTAAGTCCTTTAGGGCTGTTACGCTCCAACTAAGACAATGGTCCCAGCTATAGTTTGGACAGTCCCAACTATTGGTGGGGAATGCCTTACTATAGTTGGGACCAATCTAACTGTAGTTGGTATTGTCCCAACTATAGTTGGGATGATGCCATAGTTGGACCTTAACAGTACTTAGGTACGCAGCACTGTTTTTTCAGTATTGCAGTTGATGAACCAAGTCTGGTCACAAATAACTCACAAGTCAATTCACTAGTCCCAACACAAGTTACAGGGGATAAACAATAACAAATAAATACATTTGTTGCAATTCGTATTAACTGTTTGTGCCTTGAATGACCTTAAACTGGATGAACTTTTGATTGAACTTGTTTGTACTGACTTGTGACAGACTTGTGATGACTTGTAATGACTTGTGATCCATCATAAGAACCTCCACTACAAGAACGACATTTATCATTCATGAAGACGAATCGAGAGAAACAGATCATGAATGTACTTACAATGTGTGGATGCTCTTGGTATCTGAAGGTTAGCACCTTCTCTGCTACCCTGGAGTATGAGTCCTCTAGGTAGGCTGGGTTGAATTGAATCTTCAATGTCTGGGACTCACCGACCTCCAAAGGTATATCCTGAAAAATATTTATATATACAACCTCTCAAAATTTGGTTTGCTCAGATACTGAGGTCAATTTGAAATCATATCAACTGTTGTAATTATTGTTCAAAGGGACATTGCTGTGAATTTCAGGGTGTTTTATTTCCTAATCAGACCGAACTGAAATGAAAATTAATTGACAAGTCTACTTCCCAAACACAACTTTTTAATGTGAAAATAATTTATTTTTAAACATAATGTGTTTGAAAATGGTGTTTAAGTTAGATGAATAATTTTGAAGATACCACGAAGTAAAATCTGCACAAAACAAGGAACCCACTTTTCATTAAGTGTAGGTCTGCAAAATGGAACAAACGGGATAACATATATTTCAAAGATGTATCTAGGAAACAGAACAGCTACCAAGATTACATAAAGAGAACTGTTGCCAAGATTAGATATAAAAAAAAATTCATTTTGACATTCTGAAAATTCATTCCTATGGCTGTGAATTTTTATTTTAAACAATTAACAAGATCACATTTCATTTTACCATGACAGAGACTTCCTTCTGTTGGCCTTCTTCCTCCGTGATGATGACAAACGGTTCCTCCAAGTCGACGTGGGTGTGCAGAGGTAAGGAAGACACGTTGGTTAAAGTCAGTTCTTCCAACTGATTCTCAAGGACGTCATCCGGAAGCTGCAAACAAAGAAACAGAAAACCGAGAATAAGATTGTGGGTACCAGTTTCACCCCAGTGATTGTGAACTTTTTCTCATAGTCACCCGGGACAATACCGAGTATACAGTGCTTATGAAATAAGTCGATGAACGGCAAAACCCAATGTTGAATTACATCACCCGGACGCAAACTCCATCTTTTGAACAGTTACATCTTTTTATTAAAAGTTTAATCTTTTTTTGTATCACCTCTTTAAAGAATGATAGGCCGACATAAAAACCTGAGTTATGGGGAATATGTGTTTTCACCTTGTCGACTCTGAACATGACTTGTTTGGTGGAGAACTCCAGCAGCGGGCTGATGAACTCAATACTGATGTCCGTCTTCATAATCTTCTCCTTACCGCTAGCCTTGCCGATGATGGCGTGGCACAGCATGCGCTCCTTGACAACCTTGGGCCTGAGAGTGACAAGAAAAGAACACGTATCAAAAGTGCGGCGTGGACAAATAGGATCATTAGCTGTTTATGCATTTTGATCGTTTCCAATAATAATACCACTCAAAATCCACAGACGAATGTTCAAAACATAACCTGTTGAAGTTTCAGCTCATTGTATATTACATTTTTGAAGAGAATAGTGAAACACCATGCACAACCTTTGGATCAAGAAATGTCGATAGCACACTTTATTTCCAAAAATCTCACCTATATTTCTTGATTTTTTGACATCAATCCAGACAGGAACATTTTACAAGATGTTTAGCATTAGTATGGTATTGAATGAATGTAAGCTTTTTGATAATAATTTGATAGGTTACTTTTGGGATTAATGCCCCAAAAAAATTGATCATAAAAGACAACTGGTCTCAAACATGTGATACATTCAGAAATGTTTCTTTTACCCTAAACTTTACCTTCTGAAATACGCTGCCTCTTTTGGAACCCACCAGTCTGAAAACAACTTTTTATCCCTGGAACAATTTTTTTTATTTGTCCAGCGATACATTTTGTGATCAGATTTGAAAGAAAAATGTAGCAAAAAAAGAGGAATACCGTTCCATTAGAATCATTCTTGAATGAAAGATGAGAATTACTAAGCAAGAATGTCATCTTGGTTAATATCAGTTCTTAGCCATTTACTGCTGATGGGAAAATGTTACTATGTTACAGACCACGCATGCTTACAAAGTCAATAATTAAGTTACTTGATCTTTATTGTTTTGAGAGAGAGGGGAATAGAAGTATGCTTACGTATCTGCCTGGCCTTCTAAGATCACGTCAATACTCTCTCCGGGTTCAAGCTCGAAGCGTGACGGGGTCAGGCTAAAGACCGGCTTAGGTGGGGGAGCTGGCGGCGGCATCCTCTGAAGACAGAAAAAGAATGAATTTATGTGGCTCTTAATGAAGCATCTTTTTTGCCCATTTCCGCCACAAAAGTTAACCCAACATACTTAATTCAAATAGAAATAAAGGAGAAATTAAGTACTAATAAATACTAGCCAAGGCGGGATTCTTTATACAGGGATGTATTAAAGAGGGCTCTGACATTTAAATGCAGGAAATCCGAGGTACAAATGAAAAGAATATCCAGCGAATGTAATTAGAAGCCGTTTTTGAGGTGGTGCCATGCTTGGCCCATGCTGCGCGCGTTAAATAAGTAAGCGGCACGCACACATTTTGGAAATACTATTGGTGGAAGGAGCTTGAAGCCATGCGCACTACCTGAGCTTGACTCGTGCAAGCCTGGTGCCACCGCAGTGCCAACTCAGAGAGAAACTGTCACTGAATAAGTCTATAGCACCAATACAGGCAAGTTATATGCAATATAAAAGCAGCAAATTCCTAAATTACTAGACTTACATCCCTTTTTGTAAAGAGCATTCGCGAAATAAAAAGTGTCTTGAGACATTCCAAGGATGCACCCCCCCCAAAAAAAAAAATTAAATAAAAACAAAGGAAATGAAGACCACGTTCAACAAGGTCTCTCCAGAATTTCAGATTTGTTTATAAAGCAATATGGACCTTGTTTTATCGTGGAATAAAAAAATTAAATGCCAAGCAACTTTACCTGATATTTGACATCGAGTGGGTTGTAGTAAGGGTCTCTGTTCTTCAGTTTGACGGGGTTGAAGCCCTCGGTGCTCCAGAAGAGCTGCTGGTGACGTCGTCCCTTGTTGGTTAGAGTGAACATCCGGCGGCTGGGGCCACTACTACAAGGTTCCATCGGAAAAGGTATAGGGACAAAAGAAACTTCAATAAAACTGCCAGATATTGTCAGTAAAAATAAAAATTCACTCATTTCATTTGAGAAGGCATGATGCTTTTCTTAACACTTACTTTGAGTTCTACAATTGATAATAACAGTTCATTATATTTACAGCCACATTAAAAGAAAGAAACAGAATTGAGTGGATGAATAATTGAACTGAATTGAAAAATAAGAAAGACGTAAAGGTTTGAGGTACGTTTGGGCCACAGTTAAGGTTCTGATTTCTGTAAAATAATGGGGGGAACAGTTTTCACCCATTTTATATTCACCATAGATAACGAGGAAAAATAGCGGCTTGCACTACCCTATCGCTGGTTTCAGGAACCGGTTCAAGATTATGGGATTGGGTACCCGTAACCAACTTAATACATTACTTAACAACTTCTCAGACAACAAAAAAGATACGTTTTGAATGCCATCTTTGGGGAATTTTCAAGATGAAAACCAGGCTACATTTGCATGGAAAACCTAAATACATTTCACGTTTATAGGCATTTTAAGATTCCAAATCCTCGCACCGCCATCCAGAAGTGTCCCTATTTCAGGCTTTCAAATGCTGGCAGGTATGGTTTCTGCTCCTCATAAGAACTACTCAACTCAACATTTTGAACAGTGCACTCTAACTTAGGGACAGAGCAAACTTAAATGTTTTCAGAGCCTCATCAACTCACAAAAGCGATACATGTTCACAGTGTAAACCCCACATAACTTTCTCACTGATAATAAAACACTAATGATTTCCAATAATGTAAGACTTGAAAACTGAGCTTACCTGAAATGATGTCCCAGCTCAATACCAGGTGTGATAGGTGGGAAGGATACGATAGTGGTACCGTGTCCGTAGGCTTGTAGCTTGATTGTCCGTGTTTGGCTGTACTCAAAGTTGATGGCCAGCTTGTCTTGGAACCTAAAAGGAATGTTAAATTATTTCCATTGCTCAAAAACGTATACTTTACACCATAATCTTTACATAATTGATACTATTTGACATCCCTTTTTTGGTGTACCCCTTACCTTGAGTGGACCATAAATTTAGGGGATTGTGACGGGCGACACTCATAAAAAAAAACATTTACTGATAAAAAAAATTAAAATGTTAAGAAAATAGTACAGAACTACCATCTGTGTTACCAACACAACAGCAAATTATCAGAAAAGGAAAGAGACACAACTTTCATGAATCTAACAGATTGTGTGTGTTGCTGAAAAATTCCCCAGAGCAACGAAACCACTGCCAGTTAACACTTTCAATGACAATGTCTTTGTACAATCTTTTCTTTATTTGGGTTCAGTTTGAGAGATCACTTACCTAATGCAGTCATCCAGGTTGACCGTCAGCTTGAGATCTAGGCTCTCCTCTGGTGGGATGACAGACTCCTTGGGCTCAACCTGCCACAGGGAGTTGGGCCGCATCTAGGAAGAAACAGACCCATGAATATACCATCAGTCTCATCATGTCAGCATTGCTAAACTCATGCTTAAACTAACAAGTTTTTGGTTAACTTACTGATTAACTAGCTTTTAATTAACTAGGAACTTTGTTGACCAATTAACTTACCACCAATTAACTTACCACCACTGAACTGAAAGGTTAACTTTCTCAAATAACAAACTAGTACATAACAGACAAGTAAACTTGTCAGTTAATTAACTGACCAACCAGTACGTAACTAGTGGTTAACTAACTAGCTTATTAACTCATCTCTTCATCTGGCTGACAAAGTTACGCTCAAGTTGCGTAATTCAAATACAATGACTCAGAACTATTCATACATGTTGAGCAGCTACGAGAAGCTAAATGCACATTCCATGTTTGGCCAAACACTAATGAAAAGTAGCTTGCAATCACAAGGTAGAATATTTATATGCATCAAGGTTGGAATGTACCTTTCCACTATATCAGATATTTTTCCTTTACTATCAAATTTAGAACTTCAACAAAGTTTAGCTTTAGTTTACCAAAGTTTACCTTTGTCGACACACTTATATATCAGACACTGACATTTAACTAGTTTCTTACAGCAAGACTTACCAGCGTGCAACAGAACGGTGCAGGAATCAGCGATTCGTTGGACAGTGTGACTATCTTAGTGACATCAGTAAGGACAGGGGTCTGTCCCCAGTCAATCTCGGTGGGTGTCACGTGGACGACAGGGCCCTCTCCGATGGCCATCAGTTGCACTTGCTGTAAGGAATGAAAACTATTGATGTGAAAACTGACACGGAATAATGAATACATTTCCCCCATTTTTTTTAAATACCTACAGTTCTTGTTGGATGTGAAAAGTTGGAAAAAAAAATAAACTATTCGTTTAAAATTAAAACTATTGGCTATTAACAATCACTAAATTAAAACAAATGGCATTATTGCATCATACGCAGACAGCTTCTTTTCAGAAAGAAAAAACCTACTGTTTAAAAAATCAAATTTTCAATAACATTTAAAATCATGAAACTAACACCATGAAAGCTTTGCCATTACAACATATGTATCTTGGTTTTTTCTTTTCTTTTCTTTTTATTCTTTAGGTTGTTTGAAATGTTATCGTTTTACATTTTAGTTGATTTTCAGGGAAGAAACTGTGAGACAAATGAAAGTGAAAAGTAGTTGCTTGAGACTAATTTCATTTAGTTGCAAGGAAAACAATACGAGTGTGTGGTATTTGTCTTTATTTTGAAAAAAATAATCTGCAAATCACAAAATTGGCTAACACCCATTTCAGACAGACATTCTAGAGTTGCATCAAATTGTTAAAGATTTGAGTTTAGTACTTGAAAAGTTAATAAGAAACAGTTAGGAATGACTTCGTCAAAAGATCAACTATTGCAGTCACTTGGAACAACTCAAGAGTCTAGTCCATGGTAAACCAATACTTGAAGTGCGCCTGCCTGAAACCAAATTTTATTCAGGTTGACCTGAGTCACTCCTAATATGTTTTGGTTCAGTGGGACTTTGTAATGCCAGTTGTGAAAGGGATGTTAGTCTTCCCAATACTGGCCAAGTCTTACCAATGGTGGTTCAGTACTTCCAAAGATACTGAACTCTGCCACAGCTTCGATCTCCTCCAGCGCTTTAGGCATAATGACCAAGGGGACCTTGGCTGTGGAGTGAGGCTCAATGATGCCTGTGGCCTGCGGGCTGGTGTACAGCATTGGACTCATGTCTTCAATCTCCTATATAATCAAAGACAAAAATGAAAATTTGGAGTTTATAATTTTGAGTAACGTCTTACTTCTTGGAACTACTCGGGGAAGTACTATCTGAGAAGCAGGATAGAATTAAGCTATTAGCTTAAAGAGGGCATTTTTTGTTTTAAAAGCTTAGTTTTTTACAAATTTGTGAAAACCTAACTTGAATTTATTCTGTAATCTAACATTCAAACATTTGCTGTCCACTGTCCATATATTCTTGCTTTGTTCACAGGTGACTATCTCAATAGTTAGCTGTAAAGTTGGTGCTTGACAAGTTATCAGATAAAAAACTGCAGCATTTCCAACTTCTTATATGGAAAAGTGGGCATACAACTAGTCATTGACGATCATGAGTCATGACCCATTACCCTACAACCAGCCTAACATAATTGGGTTTTTTTTTTAAGATGATAATAAATTTGTAACGGTGATAAGTTTTATGTACCGCTGCTAAAATAGTATTTTCAGAGGTGTAGGGACGAAATTCAGTTGGTTAGTGTAAACATCTGCCCCTGCTTTCTGTGACTTTCTAGCATTGTGTGAGTAAATTCAGGGAAACAGAAAAAAAATTTTCCCCGTTACCTGAGGGACTAAGTCATATTTAGCAGGCAAGTCGGAATCATTGAACAGCTTAGTGTTCAGCTCATAGGGGTGGTTCAGGAAACATCTAGTGTAGTCCATGATGGGCGTCACAACCACGATAGCTGGTACAACACACCTGAAATGGAAATGACAAAAGATTACTTTTCAAAAACAGTCGATGTAGACTCTAAAAAGACGTGTTCTGCTTTTTATGTGATAACACTGATCAATTTTAACAAGCATGTAGCCTGTGCAAGCCTCAATGTGTCTGGAATTAATTTTTTTTTAATATCGGCTGCCGCATGGTCTCGTGGCCTGATGAACAGGGTAATATTTTTAAAGCGCCTTGAGATTGTTGATACGATGGAAAGTGCTTATATAAGCATTACTATTATAACTGAATTGACCTGTTATTTGCTAGTGAGTGGACTTGTGACCAAACTGGACTTGACTTCAACAGTACTGTGTAGGTATGTAAAAGGTACAGGGACGGACCTGTGTTAACAGGAACGGAGTGCCCATCTCTCTTTCGTTTAGCGATTGGGCCAGACTCAAATGCTGCTGTGGGGAGATCGCCACACCTCCTCCACAGCGAGTCTGTTACCTTCCCAGCATTGAATAATGCCGGTACCCATTTAACACCTGGGTTGAGAGGAGTAATTGAGGTAAAGCACCTTACTCAAGGGTACAACACGCATGGCCATGATAGAGCTTGAACTCACAACCTCTTGATCATGAATCCTGTGCTCCACCGTAAGACCAAACGTGTCCAAAGGTATGTAAGGTTGCCTATTAAAGAAGGCTTTTTTGAAGTGGAATCAAAAATTCAAGAAAGATTTTCAGACAGCAGTCATGAAAATTAGCACTCCGTATTTTGAAAAAACCTCTGTTGTTTTTTAAAACGGATGGACAAAATGATTACAGACTTTGGACTTACTTAGCCGTGATTGGCAGGGCCAGGAGCTCTGTCCCAACTCCCTCAACATCAACGACCAGAGACATGTCGTATTTCTTGACAGTATTCGATGTCAACTCCACCTAAGATAAAAAATAATAATCAAGAATGTTAAAAAACTATACTAAAATAAAATCTGACACTGAAATTCAAAAAAAATCAAGGAAAAGGCCTAGTATTTCAAAGATTTGAAGCTTTTCATGAGGATACGAATACTGTGAAATGTTTACGGTAACACCATAGAAACTTGTCTTTTTTGAGTAGTTGGAAGATAGTTGATAGAAGAACTTTAAATAAAAATTGATGTTAATTCAATCAGTATGCAGTGATCATCTTCAAAAAGAAGGAAAATGATGCATTACGAGCATGAATTTTACAACAGTTTCAAACTTGCATTTAACAGGCCTATAGAGTCCTGCAGTTTACCAAATTATAAAACTGTAGATTTTAATTAAGTACATGAAAAGCTCAATTTTTCAAAACAGTAAGGAGTGACTACCACAAAAGATCAACCGTAGAATGGGGTCAAACATGGAATTTGATTGGTATCTTTGGACTAAAAGTAGGACACTCACTTGTATTTTGACTTCACTCTGTGGAGGAATAGTCCCCTTCTCCGGTGTGATACAGAACTCGGTGGGCGGCACGCTCAGATTGGTGCGGTTCAGCGTCGGTTCCCCGCTGGTCGCCGACACCACTTCCCCAGCACCGTCGCCCGGTACCCTGAGGTTAAAGGTCATGGGTACCAGGGCAGTGTTGGCAAGGGTCGCGATCCTTGTGCTTTTGAATCCTGTGAAGAAAATTTTCAAAAGCACAATTAATTACTAATATTGTTTTATATTTATTTTGGTTTTGATTTTTTTTTTTTAAATGGTTGATGTACACACGAAATGTAAACCAATTAATTGATACTTGCCATAAGACACAGTGCCAAACTTCAGCTTGGGCTGGTCAAAGTGGAACGTGGGCCCGATCACGTCGCCCTTGAAGTTCAGCTTGAGTTTCCCCGGAAGCCCCTTGACGGAGCAGTAGAACTCCTCGTCGAAGTCCCCCAGCATCGGGGAGGAGAAGGCCACCTTGACGGCCTGGTGGCCGCCGGGGACCACGATCCCCTCGCTGGGGCTGAACTGGAAACGAGGACCGAAGGTGGTTGCGTTGGGGAGGAGGGTGAAGGTCGCGTCGATGTCGCCTTGGTTGCTCAGGACCACCTGTGGGTTGTGTGAAACGGAACCATTGTATTACAGGGTAATACATTGTGTTACATTGTATTACATTGTATTTGCTTAGCAAATTTCTGTACTCAACACTTTTCAGATGAAATACCTCATATGTGTGGGTAGATCCAACAAAAATATGCCCCATGTCCAAGGTGTCAAAGGAAAAGACCACTTTGGGACCGACGCCATCTCCTCGCATCCTGAGCGGAAGTCGCGTCTCCCGGCCAGTGATGTCACAGTAGGCGGTGCTCCAGTAAGTCCGCGCCTCCTCGGGCTTGAAGATCACGTTGACCTCGGCCGAAGAGTTGGGCCAAATGTCGCCCTCTAGGGGCTCTATGGAGAAAGCGGAGTCGGTGTACAGCATGCTGTTGCTTTCAACCATCTGTGAAGAAATAATTGTTTAGTTGTAATTGATTCTCAAACCACTTTGCATACGATCTTCAATTGTTGAAGACAGCCGGCTGTTCACGAAGTACTTGGAAACTGTCTCAACTTCTATGGGAATTTCAAGTGCTGGTTTTATAACAGCAAACAAGTTTCCAATTTCAGGAATCAACAAGTATTATCCAGCCAAAAAAAGATCATTTTGTCGTGTCCGTACAAGGTCGTATCTCCTAAAGTGGCGTGTGACGTCATGTACGTGAAACGCGAGTTTTCAATGTTAAAAGGTCGTATCTCGCTTAAAATAACCCGGATGTACACACAAAGTCAATGGACGTCGAAATACACAATACGACCTTGTTGCACGGAGCGTATTCTCGCGACATACGACTTCCTTGCAGAATCGAGTTACGACTTTGTTGCAGAATCGACGCCCTTGTTGCATTGAAGTAATGATTTAAAGGCTTTAGTTAGTGAGGGCTTAGCAACTTTGAACAGAGATTTTTTTAAGAATTGGGTAGAGTTCTCGGGAGAGATTAAATCACTTTCTGTTTTATACAACTGGATTAAGCTGCTGTACACAAAGTAGCGATAAGCAATTTCTTTCATGATAAGAGAACCAGTGACAAGCAATTCAACTTGCATGCGATTTTGGCCGGTAACATGTTTTGCTAAGCAAGTTCTTCTGCGCTAAGCATATTTGTGTCCTCAGCATCTCCCATGATCAACGTTTTTCTGCCTACCTTCCTCCTGTTATTGAAGGTCCTAGTCAGGATGGCCATTTTGTCGCGCAGCGTGTGATCCATGATGCACTCTTCTAAGAAGCGATCGTGCTCTGCCTGTTCCTCATCTCCTAAATCAGTACAAAATCTGCAGCAAACGAAAAAAGTGTAATTTTTAGTGTTGTGCATTTTTGAAAAGGATGGAAACATACAGACAGAAGCAACAAGGCATACTGGCTGTTTTTTTTCTCTCTGTCTTCTTAAATCGGTCGTTAGATATCTAACAATTTGCCAATTTTTTTCTTTTCTTGTTTATGGATAGTTAAACGGAAATTTCATTCTACTAAAATGGACGTAGGCTAGTTCTGGGAAGATTTCTTTCTGTGTCATGATTTTTTGCAGACCATACATTAATTGTTTTGACACTCATCCAGGTAATTTTGTAGGAAAACGAGTATAATGAAACAAAATAACAACAAAATCTTTTTAAAGAGTTTGTTGTGATTTTGTTTCATAATAATCGTTTTCCTATAGATGTTTAAAAACATCTGTGAAAGTAATGTATACAGCTTACCACTGCTATTCAGTTAACCAGGTCAAAGTAAGGATTAGAATGAGCTAGTTCAAAAATGGAAAGTGATAATTTAATCATTTTTTTGGCAACAACAATAATTAACTTGAGTGTTGTTATTATTTCATTGATACAATCGTTTTGAGAATAACTGTTATTTCTAATGAAATCATATTTATAAGGAGCTAAGAAAAACAAGGTAGATTTCAGTTTTCAAAGTAAAAGATAAAAAGAAAGAAATTACAAAACTTGACATTTATTTCCGATTTTAGTTCCAATTTGACCCACCTGTCTTTCTGTTGTTCCTCCTCCTCGGCCGTGGCAAACGGCTTCCACTGGAAGTGAGCGATGACATCACTGCGATTGTTGATGGTAAGCGATCTCTGATTGGCCATCGAGATGAAGGTGTTCTCTATGCGGACCGTGTTCTTGTCCAATCGGACGTTGGCGTCCACGGCCGCACCGTACAACGTGACGATGATGTCTTCACCTTTTTACGACAACAAATAAAAACAATTGAGAATTGAATTAATTTGTTGCTATGCTAAAACTCAAGTATGAAACAAGCTTGGAATATTGAGACCGTAAATGCCTCAAAAATGCTTTTTCGAGAACCGCGAAACCACTTCAAACTTGACACTGCACATTCTAGGGTCCCGAGCAAAAACCTGCAGATTTTCAACTTCAAACGGTGCCCGGTTCTGGAGATAATCGACATACAGACAGACAGACACACAGACAGACACACAGAAATTCCCGGAATTACAGTTAGATGCGAGTATCTCTGTCCAGATAGTAAAATGACTGTGGGAAAATATTAGAGGTGGGAGAAACCGGAGATTTCAAAATAGGGTTATCCTACTTTTTTTTAAACCGAAAAACGGTTATCTTGTTTCACCGAAAGTTCCCATTTAGTTCACAGTTGTGCAACCACCAGTTTTAACAATGCCTTTATTATCCTTTTATAAAGAATGTATGTAAAGTAACTGAAATTCTGAGAAAGATGATTTTTAAGCTTTGTAATGACTCGACTAATGACTTGACTGGAGATCTCATATCACACAGGTATATGAGGCCAAACAAAACACTCAGGGATTCTGAAATCGTATTGGTTGATTTGTAGCTTCACGTCATGCTGAATGCAGTGGTCGATTCATGTGCACTGAGCTATGTAAATTATAAGTTGACTCCCTATCTCACGGGTCAATCATTGAATGACACGCTAGACAGCCTCAGACCCTATACATCTCCCATGAGAGTGTATGGGGCTGTGTACGTGTTCTACATAACCCCCGAGGACCGACACACAAAGAGAGAACAGCAGATCCTTTCAGTCCTCGGGAGCTGGGTCTAATGTTGGAAATGGTCCTCTGTAGTAATTTTGTGTGCTTAGTCTATGGGAGCGTGTTATAGTACAGGGACAAAGGGAAACACAAAGCATTGTCCTCGAGAGTATAGTAAACACGACTGTGCGTTCAGACTGTGTACTGACCTGTGTCGTAGGAGATTAAAAGCTCTTGGCTGTGGTCTCCTACGGTGCTGGGTTTGAATGTCACTTCTACCTGTAAGCTTTCATTCACGGCCAGTGTGCCACAATCGGGATGGACTGCGAACGGTCTGAAATGAAAGACGGAAATAAAAACTTAGTTAATTGGTGCACACGACTAATAAGTATTCTGAGAGGCATTTATAAAGAGTTCTCATATGAGCAAGAAATCCATTTTTATCAACTTGTGGTTGAAATTCTAAAGTCTACATACCAAAAAACCTGCCTTAAAATTATCCAGTATCAGAACTTCTTCACAGCTTTTTCCTACAGTTTATAAAACAGAATTGAATTTCATGGCAAAAATTCTTGGCTGTTTTTATACTAATTACTTGCCCCAGAGCTTAAATTAGATTTGGTAGATTTTCCCCTTAAATTTATTTTTGTATTTTGTCAAATTCCTATCAAAATGGACACTTAGTACTTCAGTACTTGGTAAAGATGACAAGAGATTGGAAAATGTGTACGTAAGTTACAAAAAAGGAAAATTAAAGGGAATATACATCATTTGCTTTTGCTGTAATTTTCAGAAATGGATGGAATTGGGGGGTTGGAAATATATAGCAAATGTAGTTACACTGACTTTTTTGAGGTTTTGGGTTCGAAAATGCTATAAAAACCAAGAAAAACAATCATTTTCCTGTAGTCTGGTTCCCTGACTCCATTTAAGAAGAAACAGAGCAGTTTACATACATTGGGCAATTGTAAGGTCAGGGAACCAGTCTAGCTGGCTTGTACTCGTTCATAGGTGTGTAATCGATTGCAAACAAGTGCGATGGTCAATTGGGGCGAGTATTTGAAAAAAAAGCCAAGTTTTTTTCCAACGCTGGTTGGCCAACCAGCGTTGGAAATTGATACAAAAATACCACTTTTCTTGACATTAACAGTATACCAGTTGCCACGATTTTACAGGATGCTTTACACTGTCATTCACTAACAGTCCAGCAATTAAGGTATTTCAAAATGATTTGGTAGTTTTATTTTTTGATGTTTGCAAATGTTGTATTTTCCCTTTAAGGCTGCGTCCGAATTACTCAGCTATGGCTTCTATTTACACAACAGACATGCGCCTATATGAAAGCCACTGAAGCAACTTCCAATACTAAGGTGTGCAACTGGCAGCAGTAGACAAGAAAGAGTGACAAGGGTACAATACAAGATGAAGTAAGCAATTAAAATTCCGCATTTGAAACACAGAAAAAAGCTCCAATCAAACTTACTCTGGTACAGAGAGCGAGAACCTGGCTTCCCTGTTCCCAACGTTCCTGACGAGCAGCGTCTTGGCGGAGGGATACTTGACAGGGCAAGTGGAGAAGTTGACCTGGTCAGGGAAGTCCAGCAGGGCCCGGGCACCGATGGCTTTCACCGGTACTGCGAACTTCTCCCGCTCCGTCATGCAGATCAGCTCGTGGAGGTAATCCTGTAAAAATTCAAACAAATTCAAAAATTCAGTGAAAAAAAAATCAGCAAACAAATGTGTTCATTAGGATTACATTTACTGTGACAGTAATCAGCCTGTCCAAAGAATGTTAAATCTTGTTAAATACTGAAGTTACAGTAAATACTAAAGATTAGGAAGCCTTACGTAGTGATCCTCACATAATCTTTAAAACGGGAGATGTAGATTCAAATAGGCCTTTTAAAGACACGTGAATTCTAGAAATGTATACAATATAACAATACCGGGTGTGGCTAGTCAAGCTGTTCTAAAAATTTGACAGCTGGTCAGTTTCAGCTGGACACTTCCAGTTGGTCAGTATTAGTTATACAATCTCAGCATGACAGTTTAGGACATGATTTTAATACTAGACTAATTCTGCAACCTAAATTAGAAGCTATTCTCTGAGGCGGAACCAGACTTGCACTCAAAAGCTAACTCGTAGTCAGATCGTTTGCAATCAGTACAATCTCAAACGCAGAACTTCTATTTTTACGAAAAATAACATAACTCTCATCTGTTTGAATAAAAACGAACCTTCTTTTCCGCAGGCATGAATTGGATCCTGAAGACTATGGGCATGCCGGGGGCAACCTTGTTAGCACTGTCCGGCGGACTGATGATCTTGAAGTAGGGCGAGTCTGCCTGGAACACTTTGACTAATCTGGAAACCTGTCAAAAATAAAACATAAGTACCACAGTGAATATAAATAATTTTGCCTAATTTTTCATTTTGCAAGGTAAAAAATGACAATAAACTTATGGATTTTTAAAAACTGATTTATCAAGTTGGGATTTGTAAACATGTTTAAAGGGAAAATACAACATTTGCAAACATCAAAAAATAAAACTACCAAATCATTTTGAAATACCTTGCTGGACTGTTAGTGAATGACAGTGTAAAGCATCCTGTAAAATCATGGCACCTGGTATACTGTCATTTTCAAGAAAAGTGGTATTTTTGTATCAATTTCCAACGCTGATCTGCCGACCAGCGTTGGAAAAAACTGGCTTTTTTTCAAATACTGGCCCCAGTTGACCATCGCACTTGTTTGCAATAGATTACCACCTATGAACGGGTACAAGCCAGCTAGACTGGTTCCCTGACCTTACAATTCCCCAATGTATGTAAACTGCTCTGTTTCTTCTTAAATGGAGTCAGGGAACCAGACTACAGGAAAAGGATTGTTTTTCTTGGTTTTTATAGCATTTTCGAACCCAAAACCTCAAAAAAGTCAGTGTAACTATATTTGCTATATATTTCCAACCCACCAATTCCATCCATTTCTGAAAATTACAGCAAAAGCAAATGATGTATATTCCCTTTAATGCTTAAATGCAACAAGAACTTCAACATCATAAATCAGTCAATTTTTTAAGTGTGTGGCACTCACTTTATCGTTGTTTCTGAGGAGCAACGGTACCTCATAAATCTCATGAGGCTCAAACTGTTGGAAGACGATCTCGGACGGAAATGGCTGGAACATGGGCTCATCAATGTCCACAACAGAGAACTGCAGACAAAATTTTAAATTATCACCAAATCATCAATAATCTTATTGATATTGCTAAAAGTAAACAGCATACAATATACAGGACTGCGCTTAACAGATGGCGCTGTTTATTGTACCAAAACAAAAAGATGCAACAGAATTTAAGGCATTTTACATTCTTTTTAACGATCAGAAACTTTGTATCTTTCTAGACTTTAATAAATAGACAGTTCCACTACTAACTTCCTTTGTTGATAAATTAAAACAAGGATATACAAGGATATATATTTCATTTCTTCAAATGAATACATCACTATAATTTAGAGAAAAGTTTCAGAAATACTCCTAATGTCATTTGACTTGAGCAACATCAGGCTAAATGCTGAACATGATAAACACATTTGATGGTTATTTTTTTTTCTTACAAAATCTAAACTTATATTTTGAAAAAAATGTTTTGAAAAGAACTGCCCAATACCTTTTGATGTGTTGTGTCCCCCATGTCTAAGAGTTCAATGACCTGTGGTATGCGCATGTCATGCGTGTTGGCAAGCTTCTCATGCGTCGTCTGCGCCATCTCTTTCATGAAGGATGATGGTGTCAGCTGTAGAATATATTCAGAGAAAAATGCCAGAAATAACATTTCTGAATTATTCTAAGTGCAAGATACAACCTCATAACATAAACAGAAGCATTCAGGTCAATATTACACAAAACTGATGCCAATCTCACAAACTGCTGGAGTATACAAATTTTTTAAGCAAAACCTTTTTTTAGCAGACAGGGTAACGAGCCAAAAGTTTCATGCAATGTCTACTCATGCAATGTTTTCCTCCAACCTTTAACACTGAAATTTCTTTCATCTTTTCTTTGTTTAGTTTCCTTCAGATTTCTAAACATTCAAATCAAATTAGCAATTTTGTTTAGCAAAAAACAATCCACATTGCTGAAATTGAACCCTGTTAAAGGGAATGTACAACATTTGCTTTTGCTGCAATTTTCAGAAATAAATGGATTTGGAGGATTAGTATGTTACAGCAAATTTTGTCAAAATGACCTTTTTCACGTTTTGGGCTTGTAGATGCTGGAAAAACCAGGAAATCAATCATGTTCTTGCAGTCTGGTTCCCTGACCCCACTTAAGATGAAACAGAGCAATTTATAGACTTTGGGGAATTGTAAGGTCAGAGAATCAGTCTAGCAGACTTGTACCCCTTCACATGTGTGTAATCAATTGCAAAGAAAATGCGGAATAACTAATTATGAAAAATTTGGAGCAGACTTTGAAAAATAGCCAGTTTTCTCCAACGCTAGTCGGCCGACCAGCGTTGGAAAAATACAATTTTTCTTGAAAATATCAGCACACCAGGAGCCACGAATTTACAGGATGCTTTAGACTGTCATTCCCCAACAATCCAGTAAGGTATTTCGTGATAATTTGATCACTTCGTTTAGTGATGTTTGCAAATGTTGTATCTTCCCTTTAAGTGCTACTAGCCTAATCCACATCTGATAAAAGTTATATTTACTTTTGGCTCTTCCACTGGCCCTCTGACTAATTTGGGATTCCTTGGAGCAGTAACTTTGCTGACATAGTCAGGCGTCTCCCCACAGTCAGTGGCCCGCTGGGCTGTCTGCTTCTCCAGACCCGTCGGCATTTTTGTCGGAGCTCTTCGTCTGTAAATAAAAATTAATTAAGCTACCTGTTTACAGACAAATTAGAAAATGTAGTAGTGGCGTAACAGCCCTGTTAGGACAGCTGTTACGCGATTTTCATCTGCTATCATTATGGCATTGCAAAAACACCATCGCCAATCTATATTATATTTATAACTGCCCTACCGACCAGAGTGCTTTGGCAGCTCGATTGGTTAAATGCTTGACTACCATGCCGAAGGTCCTGGGATCAAATCCGTGCTTTGACAACTTTTTTTTTTTCTTTATAGGTTTGTTTACTGTTATGTTTTTAATTTGATTTGATTTGATGTTATATCCGTGCTTTCTGACACCATAGTAGTAAACCAAATAAACTAAATATAAATGAAGTAAACAATTCAAAAGAAATAAATGAACTGAAATAATTAAATGAAAATTCAAATAAATTAAATCAATATAAAATCTGAAAAATAAAGAATAAAGCACGGAGGCATTTTCTTGCCGTACCTTAGTTAACAATAGCCACCGCATTCATAATGCAACACATTTCAGCACCTAGCTGAATACTGCAACAATCTCCGCTGCATTGCCAGATTGCTAGGCCCCCATTTGATTTTTTTTAACTTCCTTTCTGAGCAGCCGAAGGCTTTAGCTTTATTCAAACTCCAAAGTTTTTGGCTCTTAAAGTCTTATAAAGTCTTTAAAAAAAATAATTAAACAAAATAATGAAAACAAATCTTTAAATGCAACATTTTTTTATACGCAGTGGCTATTGTTACGGCAGCCGTAACGCATTTCCCATTTTCTATCGTTACGGTAGTACTGCAACTTTTATAAAAACATGAGAAGAAAATATAAATAAGAAGGAAAAAAGTGAATTTGAACGTTATAAAATTCAGACTTTATTTCCCTTTAAAAAAAAACCCTCCAAAGCCTAAGTTTAGAAAAGGAAAAAAATTTGAGTGCAAAACTGAGATGCGAACCAGCAACCTCGCGGTGCAAAATCCTACCCGCTAATCGACTGAGCTGTCGCACTGTTCATCAAAACACGGGAAAACAAATAATTATATACCTGCGTGCGTATCAAAAAAGAATCGTTGAGGGCGCTAAACAACGAATGCCGTAACGATAGCCACTTCGTTTTTTATATCCTAACTAAAGCTAAATCTCACTAGAAAATATTTGAATTAGGTCAGCATGAACCAAGCAGTTTTGAAAGGCTAAGTTAATACCGGGATTTGTATTAATCATAGTCTTGCACTTTGCTGGGAATCCAATGACAACAAAATCGGTAATGATGTTGTGACTTGTGTTGACATGGTTGATCAAAAATCAAGTTGAATAAATTTACATGATAATATTGATAAACACACGACAAAGCTACTTCTCAGACAAAGTAACCAAACATAAGCTTTGAACCTCATTTTCATTTAGACTTTAGAGTTTGACTTTTCGTAAAACTTACTCTGTGGTTAAAAAGTTATTCAGATCATTTTCAGCTAAGGTGGCAGTGATCAAAATCTCTTCTTAAAGGGCTCGACTCTCGATCGTCTGCATAATTTCGCCATCTTGTTTTCACGTTTTGGGGTTGTCAAGGAACGTACCCAGACCGTATGTTCGTGTTATTCCTTCTTCTATTGGCCAAAGTAGCGCATAATCCTAGAAATTGACCAATGAAATTAGCTTTCATTTCATTGTGGATATTATCTGGTTCCAAAATTATTACACACTTTTCAATAGGATTTATGTCGATTGGGAATAGGTGCCGACTAATTGCGCGGAGGAATATTTTATGGAAATGTTAGCCGATGTTCCGTGTCGTCTGCAAATTGTATAACTTATTTGCGAAATACTGACACATTTTATCAGTTTTCGGTGAAGTAGACGAAAAACCACCCCATTTTTTTAGCCTGTCCTCTTGGAAAGTCGGAGAAGGGCTCCTCAGAATTGTGAAGTCACCCTTTCCATTCTCCTGGTTTATTTTTTTTTTTACAAATAAAACAAAATGCTAAATAAAAAATATACCTCAGAATTCTTGTTGGCAACTGTTTTAGCAGTCAGCCCCGCCCCCTCAATTTTTGCAGAGACAACGTATGAAGAAAATTCGTGACTATAGTGATGAAATGCAAAAATAAATTGCACATTTTAAATTTTTTTTAGTTTTGAAGTAGGCCTATCACTCAGGATAGAGTGAACAAATGGGTTTGAAAAGATAGATCGAGGCAACACGTAGCGAGCTCAGGCCAAGAAAACTAAGTCTCACATTAGTAACAATGAGAGAGGCTTTCTTGTTTCTTTTTTTTTTTTTTAAAGCCTCGCAGTTTCGAAAAAGGTGGTTACTTGCAAAATAATTATTATGTAATCAGTGTTACGGTACTACATTGTCTAGTGGCGGAAGAACAGACCCCGTTTGAGGAGTAATCACAACTTTGACGTAATATCACTCGACGCGGTTCCCAGCACGACTGCCTGTATTTCTAGGAAAGCCGGATCTAAGCACCAGCCTACTTCATGACGTCCTAGGCTCCTAGCCGGTTTCTGACGCAATTCATTCATGTGTCGTGTGTCGGTACGCGTGCTGCACCGTTCCGATCTCTCGTGTAGAAACGCCGGTAGTTGAAATTCAGAGTAATTTTAAAAGATTTTTAACTTGTTTATATACTGATAATCTAAGTTCTAAGAAAGCATGAAGATTTGGAGTACAGAACACGTTTTCAAGTGAGTATTATAAAACATATGTTTTCTACAAAAATGGGGGAAGTTTTGACCGCCAACTAAGTTCTATACTTTTTTTTAGTAGACTGTCGCCCGTCGCTATGGGTAACTTTCATCGTGTCTTGTTTCATGGTGAAGTACAGGAACGTGACTGCAATGGCGGGGGGGGGGGGGGGGGTTAACTGGTAACCGCATGAACTATGGCTTTGGTGTCTTACTAAAAGTTTCTGATAAGATTTTTTGGAAGCGTGCATCATACTCATATTGTCACAGATTCAGCTAAATTATGCTGCCAAATGCAATTAATAAAGGTGAGGGCGAGAAATAGGATCGTGTATAGTAGTAAGACTGGGTCTTTCACTGACATACACTTTCACAGTTAATTTTTTTGCATTGCTTGTTATATAAGTTATTAGGCTATTTTATTTTATTTAATTTATGAAGATATTCACTGTTTTTGTCATTGTTAATGTTACAATCAAAAGTAATATTTATGGCTATATATATTAAATTTGTAATGTATCTGCATTTATCATTTACAGTGCATGGTTTAACTGGCCTTGATTCGTTTTAGGCTGTGTGAAAAGCATTCAGTTGTCATGGTGATTAACTTATTGTGATGAAATGTTAGTCAAACTTAAAACCTATTATTTTTTTCCCCCAGCCATCCATGGGAAACGGTCGCAAAGGCCGCTTGGCGGAAGTACCCTAATCCCATGAACAACAGTGTAGTAGGCGTCGATGTCGTGGAGAGGCGAGTCGAACCAACGGGGAAATTGTACAGCCACAGAATACTCACAACAAAATGGGGTCTTCCAGGATGGGTAGTAAGGGTAGGTAGATTTGCTTTTTTGTTCCAATTTTTCTCCGAATTTAGGCGGGCCATCCTTTCTCTACGGGTGGGCCCAGTCTGGTCATGGACCCTTTTACAATCAAACAGTTCGTATTGACCAATTAGGTCAACACTTTTTGGTCAGATGACCATGGGAGCTCATTCGAACTCGGTAACAGGCACTGTGAGAAATGTACACAAGCCAAAGATAGACAGAGCTCATCACCAAATCCAAAACTACATTTGGAATTCTCGGTAGTTGATGAAGTAATGTGTATTCAGATCCCCAATCTCCAAGTGATATTTGTGTAATAAATGAATTAAACTAGACTGGCACATGAAATGACCAGTCAATTACTTGAATATTTTGAAGCTTGACATGTTTTTGTTTTTGTTTTTTTTTGTCTTCCAGAGACTTGTTTTAACCAACTGATCATAATCTAGCTATTTTCCTTGTTTTAAATCTTTTGAAGTGCATTTATTTAATTCTTTTAATTTTCTTCCTCCCTTCAGTTTCTTGGTTTGAATCCAACATGTTATGCAAGCGAACACTCGCTGGTAGACGCACAAGAAAGAGTACTAAGACTCAAATCGAAAAATGTGAGTAAAAATCTGGATTGTTTTAATACTCATATTACTGAATTTAGTCCTCTAAACTTTAAGTTCCTTTTAGCTTTGGTATTATGTTGCCTTGAAGTTGGCATGTTATTCATTTCTGTTGTAAAGTTTTGACTTAACAGGAAGTCTATTAGTACATGTGACTCATGAAAATGAGTGCACGATAACTGCATGGAAAATATCAGCAATAGTTTACAAATGATAAAGGTTTATGAGTGCAATGGTAAGAATTATTTCATGAGGTGAACCACGAATAAAATCATTCTTTCCATTGCACGAATGTGAAACATTTATTATTTGTTTTACGTAACATCTGAATAAATCGTCATCTGATTGGTCAGGGCCACCAATAGTGTTGACCGTGCAATGGAACTTCCATTGCCAACATGGCCTGAAGATGACATGAAGACGCTCGAATAAAATAACTCGTGCGCACTTTGCGCTACAAAAACGATCAAAAAGCACCCTCTCTTGTTTGATACATGGCAGCAACAGCTTATAACGATCACAGCCATAGTATGAACCTCAATTTTAGTTGTTTCCCTCAAAACTTACCACTTCCAAAAAGTTAATACGCCATTGTATCTATCACTTTTTTATGTAGATAACTCTCAATAGCTATGTATCAATAGATGAAGAACTTGTATATACACCACATCCGAGCATTAAAAATGCGTAAGTATGACTTGCCATCATGTACAAACATTTTTACATCGACTGTTCTCCACACATCAGCTGATTCACAGAAATATCGCAATTGTATATCGACGTGCTGGTCTTTATTTCTGTTACTGATAGAAAAAGAAAACAGATTTTGCTGTTTGTTAAATTGTTACTCACAAATTTATATTATATATTGATTTATGGACCCTTACAGATAGAAAAAGAAAACAGGTTTGGTTTTTGTTAAATCGTTACTCACAAATTGATATCGATTCATTAACCCTAACATACCTGAATCCATCAAAATCCACACCCCTGTTTCGGGGGATTTCGGCGGATTCAGGATACCTCCATATTGAAAAAGTTGGGGGATTTTGATGGATTCAGGACATGAAGCCTAGCGGTACTGCAGGATTTTGATGGATTCAGGGTACCTCCATATTGAGCAGTAGGGTAACTTTGATGGATTCAGGATCTCAACAGATTTACTCCCAGCTAACTGGTGGATTCTGATGGACTCACTGGCCACCAAAAAAATTTTGCATGGCAAAATTGATGGATTTTGGTGGATTCAGGATACTTTCTATTAAATATACCCAAAGGGTTAGGGTTAATACTAATTTATCATCTGAATAAGTAAATCTCTACAGTGGATTCTGTAAGGGATCTATTTATTGGCACCCGACCAAATCATCTATTGTTTTTCATTTGCAGAACACTACTCACACAAGAGGCTATCGTCACTGTGAATGGAATTAGTCTGGCTGGTCATCTAGAATCTCTGGTCACCAACACGATATCGTCCAAATCAGCAGCTGTAAGTTATCAAATTCAACTTTGTATTGAATATGTTGATTGGGGATCAGTGACTTTTTCAAGGGTAACATAGTTTGAAGACTCAAAAGTTAGGAAAGAACATTTTCCTTCCTTTTCCATGTGGAATTTAAATAACTCATTGTATTGTTAAACAGAAACGGTTCATAAGAAGGAATGTATGCGTCAGGGTGATGTAGGCATGATTTTGTATTAGGTTTTACCAGAAAATACTATTTAAAATAAACATCGGTGAAGGTCAAAACCCAATATTGAAATTAAACAGACACTGCTTACTCGGACATCCCTAACAGTCCTGAATCCTCCGATTTTAGTATGATTTTGCACACCCCCTAGGGAGTTAAGGTTAATTGTAAAAGTCACACTGGATAAACTGAACATAAAGGTAACTAATGTACACAATGTTTAAAGGGAATGTACAACATTTGCTTTTGCTGCAGTTTTCAGAAATAAATGGATTTGGAGGAATAGTATGTTATAGCAAATATTGTTACACTGACTTGTTTCGTGTTTTGGGTTCGTATATGCTGGAAACACCAAGAAACCAATCATATTCTTGTAGTCTTGTTCCCCGACCCCACTTGATGAAACGGAGCAATTTATAGACTTTGGGGAATTGTAGGTTCAGATAATCAGTCTAGCAGCGTTGTAGTCTTCACAGGTGTGTAATCAATTGCAAAGAAAATGCAGATGAACTAAATATAAAAAAGGAAGGAGCACTTTTTGAAAAAAGTCAGTTTTCTCCAATGCTGGTCGGCCGACCAGCGTTGGAAAAATACAGTTTTTCTTGAAAATGTCAGCACACCAGGAGCCACAACTTTACAGGATGCTTTAGACTGTCATTCCCAAACAATCCAGTAAGATCTTTCGTGACAATTTGATCATTTCGTTTTTTGATGTTTGCAATGTTGTATCTTCCCTTAAAAGAATGTACTCATTGCACCAGAAAATATCACTTGAAATGGTGAAAACCACGGACCTGTTTCATGTTGAAACTACTACGCACGTAAATTTGCTACACACAAAACATTTGCTTGTAGCAAAAGCATGTTACCAACAATATGTCAAACCTTACGTATTGCTTGCGACCTGTTATCAGCTGATGGCTGCTAAGCAAGTCAACAATTTGCTTACCAGTTTTGTGAAATTGGAACCAGAAATGACAGCTCCTTAGCTTGTTTTTACGTTTACAGGGTCGTGAAGCAATGGAATGGGTCATACAATCCATCAACCAAGAAATGAAAGATCTCGCCTCGCAGGTCAACAAGAGTATGGAAGACATCAAGCACAGTATGGAGGGTCTGAGCTACGAATAATGCTACCCCTCCCCACCCCCTATTGTACTTCCCCCAAGGGGTGGGGACGAGTTCGTCAAACCACCAATGTAAGCCCTTGCATTGTTAACCTTTCCGATAGGTGCTGTTGTAATGCCAAATGTTTTGAACCGTTCTATGCACTAAGCGTGAGCTGTGCTCACGTAAGCGGAAAGCGCCTTATTTTTTAGAATTCTTTCAAAGTTTTCACGAGCCTGTTATGTCTGACGCTGTTTGTCATTTTTAGCTTTGAAGCAAGAAAGGTGGAAGAACAATGTACATGTACTACAGTACTGCTTCAGTTTTTATGAGTTGTGTGAGGCAGGCTTGGTGTTGAAATGACCATTCAGGTTTTGTTTTATAAAACTTGCAGGATTTTGAACGCTTTCAGGTCAGTACCTAGGATATCGCTGCTTATGTCAAACACCATAGGGCCCAATGTCATGGTTCTGCTAAGCATTGAAATCTGTGCTGATGATCACCTCTCTGTGCCCAATTTCATAGCGCTGCTTAACAGTTAGCAGGAAAGTTGTGCTTACTAAAGCAGAAAATCATGCTGCTGCTTAAGCACTACTTCATGGCGTGGATGTGCTAACAGTTGCGCCTGCATGGAGAGTTCTAATGTGACATCACTGATTTAAGCAGTTTTTTCCTCCAGGGTTAAGCATGCTTTTGATGTGCTTACTGCTTACCGTCTCTATGAAATAGACAGAGGCTCTGTTGGCACAAAATCGGCTGTTAAGCAGCGCTATGAAATTTGGCCCTGATCTAGTGCTGAAATTCTGCATTAACCATGTCAGTACAAAAACCTTACGATGTATGCAAGTAAACAAGCCAGAGTTGCTTGCTTACCCGTGAAATATGCGAACTGTCAACACAGAAGTTTCTGCTAAAGTAAAGTGGAACTTTTAAGATGGAATTCGGTTGAGGAAGATGTAATTCTGAAAACTGGCTGTTGCCTTTCAGTGTCATAACAGGAATATGACAATGAAGGGCACACCAAAATATCGCATGTAAAAAATGTTAATAAGTTTACTCAAATATATGGGGTTATTAGGAGGTCATCTGCGTGAAGAGTATTTTGGTGGTGACAGGGTGAAACTACATTTATGTCATAGTTTGAAGAGGTTTGCTCAGTTTTATAAATTCTAACAAACTAGTCCTCCTCACATCAATGAGTTATTTTTGTTACTGCCAGAGCTATTTGTCGAATTACTTGGGTTGCGGAACGTATCAAGCAATTTTCTATTCACAGTCCATGCCGTAACATTTTCCTGTAATAAAGGGAGTTCAGTTTGGTAAATAGTTCTATAACTGTTTTGACTCTTATTGGTTGGAGGGAAATCTGTCATGTTTGTACATGTAAATTAAAACCCAGGTTTTGATTTAAAGTTTTATATTTTTAAGACGTGTTTTAGTTTTGAGTGCCAAGTATGTTTTCTTGAGAACTGGTGCCATTCTAATGGAAGTGGAAGCAGTAAAACACGTTGAGTGCATTCGATTACTTCCTCCGCGCTTACTCGTGTCAGCGTTCAATTTACCTCTCGCGTGACTTCTCGCGCTTACTCGAGCTTGGCCCAAGTAACCGACTCGCCGAGCCGGTTAGTTAGGTAATTATTCCATAAGGCCATGCAATAAACATGGCTGCCAACGTGACGTCCGGCGGGCGCCTCGGGCCGTGTGCTTCAAGAGCTACAGCTATTGTGAGCCCGTCCCCGCGTATTTTCAATGGGCATGGACCTAGACCTAGCTCTAGACAGTTGATTCGGATGCAGCCTCAGTGTCATGTCAAAGTTCAATTTTCTAGCTCTTGCACGAAACTTTACCCGAAACCGTTCGTTTATTTAGCTCCACTGCGCATGTTTGTCATCACGCGAGGAGCGAGTAAGCTGGGGGAAGTAATCGAACACACTCAATGAGTTTCAGCACACACAAGATTAAAATAACCATTCCCATTTTGCAGTCTTTTTGAAGTGTGTGTTGAAAGTTCAAATTTTAGCACCCAGTGCATCACAAATTGTATTTGAATATGGAACCATTTCAATAAATTGGAAATGTTAGTAAATATTCATGAATGCCTAAACAAAAACCAAATAATCAAATATTCAGCCTATGGATTTGTTTTAATTTTGTTTTCCTGTGTACAAATTTATTTTATTTATGTAAGCAAATGTTCTGAAAAAAGTTTTCATCGAAATTGCAGTAAATATTTTTGAGAGATTAATGATCTTGCATAATTATCTATTTACCTCTTAGTATGAAACTGCTGTTGATTCTATTGCTGTTGAAGATTTGTATAATATTTAAAGTACATTGTATTTTAAAAACCTTCATATGGTGACTGGGACATTAAAATTGCAGTGATTTTGAGAATTTTTAAATATTGTGCGTACGTCTCTAATCTGATACACCGTGCCCTCTGGAGACGTGCACACAATAGGGAACAAAAGATTGTATACGTCTTCAAAGGGCAATTTCTATAGATGAATACGTCCCCACAAGATTTTCACGAAATAGATATATGGATTTTACTCAAAAACTAGGAATTTCCAAGGTGGGTTGATCTGTCGCAAATGGAAGAGTTTTAGAAAAGGGATATTAAGTCCGAATTTCAGCCAAGGAATTTAATTCTGGTTAAAATAAGAGCATTTTGAAACTTCACTGTCAAACTCAAAAACTTTACTACACGAGGACAAAGAAATGTCTCCACAAGAATACAAATTTCAGTGTGTGTTTTCAGTGTTTACATGACCTTTTCTAGCAGATATGATGCACTGATGTGAAAATTCCATAAAGCAGGATTTAAAATGTTGGTTGCGAATTTTTGTAGTACATATTAAAGTAATTTAAATTTTAGATGCATAGAAATTACGAAAGCCATTGTTTTCAAAGATCATTTCGGATCAATAACACAATCATGCTAGTTTATTTTAAATTGTTAATTTTTAAAAACATTTTATAAACATTCAGCAATTAAAAAAAAAGCGCCAGTTGGTAACAAATATAAAATACTATATACAGATGTGTTCGAAGTTGCAAATAAATAAGCTGATGTCAATGGATGTGCCAAAACCCTTAACATTAACCAAAAATAACCAAACATTTTTAAAGCTGCTTTCCTAGTCAAAATGAGAACTTTACAAATATAAACATTTTGCCATCAATTATCTTTCACTAATATATTTTGTTAGCACACGTCTACATTGGCCGGCATCCGATGATGCTTTAGTTGACTACTAGTTTTAATAAAAGTTTCATGAAAAATAAGGCCCTAATTTTTTTTTTAAAGTGAAGCCAATAGGATGCCTCAATTTTTAAGCTGTACCCCCCCCCCCAAAAAAATCTAATATTCACTCGGTCAATGCAGTTTAATATCTTTACAACTTGGTGATTAATTTGAAGAAAAGACGAATATAAAATCATGGAATAAACTCACCATTGCAAGAAAGTTTCGAGATAAACCTTTAAAAGTATTTCATCAAGTTGCATGTATTATTTAATGACAAAATGGAAGAATTCCATACGTGGACACATCACTAACTTTTCCCTGCAGTGACTTATCAGCCATCAGAAAAGTGATATGTCCTAAAAAGTCAGCTTTAACAGGGAAAATATTGAAGCATAAGCTGAAGAAAAAAAAAACACTTAGAATTTTTCAGACCAGTCTCATGGGGTTTGTGCACAGGGTGTCAAGTGATGTCCAGGTATGGAAATCTTTCCACAAAATAGTCTAAAAGATAATTACATACTAGGTTTTTCAAATTTGAAGAATTCATCAAAATCAGAAAAACATGTAACTAGAAAATAACATTTTGAGCAATAAACATCACTAGGATGATTACAGTTTCAAATAAAAATTCTTCCCAATTTAAAACGGTGTGTTCAGAAATAAAGAGAAAACAAAAACAAGTGATGGAAATAATTGGACAACTGAATATGCTAGCTCTTTGTCAAAATATTCCACTTTGTGTAATAAACAATTCCAGTTATTTATGCCAAATTTTGATAAAGTAGCTATCATGTTCATAAAGTTTTTTGTCTAATATTGGATTTTACGCAGTATTATGTTTCTGTCTTCTTTTTGAAGATAAAGGGGACGGACCTGTGTTAACAGGAATGGAGTGCCCATCTCTCTTTCGTTAGTGATTGGGCCAGACTCATATGTTGCTGCGGGGGGATCGCCACACCTCCTCCACAGTGGGTCTGTTACCTTCCCAGCATTGAATAATGCCGGTACCCATTTAACACCTGGGTTGAGAAGAGTAATTGAGGTAAAGCGCCTTACTCAAGGGCACAACACGCTTGCCAAGGCGGGGCTTGAACCCACAAACTCACGATCATGAATCCTGTGCTCCACCGCTAGACCACACGTGCCCTTAAATGTAAAATGACATCGGCGCCTACTACACTTTGAAGATAAATCTTTGATAATAATTTAGAATGAAGTACATGTACATGTAAAAATAATCAGGATACTTTCTTTTCAACATTTGGCACTTGAACAAAGAACATCTGTCTGATCTGAATTCATAAACAGTAAATATGAAAACCTCATTCAGCACATATAGTGTTAATAGCAAACAGTTTTTCATAATCTATCGCCAGCTATGATCTCATTTATTAATATGCAAGTCTAAATTATAACCAAAAATAAGTAAATTAACCTTCAACAAAACACTTTTTTACTTCACACGTTAGCACCTTTGACAAAAGCAAATACACCTTTCTTAAACTCCCAGTTCAAGCGACACTTGTGGATTAGAACAAAAATAAATTACTAAATTAACCTTAACGAAACATAAAATAAACATAAAATAAACAAAGAAAACTTAAAAAAATATTGCAAAAATATATATCCTGAGTTAGACACAGGTATCCGCCTGAAGCTTCATTGCCTCGCTGTACTCGGGAGGCGGGGTTTCAGACCGCTGTGTGATGTACACATCTCGATTTTCGTGGACGGTGTGATAAGCGGGTGGTTCCTCCGTGTATTCCATAGGGACGTCGTTGGCGCGGGTTACGCCTTGCGTGCTCGCATCTTGGGTGCGGTGGAGGTGGGCGCGGCGGGTGTGGCCCGTGTAGCGATCCCAGATCTTCAAGTAGCAGTAGACGAGGCAGCCGACGAGGATAAGGAGCGCAATCAGGCCATTGATGAGGATGACGATGAATGGTAGAAAGGAATCTGTATAATGGAACACACAAATGGAATTTCAGTAAGTAGATTTAAAACCTTAATTGGGCAATTCCACGGTTACTCAACGTTACATTTTTGATGTACTTTTGAGTTTCCTTGGGCTGTAATAACCTTACTGAATAGGTTTAATAACTGTTATCCCCATGGTAGATAGAGTAGACCTAGACCTACCTAAGCACCAAAGATGACATCCAGAAAAATGTGTTATGTATGATAAACAAGACCCACAAAATCGGTTACTCACGCTACATTTTCGTAATGGGAGTAACTGATTTTGTGGGTCTTGTGTATCATACATAACACATTTTTCTGGATGTCATCTTTGCTGCTTAGGTAAGTCTAGGTCTACTCTATCTACAATGGGGATAACAGTTATGAAACCTTTTCAGTAAGGTAATTACAGCCCAAGGAAACTCAAAAGTACATCAAAAATGTAACGTGAGTAACCATGGAATTGCCCAATTGTGGAATGGATGCAAGTAGGGAGGAATTAAATGTTCCGTAGACCCTAGGCACCGGTGGTCCGTATTCCCTACTCCGCCCTAGGCACCAACACCAATGTCATGTTGATGCTAATTGCTGTACTAAGCAAGCCAGGCCACACTCTGGTATATTCCTAGGCTCTCAAATTGTTCGTAGGTCCCCACATTTTTGGTAGGCCCTAGGCATAGTGCCTACTGTGCCTGTTGACCTATCGCCATTTGCGAGTTAGCCACGCCCCTTAGACAACCCTATGGAACTTTTGTACGTTGAGTTTTGTTTGTCTTAGATTGGGCGCGATCCGCGTCCATTTGTATATCATGTAATTGGACAATATTTCACAAGCTGCGTTGACGCGATTCTACTGCGATAGGTCAATTGGATAATCCAGGCCTGGATGCAAGAATAACATTTGAGGATGATACTATATAATAATGAATGAATTCTGTTAAGAAATGTTGAAAATTTCAGTCTTGCAGTGGTTTTTCTACGGAGTCCGGAGTGCACAGACCCAAAACACATACTTTGCATGATGCTCGATAATTTGTTTCAGTACGAAGAAAGTTCTATTGGTTTATTACATAGAGTTAGATTTGCACCGATTCACGAAGCTTCCAGGCAAAAAAAGCCTTATGTCGGGCGACATGAGAGCAAGCTAAGCTACTAAATCACCTTAACAGACAAGCTGCCTTTTCATACTAGTTACACTATTTGCGAACTGTCATATTATGAGGAATAACCCCCACCTTTGACTTTTCAAGTATACATCATGTCAAAGCGCAAATCACTGGCTTACCAATGATGCCAAATATTCTAAAGATATGCCGCAGGAACTTTAACAGTGTCCCGCCGAACTTTGCCGACCTCATTTCGAGAAAACACACATTGCGCCGCTAACGGCAGTGAAAAACGTTAGGGGTATATTTTTCCAACAAAAATACATAGTGTGAATCTTGGATACCTTGGCTACTCAAAAATAAAACCAACATCGATTTTGACAAGATTTGTCCAGTATATCCGACTTCACGCCTTGATTACTCAAAAAGAGGTTTTGGGGGACATTCCTCACTTTGCCACAGTAGGTCACATTTGCAGGGTAATTTGGAGACCTATTTCTCTCATAACTTGCAATAATACATTGGGTTTAACTCTGGCTGCTCATCAAATGACACAATTTGGCCTTGGAAAATTCATGAGAAATATTTGAGCAACATCTTTTTTTTGGGTCTTACCTTGAATGCCGGGTGACAACGTCTCAAGCTGCGTCTTATTTTCATAGCATCGGACCCCGGCGTCCTCATTATGTTTACAGTTGTGCTCGCCGATCCCAGCATGACGACAGTTTATAATACTGGTCTCGTTCCCGGCACACATGACATCGTCCAATAAAATGGGTCCATCGCCCTCGCCGAAGTAGGCAGTTGTAGAGATAGCCTCGGCCGTGTGAAAACCAAGTTGCTTGCAGACGACGTGTGCATCGGCATATCCCCAGTGGTCATCGCAGACAGTCCCCCACTGGCCGCCGTACGAGATCTCCACCCTCCCTTCGTATGGGAATACCCCACCGACTAAACGGATCTGGAAATCTGTGTGAGGTTGGAGTCAGAAAATATACAGCTGTTGAAGGTGGGATTTTGAGGCAGAGCGATGTTACTTGTACAAACAATAATTTGTTTTGAACATATTTTGGGCATTTTTAAAAATAAACCTACTATCTGCAAATGATGACTTCTAAGATCAACTGACGACAAGGTGTCAGGTTCAAGTCCTACCTATGCACACCTTTAAAATATTCAACTAAAACACAAAATTCAAGAAAATGTTTCCAATTCCTCAAAATGTTTTGGACATCATCAAATGTCATCTCCAGTTGTTTTAAGAGAAGCCTTTCAATAATATCTGTGTAAATTGAAGATGAAAGTAACCGTCAAATTTGTGGACATTTTTTCTTACCGGGCAGTGGAGTTACCATGCTATCACTGCAGCTGACTTCTGCCAAACTCTTTGACGAGCACTCATAGTCCTTGCTGAGATTAAATTTGCATTCTGTGAGCGTTCTCTCTGTTCCAAGACACTCTAAACTTCCAAACTGCCCTTGTCTTGGGATCTTTGAAGAGTCTTTATCGTAAACAGAAACGGCGCGAACCGTTACGGCATCCACGAAGCCTAGCTGGTGACAAACCAATTGGGCAACTGTCATGTCAACTCCCTCGAAGCAAATCCTCCACCAGTCACCCGCATATTTGACTTGCAGAATTCCAGTATCGCTGACGTCAACCTCCGAGAGACGAGTGATATCTCCTATGAGTTAGAACAAAAAACAGGTTTATTGTTTAGCTAACAAAACTCATGAAGAACTATAGACTAATGAGTACAGGCAAAGGAAAGTAGTGCAATGTACATAAGAATGGAAGAACAAGTGAGCTAAACAACACTTTTGACAGTTAAGGCTGCCTAAAGTTAAAGATTTGGGCGAAAGATTAAGCGATAACTACAAAACTAAAAGACAATTTGGGGTGTCAGGTTGGCGTAGCAGTACTTTCCTTGCCTTCCACTGCTGTGACCCGGGTTCGAATCCCGCCTGGGCCAACATGTGGATTGGGTTTTCAGTCCCTGCCTGATTCCGTGGGTTTCCCCCAGAATATTCTTCTGGGGTTTTCCGTCCCCCCTCTAAAACTGTGATTTCTTCTCATTGTCTTCTATCTCTCCACAGGTTTCTTCAGGCTTGCGGGCTACAGTGCCTAGGGTGCTTTTGAGGAATCCTTGTCTTCATTACCAGAAATAAATAAATAATAATAATAATAATTTCAGCACCTTTCCAAGAGATCAAAATGAATACTATCATTAAAAATAAAAGAAATGTAAAACATATTTGACAAAATTTTTTTTTTTTAAATGTAAAACATATTTGACAAAAACATGGCTAGAATGACTTCCAATGTGGAATGAAATTTGGGTTGGTTAACTGTTTTGCATGACTTGATCTTTCCAATTAGACCACAATGACTGAAATCAATACTCTGGTGTTTGAGATTGTTGCAAGGCAATCTTTAAGTCACCATTTTAAAACTACAAACTTTTCTGGTGACTTCAGAGAGTTTTTAGGATCATGGATTGCAATGTGGAGGTTGAACACACCTGGTTTAACATCATTTGTGTTACTGCAGTTAACCTCAGCGGCCACACTGCAATCGCCGATCATGGGCCCGTCTGTCAGACACAGCCCCAAGTGTTCCTCCTCTCCACTGCAAGAGAAGTCCAAAGCCAGGGAGTCCTTTGCATCCTCGTCGCCTGATTTCTCACGGTGATGTCCCTTTACCCTGACGGCGTACCGGTAGCCTAGCTGTCGACACACCACCTGGGCTGTAGCTATTGCGCTAGGTCCGTGGCAAACGGGGATCCAGTGACTGTCGTATTGAATTTCCACCCCGTTACTAATACGGACTGGAAAAAAACATGAAAGCAAAATTTCATATTGACAGCAGTTTTAGTATGTTGTTCTCAACTTGGACACTTTCGATATAAAACTGTGAACAGAATAAATGGTAGAGGGACAAAAAGCAACAGGTTTTAACTTGTTACAATCTGAAATAAGACCTTAACATTGACTGGTGAGGTACTCAGGACTTTAACATTATCTGTTGACAAATTTAGCTTTTTTTGGCCTTTGAAAAGGTCCTGCTTAGGATTGAATGTTACATATTTTTTGTTGTTTCTGATGAAAGGGGAATATCAAATTGGCCTGAATGATTTTTATCCTTGACGACAGGTTTTCTGGACTGTAGTCTTAATCTGGTTGTTTCGGTGATACTTCCATCTTTGTGGTGACAGGGCAATCTTAGGGGACATCAAAAATCGAAAGATATCCCACCATTCTTTGTTGACAGTGGCATGTTGGGACACATTTATAATGTTACGCCCCCTAAGTGACCACAAAGATGGAGTATCCATGAAATGGTCTATAGGGGGTGGCGGGTGGGAGGTTGGGGTGGGGGCGTAAGGGGGGGGGGGAGGCAGAGGGAGTTGATGACTGGTCTCCCATACCTGGTAAAGCAGCTTCTTGGCATCTTGCCATCGCCTCATCTTCGCAATCCCATGATCCCGCACGATAATGACACTCTCCAAGATTACTCTCCCAGCCGTCGCAATCCACCAGGTCAAGCAATCCCGGACCGCCCCCCTCGGCGTTGATCATGGCGAGCTTGGCACCGGGGAATCCCAACTGTCGACACAAGACATTAGCGTCTACCATCTCCCATTCGTGGGTGCACACTAACCCCCAGTCACCATCGATGTTGACCTCAACTCGACCTTGGTGTAAATATCTGCCGTTTACAAGTCGGGCCTGGAAATCTGCCAGATTGAATGAATAAAAAAGTTTACAAGGAATTGTGGTGAAACAATTTTTAACTAAGACTATTGTTATTTAATTGTAGAAATTGAGTTCTTCTTTGTTTTGTTTGTTTATTTGGGCCTATATTTTGTAGCAGTGGGTATTTTGCCAGATCCGGCTTTCTTTTAGTAAACGATGTTTTGCCGGATAGGCACTGAACATGCACAGTAACTATTTTTTGGGACTTAGAAATGTTTACCGGCTAAATAGCCCCATAAATGTGGCCTATTTACTGGACTGCCTCCGTAAACATAGGCCACACATCCACATGTACAAAAACGTGTCGCACTTTGCCAAATTTTGATTTTCGCATTTAGGCTTAGTTTGTAGGGGTTTTTTGCTTTAGAAGCATACTCACCCTCTTTATAGGCTAATCAGAAAGTGCTGCCTTTTTCAGACGTATATTTTTCGTGAAATTTCCACTCCAGATTCATTTTTACACGTTTGCGTATCAAAATTTCAACATGAAATTTCACAAAAATTAGACATCTGAAAAAGGCAGCACTTTTTGACTACCCTATAAAGAGGGTGAGTATGCTTCTAATTTCTAAAGCAAAAAAATCCTACAAACTAAGCCTAAATGTGAAAATCAAAATTTGGCAAAGTGCGACAAGTTTTTGTACATGTGGATGTGTGGCCTATGTTTACGGAGGCAGTCCAGTAAATAGGCCACATTTATGGGGCTACCGGCTAAATATCCACTATCTATTTTGTGTTTTAATTGGGGGGGGGGGGATGTGACTGTAGGCCAACTTTTTTACACTTTTTTTCTGGGGTAAATGTTTCACATCTTGGTGTGCTTTTTTTCCATTCTGTTTTCCCTTTTTTTTTTTTTTTTAACTTAACAATAACAGTAAAATAGAACAAACATCTATGGAGTGTCATCGAAATATGTGGAATAAAAACAACAATAACATACCTTTTTGTGGGGTGTTATACGCGAATGACGTCAGGCGAACCGCAAACCACATCCACAACACTGCAACTTTTGCGACCATCATGATCATGTCGATTCCAAACGCAACAATTTTGAGCTTACCTCAAAATTCTACTTCCATTTTCGAACAAATATTTATGACATGAATCCCCAGCATCTTTTCTCACAGGTTATCACAAGTATATCACCCAATAAATAAGAGATATTTGGAGGTTTTTCTACAGCAATTTTATGTTAAAGTTGTTTCTCGCCCGAGCTTCCTTCATTATTGTTTTTGTAAACAGCGCCCTCCTTTGGCGAATCCTAGTCATTTTTCATCATGGCGACTTCCGTGTTCGCGGAAGAACCATCAGTTCACCTCTTTTGCCCCTCGTGTAAACATCTTCTGCAGGACCCAGTGATCAGCGTGGCATGCGGGCACACATTCTGTAGGCTGTGTCTAACGGACGGCAAAGATTCGGTGATTTTGGAGGCTTGTCCTGTCGACGAGAAGCCGTTGAAAAATACGTCAGTTGTTGCGAACAGGTTTGTTTTGTGCATGTGGTTTTGTGTGTTATCATAACGTTGTCATAACGCAGTACAGTAGTACCGGATGAGTGCTGTACCGGATGTAGGATGGAACGCCGTATTATCGCGGTACTTATCACGTTTCTCGTTCGGAATAGAGATTGCCCACTAACCTTCCAGAATTGTCCTGTCTTATGTGTAGTATAACTCTTCCTTTTTAAATTAATATAAAAAAATCCGACGGTGGTGTGGTTTATTCCGTGTACGATGCCTGTGAAAATAGACATGCGCGGCGTGTGCGAACGGAGGTGGACTCCCTATTATCGCGGTATGCGGGAAGTGGTTTTTATAATGATCCCAACTTTTTTGTTCATAGTTTATCTTTGACCAAAACACCCCCTGAATAAAGTTTGATATTTTCCCTGTAACGTTCAAGTTGATTAAAGACCAATTTTCTGCAGGATGATTTCTTAAGACCCTGCCCTTCCCCCGAAAGGAGAACACAAATCCCTGAGGCAAGTCTACTGATCGGCGATTGAGGGCGCCATTCACTTTACACGGTGTGCCGTTTTATTTTCGCTAACGCGCGGTGCTTATTTTGATCCCGTAAAAGTTGTTACGATTTCGCGCTGCCAATATCATCGTTCGACTTCATTTTACATTTGCAGCTGAAGAATGGGAACCAGACAACGGAACTTTCATGGTCAGAGCGCAATTACAGATTTATGTTAAAATATAAATGGTACCTTTTAGCAGACACGGTGAGGGAAAATTTTGCAAGTTTTGGAAAACGTTAATATTTATTAAAATCGTTAAAAGTCCCGAAAGACACAACATTTTTTAATCGTCCTTTTTATACAACTCGGTAGAAAATCCTCGATGACTGGTGAACTGGATAAAAATCGCCACTTGAAGGAGTTTTGACACTGTAAAAAGAGAAATTTCCCATGCCGCGATAATAGGGATGCCGCGATAATAGGGAGTCCGACTATACTACTATGTAGTATGTACAGCAACTTGCGTACCGCAGTCGTTACGCCCTAAGGCTATTAATTAGCATTATACATGTGTAATTACATTTTACATTTTGCGTCAGAAAATATTTGGAAAGGCCTGAGGTCTTTTTTTTATTTTCATTTCTCATTATTCAGTTATTATTAATTAATTAGGCCTACTTCAAATTTTTTATTATTCTTTCTTCAACTTGACTTGAGATGACTTTTTTGTCATGTTTATTTACATTAAAATAAAAATGAGAAAAATTGCTGCAAACTTCATTCTGACTGGATTGACCTGAAATAAACAAATGTAAAAAAATTAAAGTGGCGTGATGTTTCGAACTTAACAAGTTCTGCAGCAGAGGCAAACCTTAACTTTAAAAAGAAGAATTTACAAAAATTATTAAAAAGACAAAAATAAGAAGAAAAGAAGCAAAAAATTAAAAAAATTACCTTTATTTTAAAATGGGAGTCAACCCGATCTTATTCTGCAAAACAGTCATAAAACAAGACACATTCCTTGTTTTCAAACATAATTATGAAATTAAGCCATTTAAATTCGGCTTTAACGTTTCTGAATCAGTTGAAATATTGCAAAGCCCCGTGGTGGACTAGTACAAATAAAATATGTGATCTTGCGTATATTCAGGGCAATATTAATATTTTTTTTACTAGTATTGTTTTTGTTTAAAGTGTGGTTGTTGAAATCAAGAAGACTTTTTTTTAAAGGTGGGCTACAAACATTTTCTTAGTTAAGATAAAAATAAATATGATTAAATTAAAAAAAATTAAGCAATTTTCAATTCTGTGAATTTGTACAGGGCCATCACCTCTCAGCTAGACGACATACTGGTGTACTGTAAAAACGGCATCAAGCGGTTCAGCTCCAGGAATGACGAGCTAGTCACAGACACCTGCGGCTGTCCCGAGCTGGTCCACCTATCCCAGAAGGCCGAGCATGAATCCAGCTGTCCGTACAGCTCCCTGGCGTGCCCAAACAGCCCCGAGTGTGGGGTCATACAGCGACTGCATCTAGAGGATCACTTCTTGAGCGTCTGTCCTTACGTGAAGTGTCGTTATCATGAGCAAGGTTTGAATTGGCGATGTTACGCCCCAACTATAGCAGTGGCCCCAATTATAGTTGGGACACTCCCAACTCTAATTGGGACTCTCCCAGCTCTAGTTGGGATCGTCTCAACTATAGTTGGGACAATGTTCTAGTTTGGGTGTAACAGTCGTACTGCATCTTGTTATATATTTTGGCTTATAAACCCTCATTTTTGTCTCCAGCTTTGGCCCTATCTATGACTTCAGGGAGCATTCAGAGGTCTTTATGTTGCAGACCAAATGGAGATCTCTGAATGCTGGGCTCATTCATGTATTACAGGCTGTGATGGACTTGAAGCAGAAAATATCCCAATATTGAGTGACCTTCCTCAAAGTCAGTGTCTCAAACTTCAAGTTTTAAGTATGAAGCAGAACAAGATACTAAGTTTGGTATGATCCTATAGTTATACAAGTACAAGGTAATACAGAATGCTTGTCCATAAATTGACTCAAAGGTATTGATTTGTCTCTGGATCACTGCGATGTGTCTTGCTCAAGGACACACCATGTCAGGCTTTCGATTTTACAGGATTTTAACGTAGCTGGAATTGTACAACTATTGCTATTTTTCCTTTTTGGACATCTCACAGGTTGCACATTCAGCAATAAATCGCAAGCTGTGGAGGACCACTGCCAATCATGTAAATACAAAGAGCATCCAGGCTATGCTGCAGATAGCATTTCAAAGGTAATTTAACCCTCCTTTTGTCTGAGCAGTCAGACAGTCAAAATGTCAATTCTGTTCCCCTGCCATGCTTTTTACACAGGCTAGTCACCAACAGTCAGATCATTTTTCAATAGACACCCTGACTTGACAAATTCCATCGACAGACAAAAGCATGTAACTGGTAGGCACAGCTTGCTTATCAATCACATGTAGTCAAAGCATAGCTATATCAGGTTTCATAACAATTACAGCCAGTCAATCCTGCTTTATGAAGGCAGGGAGCACTCAACTGTCATAAACAGTCACTTGATTTATTTTGACTTCTGGGCTGGCCTTGTTGAAATTGCCAGCCAGAGAGGGAGGGTTTGCTTGATAAGCATCACGCAAGGTTACTGGACTCTCTAGAAATGCTGCGTTCACAACGATCACTCCACCAGTGCCAAAATGAGGGTGCTCTTGGGTGTACACTCTGTGAATATAAGACAAAATTTCAGGCTGAGGCTAAAAATGTATTGCTTAGTTTTACCTTTTTTTCTTTGTCCAGCAATCTTTCGAAGAGCAAATTCTCCTACAGAAACAGGTGCAGATGCTGATTGAGAAGGTCTTATTTCTGGAAAATGGCAGAGACGAGATGAAAGCACAGCTAGATGCTTGCACAAGGTTGGACTAAAAAATTAACCAATTTTTGAACCACAGCAAAAATCTTGCTTTCTTCACACAAAAAAAACATTCAGTGACGGAAATTGGATGGGCCAGTGGTTGTGAGAATCTTTGTGATTGTGGAACACTGTTTTCTTTTTCTCATGCGTTTGCATAAAATTATGGGGTATATTTTCTTTGTAAAGTCCGCTGAATCCAACCGAGTCCAACAGCTTGACCAAAAGTTACCTTTTTTCATATTGCCAATTTTAGTGAAGCTGTTAAGCTCTGAAATTTGCTAAGCACAAACAAGTACAATAGGTTAAACAGGTGTATTGCTCTTGAGTGGTCTCGGCTATTTTGTATTTAGTGTACGTGTAAATAACTTTGCTAAGCCATTTTTTGTCTTCTGCTGCTGAGCAGTTTTAAGAAGTTTGGCTCTTTCCAGATCAAACAAATCCAATTTATTTCAACCAGCGTTTGATAGTGCGGGATTTAAGAAGATTTAGGATGAATAGATTTTTGACAATTTGTTCCGTTTCAGGGCTCTGGCCGACATGGAGACCAAGTGTAATGACTTGAAGTCAACCATCACTAAGCACGACGCTAAGCTCAGCAGCTCCTCCTTCAACCGATCTCAAAGACCTAGCATCAGACCGAGGACTGCCTCAGGTAGGTTATCAGCGGAGGTCAAAGGTCAAATCACAATTCAATCACAAGCTTGGTCTTAAATCAGATCACAAGTCAGTCACAAGGAAAATCACAAGCTAGGTCTCAAGTCAAATCACAAGTCAGTCACATGACAGATCACAAGTCAATCACAAGCTAGGTTTCAAATCAAAGCGCAAGTCAATCACAAGTCAGATCACAAGTCAATCACAAGCAAGGTGTCAAATCAAATCACAAGTCAGTCACAAGCTAGGTTTCAAATCAAATCACAAGTCGGTCACAAGCTAGGTTTCAAATCAAATAACAAGTCAGTCACAAGGCAAATCACAAGTCAATCACAAGCTAGGTCTCAAATCAAAGTGAAGTCAATCACAAGTCGGATCACAAGTCAATCACAAGCTAGGTCTCAAGTCAAATCACAAGTCAATCACAGGTCAGATTACAAGTCCATCACAAGCTAGGTCTCAAATCACATTGCAAGTTAGATCGTAAGCTAAATCAAAATTCAAATCACAAATCAGATTGTATGTTCAATCGTAAGTCAAATCACAAGTCCATCACTGGTCAAATCACAAGTCGAATCACAAGGCCATCACAAGTCGAACCACAATTCGAACCACAAGTCATATCTCACAGCGCTTGTGACTGAGCTTGACTGAGCTACCATTGTCACCGTACCAAAAGTTATGATAAAGGTGTCAGTGTGCAACAAATTTTGATTTGTTTACCCATAGATCGTCGCGATTCATCCAGCCCTGAAAACACCATCACAAGCCATGACCACTGGCAAGTGCCATTTGAGTTCAAATGCATAGGAACCTTAAGGTAAGTTTTAATTTCACAGAAACTTTTTGAAATGACTGTAAAAAAATGGGTTACTAAATTTGTTTTTAAGACTAGGTTTTTTTTTGCATGGCGGTAGTGTAAGCTAGTGAGGGATAGTTTCCACACCATGTGGAAGAATCTTTTTGAGTAGATGTTTGGTTCTGAAAGAACCAATTGGTTGTGCTACTCGGCGTCCTGATCAGTATGCTCTGATTGTCTTCAGGAGAATTTTAAGTTTTAAGAGATGCTTATAATGATTTGCTTACACAAATTTAACGAAGATTTGAAGTAAAAGAAGAAATTGTTGATTTTTTTGTCGTTGACAGAGGACATGATGCTGCCATCCATTGCCTAGCAACAAGAGGTCATAAGTTATACTCCAGTGGAGCAGACAAAGTCATCAAAGTGTGGGACGTGGACGCCCTGAGTAAAGGATGCGTGCAGAACATCAAAGGACACACGGATACGGTAAGGGACCGTGACCATTCAGCCCTGGTATGAAAAGGGCCCCCCGGTACCTCGTCCGGTCCAGAGCCAGTCCGGTCTTCAGCCCAGTCTCGTCCGGTACATGGTCCTGTCTGACCAGAAGTTTTGAAGTCAGTCAGGCGCATCATTTTATTGCCCTTCGGAGAACGTTCTGAGCAGAACAATAGCAGACTTATCGGATTAAGATAAAATCCTTCCAAACTCTTTGGTAATTTACGGACCCATTTTGCGCGAAACCGCATGGCAGTGGTTTTGATCTGTGCCGACGAAAGTGTTCTATTGTTTCGCGCTGAAGGATGAAAACCACAAGCAGGTTTCTTCAGGGATATATTATGTGTGTCAATACTTGCAAACAATAGACCCCAGGATAGAGGAGTTCCTGATTAGCAACCGGACCAGCTCCTGGGCCGGTAGCTTGGACGGTACGAGAGGACTTCTTGGGAGGGGACGAGCTTAACGGGGGGCCCTTTTCATACCGGGGCTGAATAGTCATGGGCCCTAAGGTTTCAAAGAACGTGGCCATCTTTCTGTTGTTTCATTTTATTTTTATAGATTAACCCTCACGCCTTGTGGCATTTAACCCTCCTTTTGTTTGATCAGTCACACACAGTCAAAAATTTCAACTTGTTCCCCTGCCATGCCTTTTACACAGGCTAGTCACCAACAGTCGGATCATATTTCTTGTAGGCACTGTGACAGTCAAATTCACTCGACAGACAATAGCAGGTGACTGGAAGGCACAGCTGGCTGATCAATTTTCTACAGTCAAAGCATACCTACATCAGGTTTCATAACAACCACAGCCAGTCAATCCTGCTTTATGAAGGCAGGGAGCACTCAACTGTTAAAAACAGTCACTTGATTTATTTTGACTGCTGGGCTGGCCTTGTTGAAATTGCCAGCCAGAGAGGGAGGGTTAAATTCATTATATAAAAAAAATCAGTAATTTGGTTTTGCCTATAAGGATATGCCAACGTGTCGAAGGGTTTGCCTGTTCCAGATATTTGTTAAAGCGTCCTTAAAATCAAGAATTTATTCACAGATTTGACCAAAACTTGGCAGGAATGTTGCAAAATTGTTTGAATTCTCTCACACCTTAACTATCTAAATGTTTGTAATTCCTAATTCTGTTTTGTATTGATAGATTCCGAACTATAAAAGTCTAGCTACTTTTATATAATTTTACAAAGGCCTTGATTGCTGGCAATTGCTGATTGAAACCAGTGTTGGATTTTGGAGGGGTTAGGAAGCTTGCAGATAAAAACATTAAGGTTTTGGGGTTTTTTTCCCTGTCTTTTTTGTCTGTGCAGGTTAATGCCCTGCTAGCCGGCAGTGACTTCCTGTACAGTGCTGGCGAAGACCAGACCCTCCGTATGTGGAAATATGACACGATGAAGGAACACAAGTGCATCAAGGTACGAGCAAAGTTTCATTCTTTTGAAAATGAACTGACCAGCACCCCTTGAACGAAGACATTGACAAACAAAATGGGGAACCGCCAACATAGCGTTGGACAGCTCAGTTGGTAGAGCACCAGAAAGGCAATCCAGAGATCGCAGGTTCAAACCCCGCTCCAGTCAATTTGTTTGTTTACCTTAGTTTACATAAAGAGTAACACATCCAGAGTTTTGCAGTTATCAAGAGATTACAAATGTATTGTAGGAGGGAAGAAGTAGTATAAGAACACAAGTGAAAATCAGACTTAAATATAAAGACACTTTATAAGCCAAACCTCCTTGTTTGATGTCATTATTACATATGCCTCATGGCTTCAAAATTGAGTACATTTAGATAATTTTTAGGTGTTTTGTTTTGGTTTTGTTCGTCAACAGAAAGCCCATGACAGTGCCATATGTGCTTTGGTCAAGAACGGAAAATATCTCTTCTCATCGGGATATTCCACAATCAAGGTAAATATGTATTTGATGGAAAATTTTGCGTCAGTGTGGTCTCGCTAAGTCTTGCAAAATCCTCCTAAACTTTTTTTTTGCGTGGATTTTTAAAAGATCTGAGTGTGTTAGGGTTAAAGGAATTGTGAATGAAATAGTGTGTAATATCCAGTGTTGTAGTCGAGTACCTTTTTCCGAGTACCGAGTACTGCTGAGTACTTAGGTTGCCGAGTACGAGTACTTGTACCTCCGAGTACAAAAACGGGTCTCTGAGTACGAGTACTTGTACTTCCGAGTACGAGTACGAGTACTCGCATTTCCGAATCGGCCGTACGGCAAATGGTTCATTGTGCGTAATTGGCCCAGGCCCAGTCAGACCAATATACAGACCCTCTCACGGCTAGCTGTTAAATGTGTTTGTCCCGACTTGCACAGAGGAAAATCAGGAAATCTCAATTTCTCCACAAGCCGATCAACCATTTCAAACTGAAAGTATCGATAAAATAAGGTCATGGTAAGTGAAGCTATAACATTTTCCCCGGCCGAGTACTGCTATTCGAGTACGAGTACTTTAATGATCGAGTACAATTTCGACATGTCGAGTACGAGTACTTTGCTGCCCGAGTACGAGTACTTTGACATTCGAGTACGAGTACGAGTACGAGTACTACAACACTGGTAATATCCTTGACCAGTACAAGATGATGGATGTATAAGATTTGAAAAAAATTAATTTTCAGATTTATTCACTGAGCTTTTAAAAACCTCGTTCACAGACATCACATAACCCTGGAATTCCCCTGAAAAAAAATAACTCTTAGGCTTATGGTATTCTTGTAGGCTTTTGCTGCTTTTATTGTTATTTTTGACTTTTTTTTGCGGTGATTTTCTGTTCATCTCTTCATCAGGTTTGGCATGTGAACACCCTGGAGTCCGTCACAACCATTTCAGGTCAACATCATTGGGTCAGAGCCCTGACTTTAGAACCTTCAAAGGTAAACTGAATTCCAAATCAAAAAAAGTTGCTACATTTTCTAACATTTTTTTTTAAGATAAGCTGAATTCAATTCAGCATTTCTCCAAAATTGTTGCATTTCCTGAAGCGAATTGAAATGTTGCTGGTCACAGAGATATATAGCCTGCCTACATGAAGAGCCCTGTTTGTACCACACTGACTGACTATAGCCCGGTTTATACTTCACGCGAAAGCGGAAGCGAAGCGAAATTCGTGACGTCAACAATACATTCGAAGCGCGTCCATCATTGTTGACGAAATGAATTTCGCTTCGCACTTGCTTTCGCGTGAAGTATGAACCGGGCTTTACTGACTCACTTTTGAGCTGGGCAGTGTCATCATATAGACCAATCCAGACACACAATCAATTCTATCACGAAGGCCCCCTTCAATGGCAAAAGCATTGTGCTTACTATTGTTCAGATAATCTGTCATGGGGCAGTTGATTTGTACAATAGCTCTGCACAATGGTTCCGCCTTTGAATTGAGCTTTGTTGGTGTGTAGTGATCACTTGCCCAGATTCATGTATAGGATTACTCAGTAACAGAAATGAATGGTCTATAAAATCCATCCCATTGTGCACACTGATGCGTGAAAAGACTTCCATTGAATAGCCATAGTGAATCGATTACAATTGTGTGCACTCTGGGACCAGCTCTAATACTGCCTTGTCTTGTTACATTGCTTCCCTTGATAACCCAACTGCAATTTGCACCAAATCTGTCCTTGTTTGCCCCTTTTTTTCTGTCGTGCAGGAGGTGCTTTACAGCGGTTCACACAACACAGTCTGCCTGTGGGATGCCACAGGCCAGTTCAACCTGAAGAGGAAGTTGGAGCATGAGTACGGTTCCGTCTACGCCCTGGCGATCACCTCCAAATACATCATCATGGGTAAGTGTAACTCATAATCTCTCCTTTTATTTTTCTAAGAAACTGAAGTAAGAAACCTGAATCCTTCAAAATCCACCATTTCAAAGGAGCCCACATTTTTCAAACTATCCATTTTTGTCAAGTCTCAATGTCAACTGAAAAAAGCTTGCGCTCTGGCACAGCACCAAATATAATCTGCCTTAACATTTTTGTTTAAAAGAAAAACACTCCATGTAAATTTTGTTTTATCTTCTAATAGTCCTTGTGTCTTGTGTTTGCCGAAAATTTAAAGTTTTGACCTGTTGTACCCGTGTATAAAATCTTTTGGTGGAACATGTTGTGTTTTCCCCCGTTTGTGTGTACTCTCGTTTCCATGGCTACTTGTGACCTTTGCACTTTGACCAGGAACACGGGGAGAGAGTGGAAAAGAAGAGGGGTCAAAGAACTCTTTGGAAGGGCATTCAGGTAGGGCTTGACATCACCCATGGTTATTCATTAACCCTACTTACCAGACATTTTTTGCAAAAAAAATCCTTCCCGAATCCTCCAAAATCTTCCACCGTGCAGGAAATGGATTGCACAGTCTTTTTGGAAGGGCATCAAGCACGGTTTGACATAATAGATGGCTCTACCATCCTTTAACTCTCCCAGCAGAAAGCTTTTGAATGCTTTTGAATTCCTGGTCACAGCAGCGTTAGACTTAGCCACCATGTTTTCACATTGTATTGTGGGATACTTACCCAAGTAAATGGCTCCGCAGGTCAGTTACTTGGGCCAGGCTCGAGTAAGCGCGAGAAGTCACATGAAATTGATATCGAACACAGTCGCGCTTGCACGAGTAAGCGCGGGAAAAGTAATTGAACACGCTGACAGAGAGTCACTGAACAAAAACCAGCACTGTGGAGAGCTGTGAAGCGTGACCGAATCCCCCTGCTCGCCCTGAGCTTAACCACACAAGAATTGTCCAGGGATTTGAAGTGTTATCCATACTCCACAGAAGATTATCTCAAAGGAATTTGAAGTGCGGGTGCTATCTCTACGGGCAAAAAAGTGGTTTTGCAAAACTTGAAAGGTTGTGAAGTGAAGAAAGAGCAGACTAGGAGGGTTATTCCTGCAAAATATTTCAAAAGCTTTTGGTGGATTTTGAAGGATCTGGGAGTGTTGGGGTTAAAAAGCTTTCTTTGATAACACGAAACACACTATTTTAGCCCTGCGGTACTCACATTGTACACCACATAATTCCACACTTTTAACTTAAAATCGGGAACCTTTGCATCACATTATGCCACAGGTTTTGGCAAGGTCATAGTCATAGTGTGGCTAGTTTTTTGTAGTCGCAGATTGAAGTCTGATGTAGTGCCTTTGACTTTTAGTGTATAACAAAAATAATCAACTCATTTGCCTTTTCACATTTACCAGGCTATAGTGGGACTGCTGGCTGACTTTCTTTCAACACAATTTCGTGCATCTCATTAACGTTAATAATTGTTGATACCATGTAACACCATGCCTTTTGCATTTGGCTCATTCTGTACATTTAGGGTTCAAAGTGTGACATTTTTCCTGTCTCCATTACCTTTGACCTTTGTAATTTGCCATTCAGGTATCATTAAGAATTGCTTCAAACTATTTTATATTTGTTGGGTAGGTCGTTTGCTTTAACATAATCACTCTTGGAGGAAGAATTAATTAAGGAGTGCATCAGAATTACAAAATCATAGATGTCAGATGTAACAGGGACCGGAAAAAAATGGACCCCATATTTATAGTTCAGTGTAACGAAATTGTACTGTCATTGTTTTTTATACAATGCCTGAATAAATCCCCATCATCTGATTGGAGGTCGTTTTTCACATGTCATTGAATTATTCGCCCACCCACGGCACGGCCGCACTGCAAAAATAGAAGTTCTATTCCACTGTAAATAGAAGTTCCATTGCACGGTCAACACTATTGGTGTCTCTGACCAATCAGATGACAACGATTTAGTCAGGTGTTGTATCAAACAAATAATGAATGTTTCACATTCGTGCAATGGAAAGAAGAATTTCATTCGCCTTGTAGAATGGAACATTCCATCTGTCACCTCATGAAATTATTCTCACCATTGCACTCACAAACATTCATTATTTGTATAAAATACCAATTCTCTGTGAGATACATCTTGTGTGAGACTTTCTTGACTAAAAAACAACTATCTAAAGATACAACTCTAAGTTCTTTTGACATCATTTTTTTTTCTCGTCTTTTTTTTTTTTCTTTTTCTTTTTTCATTCAGGTTCGTACAACAGAAATATGCAGCTGTTTGACGTCATCACCCACCAGCACGTCAAATGTCTGGGCGGCCATATTGGAATCGTCACCGGCTTAGCCACGAGCCCTGCCGGCCAGTTTGTCATATCCAGCTCCTACGATAACACAATACAGGTTACGACAAACAGTCTTACTTTTGTAAACTAACATACGGGGCGGCCTCCCTATACAAATGATTCAGCAACCGCCGAAAGTTTGCCCAAATCATTTGGGACTTTTCTTTCTACCATTTGGGGTCATCTAAAACAATAGGTCTCTAGCTGTGGAAAAAAGTGGAACAACTGTGGAACAAAGGGGGGCATTTTCACCCTGGATTCTCATAACGTAGGCATGTGTGTAATCCACTTCAAGGGTTCATCACTACATATCCTATAAAGCTTGAGTGCGAGCATCAACACTGAATTAATCTCACAATCAACTTCCTTTTGTCCCATCTTGGGAGTGCGGCTGGATTGTGAGGGATCAAGCATGAATGGTTTGGCACACCATTCTGAAGTAGTTGGCGAGTCAATAAAGGCCAAGTTCGCGCAAGGACTATAGTTGACCAATGGTTAACTAACGTTTGCCCGAACTCTGTCTAGTCGACGATGGTTGACTACGCTAGTCGACTATTTGGAACCAGCCTACTGGGGTTGGTTGCATCGCTGGTAACCAATAGCCGCGCTCATTCATAACGCTAGCAGGGAGCCAGGATCCAGAAGTTTTGCGATGACATTTTGACCAGCGTTTGACTAGAGACGTTTGCACGTTGCTATCAGTGCGCAGGCGTAAGGTACGTCACAAATCAACCACTAGTCGACTAATGGTCCCTGCCCGAACTTGGCCCATTTTGGAACCATTCGGTGGTTGGCGAACCATTTGTGTAGGGACGCCGCCCCTAAGTATTTACAGTTTCAGTGAGTGTCCTTCTTGGAGTACAAGTTTCTTTATGATGAATATATGTATACTGCAAAAGGACAGGGCAAGCCCTCCTAAATCTAGTCAAAGTTCACAAAATTCTATTCCTTTGTCATGCTTTTGGTCTCCACAATGGGCCGGGTTTATAGCCCAATCATTGACGTCACTGGGTAATCCTATACAATAGCACTGCCCAGCTCACGAGTCAGTAACAGTGGGTCAGTCAATAAGTCATTGAGATATGGGCAAAGAGGCCACAAACCACAACATCTTAGCTATTCCACAGTTTTTTGGCAATGCTGGTTAATTAGTGATTTATTCTCAAATTTCTTTTCTTTAGATATGGGATCTGCAGAATTTCCTTTCCCTCCAAGTTCTCTCCCGTCACCAGGGCAGCGTCAACGCCATCGTGCTGTGCCATAGCTTACTCTTCACTGCATCCGAAGATAAAGAAATCAAGGTGAAATCTTAAAACCTCTTTCAATTATGAAACCTCTTCCAAACATGAAAGGGTATTAACAGATCAAATGTCTTGGGCGGGGGAAAAATGTACAACTAGGGTTTGGTTTTAGGCTCTGGGCACCAGTTAAGATTTTACTGTTATACCTAATTATTCACTGCTAAAAATATTTTGGTGAAATTGTCAAAACTCCAGAAATAAGGAACTAGATTTCAAGCATTTTAGTGATGTTGGGGTCCTAATACCTTTTTTTTTATTACATAATTGTCTTTCAATAAACAGAATTACCAACATGCACAGTAACATCAAACAAATATATCCACTACTCACATATCTGTGCTTGTACTGTTACTTTGGCTGGAGGTTTTTTTTTAAGAAGAAAAATTTCCACAAGAAAAAGATTCGTACATGTTTCTCCATTTTCTGCCTCTTTCCTCAGATCTTCAAATACTTCCGTCTGATCACCTACAGCAGCTTTGGTAACCACATCTTGCCGGGAAAGGACATGTAAACAATTCTTCTGGAACAACTCGTCAGCAGTAATAAATTTGGTGAAAGTGGAGTGCCGTGGCCTAAGTGGAGTGCTGTGGCCTCGTGGTCTGGAGCATTGAATTCGCAGTCTGCGGGTAATGCTGCAGGTTGTGGGTTCGAGGCCAGCCTGGGGTTGTGGTGCGTGTGCCCTTGGGCTAGGCACTTTGTCACTCATTGTTTCTCCCCACCCAGGAGTAAATGGGTACCTGTGTGGGCAGAGATGGTATATTGTGGTTGATTTTAGCTGCCTTTGCGCCGTAATGGCAGCAACGAGCTTTACACCCTCAGGGAGCTGAGATGGTATTTTGAAAGTTTCATTGGCCCAACGAGCAGGGTAATAATGGCGCCGCGCCTTGAGCACCAATACTGGTGGATACATGCGCTTTATAAATGCACACATAACATTACGTAAGGCCAACAAAAAAAAGTCTCCGGTTTCTGGTATGCGCGCGCGTCACCGTAGCCATGCGCGTCGGCTTAATGAAAACTTTTTTTTTTCAATGAAAGATGATGTCTCAAAACCGCCAAACTCACTGGTTTGACTGGAATCCTGCTGCTGCACAATTTTAACGTGTTTTTTGATTGAGTTATGGTCGAGAATAAGCTTTATGTGGCCTCTCTGGACTCCCATATATTTGCACTAAGTTTAGTCGGGCACCATTTGCAGTCATCAGCCGACATTTGAAGCAAAAAAATCAGGTAAAAAAAAAAAAAAGGCGCGTCGCCGCACCACTTTTTGGGCAAGCTCCATACCAGAAACCGGAGACTTTTTTTTTTTGGCCTAATTAACTCTCGGAGGACCAAATCTTAAGCCATGCTAGTAAGAAGCACTTGCAGTGCAAACGTGGTTTGGACAAACACAGTAAAATGGTCTGTAAAATATGTCCAATGGCCAGCTGTAATTTCAGTGGTACATTTACCTGTGGCAAATACTTTGTCCATTGCATATACATGTACATAACTGAATTGTGTTCTGAGATTTTGGAGTTGTGCCATAGAATGCCATGGTCCAGTGGTTAGGCCAAAAAAAAAAGTCTCCGGTTTCTGGTATGGAGCTTGCCCCAAAAAGTGGTGTGGCGACGCGGCTTTTTTTTTTTTTACCTGTTTTTTTTGCTTCAAATGTCGGCTGATGACTGCAAATGGTGCCCGACTAAACTTAGTGCAAATATTATGGGAGACCAGAGAGGCCACATAAAGCTTATTCTCGATCATAACCCCATCTAAAAACACGTTAAAATTGTGCAGCAGCAGGATTCCAGTCAAACCAGTGAGTTTGGCGGTTTTGAGACATCAGCTTTCATTGAAAAAAAAATTTTGCCGACGCGCATGGCTACGGCGACACGCGCGCATACCAGAAACCGGAGACTTTTTTTTTATGTAAATAACTGAATTGTTTTTTTGAGATTTTGGAGTTGTGCCATAGAATGCCATGGTCCAGTGGTTATGGTGTTTGACTCATGTGCCATGGAACGTGGGTTTGAACCCTAACGTGAAACATGGTGCTTGTTTCCTTGGGCAAGACACTTAACTACAATTGCCTCTCTCCACCCAGGAGTATAAATGGGTACCTGTGAGGGTAGAGGACCGAATGTGCGCTGATATCGGCTGCCGCGTGGTCTCATGGCCTGATGAACGGGGGAATAATTGTAAAGCGCTTTGAGATTGTTGATACAATGGAAAGCACTACATGTATATAAGCATTACAATTTATTTTTTTAGATAAACCATGTTGCATCCGCGATGTGCACGTCATTGCTTTCGTACATATGTAATAATACGTATTTATATTTTAATATTATTTGTATTAAATTGAATCATAAACTCTGAAAACACTGACTTGAAATCTGCCATTCTTTATGCAATACTTAACAGTAATAACTTTATTAAAAAAAATTATTTAATTTGTGTACAATGGTTTGTGAGTGCAAATTGCACACGCGGTTAATTTGTCATTTCCTCGTTTATTTTTAGATGATTTTTATCTCTAATTATTGTATTTTCCCAGAAATGTATTTTTCTAAACAAATCAGTGTTTTTCGAGAAAAATATACTGAATGTACGGATTTTCTAAGAAAGGAATGAAATCTTAATTCTGAGTACTTTTACCTCAATGTTACCTTTTTATGTTCACCCCGAGAATGTAGCATATGTAAACGTAAACATGAGTTTGTGTGGCATGTAACCATGCCTACTTTTAAAAAAAGTCGTTTTTCAAAACTGACCAAAATTCACAAAAAAAATGTAATACACTTTCATGAAATTAATACTTTCCATTGTTTTTAACCGTAATTTTTGCTGTGTTCCCATGTTTGATTATGATTTTGTTTTTGTATTATAATGTACACATCACGTTTTTAGTTTATTTTTGATTTTTATAAACCACTTTGTAATTAAAGCAAAAGTGGAGAATTATTAAAGCAATTTATTTCAACGACAAAAGTGTTCATGCAAAGTCACACAAATCCCCCCCTTAAAATGAATTTACATCAAAATTAAAATCCAAAACCAATGTCGCAAAATGATAAAACAACTCAATATTGAAATACAAGTTTTATTCTTAAATTTGTGCACTGAACTTCTCTGTTCACATCAATGGCAGAAAATTTTCAAACAAAAGAGCATTTCAAGAAATAAACACAAAAATAAAGTTAAGATATGACATGCAATACACTTTTTACCTCCATTATTAAGTTAACATACACTTTGCTAAATCTTGAGTAAACACATTTTTGTATAATGAAGATATTAAATTTCAAAACAGGACACACAAATTGTGAAATTTCATTTCACTGGTTGTCCACTAAACTTTTAGAAATCTCCAAAACAGTGTATCTGGGCTGAATGGTAAGAAAATCACCAACTTTTATACCAAATTTAACACCAAATATTGATCCCTTAACCAAAAGCAAAAAAAATGCACCTAGGCATGATACCGGTGAAGAAAACGGACAAAAACCTGACTATTCAAACTTTTTTATCAAAAAAATCTGACAGTATGGCAGAATTATTAAGTAAATTTCACAATGAACTGTGACTTTTAATTGTTTACCAGTAAGCAGGAGGCCGTAGGTTCGAGTCCCACCGGAGTGGTTTGTGAAGTTTTTGTATACCAAATTTAACACCAAAAATTGATCCCTTAACCAATAAGCAGAAACATCGCACCAAGGCATAAAACCGGTGAAGAAAATGGACAAAAACCCGACTATTCAAACTTTTTTCACCCAAAACAATCGGACAATTAGTATGGCAGAATTATTAAGTAAATTTCACAATGAACTGTGCCTTTTAATTGTTTACCAGTAAGCAGGAGGCCATGGGTTCGAGTCCCACCCAAGTAATTTATGAAGTTTTTTCCCACAATCACTTGGGACAACACTGAGTATACAGTGTTTATAAAAAAACGTCGGTGCAGGGCAAAACCTATTATAGAATTCACATCACCCCGACGCAAAGACGCAAATTCCATCTTACAAATATGTAACACTTTATCAGACCTCATAGACGATACTTTCTTAGTAATTTTTTTTTTAAATGAGCAACGACCATAACCCTTGCATAATAAATACAGTATCCCATTACAGAAAAAGTATTGATTTTTTCAAGTTTTGAGCTAAATTTTATGGTTGGTTTGTTTGTTTATATCCATTTGTACAACAAAAATTCAATGAGAAAATACAAGAAGTTGATCAATATAAATGGTGCTTTTGTAATGCACACAAATTGTTTCTGAAGATCCAGTTTTCATTCAATTTCATGCAGTGATTCACAATTGTACCACTTATGAATGCAAAGTTCTCTTCAAAGTTATACACAGAGATCTATTTAAAATTCCACATAATTTGAAATTTTCAATTAGAAAATTTTTTTTAATTAAAATTTTAGAGTCCTATCCCAACAATGTCAGACTGGTAATACTTTGAATTCCAGGAACTTTTCGTGGCTCATTTTTACCCTGTCACAATTTTTTTTCTTCTGCAGACTAGTCAAGTCATTTTCCTTAATACACATGTGTGAAACATAATCATATCACGTGATTGAATTAAAATATCACCTGATTTGAAATAAATTTTTAGATTTCTGTTGGAGATCATGGCAGCATTGTGGTCTATGCTAGGTCACTGTAGAGCAAAGGTTAGGTGTTCAAATCACTAGAATTTAACATTTTTCTTTTTTCCCCCAGAAGTGAACTTACATTCCTAAATTGTGTTTAACCCTGTTCCCCTGCCATGCCTTTCACACAGGCTAGTTACCAACAGTCAGGTCATACTTTATGCAAGCACTGTGACTAGTCAAATTCAGTCAACCGACAAAAGCAGGCAAGTGGTAGGCACAGCTGTTTTATATAGGCTGGGAGCTCTTAACTGTTTACAGTCACTTGACTGATTTTGACTGAAAGGACAACTTGGCTCAGAATGTATGTTTTTTAATTTAAAGAGGAGTAAAGTCTGAAAACCAGTTGACGCAAGCGCATTATGAAGATTGACTATACTTGGTTGCAAACAAAAATAATTGCTACCTGGTCAAGCGCAACATAGCTAATTCCTACCACTGGTCGTGCCGAGCATTAACTTGCCAGTTTGAGCTTAGCAAAGTCCTCCGCCAGACGTAGCGCCTCATCAATCCCGTCGGTCCGGTCTCCCGTTGCCTGGGCAGCCAGCTCCTTGCCTCCCCCTTTGCCGTTGATGACCTCTGTCACCTGAATGACCCACTCGTTGGCTTTCAAACCCTTGCCTGCTACATCCTGGATAGGTGGATTGGAAAGGAATTATTGGCGATTTTTTTTCATCATTTGCATTTATCCAAAACGTCACCTACCAAATGACTATCAATAAGCTTGCTTGGATTTAAGATCGTACTGGTACTAAACACCCCGTGAAATTATTCCGTCTGACTTACTGTCATTTAGAAGAAATCAAAAAATGTAGGTGACATGCAACAACCAGTCAATTGACTGATGATTTTGAAATATAAAGAGTGCTATTGGCAAAACTTTGTTTTATCATGGACATGGGCGTCGCCAGGATTTTTTCTAGAGGGGGGCAAAAAAAATTTTTGCCCCAAAATGCTTGTATTTCTCAACACATTCTCGATTTATCAGTTTTAGAGGGGGGCAGGGACATTTTGCCCCCCCCCCCAACTCATTAAATTTACACCACTTTGTCTTCGCGCCTCTTTTTCTTTTCTTTTCTTTTTTTTTTTTTTTTTTTTTTTTGCTTTTCCAGGGGGGGGGCAAGTGCCCCCCCCTTGCCCCCCTCCTCGCGACGCCCATGATCATGGACCTCTAAATCTTACTTACAAAATGTTGAAAAATGTTATCCCTCTGTTTGAATTATGGTGGTTTGTTTTGGGGTTTTTTGAGGGGGGGTGTTTGTTTATTTGACTTTTATTTTTGTGGGTTTTTTGTTTCTGTTGGTGTTTTGCTTTGGTTTTTGTATTTGAAGGGAGAGTATGGATAACATATTTTCGTTTTTTTTGCCCTTCGTTTTTTTTTTGGGGGGGGGGAGGATTATGAAGAAGAGTACTTGGGCTGGGAGGAAGGGAAATTAGATGATGTAAACAGTGCATGCCTTGGAGGGGGTGGGGGGGGGGGTATGATCGAAGGTTCAGGGTTAGAATCCAGCAGTTGGCTGCACCTCTCTCCACGCATAATTGGGTACCAGCTGGAGAGTAACTTGTGATGGACTGGCATCCCATCCAGGGGGAATAGAAATATTCTCAGTTGTTTCATGCCGCAGAAACCGAAGATAAACGCCGGCCTGATGAACCATATTGGTCCAAGACAGCCTTTACATTTTACTACTAAAGAGTGCCTGCCACGCTCAATCTTACAACCGAGAAACTGAAAATGATTTTTAAAAAATCTGTGGACTTACCTTTGGCACCTGAGCCATACACAATATCTTGCCGACCTCGGCGTCCATACTGAACAAGATGGCGGCGGTGTTAGGCGAGCCAGACTTGTACTCCTTGAGGGCAGCATCCAGGGCCTTGCCGTTGGCTCCGGCCTCTAAACGAGCAACGACGTAAGGAACGTTGGGAGAAGCCATGATCATCTGCTTGGCGGTGTCTTTTGCCTGAAAAAAAAAAAAGGAAATAAATCATTGGCCTGCTCTTTGGAAATGTTTAAAAAGCATTCTGAAGTTGATTATAGGTGGTTTTGCGAAATGAATGGTTGACTTTCCTTCTTTGTTGGAGGGGGGAGGGGGTTATTTTTTGGCAAAGTTTGGAAAACCTGCGGTAGAAATCAACCATGAGACAAAACTCATTATAAATAAACAAATACACCATCTCATTGCTAAAAAGTCATAAATGGCACTATTTTGGCATTGCAGTATTTTCAACTCTTTTGTCCTTTTTACAAATAAATATCACACAAATATAAAAAAATTTGACCATTTAGATAACTTCTGAGGCAATTTTTGGTTTGAGATTGCAGGTAGTGCAATAGCCTAATGATTGTCTCCTAGTACGCCAAGGATTTTTTTTTTAAACAAATCAACCAATGGTAGGTTGACTACAAAAACATCTAAACCTTTGTGTTTACAAAAAAAACAAGAACAAACAGAGGGGCTGTCTTACCTGTTGCACCTGGGCAGCTTTGTAGGCTTTGTCCATGTTATCCATGATCTTCTTCAGGTCTTTCAGTTTGGCGCGGAGTTCGTCCTTCTTCCACTGCTGGACGATAGCTATGTTGAGATCCTAGAGTAAGAGACACAAGAGATGCTTCTAATAAGGGCTTGCAAACATGTGAATGCTAAACATGGCTGTCAAAATGCAAAAATCCTGAGGGGAAAATCTTTTGCATTACTAATGCCACAATAGTGAAGGTGAACTTACGTCTCCCAACTCGACCACTTTCCTAGTCAGCAGTTTCTGGTTGGCGTTGCCGTTGTCCTGAATCTCCTTGGCCAGTTTCGCAATCAGAGCTTCCATGGCCTTCCCTCGACTGATAGCCTGTCCAAAGAAAAATATCGTGAAAAAAACTCAAGGACACTATTCTATTGGATAGTATTATGGGTGGAAATTTCCTGACGTCACAATCGCTGTCTTAAATGGCAGCGCAGGAAGCAAAACGTAATCTACATGTACCCATTTGCGCGGGCAAGCGCTAAATGCCGCTCAAAATGTGATGTCACGAAATTCCATCTGTCGGCAATATATCCTTACTAACTCAGAGGCCAATTTTAACGAGAAGCAAAAAATGAAACCTGTACTAACTTTTTCAGTCAAAACTTAGCAATAAAAAACTGTTGCAAAATTTTACCGACTGGACTGACAATGAAAAATTGAAATCAGAATGGTTAGAATGCCTAGTTTTTCTTCTGCTGTGATAAATATTTAGCTTTCTAAAATATCTGCAAAGCATTTCAGATTCACGTTAGATCATCAACACACGATCAAAGGTTACAAAACATATGTCATACTTTTTAAAGTTTTACCAGTACCATTTATTCCAATAATACAGAATAATTGGAGTCTATTACGATGATCAAAGTATCAGCTTTACTATTTTTGCCGTGAATAGTTTCATCATTGATCTTCTCTCTTACCTTTTCAGCATCCTCTCCGGTAATTGCCTGGATGCGACGGATCCCTTTAGCGATGGCTTCCTCCGAGGTGATGACAAATTTGCCAATGTGACTGCTGTTCTGTAGATGCCTGGCAGAACAAGTCATAATCATGCACGTCAACAACCCAACATAAAAAAACACGGTACTTAGACTGTATTCATGGATTCTTTAGAACGTTCTCCCTAGACTCTTTGCCAGCAACTCTCAAATCAACCGCCATGCAGAAAACTAACTGCGTATTCTTTGCACTTATAGTTTTAAGGGGCCATCGAGGCCCTAATGCGTTAATAGTGGCTGAGCTCTACCGTCCTTAACCCTAACCGAACTCAACCCATCAAAGCCCAACAGCAGGTGTTGTTGAAATTTGTTAGAAAGTCCAACAGTGTGTGTGTACGATTTCCCATGTGGGTGTTGGAATTTGCCAGGATTCGTACAGTTCGTAGTAAATTATGCTAGGGAGTTAGGGTTAATCAAGCAAAATAAATTTCTAAAAGTCTATTGACATGAAGTGTTGAAGGAAGAATTTTTTATCAGAGACTCACGTGCCACCGCAGAACTCCACCGATGTCGTTGACCCTCCGGGTCCAGTAGGGTCAGCCACTAGGTCTTCAACAGCGATTCCGATGCTGACGACACGCACTGGGTCTGGGTATACCTACCAACAAGCAAACAAACACAGAAGCAGTAGCCAACAAACAAACAAACACAGAGACAATGACCAACTAACTCAGTGATCAAAACAAGAAGTTCCAGTTGCTTTCTTCGGGTAGTTGATCTGTAATGCTTAGAGCTCAACAAAACAACCAGGTTGGCAAAGCGGTACTTTCCTCGCCTTCCACCTTGTGCGATCCGAGCTGTGAATGATGTTTTTCAGTCCCTGCCTGATTTTGTGAGTTGCCCCTGGAATATCATGCAGGATCTTCCTCCCACCTCTAAGATTTGAACATAACTGCAACTTTTTCTTCAGTCTTCCAAGCAACACTGCCTGTGAACTTTTGATGAATCTTCGGTTTCATTGCTAGAAATAATAAAACTACTTTGACTGAAATGTGCGTGAAACCACCGAACTGCACACATGTACTTTTTAGGAGCCCTTGGTTCAAATTTCAGAAAGTATCAAAAATACAAAAGTTGTTCAACTGACTGTGGACAAATCTGCAGACGTACCAACCATGAAATGACCCGTGACAAGTACAGTCCTTTATAATTGTTCATGCCCTATACCTTGCAACTGAACTTGTGTCGAGGACTTGTCATTTCCTTTTGACTGGACTTGTAATGCAATAAGCCAGTTCGGTATTTCAATGACCCGAGGTCATTCAGGATAACATCGCTGACGTGATGTTACGCGATGTTACGCCCATGCCCATTCTGCTGGTAATTACACGCAAGCGACATGCACCCGAGTTCATGCGCCTTCAAAACAGTCGATTATCCCAAATGACCCGTTACCCATATCATTGTGCACATGCGCAATTGAAATACCAAACTGGATTCTTGTCATAGACTTGACTGCAACACTGCCAAAAGTAAATAAATAAATAAAACACTTTACCTACCTCATCAAACACAGCACGCAATCCCTGTATGGCTTTAGCCTGTGCCAGCGGCGTGTTCATCGTGTACACTTTAGCAGCCTTGGCGATGACTTCATTGGCGATGCGTTCGGTGTCTTTCACTTGCTGCGTTGTCATGGCACCCTAACAATGCAACCACAATACGTAAGAAACAATTTGAAAGGCTTTATGTTTTAGAATTGTTTCTTCAAAACCAATTGTTCATTTTGTCACAAATTGGTTGTCTTCAATAAGCATCGAGATTAAAAGATCTCAGTTTTGCTTTCGAACACCCTAACGTCCTAGTTTCAGTGACTTTATACAATTTGAATCAGTATCATTCAAATAAAAAATATAAAAAATAAACAAGATGTTAAAAAGTAATGCCCTTTCTAGGCCGAGAGGTTAAAAGAGAAATTCTAAACAATGGTGAGGACAGTTTTCTACTTCAAACTTTAGGATTTAATTCATTCCTAGTTCACTTTCTGTACATTCCTGATTCCTTTTTAAAATAAACGATTTTACCGACTTAAAAAGAAGCACCTTATTTTTCCTCAATATAGCCGACAATTTTCCAATTAAATGATCTCCACTATACAATCCTGAGAAAAAGACTGAACTATCAGAAGACCTCCAATACCTTAGCGGTGAAGTCAAATCGTAGCCTGTCTGGCGCCACCAAGGATCCCTTCTGATCCGCGTCTCCTAAGACCTGACGTAGGGCAAAGTTCAAGACGTGAGTCCCCGTGTGGTTGTTCATCACGGGCCTTCTACGAACCTGGAATAAAAGCCGGAATAATGAAAATCACACCAATGTACCAATATGCAAATTCGGGTATCTGGTGGAATTTGCATCCACAAGGGTTCCCACAGAAATCTTAAAATAAAAAATTCCACAACTTTTTCCCTGACTTTTCCAGGACAAAATTTACGGCTTTCCAAGACCAATTCCATGCTGTTTTTGGCAAAACTTTCCATGATAGCTTTGAATTCCAGAGGTTTTCCAGTTTTTTTTTCAGGACTGTGGGACCCTGATCCATGGATGAAAATTTTAATATTTGGTTTTGCACCTTCTCCACTAAAAAGCGATTCAAATTGGACAGCTGACCATGGTAAGCTCAGTGGTTGAGTGATTGGTCTCAGGTTCAAGTCCCATCCCAAAAAGTTTGTGAAATGTTCCCATACGCTCTCAGACAGTACTGAGCGTACAGTGTTTTTAGAGTAAAGTCTGACAAGTTAAAAAAATCAGTATAAACAAACAGTACAGTTTAATAAAGAGAAAATTGGAAAATGTAGTCAAATAGTTTTGGGATATGATGGAACTGGAAATACTGACCTCATCAACGGCCAGCTTGAGGCGGTCGCCAATCTTGATCTTCCCGTCCAAATCCACGGCGGAAACTTTGCCGATGTGAAGGCAGTAGCCACCTTTGACCTGGACATTGGTAACCCTGAACTCGATATCCTACAATACAATGCAGAGTACCAGTCAAGTTAAACGTAAGACATAAACCAATACAAAAACAAATCGAAGTGAAAACTCAAAAGGTGATAAAATGGACCATTCCTGCCTGTCAATCATACAGTGTGCATTGACCAATCAGATCAGGACTTTTGGTCAGGTGACCACGGTAGTTCAGTCAAAGTCACTCACAAGCACTGTGAGAGATGTACACAAACCAAAAGTGGGCGTGGCCAAACCTGGAATGGCCAATTAAATAAATCATCATGGATTAAACACACATGAATGAATAAATGAATAAATTTAATAACTGCTTACAGCATTGTCTTCCTTCTCCATAAATCCCTCGTCATAGATCTGCCCTCCAGACTCTGCATAGAAGCACGTCTGATCCAGGAGAATGCCGCACTCGTCGCCACGCTGCACCTCCTCCACAAACTGATTGTCCTTGCGCAGCGCGATAACGGTGCCTACTGTCGACTCAAACTCTGTTGAGAAATCAGAACAACAACAAAGTGGTGTTGGTAGTCCAAGCAAACGTTGCCAACGTTCACGATCTTTTTGCGCATAGCCAATGGGAAATCATTGACAATGTCTGCGTTGTTCGCGTACGCGGAATGCATCCCAACTTAAATATTTCAACTCTTTTAACAACAGAATTCTAGTTGTTTGAAGAAAAACTTACCTGGCGATAAAAAATCGTCCCAATGACTTTCAACTTAAAATTACACTTTGTAGCTGTCGGACATTAGTGATGGCTCTCCAGACAATCCTGGAGAGCCATCACTAATGTCCGATGGAAGTCGCCAGAGTAAGTAGGGTTCATTTGGGTAGCTTGGGAGTTGACCTGTAGACTGGATGACTTGTGACGGACTTGTGACTGACTTGTGACTCACTTGTGACTGACCTGCGACTGACCTGTGACAGACCTGTGACTGACTTGTGACAGACCTGTGACTGACCTGCGACAGACCTGCGACTGACTTGTGACAGACCTGTGACAGACCTGTGACTGACCTGTGACTGACCTGTGACAGACCTGCGACTGACTTATGACAGACCTGTGACAGACCTGCGACTGACCTGTGACTGACCTGCGACTGACTTGTGACTGACTTGTGATAGACCTGCGACTGACCTGTGACTGACCTGTGACTGACTTGTGATAGACCTGTGACTGACTTATGACAGACCTGCGACTGACCTGTGACTGACCTGCGACTGACTTGTGACTGACCTGTGACTGACTCGTGACCGACTCGTGACTGACTTGTGATTGACCTGTGACTGACTTGTGACCGACTTGTGACTGACTTGTGACTGACATGTGACTGACATGTGACTGACCTTGTGAAATTTTTCTCACAAGCCCTACTGACAACACTGAGTATACAGTGTTAATAAAAAAATATGTCAGCGAAGGACAAAACCCACTACACAAATGTATATCTCCCCGATGCAAATTCCATCTCAGAAAATGTTCTGATAATCTCTTGAGTTCATAGCAAAATCCTGTCGACATTTTCTCAACTCACGATAGTTGCCGGCAGCGTCGCTGGTGTAGTTGTACTTGACTTTATCGTTGGTCGGAGGCACTTTCCTCTTCTCTTGCAAGTCGTTGATGGCGTGAATGTCGAGACTGATGGTGTCGTCAACTCCGGATCCTTTGCCCTGAGACAGAATCTGCAATAAAAATTTCAGCAGAAAATAATCAACAATGATGTCAAATTAGCCCCAGGTTTTTATGATATAAGATTTGAAGGCTGGCATGGTGAAGTTAGCAAAGTCAGGGAAAATTCAAAGTTTTGGACAGTATGCTCTGCCCACCGTCAGGAGACGGATGATGGGCGGTGAAGTTTCTTCAGAATGTTATCCGTGAAAACTCTTAATGCACAAGTGCCAACCCCACAGAAACTAAAACCAATGTTTCCTGTGGACCTGCTTGTTTATAAAAATAAATAATAATAAAAATAGCTGAATTTATAGAGCGCCACTGACTGCCTAAGGATACAAGGTGCTAAACAAAGAATGAAACAGGGCAGGAAGACAAGAAAAGAGGACAGCCAGTTGCTATTTGGAGAAAAGGTGGGTCATTTTTGAAGGACAAAATACTGCCAGAAATTCTGATGGGGATGGGTAGGCTATTCCGTAAGCGGGGGGCGGCAATGGAGAATGCCCTGTCACCAGCCTGTGACTTGGGGACGACAAGGGACTCTCCCGCAGAAGAACGAAGGGAGTAAGGACGGGTCTGGACCCTCTATTGCCACAAGCAGAGAGGATGAGCCGTACCTGGGCCTTCTTCTTTTCCTCTTCGTATTCGGCCATGTTGATGGTCATGCCCTTCTCCTCCATGATCAGACTCGTCAGGTCGACGGGGAATCCGTAGGTGTCGTACAGCAGCCATGCTGCCTTGCCTTCAAGTGACAAAAAGGGTTCATTGCTATGATTTCAATTGATACATAATAAGAAAATTATAACATGTTTACACCATGTAAATATCTGCCAAAAATCGAGCTGTTTGAATGCTAGTCGTGATTCCAGTCGAAAATATTGAACTGTCAGTGTTTTCTGGCACGTAACATCAAGAACTCTCCAACTGAATGCCGTACCAAAACCAATATGTGAGTCAGCTCTTCCAACTTTATACTTAGTATGAAACACTAACAATTTTGTTGTAAATGGTCACAAATGGTTTACCGAAAAGCCAAAATTCAGATGAAGGGTTAACTGACCTGGCAGCTCCTTGGCGTCCGGCCCCAGCTTGTTGACGGTGCGCTCCAGCACACGGCGCCCCCTAGAGAGCGTCTGCAAAAACTGTGCTTCTTCCTCGTTAATGATGTCCATGACTAGCTGGGGGTCCTTAGTCACTTCTGGGAAAGCTTCGCCCTGAAGTTGGAAGTGAAGAAATTTAACAAAAATTGTACAATTTCCTCACCTGAAAACTTGAAAACTCCTCAATTAAAGAAACCATTAACTCCATTGCCATTTTTGCCTTCCTGAATCCTCAAGGGCCCTGAAGCCCCAGGTAAAATACAGTGGTGAGACTGGGAAAATGCAAACTCCACAAAATAATCGGCAGAGGGTCGAGGGTCGTAGAGGGCCCCAGAGCAATGTAGGGTCTATGGGGTATGTTTGTATTTGCCTAAAGGCACTCCTTATACTACCCACTTGTTTTGTTTTGTTTTGTTTAAACATTTATAAGTAAAAACACCTTTAAGGTAAAAACCTCAGGAATTCCTGCATTCTCAAGGCATTCTATAAAAATCCGTGAAAAGGATAAAATTTCACGACAAATCTTACCCCTGTATAGTGGATGGGTCCTACTTTCTTCAATACAGAAACAAAATCCAACAAAGCCGCCTCATGAATTTTGAAGGTTCTGGGCTCGGTTATCGATAAGAAATATATTATAAGTCTATCACAACTTGAACCGGCTGTTTATAATTTGTCATGGCTATTTGCCCTTTGAAAGTTCACATACAATTGAATATAAAGAAAATATCTAACCAAGATTTCAACGACAACACTGACGAGGCTGGCAAACACTCCCGGCTTGGCTTTCAGTTTCTCTGTGGCGTATCGGATCCCCCTCCGCAGAATGCGTCTCAGAACATATCTGGAAAGGAAAAAGTTATAAAAATCAGCAATCATGAGTTTATCACAATTCACAAGAGAAAACAAGAGTAAAAAATATAGAAATAAAAAGCTATGATTAAAAGAGTATCAAAAAGTGGAAGTAAACAACATAAACAAGAACACAAAAGATCAAATATTCTTGCTTCATAACTGTGGGGACTACACAGCTGTTGAGCGATGGTACTATGGGGACCAAAGACACATTGGGGACGGCAATGTAACTCGGTCCTAATTTCCCTAACCATAAAAAACGTCCCCATAACGCGGTGACGGCCCGTGCATATACACTTTATTCAACCGTTTGAATCAAACACCATTAAAACTGAATCACAAGAAACTATTTATTACTTAAAGAGAAATTCTCTTTTCTCAGCCTTGTGGTTTCTGCTATTTGTAATATTACATTGTGATTCATACAATTCCATACAAATTTCAATACAACAGAAATTGACTGGAGCTGCATTTGAACCCGCGACATACGGAACATTGTACCGGTGCACTACCAACTAAACTATGCAGTCCTCTATCGGCTATCACCCAATTTAAGCACTATATATTTCTCTAAAACCAAATTTCTGGTTACACCAACAATTTTGAATTGTAAGACAGTCAACTATAATCTTTCACACTTGCAAATTTGCGATAAAATTGGCAATTGAGGAAGGGTTCGGTGCTTACCCTCTTCCGATATTGTCGGGTCTACCGCCGTCCGACAAAGCGATGGTCAATGTGCGAATGTGATCAGCAACGACACGGTAAGCCATGTCCACACCATCAGTGTCCTCGGCAGCCAGTTTACCAGTGTACGTCCGGATACCAGTGGCCTTAAGATAGAAAGAATCCAAAGTAATTCATCTGGTGAATTAGTGATCATTTTGGTTTATGACGAGGGCAAGGTGACCGTAAGGTCATGGCCAAATTCTGCTAAATGCACTTCAAAAATCTGCCAAATTCCACAGAGTGACTTGAATAAACACTTAAAACACATGCAGATGTTGTAGTATTGCCTTAATTAAGGTTCAAATTACATTATAAACAATCTATAGTCACATAAAGACGTTACGAAATTGAATAATAACAGGCAAAACGCGGTTGCGTCACAACGAAATCCGGTTCCCAGTGAACCTCAGCACCTGGACCAGTCAACCCGTCCTATTTTGCAAGGGTTTGTTTGAAAAGATTAAAGTTTTTTTAAACAAATGTACCATTTTTTTTCCAAATCTGCCATGTTTTTCTGTCAAATAACCATTTTTTGCAGAATTCTGCCAGAAATCTGCCAAAAAAATCCATTCTGTCAAATTTTCTGTCAAACTCGTTTTTTTTTTACAAAAAATCTGTCAAAGTTAGCCGAAAATCGGCTAAAACGGTCACCATGGACGAGGGCCAAAATTTACCATCATCAGTTTTGTATGGTCCACACAGCCCAACTCTGTTGCAGTTAATTAAGCCCAAACACAAGTCCATCACAAATTGCCCAGTCCAGTCACAAGATATTGAAATGAATATTCCTTTGTTAATGTTTATACTCTGTTACTTGTGACTAGACTTGTGAATTACTTGTGACTGGGCTTGTGATGGACTTGTCTGCAATATTGTCCTGGGATGAATACGGCTATAAAGTGGAATTTGTAAACGCTCACCTTTTGAATAGCATCAAAGATGGGCACGAAGAGGTCAGTGTCGTAGTTGGAGTCTTTGTATTTGAGAACCGAGACGATACGCTCCAGACCCATGCCGGTGTCACAGTTTTTCTTGGGAAGCAACTTGAGACTCCCATCTGGCTCTCTGTTAAAGGGAAAATACAACATTTGCAAACATGAAAAAATAAAACTACCAAATCATTTTGAAATACCTTGCTGGACTGTTAGTGAATGACAGTGTAAAGCATCCTGTAAAATCATGGCACCTGGTATACTGTCATTTTCAAGAAAAGTGGTATTTTTGTATCAATTTCCAACGCTGGTCGGTCGACCAGCGTTGGAAAAAACTGGCTTTTTTTCAAATACTGGCCCCAATTGACCATCGCACTTGTTTTCAATCGATTACACACCTATGAACGGGTACAAGCCAGCTGGACTGGTTCCCTGACCTTACAATTCCCCAATGTATGTAAACTGCTCAGTTTTTTCTCAAAAAGTCAGTGTAACTATATTTGCTATATATTTCCAACCCCCCAATTCCATCCATTTCTGAAAATTACAGCAAAAGCAAATGATGTATATTCCCTTTAAAGAAATGATGCAAAATACACAAAACTAGCTTTTAACCAAATGAATCAAACACTTGAGACAAAGTACAAAAAATGTGTACATTTTTATAGTTGATTGCTCACTTTATAAGAATTTAACAAGCTCATACATTTTGTGAACTGCAGCAAAGATGGCGTAGCTGCTAATTACTAATAATAGAAGTAAGTCTGAAAAAAAGCTATAAGCAAATGTGAATCCATTAGATTAATCCAAGACATTACAAATCTATCCAAAGTTGTGAAGGATATCGTAGGATTGAGAAAGAACTGAGATACTATCGCTTTGATGCCCTTTGTAAAAAAGAATGAAGCATTTATTCTCTGGGAAAAGTGGGGGATGTTTGGAAGACTGATTTCGGACAGGTTTGGGTTGAAACTCAGCAATATCAGGAACTGATTTTTGTTTTTTGGGGTTTTTTTTTGCAGATACTGACAATTAAAATTAAAAGCTTTAATTCCCTGACAAGGTAACAAATTACCTAACCGGTTAAAAAGGTTATTTGAACAAAGAAACTGACTGGAGCGGGGTTTAAACCTAAGACCTTCGGATTGCCGTTTCGGTGCTCTACCAACTGAGCTATCCAGCCTTATGTTGACGGCTCCCCATTTAGTCAATGTCTTTGTTCAAGAGGCGCTAGTCGGAAGCCATAAACCTGTATATGTCATGTAGCCAGGGACCACGTCCAAAGTCACGACGCTAGCAACATTAGTAATGTTGTAAACCCGGGAAATAGCAAACGGGGATCACTCAGAGAGGATACGGCTTTTTATTACAAAATGCTTCAAAGAAACCACATATGGAAGCTGACTAGGTAAAAAAGGTGAAATATCAGTCCACAACCTACCTGTTAAACTGCGTGAACACCAAGTTCCACAATTCCACCACGTTAGGGTCGTCCATGTTGACATATTCCGAGGCATCCCGTCCGCCACCCACCCGGTCAAAGTGCACCTCGGTGCAGGGCCCGCAGGGTCCTGTCGCACCCATCTCCCAAAAGTTGTCCTTGGTTCCAAATGGCATGACTCTTTCTTCAGGTACACTAATGGAGAGAGAAATTATTTTTTTTTAATTAAAAAGATTTCACAAACATCACTGAATGGCACAAGACACGGCAAGTCTGGTAAAGCTGGTCCCAGAGTGCACAAAATTCTATTGAATTGATTCAGAATGGCTGTACACAGGAAGACTCGGTACATAATGGGCCAGATTTGGCTCTGTCATTGGCATTACAGGGTAATCCTATACAATAGCAATGCCCAGCTCTCTTCACTGGTCTACAGCCAGTAGAAAGCACAGGTGACAGTCAGTCGGGGAGTCAGTCAGCAAGTCAGTGAGTCTGTCACTCAGTGAGATTGGTGCAACAAGGGCACTGGGCAGGCCCGCTGGGTTGGGACTACTCTGACCTAGGGTATTTAGCTCAGAAACTCTGCCCAATGCAACACTTGTCAAAATAAAAAGCCTGCCAGGTTTTCAAACTGCCCCAGTGTCTGTGGTTACCAACTGCAGCACGATACAACAGTGGCATTGTGCGATAAAGATTTGCCCGCATTGTCTCAGAAATTGGCCGTTTATGCACTGGTGCTGATGACCCTATGCCACAAGGTCCCACAGACTTGTACGCCCGGGGTCAATTTCATGGTGATGCTAAGTGCAAAAAAATTGGTAAAGCACAGAATATTTTGGCTCAGCAATATTGGGCAACCAACCAAACTGCCATGGGATCCTTATAGCTTGTCACTGGTTCTCTGCAATATTTTTGCTTAGCCCATATATTTTCTGTCAAGCAGCTCCATGACTTTTTAAGGGTAAATTACAAGACAAAGAATCCAATGTACAGACAGAGTCAGTAGTTCCTCACCCTAAATCCATCCAAATCTGTTTGGTCTCGAGATCTTCCTCCAAACCTTCTTCTTTGCTTCCGCCAAAGTATGTGACGTACAGACGATCCTTGGGCAGCTTGTAGACGTCTGTAAGGAGTTCCCACGACATCCGGCAACACTCTTTCTATTTAGATTAACGAAGGCAAGAAATATTTTTGTAAGCAAAAGCACCTGCAGAATCAGATCAATAGACTGTTTTGGATTGGACCACAAGCACCCCCAACCTTTGGTTTGTGTACATTCCAAAAACAGTGCCTGTGACCGAGTTGGACTGAGCTACAGTGGAAAATCAGTCAAACCCATAGAGATATATTAAATTACTAGAGCGCTGACTCGATGTACAAAGTGATGCCTGCTGGGCGCATCCATGTTTGTGCACAAACCTATAGAAAACTCAACATTTTGTTCAGTTTTTTGCATATCTGCGTTTGTATTCTATACAAGTGCATTGTCGAAGCCGATACGCCCAAAACCGAACCGCACAATCAGTAAATTAGCGTTTCATTTTGCTTTGCACAAACAACGCAAACGCGTGCGTGTATCTGCTGCAGATGATTTTTGCTATGTTTTTTAACCATCATGACACGCTTAAGTTATATGCGTACGTTGTACTTGCGCGTTGCATTTAGAGTACACCTTCAAAATTCACTCCGTCTAATTTCATTATGTGCTACAAACACGCACATGAAATAAAAATGTCTACGCTCAGAACAGCTTCAAAGTATCTCCGCAAGTAAGAATAGGGAGTTGGTGCTCTAGTAATTGAATATAGCTCTATGGTCAAACCACTAAACTAAGGCCGTGTCCGTATTACTTGCTATGCAAGGGAATATTCCATACACTAATCTTCACCATGCAAGCCTTCACATCTTATCTGACACAGCATTAGTTTAGCAGACTGTCCAAGTTTCGCACACTCCAAAAAATACTGCAAGTAAAACTTGCACAATCCCCCTGGCATCTTGCCAGTTTGTATACATGTACATGTACAGCCAGTTAGTAAGGTAGTAATTTTCAGTGACGGCCTTGATTGTCCAGCAGGCAGGTACCAGTTCTCAGTTGAATGGGGAGTTTGGGTTGAATGGAGAGTTTGGGTGAGACACTGCAAGGATCCAAAGTGCTTGGAAAAAGTTTCGCGAACTCTCTCCCTTCCTCACCTCAAGGCTGACCACTCTAAGAGTGAAAGGGAAGGTGTATGATGCATGTGTAAGAAAATGCATGACATACGGGAGCGAAACATGGGCAATGAAATCGTCTAATGTACAGCGCTTGGAAAAGGTTGAGATGAGGATGGTGAGGTGGATGTGCAGGACATCACTACATGAAAGAACGAGGAATGAAGTCCTCCTTCAGTCAGTGGGCCTGATGGGGGTAGCAGAGGTTATGAGGATTAACAGGCTTAGATGGTATGGACATGTGGCTAAAAAAGAGGCAACACACTGGCTCCAGAGAGCTTTAAATTTTCGAGTCACCGGAAGAAATCCTCGTGGGAGACCCAGAAAAACCTGGAGGGAAACTGTAGAAGAAGATGCCAAAACATCTGGTATCGCTCACATGGACCCCACAGACAGGAAAGCTTGGAGAGCAGCCATTAAGGAAATGAAATGTCCAACCCCACAAAGTGGGACAAATGGACTCTAAATGCTGATGATGATGATGATGATGACTGGACTAACATATGTTACAGTCATTAGTATCTTTCCAGAGACCTCGTAAATATCCATATTGGAAAGGATTTTTTTTTTATGTCGGCCTGCTCTCCACAGATCACCTTTCAAGTTTGGTTGATATTGATGACTGAACTTTACAGTGAAATGGAACACACGCACGCACGCACGCACACACCGACACAGACAGAGATACGCGATCGCAATATCCCCCTGTATGGCATGAAAGCCAGGGAGATAAAAATGAAAAAGAAAATCAACCGACCTTGAAGTAGTCTCCAAACGACCACGTTCCCAGCATCTCAAAGAAGGTGTGATGGTAGGTGTCTTTGCCGACATCGTCCAGATCGTTGTGTTTGCCGCCGGCACGGATGCACTTCTGACTGTTGACGACACGCCTCCATTTGGCCATGTCGCTGTTGGGATCCACAGTGCCGGTGAAAATGGCTTTGAACTTAAACAAAACACAGAAGAGATACTGAACATTTTCTAATTTAAAGAAAGTGTTTTGGGATTTCAAAACTAGCTGATTATTAAACATCAGTGTTATGATTCCATTGTGCAATCTCTTTAAATCAAAATGTATCAATAATAATTAATATGTGTCGTTTATACAGGGTGGATAAAAAAAACGAAACCGAGATATTATTGCTAATTGGAACAGAAGTAGGGCACATGTGAATCAAAGGGAGATATCTTCTTTTGAATCTCCTCTTTAAAATGACGCCCTGGTCATGTCATTACATTCACGGTTGACTGAGCAGTGACCAATTTTATGAAAGGGTCTATTTAGAGAATTGCGCCACTTTTCAATTGTGGTTTTTGTTGTGTTAATTGTAACAGAGTGAAAGGCTATGGTTGCCAATCAAGGCAGGTGGGGGAAAAAAAGAGAGATTTCACCATAAAAAGTAGCGCAAGGTGAACATGTTTTGTTATTAAAATTCAGTGACTATGAAAGTACAAAGTGTCTACAAATGCGTATCGCCGATGAACAAAGACCTGTCCACAGTGAGGGCGCTCTGTGCAAGCTCTCTATCGGCATATCCAACTGACTGGTGAAAGAAGTCAACCATCTGTGAGCGGGGCAGTGCAGTAATAGTTGGTTTTATACCTGGTTCATGCCAGCATTGGCAAAGAGCAGTGTGGGATCATCCAGCGGGATGGTGGAGCTGGAACGGACAAACTCATGCTTGAAGACGGGGTGATCGAGGTGGAAATCAATGAAGATCTGTCGCACCTGCTGCGAAGTCAGTGAGGAATCCATGGCAGAAATATTTGTCTGAAAGAACATAACAAAAACTTAAAGATTGTATTTTTTAAAAAGTCCACTTTTTCAGGGTTTTTCTTTGGGTATTGTACAGATTTAAAAATAAAAGGGGTGATTCTAAGTGATGAGCGGTGGTGAGAACCCAGTGACATTTTCATTTTTCAACTTTTTAAAAATAACATCTAGGCCTATATATAAAAAATATACAAAATTCTTGGCACAACTATAGAATACAGGGCCACTCCATTCTATATCCGCGCATCCATGGCTGTGTGGATGCGCAGTCGGTTTTCTATAGCACCCTCTATTGATTAAAATTTACTTCATGCCCACTCCGCATCCGCGCATCCAGGCATCCAGTAAAGTGCCCTCTATTGATTAAAATTAACTTCATGCCATTCGCGCATTTCTATAGCGCTCTCTATTGATTAAAATTTACTTCATGCCCACCCTGCATCCAGGCATCCAATAAAGCGCCCTCTATTGATTAAATTTTACTTCATGCCCACCCCGCATCCGCACATCCGCGCATCCAAGACGGAATGAGTGGGTAGGTTGGGGTTGGTTTTAGATAGAGAAATAAAGTAGTGGGTCCTATAGGGTAAATACAGTAGAGGGTCCTGGGGTAAATAAAGCGCCCTTTACTGATGATTTCATGCTCATCCACCCCGTATCCGTGCATCCAAGACATCCCAAGCTGTCTCACTTGGTATATATACTACGTACTTGTCAAGAATTCACTCTCTATAGCGCCCTCTATTGATCACAATTTACTTCATGCTCATTCACTCTTTCTACATGTTCTACCACCCTCTATTTTTTTTATACATCTACGTTCATACCGTACCCGCGTACGCATAGGATGGCAAAGTCTCTTATCTTATAAACCAACGTTGCTTCGTTCTCAAAAGAGTGCCATTCTACTCAATTCACGACCCCACTCCTCATGATCCAACTTAAAAAAAAAAAAAAACCTTTTCCGGCGTGGCCCTGCATTCTATAGTTGCTCCAAATTCTTTTCCAAATGTTGCATCAGGTTGCAACATTTTTTCCTAAACACAATAATGGAATTCTTGGGGCGAGCTGGTAAGGAACTGTCACAGTGTCACTGTCAGCGTGCATGAATGTCAATTGTCATGCATGGATTCGTCATCAGTCGACTGCTTCGTTATTTTCATCGTGTCTCAGTCTGCTTTCAATCAAAGCAAAAAGGGACTGTTTTCCATAACATATTGTGCTTTACAAGGCTTCACTACTACAGCAAAAAAAAATTAGAAAATAGGGAGAAAAACAGATAATTATCAAACCTTTCTGACACAGACGGTAGCAGGGTGACTCACGATTTCATTTACGACACGCGTGTTTATTTCAAGGACAGTGGTACGATTCCCAGTATTCGCTCAGTAGACAACCAACGTACAATAGTCGGGTACCATCAAAGATGATGAAACTGCGAAATCTCGACAGAGAAGCAAATCTCACGAGATCTTTCGTGACCTGTGACATTTGCATAGAAAAACTTGCAACCAATGGACGCCAGTGCAGTGGCAGTGCTGTAATTCTGTCATTCAGCGGTGATTTTAAAAGTGTAATTTTGTATCAAAGGATCTGTTTCGTGGACAGCTTGTGAAGAAGACTTTGTCACCTTTTGTCGGGTAAGGTGAATAAATATGTTTCGAATTCTTCCTTGCAAAACAATTACAAATTTCTGACCATGGCCATGCTAACGTAAGAATCTTATTCTGCATTGGAATGGATGATTGATTAGCCTAGATTTGTATTGGGGGGGGGGGGGTTAAGCCTACTAAAATATATGAGCCTATAGGGGCCTATTAATATTAATATTAATAATTATGGGGACCTGATTTCCAGAAGTTATAATAAAAGGGGAATGGGAAAAAAAAGTTTAGAAAAAAATGGTAAATTTGGGGAAACTTTAATAGAAACCTTCAAAAATAAGTTAAATTCCAAAAAGAACTTAAGAAGAAAGAGGATTTTTTTGTGGGGCTGTTGTGAAAATGAAAGCTTGTTTTCTCAGACCACTTACTGTGTTTACTCCTCAGTGATTATAATTCTTTTTCGGAGTCCAAGGCTAAGGGTTGACGATGGCAGACTGGGTACATTGTAACCAGTGTTTTCGTAAGCCAGGCAGTGAGCACACGTTCTACCTCACAAGCTGCGGCCACATCTACTGTGATGATTGTGTCAAAGAGGGTAATCAGATGAATTTCTATTTTGACAGTTTAATTGGAAAGTTTCTTCCATTCCAATTCTAAACTGAATTTGTTTACTTCCTCAGTGCCAATGGGACAAAAAAATATGCCATCATTGCCTTCATTTCATGTACTTACATGACTTATGATAATTCCTAATACCTAAAGTGATAACCCAACATAGGCCTATGAAAACAGTTTGCAAATCCTTAATTGTAAACAGTTTGTTTACAATACCTGTTTACAAGACAAAGTAATAGATAATCATTTGCCCTTTAATTAAGGTTACATTATCTATTTACATTATTGTAAACGGTTTGTTTAAAATAATGTAAATAGATAATGTGACCTTAATAAAAGGGTAAATGATTATGTATTACTTTGTCTTTAAAAGAAAAAAAATGAAAAGACATCAATAACCATACTTTATAAGCATTAGCATAAATTACATATTTGAAAAATGAGTTTTATCTTCTTCTTTTCAATTGTGTTCATTCTACAGGAACCAAAAATCAGTGTCATATCTGTGGAGTTCCGTGTTCAACAATAGAATTATCATCTAAGGTATAATGTAAACAAATGTTTTGAACAATTAAAAGTTTTTATTACATTTTAAACAACTTTTTAAAACATTTGAACATTTTTAATCATGGCAGAAGTCTAAAATTAAAACAAAGTATTTGCTGTTTACACTGTGTCCAGCATGGTTATAAACACGCAATATCAAAACAAAGTAATGTTTGATTCAATTAGACTTAGAAATGTTAACGTGTCCCAGGCGAGATGAATGCTCATTACTCTTTTGCTTTTAATTAAAGAAACAAATGTAAAATGAAGTAATATTGCTTGTTGTTACTGCTTAATCTCAGATGAAGCCGGAGGTGGAGATTTTCTTTGAAGATCCTCGTGAAATTGCCAAGAAACAACACAGGCAGTTATTACAGGTATATGCCAACCCCTTCCCCCCCCCCCCCCCCAAAAAAAAACACACACAAAACTTTGGAAATAACCCACCCCTTTCCCTTATTTTAAAGTGATACATTTGAAAAGTTTAGCAAAATATATTACAAAAACTATATTTTGTTGTTAAATCCTGATTAAAAAAACCTTGAATCTGACCATAAAATGACTTCCACTTTGTATTTGTTTTCAAAGGTGATGGACTTTCAGAAGAACCACAGACAGCGCTTTGAAGCTCATAAGAAGGAACAGGTATCAAGTTATTTCATTTATGATCCTTTCTACAGTGAAATCTGAAATATATAGGCCTATTTATACAAAAAACAAGTCAGTCAAAAAGAAAGACTTGGATTAATCATTTTTTTCCCCTTAAAAATCAATCCAATTTAATACACGTATGAAGTATGTCCTAAAAGAATTACGTCCTAAAAAGAAAAAAAAGAATTACTGAGATGGATCAATGCTATCAGAGGTTATGCATGTTTTACTAAAAGAACCTATTTTCATAGCCGTCCATGGAATGCCATTGGAGGCTATTGAGCTGAGTGACAATTACAGATTACACACATGCTGTCAAATACAAATGGGATTTTAATCATGCGAGTCAAGACTGAAGCATTATTTTTGCTGTCCGATTTTGTGTTTTGAATATGAGGAACAAATCCACTCTTTTTTTTTCTGAAATATTGATGGCAATTTTTGTCTGTTTTCCTTTGCAAGTTTTCATTCACACATGGAGGTGGGAAAACGTCCATGTTTCATTGTATTTAATGGGTATTCGTCAGTTTTTAGAATGGTAAATGATCAGTGGTGGACAGCTGAATTTGTAGTATTTTTATAGAAAAGGCAGAACTTGGGAATAGAGTACACAAATTAAGTGAAATTTTCACAGCTTCTTTATCCCTATGTTATTTTTATGAAATAGAATGTGCCACATATTTAAGAAACACAAAAATTCTAACTTGGTGACTTTCTTTTTGACTCACCCTGTAGATATACAGTTATTATTACAAACAAATTATTAACAAATAACAATCCACAAATGAAATGTCAATAAGATAACAAAACAACTCAATAATATTGACAACATTTTGAGTGTTAGTAAAGTTGAAATTAATATCTTTTTTTATGTGACATTCTTGATTTGAAGGAAGCAAAGACGCAGTCCCAGATGGCGATGACAATGCGAAATCTGCAAAAAGCCATGGACTTGGAAAGGTTAGATTGTTTCTTCAAGTTTGTTTTCTGGTAGGGACAAATCAGTCCCAAAAACAAACAGTCACCTTGTAATTTAGAAAACACAGAATTTATTTAAGACCAAAGAAAAAAAGTCTGCGGCTTTTTTTTTTTTTTTTACTTTGTTTTTCTTCAAATCTCGGCTGATGGCTGCAGATGGTGCCCAACTAAAATTAGTGCAAAACCGTAACGCCATCTAAAAACACGTTAAAATTGTACAGCAGCAGGATTCCAGTCAAACCAGTGAGTTTAGCGGTTTTGAGACATCATCTTACATTGAAAAAAAACTTCTTAATTTTGCCGATGCGCATGGCTACCGCGACGCGCGCGCATACCACAAACCGGAGACTTCAATAAGACTTAAAATTTCGAACAATCCTGTTATGTCATTCAGAATTTTTTTTTTTTTTTTTTTTAACAAAATGAATTATACTTTGGAACTAGCTAAAGTGGGTAGTTTATGGCAAAAATTCCATGATCCCGAAACGTGTACATCCTGACAGGAATTTTCTGTACTCAAATTATGCAGAATCTGTGGGCCATACTTCTGTTAGGGTTCATATTCTATGTTGTCATTTTTCCAAAACGTCAGGGAGGTGCGTCATTTGCGAGAAGAGAATTGCAAGCTGAGGCGGTTGATGAGTGGATCCCCAGGTCCAGGAGGTGCTGCTAAGGCCTACAGGTATGGCCCAACTCATCAGACAAAATTTGAAACAAAGTATTCAAAAAGAAGAGGTTCAAACATTGTACTTAATGGTAACAATAAATATTGAAAAACTTAAATAAGTTTGGGTGTTTTATAAATGGAGACATCCCTTAAATTTTACAACATCGCTTATTTGATCAGAACATTTTTGAAGGTACGTTATCATTGTCAAATTTGTCCGTGTTGCCTTTTGAACTAAATTTTACATAATAATTGTGTCTTTTTTTTGGCAGCATGCTCCTTTTGTCTAGTTGACTATGTTTAATTTTTTGACAACCATTGCCAAAAATGCCTGCAAATGGTAAATTTCTACATTTTTTATTTCTCCAGGCCAAGCACTCCCGGGCGAGTTTTGGCAAATTCCAGCATTCCACCAAATATGCGCAATATGGGTAGGTTTTAAAAAAAAGAAATGTTTAACTTCCATTTACATACAGTAAGTTGACAATGCACTGAAAAAAAGGTTGTTAAAGTGATCTTAACTTTTTTCTACTACTTCTTGAAGTTTTAAGAAGTTTAAACATTTGAAGAATAAAGCTTTAATGCATCATTTATCCGAGTCAGCATCTAAAGCTCTAAGCCTTTTTAATTGTCGAAATAGTTTTCTTTTAACATCATCGTATGTTCTGTATTATGATGTTTTATTTACAGTTCATCAGAATTCGTCACATTCAATCAGCAGGTCCTCATCACCTTATGGCAGGTATGATTTCCTACGTTTGTTTGGCCTTTTCTGTACCAGGTCTTCCAAATAATCTTCCAGTTTTGCTATAATTTTTGCTTTAGTGAACCACAGTTCTGTCCTTCTTTTGGGTTTTTTTATTTTAAAAGCATTTTTTTCATATACAAAAATTTGATATCAACACAGATATATTTGTTCCTTGAGTACGACTGGATGAACAATTACGTAGATCCTACAAAAAAAAGCAAAAAGGTCTTTCTTGTTTCCCTAAGTTGGTCCTTTACTTGCAAATGCCTGTTGTATCTGTCTATATATTAATGTTGATGCTTCTTTATTTTCTTACTTCAGACCACAGCATATGCAGCAAATGGACACATGCAAGACATCTCAGTCTGTGAGTAGTCAAAAATTAGATGCTTCATTAGAAGAGGGGGTGGGATGAGAAGAGGGTGTGGGATGAAAATCTAAGTCTGCTGTAAGGGCAAAAGTCCCCTTTAATTCGGGCGATTCACAACGCAGTGCGCCACCAAGAGTTTGCCATGGAGAGTCAACTTTTCAAGTTTACGGTCGACAAAACATTGCCAATTTGAATGAGTGTCAGTAGACAATTTTAGCTAATTTGTTATAGATTTGGGCATAGCGTTCTGCCGCCTTATCAAAAATTACCATATTGATACAAAGAAAAGAAAAGGGCAAACATATACTCGAATCATATGTTTATGAAACTACTGACCGGAAACACGAACAATTTCAAATGTCCCGCGCTGCGAATTTGTCGACCATCTCCAACAATGCACTGGGAAAAATGAACTCTCTGTGGCAAACTCTTGGTGGCGCACTGCATTGTGAATCGCCCGAATTACTCCAGTAGTTTCCAATACTTTCAAAGATTTTAACATCAGCAAATAAGCTCACTCCTGAGAGAGACTAACCTTCTGAAGGGGTTGAATAGAAGAAATGGGGCTTGAAAAAGCAGATTGAGCCAGTCAGGAAAGCAGACAGAAAATAAAAAAGTAAAGATGAGATGAACGAGGGAGATTATAATTTATTATTTTTTTTAATTCACCAGCAGCAACCCATGACTCCCACCAGAACTCCACCAGGTCCTGCCAGGCTGAGTATCCGCACGCCGCCAGTCAACGGTAGGATAGGTAAGTTCATTATCAGATTGGATCAAGTTGGCGCAGTGGTACTTCCCTTGCCTTCCACTGCTGCGAACCTGGTTTGAATCCCGCCTGAGGCAATGTGCAGATTGGGTTTTCAGTTCCTGCCTGATTATTGTGGAATTTCCTAAGAATGTATTTTGGATCCCCCCCCCCCTCTCTAAAATTGTAATTTCCTTCATTTTCTGCAAAGGGACCCCACTAGAAAAAAGTCAAATCTCAGCCGAATACTGAATAATTAACAAATAAATATATCCGACCTTGACAGATATTTTGAATTGACCAGCCAATCCCATTAATGGTCAATGGTTAAGACATCTGACTAGCATGCAGGAGGTCATGGGTTCAAGTCCCACCCAAGAAAGCTTGTGAACTTCTTTTTCTTTCACAATCTCTAAACCAGTATTGAGTATACAGCTTTAATAAAACTTCGTCTGTTGTGATATTTATTTATTACAGGAACGGTTGGCACCCCCACCCCGGGGCATATGACTCTCACCCCTTCTGGCACCTTGATAAGGTACAATCCAACTCAGATTTGGCTAAAAAAAATCTCTTTTTTTTGTTTTAGTTTGTACATTCTGATTATGTGGTTGTTATAAGAATATGATTTGATTTTTGAAGTGATTATTTTTTTTCCCATGAACTTATTTTCCAATTTTGAACTTTGACCTCTAGGTCAGCCAATACGCCGGGAGGAGTGGTTGACATGGCAACAACAGGTCACACCTCACCAATGAACATCAGCCCTGCTTCTAATAGGTTTGTGCAAAGACTTTTTTAAAGCATTCAAAAATCTGCCTTCAGGTTTTTTGGACTAAAAAGAACAATTTGGTCATATTTTTACTTCACCATCTAAGAAAAGTACTCTTTGTATTTTCCTTAAAAATTCTCCTTGATCCACCTTTTCAGATTATTAAAGTCTGCTTTTTATAATTACTGCGACTAACATGTGATTGTAGATCACATTGAGACAGTTCACCGGATAATTAAAACTTAATTCAATATAATTCCTAATAACTTAAATGACATGTGCTACTCAATGGCACTTAAATAGTACAGTAAAGAGTTTTTACATAAATTGAAAATTAACAGCATAAGAATTTTGCCTTTTTCTGTGAACACATACAAACCACAAAGAACATCCATTTTTATTGTTTAGGAAACAAATTAACTTTTCTTCATTCCCATTCTTACAGGAGTTTTGTAAGTCTTAGCGGTATCCGGTCTTCTCAACATCGTGATGGTTCTTCCCAGGGTTTGTTGAATTCCTTTATAGTTAAAAATATCATCAGATTGTTGCAATCCGAGCTGTTATCAAGTTATTATATTACAAGTCCTCGTTAAAGGTAATATACAACATTTGCAAAAAATCAAAAAAACAAACTACCAAATTATTATGAAATACCTTACTTGACTGTAAGTGAATATTATAGTCTCAAGCATCCTGAAAAATCATGGCACCTGGTGGTCTGCATTTTCGAGAAAAGTGGACTTTTTGTATCAATTTCTAGCGATGGTCGGCCGAAGACTTTTTCAAATACTTCCCCCAAGTTACCAAATTTAGTTAGGCCACATTTTGTCTGCAATCGTTATACATGCGTGAGCGGGTACAAGCCAGTTAGTCTGGTTCCCTGCCCCGATGTCTATAAATTGCTCCGTTTCATTTGAAGTAGTGTCAGGGAACCAGACTACAAGAACAGAATCTTTTTCTTGGTTTTTCCAGCATCCTTGAAAACACAAAACGTTAAACAGGTCTGTCATGATCTGTAATTTTTGTCCTGATCGAATGCAGGTAACAGGACGCCAGGATTGAGCCAGTCTTCCCAGACTGATCCTAGCAGGAGACCCATCCAGGTAATGTATTCAGAATATGAAATTTAAAAGGAGAGGGTTGGGGACAAGACATATAATTGCAACACATCACAATAGAAAAAAAACCTGTTTACTGCAAGTTTAATCAATTAGCAGAGTTCTTGAATAAAAGATGTGGACGTGGATCCATCTTGTCACCTTTTATTGTTGAATACAAATGGTTCAATTTGGCTCAAATGGAACAAAATACGAGTCATTTCAAAGTGACTTATAAGATGACTTTGGTTAAAAAAAAAAAAACATGGTTTGCATTAACTGAAGATCAATTTCCTCATTTGTAATCCCAAATTTTTGAATAGAACTAATCCTCTTTGGGGTGGGGGTCAGATATGGGGGCACGGACCTCTTCAGCTGGTATATATCTGAGCTCATTTCAAGTAGAACCAAATTTGTCTTGGGTACTTCTTCAATTCATAGAGTGCCTGACAGTCAGTGCAATGTGCATCATGGCATGTGAAATTTTTTTTTTTTTTGGGGGGGTCAAATATTTAAACCAGGAAAACAAGACAATGGTATGTTTGTTTGGCTAATACACTGTATTATGGTTTTGTTTCCCACAGCTCAACTACACTCCAACAAGGCCAGTGATGTAAGCATTTCAGAATTTGTTTCTAGAAATAAATGTTGAGACTGATCATTTCACTACACTCCCTTGTACTGCTCGGACAAATAACTGACTGTAACGATTCAATGACTTTTTTTTTGCAATTTATTGAAATATTTTTTTCTGATTTTTTTTTTTTTTTTTTTTTTACAGCTCTTCAACTCCGGGTAGCCAATACCGACAAGGCAAATCGTAGCCACCCTAGACTTGGCCTAGTCCTCCAACAGAGGAAATGTTAGCCTTTGAGGTACACTTACTCTGCATAGATTCCATGGATTTGACTTCTATAAATAACTAGGAAATACAACAGTTGCAGACCATAGAATGCATTTGGACATTTTCACTCCTCAAAATGGAGAACGACACTCCAACTACTTTTGCATTGCATTCCTTAATGGGTATTCATTTAACTTTTGCATGGATTGAACAGTTATACATTTTACTTGTCACTAACTCTGTACCAAAATGCATAAGTTTAAATAACAAATTCTTGGAAAATTCAAAAATTTTAAATTTCAAATCCAGAATTCTGGTTTGTGTGCACTTATTTCCGAAAATTGTGAATCGCATAAACTGCATAGATTGACTTAACATTTCAACTACTTCAGAAGCAAGCAATGCCCAATGGTAATTGTCAAAGAGTTGGAAAAAAAATGATTTTAAACTTTTCAACTTTTGACACAAAATAATTACCTCTAGGCTCCATGACTTTGTGTTATTCTTATAGCTACACTGTATATATGTAAATAAAAACATGTAATCATTTGTTGCAAACACAATTTCCAAACGAAATGTAAAATTCAAGTTTGAATTGAACACCATGTTTATGTGAAAACACTTCAGAGCAAGAAAATTAAAACAGGCACAACTGGTAATCAACCTCAAAAATTCTTCACTTCTAAATCTTATTAAATAGCTGTCCCAGTATTATTTTGGACGTGGAAATATTTCATGAAAACAGCAACCACAATATACATTATGTACAACAATATACAAAAGTCCAAAACGAGGTTCAGTTATACCGAACTTGGAAAAAAAAAATTAAATAAAAAACAGCAGAAGTTTGAATAATACAATGTAGATTAGAGCAATGACAGGTTACCAGCTAAAACATCTTGCAATGTTTATTAAACGTGACTGGTACTTGGCCCATTTGTGCTTAGCACACAAATTCCCTAAGGAAAATTAGCTTAGCAGCTCCACAGACTTCAATTCTTCTTTTTGTTTAAATGATTTTTCATCAGATTGTTGTAAGTCCATTACCAGAATTTTTTTTGTACAGTGTGACGTGAAAACATAGTCCAACTTTTTTATTTCCCCGTCATTCGTTTTCACTTCCTCCATCGTCTACATCAAATGTAGGCGGAGGATGTCGCTGTCTGGTTTCCATGGCGATTTTCTTCCGGAGTTCCTGGACCTGCCTCATCAGATTTTTCTCTCGCTGTTCGAAGGTGTCCCTCCCTCGATCCAGAGAAACTAGAAAAGATGGAAAAAAATTGGGAGGAAATTTGAAGACAAACAATTTGTGAAAGGACATCATAAGCACAAAAAGCGACAACCAGCACACTTTGAGTCAGTGTGACAAACTTCTAAATTTTGTAATTTTGTAAGAATGACTCAATATACTTACTTGGTACTTCGTCCTCTTCTGAACTACTGAAGTCATTTAAGGCTTTCCTCATTGATGAACTGTTGTTAAGATTTGAAGCTCCAACTACATGACCTGATTAAGTAGAGAATGCAAACAAATGCAGATAATAGGCTTACTTGATGACATTTGAGGGTACTTAAATTAAATTGCTAATGGGCAATCCCAAAATTACAACAACAAAAAAGAAAAGGATCCACACGAAATTTGGCTCCATATTCAATGGCAATGTAATTATAACTGACTGCTGTACGTGGAATCAAAATTTGAGTGGTGAGTATGTTGTACCTTGTTGGTGACCAGGTTTCGTTCGTTGTCCATCATGAGCACCGGAGAGCGCCCTCTGTTGGTGGAAATCTGCCGTTTTCTCTTTCGCCTCCTCCAACTGTACGTTCAAAAAAGATAATTAAATCTGGTGAAAATGTTTTCTCCACTTACGACATTATGTACAAAATTGTTATTAGCACAACAAATATTTAACGATTGATTATTGATTATTGTTGAAATTGACCAGAAATGATTATCGTACGTTTTGCAAAAGGATTACCAGTGTTGAGGTTTTCGTGCAGTAGATAAAGCCGAACTTGGCCCAATATTTTTCTTATTCAGCACCAAAGCCTCAAAAGTAAAATATCTTCAGAGCTTAAGAAGTAAAAAAAAAACGACTTGAAAGCAATCAAGACCTCTGAAATTTCAGCCAATCCACTCCTTTTAAAAAGGGAATGTACAACATTTGCAGTTGCTGCAGTTTTCAGAAATCAATGAATTTGAAGGATAAGTATGTTATAGCAAATATTGTTCAACTGACTTGTTTCACGTTTTGGGCTTGTAGATGCTGGAAAAACATAGAAAACCAATCATGTTCTTGTAGTCTGGTTCCCTGACCCCACTTAAGATGAAACAGAGAAATTTGTAGACTTTGGGGAATTGTAAGGTCAAAGAATCAGTCATTTCGTTTTTTGATGTTTGCAAATGTTGTATCTTCCCTTTAAGTCTACTCAATTTGTCTTCATAATGTTCTTTAAGCAAGCTCATACCTTCCTGCCAGCGATTCTCTTCATGATGGACTGGATTTCCTCTTCAAGATTGTGATTCTCATCATGAAGTCTTGAAAGCTAAAAAATTGTTTCAGGTCAAAGAAAAAGTAAAGTGAAAAAAAAGTACAGTTTGAGATTGAGTTAACACCTTCCTAAAATGAAAACTGGTTCTGAGGAGTATGCTTGAACGATGCTACTTGTTTTAATACATCATATGGATTATTCCCAATAATACGCCGCCTAAATAAATCCCCTTGATGGGTCATTGATCGCGTGTCATTGAACTCGTCCCAACCCACGGCCCGTCCACACTGAAAAAAATTGAAGTACAGTGAAAAGAAGTTCCATTCCATGGTCACACTAGCTACCAATCAGATAACAGGGATTCATTCAGGCGTCGTATAAAACAAATAATGAATGCTTCATATTCGTTCAATGGATAGAATCATTTCATTCGGCGACAGAAGGAATGTTCAATTCCAATATTCCATCTGTTACCTCATGAAATTATTCTTTACATTGCATTCACAAATATTAATAACTTGTATACTAGCACAGTAGACCATTCTTGAAAGTGAGGACTAACGAAAATTAGCGAGCCACATTTTCACCTCCCAAAGAAGTAAATATAGGAAGGGTTCCTTATCCCTTGTTCTGCTGGCAATATCTTTACAAATTAATAGTTTTCTCTACCTCCGAGTTCCTGAGTTGTCGTTCTAAGTCGTCCATTCTCCGGCGATACTCAGAGTCTCTCCTCAAACCGGCTTCCTCAGATATTTCTTCCGCCTTGGCAGTGCTTGTCTGAAGTTGCTGGTTCACAAAAAGATGAAAGGAAACATTCATTTCTAATTATCTAGCTGAGGAAATTCTTATTTAAGGAGGTGAATCATGCAGCTTTCTTCCAGAGAGACCTCTAACTTCTTCAACTTATTTATCATATTATGCTATTTTCGTGAGGAGACGAATACATTTTGGTGAGCACAGGAAATTTGTCTACTGAAAAAATGGTGACAATGTGCCTGCCTCTATAACAATTTGGAAACTCTACACAAACCTTGTGTTACATTCAGAAGAGTTGAGCTTTCTACCGACAAGAGCTGACACTACTAAAGATGAAATAATCTTGGCTTTAACTCTTTAAAACTTGTTCAGGCAACAAACAAAACCCAAGCAACAGCACTTTGGTGAAAGTATCCTCGCATGCAATCACATTGCCTTCACATAACTGTTTGATCAGGCAGCATAGCGCCCTCTATGGCCCATGCACGGACCCTATAGGCAGTGGATCAGATGGCTGCATGTAGCTACCTTTCTCGTGGCATGTTGTTTGTCCTGTACATCCTCCCACGCTCTCCGCCGGACTCTCTCTTCCAGCTCTGCCTGGCGTCGGTAGGCCTCGGCATCTGCTCTCTCCTGGTACGTGGTCTCTGACAAACCTTTAGCAAGGTCCTGCTCAACAACAAAGACATTTTCGTTCCACAAATGACAAGAACAACTGATCATCAATCGTTTCGTTGTTCTGTGCACAACTTGATAAAACTTGATAAAACATTAACCCTCCTGCTATTTAAGCAGTCACGGACAGTCAAAATTCATTTCCACTTCCCCTGCTATACTTTTAACAAAGGCTGGTCACCAGCATTCAGATCATATGTCAAGCAAGTACTTTGTCAAGTCAAACTGGGTCAACCGACAAAGCGGGCAAGTTGTGGTCACAGCTGTGTTATCACTCTCCTGGAGTCAAAGCATAGCTGTATCAAGTTACTTAAGCAGTCTAAGGCAGTCAATCCTGCTTTGCGTGGGCTGGGAATTCTTACGGCTTGAAAACAGTCATTTGATTGATTTTGACTGTAATGACAACTTGGCACAGAATGTATGTTTGCATAGGATGGTAAAATGTCCTGAAAGTGTTTAGCTCCATACATGTAAAATCAAGAAATCAACTGTGCTAACAAAAATGGAATAAATAGAAAAAATTGGATAAATATAATCCATTTAGCCTAATAAATCTGGTTTAAACCCAATGTTACAATTAAAGCTCTCAGAACCCATATCTTCAGTGCACAAGGGTGATGGTTTTGACTAAGTTAAATCAAGGTCTACTTGTTGACTAGTGGATGACTCATAATGTTTTTCGTGCTCGCACACTAACATCTGAGTGAAAATGTCTCTAGTCATATTATGGTCAAACATCATCACAAGACTTCCCAGTTTTGGTTCCCTCTTCTGCATGTAACATGTGAAGTACTAACTACAAAAAAACCCACAAAATTGATTATACCTGCTCCAGGAGTTGTTTCTGGGCCTGCAGCTCCATCCGTCGGATTTCTACGTCATCCATTGCTGCCTTGGTTTCTTGCTCTCGCAGTAAACTCTGTGGTAACCATGCAAATTAATCCCATCAAAAAGTTTCAAAGATACAAACAATCAACTGTTGTCTATTACCTATTGATAGATACCGCCAAAGACGCCAATTTCATTCGAGAGAAATTTGACAAACAACAGGGAAAGAATGTTGCAACCTGACGCCACTTCAGCAGCCGTGTACAAAGTCTATGTAGAGTCACGAAAATTTTCCTAAGTATTTCCTAACAAAATTGGAAATGTTTCTCAGTCCCAGATTCATGTCTTATCATCATTTTTGCAATTACTGACCTTCATTGAGATGATATATGAAGAAAAAAGCAGCGTCAGGTTGCAACATTCTTTTCAACAACACAAAATGTTGTGCGGTGCCGTTACATCTTAGGTCATTGGAGAATGCCAAATTAAACAGGCAGTTACTCAAGGTTTTCCTCAAGGTTTTACAGGGTTTTATGGGGTTCAGCAGAATACCTGCTCGTGTAAATTTGCTTTCTTCCATTAAGTAGACAGTTTTTCTAATTTATCCTAACAATGTTGAATTGAGAGAAGACAAGAAAGAAAATATCAATATCAAAATTGTCAGAATCCCTGCAGAACAAAATTCTAAGCAGTAAATTTTTAAAATACTCAAATCAATTATTAGCCCAGGAAGGACACACGTGAAGTCACCCAAGGTGGAAGGCAAGGAATGAACCAATACACCAGCCTGACCACAGCATAAAACAGCAATGATGCCATGTTCTGTTTGTTCACATTTATCTCTCTGAGACATCAAATAGTGTGTGTTCTTACCTTTCTAGCAATCTCGTCATCCAGCCTGCTGAGCTCAGCTTCCTTCTGCGTCTGCTGATGATGCATAAACTTCCTCTTGGCTCCGTCCAGGAGCTGCAGCTCTTGGATGTGCAACTCTCGCTTCATCGCTTGCAATCTGAAAACAATGTAGAGAATCATGGATTACAGCAATATTCCTGATAACAAGAAAATATATAAAATGACAAAACAAATTTCAAGCTGGCTGAGGCTTGTCAGCAACACCGACATCTGGCCCACTGATCTACAGATCTCTACCTTCAATTCACCCCCACCAAACCAAACAAAGAAACACATATCTACAATTTGAAACCAAGCTATCACACGACCCACAGGTTTGCAATCAATTTACCCTTCCTACCTGTCAATCAAACAGTGCACATTGACCAATCAGATCACGATTTTTGGTCAGGTGACCACGGTAGTTCAGTCAAAGTCACTCAAGAAATGTACACAAACCAAAGGTGGGTGGGGCGGAAAATCTGAAACTGTCCATCCTCACAGAATCCTCCTTCCTTTCTTCTTAAAGCTATAGTCCATCATTTGTAATTTGTGCATTTTGTTCGTTTGAAGCAACAAAAGTGCTCAAAATCTAAAGAAGGGTACTGAACAACTAACCTAATGAAGTTTCAGCTCAGCTTCAGCTGTATATTCCGAGAAAAACAGCATTCTAGGATCTCAATTTCAAATCAAAAGTTGCTGAATCATGTTTTGAATTGCGCCTGAATTCAGCGTCCCAGACACGTTCTCGCTGAGCCGATTGCAGCTACGCGATGTTGCGCAGCGATCCGACGAATTATAGCAGCCGCGCGCGCGTGTGCGTCGTGCCAATGATTGCGCGCGCTTTGCCGAATAACAAAACGAACTACTAATTTAAATTTTCCTACGGTGCGTCTTAAGAAGCACCGTTGGAAAGGCCTTCTTTCGTTGATTACTTCAAAATGACAGCTTGCCAGAAAGAATAATTTCACAGGGAGTTTAGTCCCCTTACTATCTTTCAACCAAGTATGTTTTTCAACAATAATTACGCCAGCTACTTTTCGGATAGCTGCAAATGATGGACTATAGCTTTAAACTCTCAAAATAATTTGACAAAAACCCCCTTCCCTTTCCAAAGACCCCTTTGTACTCCAGGGTGGGGAAAGACAAGTGGGCATAAAGTGGCTTGCCCAAGGACACAACATATGCCCAGCAGCTGGATTCGAACCCCTGACCCTCTGATCATGAGTCACCAACCCTAACCACTATGCCACACTCCCCAGCATTAGCAGGGAGTAACCTGCAATGGACTAGCATCCCATCCAGGGGGAGTAGAAATATTCTCAGTTGTTTCATGCCACTGAAACCGGAGATAAACGCCGGCCTGGTGGGCCACATTGGCTCGTGACAGACTTTACTTAAACTTACTGTCCAAATCCTACAATCTTATCTTACCTGACTCGTTGATCGATGAGTTTCTGCTCCTCCTCAGCTACCAGACTCCTTCTTTGCTCCTCCGCGTCTCTCAGCAGCTTCTGTTGTCGGTACCACGCCGTCTCCTCGCTCTGTCTTTTGTCCAGCTCTCGTTTGAGCTCGGCGGCCGCTTGGCGCTGGTGGAGGAACTCCAACTCATCCTGACGAATTCGCTCCCGCTCCTGGGCCTTGATGGCAAAACAATTTCAAATGATGGTATTTTAGAAAAAGAGACACACTTTTGCAATAGATTCTTGTGATTAAATAATTATATTTTGATTACTCAATGTTAATGTCAACAGTAAGGCCAAAAAAAAAAAGTCTCCGGTTTCTGGTATGCGCGCGCGTCGCCATAGCCATGCGCGTCGGCAAAATGAAAATTTTTTTTTTCAATGAAAGATGATGTCTCAAAACCGCCAAACGCACTGGTTTGACTGGAATCCTGCTGCTGCACAATTTTAACGTGTTTTTAGATGGGGTTATGGTCGAGAATAAGCTTTATGTGGCCTCTCTGGACTCCCATATATTTGCACTAAGTTTAGTCGGGCACCATTTGCAGTCATCAGCCGACATTTGAAGCAAAAAAATCAGGTAAAAAAAAAAAAAAAGCCGCGTCGCCGCACCACTTTTTGGGCAAGCTCCATACCAGAAACCGGAGACTTTTTTTTTTTGGCCTAAGGGGCAACTTTTTAGTTTGGATTTGTGCATCACAACCACGCTACCACAGCAATGCACAAATTAATGCTGTTGAAGTTCCAGCAATAAAAATCTTAAAAATGCTACATGTTACTGATGACTCTGGTTTGGAATAGCTCAAGCAAGTTCAAATATTGCTGAAAAATGTCAAAGATCTTTTGTCTATTTCGAGGCAAAAATGGACAAAACTACCTGTGTTTTAAAATCAGCCTCAATATTTAATCGCTTCTTGAAACATTCCTCAGTGACAAAGAACAATTTGATTTTGAATGAAAGGGTCAAACTTAAGACTAAGGCCGTGTCTGAATTTCTTGGCTACGGTTTGCAATTAAACACAAGTCTATGCGAAGTGGCTGCAGCCGCTACCATAGACTCATGTGTAATGTCAAGCCACAGCCACGTAACTCGGACACGGCTTAAGTTTCATATATGGCATATATGATGGTTTGTTCAATTCTTTATTTCCATACCTGATAGTCTACGATGAATTTTGGGTACTTGTTGAATATGGGATACTGTCCCTTGGTTAAGGGTTTGAAGTCGTCCAGCATTCTCTTGGGGTGAATGTCATCGGGTGTGCCGTCCCACAGACGATATGCTTCGCTGATGACTGTGCCGATGTGTACGGCATTGCGATGGTGGACGAAGTACTGGACAAAGGATACAAATTGTTATCATGCACTTATACTTGGGTCAAAAAACAAGCTTTTCCAATGAACTGTGACAAGGGTTTCCTTTTGTTGTTACTCCTCCTCCTCTTAATTGTGATTGACTTGTGATTTGAGTTGTGATTGAGTAGTGATGATTTTGTGATGGTCTTGTGACTGAATTGTGGTTGACTTATTATTGAGTTGTGGTTGACTTGTGATGAATTTGTGGTTGAGTTGTGATGGACTTGTGGTTCACCTGTGATGGATTTATGATTGACTTATGACTGACCTTTGTTAACTTGTGAGGGATTTATGATTAACTTGAGACGGACTTGTGATGGACTTGTTTTGACTTGTGATGGATTTAGGAGTGACTTATAATTGATATGTGGTTGACTTGTGATGGACTTGAGCTTTACTTGTGATGGACTTGTGATTGACTTGTGATGGACTTGTGATTGACTTGTGATGGACTTGAGAAGACTTGTGATGGGATTCTGAGGACTTAAGATGGACTTGTGATAGACTTGTGATGGACTTGTGATGGACTTGTGATGGACTTGTGATGGACTTGAGATGGACTTGTGATGGAGTTGTGATGGACTGGAGATGGACTTGTGATGGACTTGTGATGGAATTGTGATGGACTTGTGACTGACTTGTGATGGACTTGTGATGGACTTGAGCTTGACTTGTGATGGACTTGTGGTTGACTTGTGATGGACTTGTGGTTGAGCTAATTGACTTGTTAGATTGACTTATGCTTAACTCGTACTTGTAATGTGATTGACTAGTTGATTGAATTCTGATTCAATTCCAAACTGACTTGTAACTGACTTCTGTTATGACTTCTGATTGTTGTGTATTTGGGTCTGTGATTGAGTTGACAACTCATCACGTTTTACAAAAACTGTTTTACAATTGTAATGTATTAAAAGTCTTTATACCTTGAAGTCATCTACATCAGTGCATTGTAGCAGAGGCTGCCTGGAGCTGACAATGTAAGCGACTACGACGATGAGCAAGAATGCTGGATGGTTGGTGAAGATGTTGTCAAACAATCGCTGCCATTCTTCCTTAGTCACAACCTCTGACAGTAACGTCTGAAGCAACGGCCAAGCGTAGACCTATCATGAGATAGTTTCAGAAATATCGAGTGATTGCATGAAATCAGTTTATCAAGGTTTTCAGTCAGTTTAATACCAAACAATCTGAATTATCCACTTTTGGGATGGAATATGTTTGCTTCAAGGAGATCTAAGTTAAGGCAATAGCACCTGTTGTACGTTGTATCAATTTCTTTTTTGATCAAACCATACATTATTGGGGTGGTTGTGGCGGTATAGAAGAGTAACAGGCAGGACAATTTGTGACCTGTTCTGTCAAAAGCAGACGCTTCTGGGCAGAGGTTGAAATTGAGATAGGGCCAAAAAACGCTGTGGGGTGATTTTTTTCGATTTTCTAATTTTTGCATATTTGTAATCCTGAACATGTCTAAAATATACTATAAAAGTTTGAAACCCTAATTTGAACTCTAAATATGGTATTTTTGATGATTTGTTGAGGTATATCAGTTAAAGAAATTACTGTTTTGTGACGTTCGTGGCCATTTTCTCCGTTTTCTACTTTTCAACACAATGAACTTCAAAATAGCATAACTCTGCCCAGGAATTACAGGTTTCAAAAATTAAACCACCTATTAAAAGGGAAATGTACATATTTTAACAGTAGCACAAATCTCATTTTGGACCTTATGCCCAGAAAAGTCTGATTTTGACAGAACAGGTCACATTTGAGCAGTACAGGGACTAATGGGTTAATAGTGTTGTGTTTTTTTTCCTAACATAACTTTATAAGAGAGCTTGCGAAAAACTTAAATTACAAGCTTGCTCAAGATACAATTTCTATTTCTTGATCTTTGTAAAGTGATGCTTGCTGCTTTTGTTGTAATAGTAGATCTGTTAGAATAATACCTGAGAGGTCACGCCGTACTTGACAAAATGTTGCAGCACGGCCCGATCGTGGTAAGCCAGTACGTTCTCCACCATAGACAGGACGTTGACAGGAGGGTTGGGGAAGAACTCAAACCAGAGCTGACACCAATTACCTGATGAAGGAGAAAATAAGAAGAAAAAAAAACGGTCTAAAGATCCTAGATTGAAGAAATTGTTCATAGCCCTGAGCCTTACTGCAGTTCACACAAAAATAATCTGCTTATACAATAACCAAAGACAAAATAGTCAAAATATCCTAGATTGAAGAAATTGCCAATAGCTGGGAGCCTTTTATTACCTCCGCCAAGGAGGTTATGTTTTCATCCGATTTGGTTAGTTTGTTGGTTGGTTGGTTGGTCTGTTAACCAGATGACTCAAAAAGTTATGGACGGATTTGCATGAAAATGTTTCTAGGGTGGCCCTTGGTGCAAGTACAAATCGATTAGTTTTTGGAAGTGATTCGGATCTGGGTCTGGATCCAGGATTTTTTTTAAGGATTCTTGACCATTTAAGCGAGTATTTCTTTTGGGTGTACTGACAATATGGCGGGGAATTGTTTAGCCTTGGTGGAGGTTTGCGCTCTTAGAGTGCTTTCTAGTTTGATCATTACTGAAGTTCACACACAAAAATATCTGCTTATACCATAAAAAAAACAATGCTGTGGTCACTACTCATTTGAAAAGCTTGTGACCTGAATTGAGACTGAATGACTCTTGCACTTGTGAGGACGCATGATGACTTATAATGGACCCGAATAAAACACTGGTTCTAAAACAAAAAACAGAAGAAGCTCTTACTTAAGACAGTGGCAAGGACCTCAAAGCAGATGAGCTGGTTGTTCTGGAACAGCTTCACAAAAGGGAACGTCAAGAGGGGAAGGAAGTCAGCCTCTCCAAAGACGGCAGACCAGTGGGCTAAAGCAGACAAGGTCCTGTTGGCAGAGAGGGAAATGTGATTGATTTCATTAGCGGCGTAAACTTGCTTCAGGATTCACGTGAGAGGGTTAGGATTTTAATCTCACAAATGGGGATAAAATCGTACCTTTGCAGAACCCTGAGTAGTTTCCGGCTCTTGATGGGGTAGGTCTCGTGCACCTTGGCCCAAGCGATGTGGGTCCCCTTGTCTACAAGACTACTGAAGGCTGTGTGGTTCTCAGGAAGACGCAGAACAGAACGCCAGATGAACATCCTGAACAAAAATTCACTTTACAATTAGACGATGCCTGGTTTCTAGTGCTCATTATTTCTCCGTTCATCAACATCATCCTAGATTTCTCCCTCTGGGGGTAATAGACCCTCCCTGTCTGTCAATCAAACAGTGCATTGACTAATCAGATCACAACTTTTGATCAGGTGACCACGATAGCTCTGTCAAACTAAACCCAAGGTGGGCGGGGCTAATCACAAAATCTGGAACGGTCCATTCCTGGAGCTGCTGAGCATAGAAATTTGTTAAGCCCCAAAAATATTTGCTGAACAAAAACAGGTTCATTACCGGCCAAAAAGTCATGCAAGATATATTTACTTGGGACTGGTATTCAGAAAAAAAAAATTAGAAATTTGCTAAGCCCCCAAAATATTTGCTGAACAAAAACAGGTTCATTACCGGCCAAAAAGTCATGCAAGATATATTTACTTGGGACTGGTATTCAGAATTTTTTTTTGCTAAACAGAATTTTCTTCTTAGCAACTTCCTGAAATTTCATGGCACTGCTAAGCACGTGATTTCATGCTTACAGAGCCTCTGGGTATTTCATGGACACGGTAAGCAGTAAGCACAGCAAAAGGCTCAGAGGAAAAAGTTGCGTAACTTATTCAGTAATGACGTAACAATGACTTAATGACGTAGCAACAGAAATCTCCAATTGCGCGCAACCGTTAGCACATCCACACCAAGAAACAGGGTTCAAGGTTAGAACAATTTTCTGCTGAAACTTTTCTGCTATCTGTTAAGCAGCGCCATGACTTTGATCCCAGGTCACCAGCCAAAACGTCATGTGATGTACACTGCTTGTGACTGGTACTCGGCTGATTATTGCTTAGTAAATTACTCAGACAACAGTAAGGAGAACTCACCTGTACTTGGCTGGATACTCCCCATAGCCTTTGAGAATGGCGTGCAACCTGTTCAGATCGAGTCCCTCCGGCAACTCAGAAATCTAGACGGACAAAAATAAGAAGGTATCAATTGACCGATTCAGTCTGCTCCATCCACTGAGCACAAGGGCTACACCAGGTGCATCTCTCATATAGGCTCCGTGCATCAACAAGAGAGGGCGCTTTTTTACCACTTTTGAAAGGCCCATGGACAGGACCCACCCTGTGCAGTACTGGTTTGCATGCATATAGCACAAAGTTCGCACGACTAATTTTATTCTAAATGTGCACAAAGCCATAGCGTCTTTGTGTGAGCCTCAGGCGTTGTCGGCAATGCGTTCAAATGTCTCTCCCAGTGGTCTCCCCCAACTCTCCCTTTCTTACCGTTGAGGGGGTACTTGTGTATGGAGCCCATATTCCAGACATGTGGGTCAAACGCAAGTGCAGGCATGTCAGACTTTTGAGGGACATTAATCATGGCTGTGATTGGTCAAAATGTCAAGAGATCATTGCATAATGGAAAGACTTAAACAAAAAATTAAGATTTGCTAAACTTCCAAATACCTCCTCTTTTTTTGACGTCCTGCTCCCCTCCTCCCCCACCCGTCGCCTGACCCCCGTTGTCACCCTGTGCGTCACCCCTGGTGTCTCCCTTGCTGCCCCAGGCATCTGAAGTCTCCCTGGGGTCATGGACCTGAGTGTGGTTGTGGTTGTATCACTGGATGTGTCTCTCTTTCTGGTCTTGCCGGAGGCAACTTTGACCAAGGCTGGTGGTGGCTGAAGAGACAAAAACATTTTAACGTCAATCAATCTTATGGAAAATGTTTTGAAAGGAAAACATTCAAATGTTCAAAAGCAGAAGCAATGCCAAATATTGTTTTCACATAATAATTACTAAAATGTAATAAAATATTTGAGTGGAAGTTATAGCAAATACAATTGTGATGGACTTGTGATGGACTTATGATTAATTTGTGATGGACTTAGGACTAAATTTGTGATGGACTTGCAATGGACTTAAGATGGACTTATGATTAACTTGTGATGGACTTTTGATGAAATTTGTGATGGACTTGTGATGGATTTGTGATTCGAGAACCTCATACCTTGTTGAAATCCGACATCAACGCAGGCACGCTGTAGACATTGATGCATCCACTGTCCACCACCGCGGCAACATGGCGTCCGGCTGGGCTGACCGAGACGTTCACGACGCGATCCTGCAGGCTGCCTAGATCACATAGCATTGTGCAGGTAGTGACGTTGATGAAGCGCATGATGCCGTCCTGGCTTAGAGCTCCCACAACCTGAAAAGAGATATCATATCAACAAAATGAGCCACAACTTGCCAGAGATACTTTTGAGTAATTGGCCTTTTGGCGGAATCAACCCTAACCATTGCTTTACATGAGGATCGATGGCACTTGAAAGTCTAAGTACTTCAGAACGTGTCGTTGGGTTCCTTGAAAGTGGAGGATGTTGGAGGGTATCAGAAGCTTGGGATCGAAAGTTCATCAACCCTAACCCTAGCAGATCTTTAACCCAAACTCCCCAGCATAATTTACTAGGAACTGTACCCATTCGGGCAAATTCCAACACCCACATGGGAAATTGTACACACACTGCTGGACTTAGTTTCTGGAGGTATGCCAACCCCAGTGTAAAAGACCATCTGTTTAGGGGTACTGTACCTATCCCAACAGATTTAAACAAAACCTGCTGTTGAACTTTGATGGGTTGAGTTCGGTTAGGGTTAAAGATACACCCGTTTGTTTTTTTATATATATTTTTTCAGTATTGAGAAAGGTAGAGCTGAGCCACTAATCTTTAATATAGTGGGCAAATAGTTTAATTGGAAATCCCATTCAAAAACTCATAACTTAGGTTTAATGCTGCATAAAAGATTGAATTTTTAAGGGTGCCACAGCAATCTGTAAACTGTCCAGACTTCAAAATTTGTGCCAAATGGCTCTCATATTGATGAAAGTTGAATAAGTTTTTTTTACCTGACTTGAGCCGCCGTCAAAACTCTCGGGGAGAAACTCCACTTGCTTGACGACGTGTACCTTGGTTGGCATCTCAATGACCCGCAGAAGGTGTCGGGTGTCCAGGGCCCAGACGTGAAGAAAGCGAGACTTTCCCCCAGCGACCAACAGACGCCCGTCCCTGAAGAAAATCGGCAACAAATTTGACAAGTGTTCCTTCAACTGATGCTTAAATTTCATTTCTAACATTAATTTTAGATTCGAACCAGCCAACCGATCCCGTTAGCTCGGTGGTCGAGAGGTAAGACGTCTGCACTAGAAAGCAGTAGGTCATGGGTTCGAGTCCCACCTGAGTGTTTTTTTTCCAACTTTCACTTGGGAGGTAACACACTGAGTATACAGTGTTTATACGTCGGTGAAGGGCAAAACTTAATATTGATTTACATCAGCCCAACGCAAATTCATAATAATTCAGTCTCTTGTTTTATTTTTTTAAAAAGGTGACTTTGGAGATTTGTTGTAAGTCGCTGTCTCAGCTTAACTAAATTTTAGTAAATGTTTCTTTTAAATAAACCACAAACAAATTGACTGGAACTCTATAAACTGAGCTACCGCACAAAACAATACAAGGGTAAGTAAATAAAAATAAAGGGCAGTTGATTTCATCTAGGATAGCCCCAAAAAAAGCCAATTACAAAGGCTTACTTCCAATGAAAAGGTCCCATGAAAACAAAAAATATACAAATTACTGGAAAATAAATCAGTTGAAGCTTGAAAATACCCCCAAAAGTATAAAGTAATACCCCGTAAAGCAGTACCCAATACTAAAATCCACTTAAGTACTCCATTAGGATCCCATGAAATTTGCAAGAAAATCCTCTAAGCAAATGGCTTAGCGGATTTGTATGGCTTAGCGGATTCGTAAGACTTACCGGGGTGTGGCGAATGCCTTGTAGTGGGGTCTGTCGCCAGGGGGAATGGGCAGCTGATACTTGCACTGGAGGGTGTCTGACTCCCATGCAAAGATGGAATCATCACGGAAGCAGGTCAGGATGGTGTTACTCAGAGGCAGGAAGAAGACCTGACAATCATGAGGAAAATGAAGAGGAAAGGTTGGGAATAGCTAGAAAAACTGGGAAAAATGCGGAAACCCTGGGAGAATTAATGTAGAATGTGCGGATTACTGTAGACAAACCCTGAATACGACAATTACTGTCCACTTTTCATCGGCAAAAAAAACATTAAAGGCATTTAGGTTCATTTGCTTTTCATGCATTTTGTTAGTTTCCAATAATAACACTATTCAAAATCCAAAGAAGAAAGTTTCAAAATCTAACCTATTGAAGTTTTACCTCAGTGGATATTATACTTTTGAGAAAAGAAAAACGACGAAAAACCATGCACAACTCTTTTTTCCAAAAATCAGACTGATTGTTGGAAATCACCTACATTTCTTGAATTCTTCTAAATGACAGCAAGCCAGACGATATAATTTCACGGGGTAGTAACCAGTACGATCTTTAATCTAAGTAAGCTTTTTGATGATAATTCGGTAGGCTACTTAAGGTATAAATGCAATTGATCCGATATGCCTTTAAAAATAATGACGGATTTGTAAACCTTAGAGATGCCGACTGCATCCCTGACATTGAGTTTGCGTTTTCTGGTGAACGTGTCCAAGTCCCAGAGCAGGCTGGTGTCGGAGGAGGTGGTGAGAGCGTAGCGGCCCGAGGCGTGGACCGAGACGGAGTGGATGGGGGTAGTGTGGCCCTTCATCCAGGCCACAAGCTCCTTAGAATCTGAGACATGGTAGAGATGGGAAGAATAAAAACAAAAAGATACGAGTCCAATTCTTCAGGGATGAATTGAACTGTTATGGGCTCCGTGCACAAGTGCCCCCTCATTGGAGTGTCATGGCCTAGCTGTTAAGAGCACCGGACTCATGCTCTGGTGTTTCAGAGGAAAACAGTGGCGTGGGTTCGAGCTCGGGCCCGGACACTTGTGCCCTTAAGCAAGGCACTTAACCATTATTGCTTCGTCCTTCGGATGGGACGTAAAGCCGGAGGTCCCGTGTGTTGTGTAATGCAATGCACGTAAAAGAACCCAGTAACACTTATCGCTAAGAGAAGGGGTTTGCCCCGGTGTTTCTGGCCTCCTTGTTATAGTCCCTTGTGGAAGTCCTTAGGAGAAGAACCAACCAAGTACCAAGTACCAAGTATTGGCAAGAAAGTGAGAGTTGGGGGAACCACTGTGAGAGACATTCGAGCGCACTGCTGACTACGCCTGACCTCACGCGAAGACGCCATGGCTTTGTGCACATTTAGAATAAAATAAGTCGCGCGTCGTGAACCAGTAAGCACACGCGGTGTGTCCCGTCCATGGGGCTCTCAAAAGTGGAAAAGCGCCCTCTCTTGTTGGCGCACGGAGCCCACATGGCACACCCATCTTTCACTGAATCCAAAACTGAAACTCGTTCAATTGACCCTTTGCGTTTGGCAGCCATCTTGGGGGTAATTTAGTTAAATTTAGTCAGTAAAAATCAATGCACAAGAGGCCTACTCGTGCCTATACCTAAGGAACAAAAGCGTCTCAAAGACTGCTGCAATGCAAAAAATCCATCAAGTATCATACAGTTTCATAGCTATACATGCACTGCTTTTGAGATAACACAGAAGACACATTTCAAGACACTTTGGCCGACAAGCTACTTTAGCTCATCAACATTCTCTGTGCTAAGCAAGACTGTTTCCTTAGCAGCTCAATAAAACTGTATAGAAATATAGACGTCTTATATTTTTTTTTCTGCATTATAAGTTTACAAGTTTAAATTGTTACCGGATAACAAAGAAAAAATGATGAAATAACTGAAAGCTCAAAAACCACTGAAGACATCCCAGTACTCAATTTGACATTTCAGACCTTGAACAAAGGGAATATTAGATCAGATCAGAGGTCAAAGATTCACCTGTATCGAAGCATTTGAGGGAGCAGTCTGCAAGAGCAGCGAGGTACTCTGTCTTCCTGCGCAGTGTGAACGCAAGGGATGTACATGCCTGTCCTGTCTTCTGCACCAACTGGAACCTGCGATACACACATAATAATACATGGTGTCTTCAGTTATTATTTCAGTTTAAAAAAGGGCTATTTTAGTAAAACTTTTGCGAATGAAACGTGTCATCTCATGTGTCATTGTGACAAAGAGTGCATACAAGCTAGTCCAGCATTATGAAAGGCAGTGTAATGTCTGTGACAGAGCCAGTTAACCATGGTATCTGTTTAATGATTCAGAGAAAAGATCCAAAACTCATCGTAGTCTATAATCTCCTTGACCATTACTAGATGAAGGATGTACAAGATTTGAAAAAATACATTTTCAGGTTTATTCACTGAGCTCTTGAAAACTTTGTCACTGATAAACATTTTGTAAGATAACATTAGAATTGCCAAGAAGTAATTTTAACACAGGAGCAGAAAACTTATCTCTTAAGTATGCAATTCAAAGGTTATATTTAACCAACCTGTTCTTGGAAAGATCAAAGATGTAAATGTTTCCAAGGTGGTCTCCAGCGATGAAACTGTCGCCCGTGTTATTGAATGCTGTGTGGAGGAAGCGCACTCGCCGACCGCTTGGTGCAAGAGGCCCACTGACATCGTGCTTAATCTGTATCATCAACCTTGGTGAAAACAAGAAAGTACTACCTTTTAGTAAACACTTCACTGAATTAAATGGAAAAAAATGTTTATCATCCATCCTTTCTGAAAAAAAGGAAGGAGGCCCTTTTTTTTCATCAGAGATGACAGAGATTTCAAAATGAAAGATGGATTCTTATTTTGCCGATACTTTTGTGTCCAAGGAGTCGTCACCCTTTCTACCAGATTTTGAACTTCCATACATAGCTACAATTTTGCTGGAAACAATTAAAAAGATAACATTTATTGCAAATTATGATAAATAAAAAAGGTGGGTGGGAAAAAGGAAGTAGGCGGGGACAAGAAACTTTTGTTTTGTTTTGTTTTTCTTTGGCTAAGGTCCTGGATTAAAACATTTTGGGGGTTTCAAAATTTTATTTTGGAAGAAGATGAAAAAGGACCAACTTTTTTAAAAGATACCAATTTATAATTTTATGGGTCCACTAAGGTCCGACCTAACGTGATGGATATTGAAAGAAATGGAAAGAATTCCATACAGGGTCTCCACTCAGACTTCCTGCACAAAGTCTATGGGCTATGACAGAAAAAGTTTAAGTATTATCAAAGAATTTTTGCACTCCTAAAATAGTGTTTCTTCATCAGATTTACAACTTTTGGTACTTTTCAGGTCATATTAAAGGGAATATACATCATTTGCTTTTGCTGTAATTTTCAGAAATGGATGGAATTGGGGGGTTGGAAATATAAAGCAAATATAGTTACACTGACTTTTTGGAGGTTTTGGGTTCGAAAATGCTATAAAAACCAAGAAAAACGATCATTTTCCTGTAGTCTGGTTCCCTGACTCCATATAAGAAGAAACAGAGCAGTTTACATACATTGGGGAATTGTAAGGTCAGGGAACCAGTCTAGCTGGCTCGTACCCGTTCATAGGTTTGTAATCGATTGCAAACAAGTACAATGGTCAATTGGGGCCAGTATTTGAAAAAAAGCCAGTTGTTTCCAACGCTGATCGGCCGATCAGCGTTGGAAATTGATACAAAAATACCACTTTTCTTGAAAATGACAGTATACCAGGTGCCATAATTTTACAGGATGCTTTAGACTGTCATTTACCAACATCCTATTAAGGTATTTCGCAAAAACTTGGTAGTTTTATTTTTCGATGTTTGCAAATGTTGTATATTCCCTTTAAGGAATATGAGTGGGGGCTGTGCATGGAATTCTTTCCAAAGAAATTTAAAATATTGCATTTATTTATAAATGTTGGACTCTATACTACGGTGGAAATTCCATTCATTTATTGTTTGTTCCCTACCCATCGTCACCAGAAGGAGATGGCTTCCTCAGCCAAATCTTGCCTGCTTCTTTTTTGTTCACATCACATGTCTGCATCGTGCACTATGCTATAGTGACGTCATTTCTACTCCAATTCCAAACTCCAAACTGAACATCATAGAGAGAAAATTGGGAGAAAATTATTTAAAAAAAAAAAATTACATTAGGCCTAGGCCCACGGTAGGCCTTGGCCTTAGTTTAATTTGACATTTTCATTGTCTCAAAAAATGTATGGACATAAAGATATATTTAAAGTCATTTCATTAAATTATGTTTTTTTGCGATTCAATGCACATGCGCACATCACGATGCACAGTTTGGTTTCGAGAGATCATGAACAGTTTGCCACATGCATGCAAAATCATAACGGGTATACGGTAGGCCCCCATGGAGCTATAAAAAAGATTGGCCTACCAATGAAATTAAAGAAAACGCCTTTTTTTTTTTTGGTAAGATGTTACTTAAATGAAAAACTGGAACTATCTCCCGAAAGCCGAAACTACAAGTCATTGAAACGATGTGTGCACGAGCTGTTGAATTTTGCAAAAAGGCTTGCACCTTGAATTTGGAGACCACAAACTACGGAGGGCGCCCTCAATTGATTTGTTTTAACGATAAATTGAGTTAAACTTCAAATGCAATTATTTAAAGTCATAAAATTACACATTCTAGGAAATAATGCCGTCCAAAAATAACAACATGACCATTACGTTTGGTTTATAATACCTCATTTGAGGCTTGTTTATACCAACATGTTTTTAAGCGCTGTATACGTTGGAAAATGTGTAGCTTATCCCGTTTTTGCGTTTCAAAAGAAATTTCAATATGGCGCTTTGGGGAGGGTTTTCTGGTTTCATCTCTTGAGGGCGCCCTACAAGGTGCGAAGTGTATCGGCAGTATCACAACTGGAATTTGTAATCATTAGAAATGAATTATTCATGTTTTCATCATCAGCTAGTCTTGGCCCGAGACGTCAGTGACCAAGAGCATTTCGTAGCAATGGGGGCGGGGCCATTTTATGTAAATAAGACTGTGCGTCTGTACAGATTCGAACAATAAATTAAACATGTTTGTAGCTCCATGCTTGCACGTGTAGCACGAATATGTTTACAACCGTGAGCCATTTAAGCTTTTCTCGACCGCTGATTGATTTCCTAGGAAAGCCTATGGAGAAAATAGAGAAAAAGTTAAAACGCTTAAATGAAATGGCCAAGACGCTAGTGCGATAAACCCACTTATTGACCTATCGCGGTAGAATTGCGTTAGAATCGCGTCAACACAGCTTGTGAAATATTGTACAATTATATGATAATACAAATGGACGCGGAACGTGGAACATCTGAGCCAAACAAAACTTAGCATGCAAAAAGGTTCACAAGGTTGTCTAAGGGGCGTGGCCAACTCGCAAACGGCGATATAGGTCAATCATGGAGGAAGGATCTCCTTCCTCCATGGGTCAATTTTGTGCCATTGAAGGGCGCACTATGCACTATCCACTATCGATCACTAGCGCCTTGGGCCAAGACTAATCATCAGCGGCTCTTCGTGTGCTGCATAATTCATTACCAGTGACGCAATTATCTGCATAAATTATCTGTGACCCAAGCATAAATTATCATAAGTTAAGTTATATTGGGTTGTGATACTGCTGCTGTTTTACCGACCTACTTGGAAGTCGCCACGTAATGCTAACGCACGCAATCCATTAGTGCTTGATCAGTAAAATCACCGGGTTCGACTTGTTTATTCGACTGCAAAATAGACTAAGTAATTCTCCTTTTTTTTCAGAAGGAAGGACGGCCAGCAGCAACATGGCCCAAAGTGACATTGGTGATTGGTACCGTGGAATCCCCCAGATCACGCGGGGATGGTTTACCGGGTCTGTGGTCATTCCGTTGGCCGCGAAATTCGGTCTTCTCAACCCCATGTGGTTGATTCTGACCTTCCAGCAAGTGGTTTATAGATTTCAGGTAAACTAAAAGAAACTTGGTTAAACTTAAATATGTTAAATTAAAGTTAATGCCACTAAGAAAATAAATAAAACAATAACTGTTCAATTTTGTTTGGGCATGTTATTTATGACCCAAACGATTAGGCCCCTAGGCCAAAATGTTATGTGAAAATCAAGATTAAAATTTTGTCCTGGGTTTTAACATTATTGTTTGATTTTCATATTATTGGTTATACATTTACGATCACCTTTTCCGCCCGATAACCTCAATGTTGGTCAGTCGTTGCATATATAGGCTTATAGGCCTATATTTTGAAAAAATAAATATAAAAAATAATTCTCAGTTCTGAACTTCAGTGGCATCTGAATTCAACGTTCATGTTTAATTTTTTTTCCATGTTGTGCTGTTGGTCGATACTGCAGTTGCAATCTTTTCTTTATTGTCTGTGTACCTTTCCCAATTCTTGCTTGATTTCTCATCCTAATCCTGCCTTTGGTTTCCAGATCTGGCGCCCCGTTACTGCCCTCTTTTACTACCCTATCACCCCGATGACTGGTTTCCACTACCTCATACAGCTCTATTTCTTGTACAACTACTCGCGTAGATTAGAGACCGGTGAGTGTTGCATGATGGGATAGTCGCTGTCTACTGTCCTCGGCAAAACGGTGGTCTTTTTGCCTTCTCTGTTTTGCTTTGTCATTGGGCTCGGAGTAAAACACACTGTTGGTCCAGCTGAAGTTCTGCGCTTGGCAAATTCATATTTTATGATGTGAATTGTCAGACAAAATGTGTCAGATCCAACCATTCAGCCGAGTTCAGTAGACATGGTAGACATGAATATTCCGTGAAATGCAGTCAAGCATGCAACAAAATAAGTTTCTGAGACCCTTGATCAAAAGCATGATGGACTGCAATTCATGTTACGACAGTCGTAGGCCCATAAATGTGGCCAATTTACTGGTCTACCCCCGTAAACAATTAAGGCCACACTTGGAAAATGCACCATAGAATGTAGAACTTTGTCAAATTTTGATTTTCACATTTAGTTTGTAGTTTATTTACGCTTAAGAAGCATACTCACACTCTTTACAGTGATAGAAAAGTAGTCCTGCATTTTTCAGACGTCTATTTTTTGTGTAATTTGATGTTGGAATTTAGATACGCAAACGTGTGCAAACAAACCTACAAATTACACAACAAATAGACGTCTGAAAAATGCATGACCACTTTTCTATGAATATAAAGAGGGCGAGTATGCTTCTAAAGCATAAATATACTACAAATATAGTCCAAATGCAAAAATCAAAAAATTCAACAAAGTTCTACATTTTCGGGTGCATGTTCCAAGTGTGACCTTTATTAACGGAGGTAGTCCAGTAAATTGGCCACATTTATGGGGCTACGACAGTGGCTGCAACATGTCTTCAAACTGGCTTTTTGCTTTGGTCTCCCAGCAAGCCCTTCCTAATCCCCGCCCCCAAAGGAGCAAATGATATCACATTTCAAGATGTTTTATTCCATCCCGATTGCTGGCCTGGACTCATAGCTGTGGAGGCCTGTGACAGCATTGTTCTACGCTCCGTTGTCACCACGGACGGGGTTCCATTATTTAATTACCCTGTACTTCATGTACAATTACTCCGTCCGACTTGAGACAGGTACAGCTCATTTGTTCTCTGAAGTCTTTCCCAATCCCCCCCCCCCCCCACCCCTCACCCCTTCCAAAATAGTTAGAATTTCTTATTAGTTCCAGACATTGGTTTGAAGTCTAGAATCGTTAAATAAAGAAATGATGGATTGATAATTGTGATTCAGATTATATAATTTTTTCTTTTGTTCTTGACAAGATTGTTAACAAACTCATTAGGAATGCTGAAATTCATAGTTTCTCTTGTTCACAGGTGTATTTGATGGCAGGCCTGCGGATTATTTGTTCATGCTGATATTCAACTGGATTTGCCTTGTTGTATCCTTTTAAAAATTAAACAGTCATAATTAGGCAGACGGAGTGAAATTTATTACAAAAGGAAATTGCAGTTAAGTTCTGTGTATCTTTTTGAGAAGGGGCAGTGCCTTTATAATTCATTAACCCTTTACTATTTAAACAGTCACAGACAGTCAAAATGTCCATCCACTTCCCCTGCTATACTTTTAACACCTTCAGTCAGATCACATGTCAAGCAAGCACTGTGACTAGTCAAACTCAGTCAACAGACCATGAACAGACAAAGCAGGCAAGTTGTGGGCACAGCTGGCTTATCAATCACCCACAGACAAAGCAAAGATGTATCAAGTATAAACAGTCACAGCCAGTCAATCCTGCTTTATGTAGGCTGGGAATTCAATAACTGTTGAAAACAGTCACTTGATTGATTTTGACTGAAAGGACAACTTGGCATAGAATGTATGTTTGCAAAGGAGGGTTACAAATGTTATATTTTGTATTTGAATGCAAAGGGTTTTAGGAGTTTTCTCATTTTATTGGGGGGGGGGGGAGAGGTTGAAATCACATGGAAAGGGTTTTGGGTTTGGGAAAATTGTGATTTATTTTCAACAATTATTTCTGTTCTTAACCCTGCTGTCATTCAGATAATTGGTTTTATCGCACCACTGATGGTAAGAGTTTAAATTGAATTAATATCACAGTTTCTCCCTTTGTAGTCATTTATCATAACATTGGCTCCCCCCCCCCCCCAAAAAAAGCTTAACAAAAAAAAGTTACTTTGTGACAAATTTCTGAAAAGTTTTTGTCTCACACCAAACTCCTCAAAAAACAAAACCATTAGTTACAGGATTCTACAATCGTGTTCCTTCTGGTGCACAGAGACATTTTTTTACCAAATCTTGGGGATTTTCGTCAATTTTTACCAATTTCTCACATACCTTTTGGCATCGTCTTTTCTCCTTGTAGCTACTGATGGATCCCATGGTATTGAGCGTTCTGTATGTTTGGTGTCAATTGAATCGTGACGCCATCGTACAGTTCTGGTTTGGCACACAGTTCAAGGCCATGTACCTACCCTGGGTCCTGGTTGCATTCAACATGATCATCAGAGGGGCGTAAGTCGGCAGAAACTTGTAGTTTGATATTCTCTGTTCTCTATTTTAACTTGAAGATCATCTAAATTTAGTCTTGGAAAATTTGTAGAATTGAGAAAAGGCGGTTTGTTTTCCAACTTTTGTTGAATTTCTAAAATCCATATGTAAAAAAAAAATGTACTGTTAAGCAGGGGTGTGAAATCTCAGCTTTAAAGCTGATTTCAGCTCTCTTTTTTTCCCCTCACTTTCTGTGTACAAAAGTATAGGAGATTTCCAAAGTTCAGCTTTTTTACACCTTTGTCAGCTGCTATTTTAATCAGTGGTCACTCACACCCCTGGTTAAATGAGGAGTCTTTCTTTGTTAAAAAATGTTTTAGGGTACATTTTTTTTTTCTCTAAATGCACGTTGAAGGCAAGCATAGTTATTGAAAGTTTACAGATTTCATTGTTCCAAGTTTCGTTTCATAACTATCCCGTCTTTTGCCAAACGTAGTATCTTCATGTTCGTTTTTCTTTGCGTTGCTTTTCAGTGGACTTTCAGAGCTACTTGGCATTATAGTCGGCCATCTGTACTTCTTTCTGATGTTCAAGTATCCCCAAGACTTTGGTGGTCGTGCCTTCCTCAGAACACCAGAAATTCTGTGAGTACCGTCTCTAAAACCTAACTTTCCCAGATCCTTCAAGACTAACTAGGTTTAATAGGATTTTGTAGGATTGAGGAAGATAGATTCCAGCCATTTGAATTGTGACGTAACGGCCCTTGAAAGTATGAGCCATTCACTTCTTGCAGTGAATGTGGATTTTGGAGGATTCAGGAAGTTTCATACCAGAAATGCCAGGCTAATATCTCAGGATTAAACAAATTTTGTTTTTACCCTCCTCGTGCGAAGTCAATATTCACAGCAATATATAAAACCCTGCAGGTCAGGTTTCAGGTGAAGGGATATGAAGTGTTAAAGTAACTGTGTCACACAGAGAGTCACTGCACACACAAACAGCACTGTGGAGAGCAGTGAAGCATGACTGAATCTGCCTGCTTGCCCTGAGCTTAACCACACAAAAGAACTGCGCAGGGATTATCAACACTCAACAGAAGATTACCTCAAAGGAATTTGAAACGTGGGCGCTAACTCTATGGGCAAAACTGGTTTTGCAAAACTTGAAGGGTTGTGAAGTGCAGAAGACTAGCTAGGAGGGTTAGCTATTAACCCTAACAGCCCATAACCAATCAAACTCCAACAGTAGGTTAGTGTTTAAATCTGTTGGGATAGGTACAGTACCCCTAAACAGATGGTCTTTTACACTGGGGTTGGCATACCTCCAGAAACTAAGTCCAACAGTGCGTGTGTACAATTTCCCATGTGGGTGTTGGAATTTGCCTGAATGGGTATGGCTCCTAGTAAATTAGGCTGGGGAGTTTGGGTTAAAGAACCAGAAAGCCTCATTTTAGAAAATTATTATACTCAGCGAATCAGTCAGTCAATAACTCGAGAACAAAAATTTACGACACTGTTGAAAACTTTTACCTTTTTTAAAACCAGGTACAAGTATTTCCCCAATCGGCAAGGTGGAGTGAGTGGTTTTGGCATGGCGCCAGCTAGCCGGCGCCCTCGTGAGGAGAACCACGACCAGCCTGCCGGAATGCGTTATCGATGGGGACAAGGGCAGCAGTTAGGGGGACAGTAACCGACACAGCCATGAGATGTTTGCGAAATCTTGCGTTCGCCTTCGGCTTCAGGAGACTTTAGGCCCCTAAGTAGGGGAACTCTAGCTTAATTTAGGGCCAAGTTTTGGGAACGTCAGATCCTGTAGTATGAGACCATTCATGGAACAGGCAATAAACTGATGGTCCGTTATGTTACTAATGAATTATTCTGGCTATTAGCAACCCAACATGCAAATTTACATGTTTTTGTAAAATACAATGTATTGCTCTCATCAATTGTTCAGCCTTTGTGCGTATATATGTAAATATTTCAGTGTCCAAAAAAATACACTGGCACATTATTATGATCACTATTTAATTCATTTTTCAGTTTTGTTATGGATTTTTGTCTGAGGGGAAAAACTGTAAAAATACTTTTAAAACATGGATGTAAATCTTTGTAGAAGTTGTAACATTTCAAATCAAATGTTAACCTCAGTTAATTGCATACCTGGGCCGAATTTCACGGCGCTGCTAAGCAAAAAAATTTGCTAAGCAAAAAATTTGCTTAGCACAAAAAAGACATGGCTTATAAAAACAGTGTACCAGCCAAAACACATTATTTTCATGCTGTAGCAAACAACAGCTCAATACTAATCCAGAGCAATAAACATCACATGGAGTTTTGGCCGGTAACCTGAAATTATAAGCCAGACTTTCTTTTTGCTAAGCAAATTTTTGTGCTTAGTAGCGCAGTGAAATTTAACCATTGTCATGTGTCAGGTGAAGAAAAGTTGAATTGTTCAAAAACTTTTTGTGATTCTATTACTTGCTGTTATAAACAACCATTTTTTTCCTTATCTGAGATCAGTGTGTAAGCACCTACTAAATATACGGATGGATCTTCAGTTCTTTAACATTTTTTTTGGGGGGGGGGGTATTTTATTGGTTTTGGATTGAATAATAAAATTACTTTCTGTGTAAATAAGTTTACTGAAAATATCTTGAAGAAACGTCTGCTCTCTTTATATTTCCATTTTTAATGACATTAAACCCATGCGTTACAGACCTTTAAAGGAATATCGATCTTCTTATAATCTTATGCACGATTGCAAACATGAGGTAAAATGCAGATTGACTTAAATTGAGCAAAGCATAGCTGTCATACAACTAGTGTGTAATTAAATCAATACTTTCTAATGACGAGCAATTATGTTTGCTTTGATTTATTCCTTTATTGCTTTTCATCCTGTTTATGAATTTCTAAAAGCTAAGAAATCTGCGTTCGTCACATGCTTACTTTCCGAGAGGGAATTACAATGAATACCATTACGCTTCATAACTATCACTACAGAACTTGATAAAGAAATTATTTAATAAAAAGCTTTTGCACAGTCTCAGTGGTTTAATATTGGTGCTCCTTAATATCACTAGCAAAATATTTAATAGTATAAACTTCCTCATCTGAATAATATGTGAATAATGTAGGGTGGGATCAAACCGGGAGGGCCAAGATAGGCACAAAGCAAAATACAGATTTTTTTTTAAATTTGTCTTAAATTAAAAGAAATGGCCATAAAAATATTAACCAATTTTAACAAAAATCTCATTGATAGCATTTTGGCATTACTTCGCTACTAACACATTGGCACTGTAAATGTTAACTTGTGAAAATGTTCTGATTGACTCGGTCACATGAACTTTAAAAACATCGACTGAAACAAAGAATTGCATCCAGTGGTACAATATAACATGTAAACACTGATGGCAAATCAATTAATTACTAAAATAAATTTGCAGTACCAGCTCAAGTATTTTTTTTTTTTTTGCAGCATCGTATTTTAACCAATCACATCACGCATCCTAAACATGAATATTTATCACGCTGTGTGGGTGGAAGACACTTAGGTTCTCATAGTGTTTTCCCTTCAATTAATCTTATCCCAACCGACAAGTATATTTGATGAAAATGGACATGGGCCACTGTGGCAGCTCGACGAAAGCCGTTCTGTGAAAAGCAAAGTACATGCATGACTGAGTGATAGCAATGGTGTGACGTCATTGTTATATTCTCATGAATAAACATCGAACTAGCTGAATAATCATGATTCATTGGCGATGTGTGCCGCAGATAAAAACACTGCTACCAGCCCCACTAACCTTCATATATGGTTGTATCTATTCACTTTAAATCTAACAATAGATATCTAACGTACAAGATAATTAATACGTTAACTAAAACATTTTCTCTGACTAATTTAAAACCAGCCACCATTAATAAGGAGTTGTCTGAACACAAATTATTGATTAAACTGGTAAAACCACAAAACTGACAAAAGCCAAGATACCATGCACAGTGTCTGACACTCTATTTCAAACAAAATTTTGCAGGCAGTATCGAGTGCTAAAAAAAGTCTGTCGGTAGTTATTTGTTAGGTTGTGTACGTTTTTAGAGGATTTGTTTTTTTAATGGAAATTTAAAATTCTTATTATTGCTTTGTTTCAAAAATAATCTGAAAGTTAAACAACATATGCTTTAATGTCTTGGTTAAAAACGACAACTTGTCCGACCAGTTCTAACCCGTGACATAATACACTAAACCATACTTTACTCTGCCACAAATTTGGGTTCATAATTAAGGACTTGAACACAAATTTGCAACCTGCCACAACTTGTGAACAATCAAAATGTAGCTACAACACACAGTGTGCATATTTACTTCTGGAGTTGGCAATCTGATTTCTGTCAATAAGTGATAAACCAGCAAATCATAAAACATACACTTATCGTAGCAACTTGGTATAAAAACACCTCTCTAATATAACTACCAAATATATATATTTTTTATTAAGCAGTCACCATTTGAAATTTATGCGAGAAGCAATTTTTAAAAACATCTTAAAGAAAAGCTTTTATAGATTGTCATTATTTTAAAAATAAACAAATGACGCTCCGTTTCAGAGCCTCGTCCTAGTGAACGATGGGGACTTCGTCATAACGGAGTTTCGGATTGGTGAGGCGGGGAGCCAGGCGACAGAACATCGCAGCTAGGATAATAGCGAAGGTTGCCAGGACACCGGCTACCGATACCATGATCCAGGTCATCGTGGAATGTATGGGGGAACGGTCTTGGAGATCACGGATGTTATCCCGACTCCTTCCTGCAATCATTGAATTGGGTATAAATTAAGGGGCTTGAAATTCTTGTGCAGAAAATTTTGCATGCGACAGAAAATGCCAGCGAGTAAGTCTTGGCAACGGTTCAGCTAGTGACTGGTTTCTCAGTTGCTATCTATTTCATTATTACTTAGCAGGTCCGTAAAATTGGGCCGAGGAAGTATTTCAAATGAGGGATTATCAAAACCTGATCGTCCAGAAGCACTGTTGTTTTATGGGAGAGGATGTAAGTTCCCTAAAAAGATCAAAACATTTCCTGTAATCTCATTTTCTGATCACGCCAGACCAGCCACTTTGTATGTCCTTCAGATATAGTGTGTTTTATAAACCTATTACAATAAAAATTAGAAATGAACATGCTCTTGTACAGTGACAGTCACTCTCAATTCGGGCGAATCACAATGCAGTGCGCCACCAAGAGTTTGCCACAGAGAGTTAATTTTTCCCAGTGCATTGTGGGAGATGGTCGACATATTCACAGCGCAGGACATTTGAAATTGTTTGTTTTCCCGGTCAGTAGTTTCGTAAACATATGATTTGAGTGTCTGTTTGCCCTTTTCTTTTCGTTTTATCAATATGGTGTTTTTTGTAAGGCGGCAGAACGCTATGCCCCAATCTATAACATATTAGCTCAAGTTGTCTACTGACACTCATTCAAATGGGCCATGTTTTGTCGACCGTAAACTTGAGAAAAAAAAATGGATTCGCCTTGGCAAATTCTTGGTGGCGCACTGCATTGTGAATCGCCCGAATTCTCCTTTGACAAACAAAGTTTTCAATTACACATGAAACTCAAATTAAGAGCTTGTGTGACAATTTGCATCAGAACGACAGAGTCGCAGTGATGGTGATTGTTGGATTAGTTTATACATACCTGTACAGTCTTGCCCCACCCATCCCGGCTGGCATTCGCACTCGTATCCTATCTCACTGGAGGGTGTCGGGTAGCAGGTCCCATTGTTGGCACAGGGATTGGGTTCACAGATACTCACTTCTGTGGTTGATTACAAAAAAGGGAAAGGAAAGATAAGACAAACTTGATTTGGGATTGTCTGACCAAGATGGCAAACAGTAACATTTATCACTATATAAGACCCCTCTCACACCAATACGTGAAGCCCGTTCGTGGCCACTTCGAAGTGTCCGTGGGTGCAAAAGTTTAAAAATCAAAGTAACCAAGAAATGGAATCGGATCTCACAGGTTGCCACTAACTAACCACAAATTAAGGACGTATCGATTCCTTCCGTGGGCCAATTCTCACGGATGCTCAAGGGATCACCCAAAAAGTTTTTGGATATGTTGAAAAACTGAAACGTGTGCACTTTGGAAATTTATTGCCAAATTAAAAATACGGCTTCAACACGGCTTATTCGAGGTACTCTCGTAGTGTTCTCGAGGTTGGGCTGAAGTTACATCGGATTTTACGGGATGGCCCCGGATTGATTGTTGGCCTGTTTTTCGGCCGTTTTCATTACGCGCAGTCCACAAGTGTCCACGAGTTGACCACGAAGTGCTCACGGACTACACGTAGTACTGTCAAGCTGGTGCCGTGGTCACCACTGACACCACGTAGTAGTCTCGAGCTGGCGCCAAAGTCACCACGGGATGCAATCGGGATGGCCACGAGATGTCGCCGGCGTGCAGTCCGTGAATTCCAGGAAACGGACATGAGCACGGGTTGGTCCCGTGGTGTTTCCGAGGTGGCCACGGATTACTCACGAAGTAAAAATGGGTACCATGAAATAAAAACGTGCTGGCATAAAAAAAATGGACAAAAAAAACCCCGGAGACTACGGATACTGTTGAAAAAATTGCATTTCCGAAGTGACCTCGCACTGGTCTTGGATTGGTGTGAGAGGGGCATTAGAGTTGACTGTCTTTTGCTGACCCCACCTTCCTCAGTGCGATGTTGCCGCCAAAAGAATGCTCACACGTGGAAAATTCTACGTTCCTTTTTCTTTTTTAGTATTGTACAAAACACTCATTACCATCAGCAGAGAGTGCAAAGTGCACACAGGAAGCCACAAAATGCCTCAGAACCGAAAAACATACTTGTGCTTTACATAAAAAACTCTACGCCTTCAGTAATTCCTTTTGGAGTGAACTGTGGTTGATATAAACTCCCCCCAGTGTCTGTGACCGAGTTTGACAGAGCTACTGTGGCCCCACCTGACCAAAATTCATGATATAACTGATCGATGAGCACTATTTGACTGACAGACAGGCATTTGCAATGACTCCGGTCAATGAAGCAACTAGAGTCTGACTTGAGTCAAAATTGTTGGCGTCTTGACTCCACCCCAACGGGTAACTGACTTGACTCGACTCGAGTCACAAAATTCAGTGACTTGTTACAACCCTGCAGACAGGATGGGTACACTGTACCCCACACTCTGACAAACTTACCCCTGATCTGACACAGTATTCCAGTGTAGCCATTAGGGCAGGCACAGTAGAAACTTGGTGGATCTGTGCTGACTTCAACTGCCAGACCCCCGTGTTCGCACGGACCATTTGCTACTGGTAAAATATGAAAAGTAGGTTGTGTTCTATTCACACAAATGTAAGAACGTCCCGTTTTTATTTCTATGGTCTCATACTTGTTTTGCCCATGGAATTAGGGTCGGTTGGGCCGCATGTAAAATAAAAATCTGGAGACAGAAAAGTTCCTGTTGCAGCCGGTTACATGGCTAAATTAAATGATGCCAAGTGTGTATTGTCTCTTGTTTTGTTTATTGCAATGCGATTATCATGGGTTGATATCACTGAACATGATAATAAAGCCGTCTTGCAAGATGTAGTTGAGTTACGTTATATCTGCACCGTGCAGCCCAATCTTTTTGCTGTTTTGTCAGCAATGATTTACAATGTAACAGTAAAGATAAACTACAGGGTGAGTAAAAAAAACGAAAACCCAAATGTCGGGACTATTGTTTTAGTGAAGTTATGCATGTAGCACTTGCAAAATCTACGATATGAAAGCCCAATTCATAAACTTTGTTGAAGTACAAGAATCATTCAAATCACTCATGTACTTTTCAAGTTATGGAATTTTAAACACAACCACCGTTTTAAGATTCTGTCCACGGATCACAAAAACAGTTCAGTGTTCTTTCAGCGAAACGAAAACAAATCTCATAGGGATGTGTGTTAATTGTTTTCGTTTTGCTGAAAGAACGTACACTTTTTTGTGATCCGTGGACAGAACTTTAAAACGGTGGTTGTGTTTAAATTTCCGTAACTTGGAAAGTACATGAGTGATTTGAATGATTCTTTTACTAAAAGAAAGCTTATGAATTGGGCTTTCATATCCTAGATTTTCAAAGTGCTACATGAAGAACTTCACTAAAACAATAGTCCCGACATTTGGTTGTTTTTTTTTACTCACCCTGTATAGACCCCTGATATGATGTTAGGCAAAAGGCCCTCGCACCATCTACAATTGCATTGGTTGCTATTATGCCATGCTTCAAGTCAAATTGGATTATTTTCAATTGCTTTTCAAATAACACACAGCCTGATTGCCTGAATTTCATATTCTTTTTGTTTTATTATCAATTTGTTTTTATTTTTTGGGTTAGTGGGGGTTCAAGACAGGGTCGCAGTAACAAAAATGACCTTTTTTTTCCCCCTTGCGTTGGGAGCCCAAAATAGGGTCACTCGGAAATGAGAACCCAAAAATTAAAAAATGCTCTTAGCATGAACGTTTGCTTCCTGTGGGTGACAACCCAAAGAGGAGCAGACTTTTCCATCAAAAACCTGTTGTCAAAGTGGCGTACCTCCCCCGCCAGTGCTACAAGAGTCAAATCTTTGTTTAGGATCAATCCTATTTCTTGTGACTTAAAAGAGGTTTTGTCTGAAATCTCATTTGATAAACAGTCGGGGTTTTTTTTGTTTACACTCAACATTTTGGATTTGAGGGATTCGATGCAGTGACAAAAAAAAGAGTGAAACCAAAACAAATATGACTATTAAACCAAACTCACCGTCACCAGAGTCCCTCCTCTTGCGAACTGGGGCTAAAATAAAATGAAAAAAATTCAAAAATTGTATTTTTGTTTATACATCATGTAACCCATCCTCTTCCCAAAGGGGAAAAAAAAGGTACAGTTGAACGAATACAGTTACTGACAAGGTTAACTTTCTGTGTATATAATCGTATTACTCATCACAGTCTTTGAGTTTGGGGTTAAATGAGTCTTGGCCCAAGTTGTAGGTGACCGATAGCGATGGTTGGCGCGCATCTGGGGTTTTTTTTTTACTTTACGGACTAATGTCTTGGGAATCTTGCATCAATGGGGACGTGGCCGTTTTATGTAAATTAGACTGTTGGTGTAAATATTAATATCGGCGGCTTCCCATTTGATACCGGTAGTCGCCCATGCAGGGCTATCACTATGCTGCGTATTTAATCGAGGGCGGATCCAAAACACAATTTGGAGGGGGGCCAAACACACTTTTGGTCCCCCAAAAAGCGGGTCTGAAAAAACATGGCATGGGGTTCAAGGTTTGGAAAAAAATTGGATTCTAGATGCTCTGTGGTGCGATCTGAGGCAATTTCTGACCACTTTAACCAATTTAATTTTTTTGTTAGGAAAAGATGGTGGTGTACGCAGTGTCTGCTTTTATTGTGACATCACTTTTAAAAAAAATGGGTTTGTTTTGGGGGCCCCTGTTGCCCCCCCCCCCCCCGGATCGGCCCTTGTATTTAATTGGGATGGTTGATCACCACACTTCTCAGTTGAGTTTCCGCATGTAGTGCATATGTTTACAACAGTCGCACGAAGACTATATACTTTCCGAAAAAGGCTTAGCGTTAAGCGCCGCCATTCATTGTTACGCGTGCGACTGACTATAAACCATTTCCCGATCACTGATTGGTTCTCTAGGAAAGCTTAGGGAGATAATTTTTTTAAATAGAAAATGGTTACTAAAGGATTCCCAAGACCTAAGTACGAGATGCGCTGGTCTAACAGGGCAAACAAATCTACTTGACAATGCATGACCCACTGTCGATCACTAGCATATTGGACCAAGACTAGGGTCAAATTTGCAGGGGGCATTTAGGAGGACTCATTTTCTTTACAGGAGACTCAATGGGTTGTTTTAATAGGATAAGAGCTCATTTGTGAGTTTTATCAAATTCTGAGAGGGAAGAGAAGGGCTTGGAAGGTGAGGGGGGGAGAAGATGTGAATGTCACTACTTACGAAGACAGAGGTATTCATCACTCGTGTAAAAGCACCTTGGGGTTGATCCAGAGCAAGGGTTACTCTCGCACGGGTTGCTTGTGCGTGCTGTTTGAATCAAAGTCAAATGAAAATTGCGGATTAACAGAAAAGGCTTTTTAGTTGGACGAGATTTCTTTCAATTGAAACCATTTACTTGAAGTGTTTCAGCAGAAGTACTCGTCTAAACAACTTTGTGGGTTAAACACTCTACTCTTTGCCAACACGAGGGGGTACTAATAGGGCTGTCCCGAATATACCGAATAATCGGTCATCAACCGAATATTCAAATAGCTCGTTGCTGGTTCGGATAAAAAAATACGCATGTACACACACAACTGTAATGTTATTTTTTTAAACGTAACGTTTAAATCTGTTGTAAAGAGCTGCGCTTTGTCAGATGCTGCGCCTTGTCAGATGCTGCGCCTTGTCAGATGCTGCGCCTTGTCAGATGCTGCGCCATGTCAGATGCTGCGCCATGCCAGATGCTGCGCCATGCCAGATGCTGCGCTATGTCAGATGCTGCGCTATGTCAGATGCTGCGCCTTGTCAGATGCTGCGCCTTGTCAGATGCCGCGCCTTGTCAGATGCCGCGCCTTGTCAGATGCCGCGCCTTGTCAGATGCTGCGCTTTGTCAGATGCTGTGCCTTGTCAGATGCTACGCTTTGTCAGATGCTGCGCTTTGTCAGATGCTGCGCTTTGTCAGATGCTGTGCCTTGTCAGATGCTGCACTTTGTCAGATGCTGCGCTTTGTCAGATGCTGCGCTTTGTCAGATGCTGTGCCTTGTCAGATGCTGCGCTTTGTCAGATGCTGCTCTTTGTCAGATGCTGCGCTTTGTCCGATGCTGCGCCTTGTCAGATGCTGTGCCTTGTCAGATGCTGCGCTTTGTCAGATGCTGCGCTATGTCAGATGCTGCGCTTTGTCAGATGCTGCGCTTTGTCAGATGCTGCGTTTTGTCAGATGCTGCGTTTTGTCAGATGCTGCACTCTGTCAGATGCTGCACTTTGTCAGATGCTGTGCCTTGTCAGATGCTGCGCTTTGTCAGATGCTGCTCTTTGTCAGATGCTGGGCTTTGTCAGATGCTGCACTTTGTTAGATGCTGCGCCTTGTCAGATGCTGCGCTTTGTCAGATGCTGCGCCTTGTCAGATGCTGCGCTTTGTCAGATGCCACTTTTTGTTGACCGTAATTTTTTTTGTGCGGATAATTGCTTATCCGTGTTTGCATTCTATACAGGTGTGTTATCAAAGCTGATTTGCCCAAAACCAAAACGCACAATCAGTATATGAGCATTTCATTTTGCTCTGCGCAAACAATGCAAACGCATGCGTGTATCTGCCGCAGACGATTTTGCGATGATGTTTTTTTACCGTCATGGTGCGCTTAAATTGTTTATGTAAAAGCTTTGCATTTAGAGTACACTTTCAAAATTCACTTCATTTTATTGTGTTATGTTCTGCAAACACGCACACGAATTCAAAATGTCTGCGCACAGGACGGCTTCGATGCGTCTCCACGCGTAAGAATGAGGAGTTAGTGCTCTGGTAATTTAATATATAGCTCTATGGTAATTACCCTACTATGGCCACATCCGAATCTGTTGTCAAGAGCTATTGCTTATAGGCCCTCGTCCATTGCAACTACATGGTGACATGCTGACAATAGACGCAAGTTGTAGCTCTGGAGGACTGTTTCGGACATGGCCTATCTTTTTTTCATTGTAATAGATTACCAACCTGTGACATTGACTGAAAATATGCAGCTGGCTTGATTGCCGGCCCGGTCAGAGAAGGTATAGGTGACTTGAGTGATGCCCAAACCGAAGCTGTCTCCTGGTCTATGGCTGCGTTCAGTATTGGTAATGCCAATGTTATCAGAACCTACAGGCTCAGTCCATGTGACTATCACACTGTCGCTGCCGGACGGCAACAGGGACTGGCGTTGAGCCGGGCAACCTGTGAAAGTCGGAGGCTGGGTGTCCACTGTTGGAGAAAAATTATTTGTTTGGCTGAGTGCAACGGTTCTAGATATTACAATAATGCCCCCCCCCCCCATCCCTCAAACACAGCACACCAGGTCACCAATTTGAGTGGTCTAGTGACGTCAAACGCAACAAGCACGAGTGTCGTTAGAGGGAGGTGTGGAGGGCTGAATATGAAAGAGCCAAAGCATTCATAGCCCAAGATATGCGACTTTCATTAGAGACATTATCGATTACTGTTTCCATTGGTAATGGTTCCAAATAACGTATGCATACACACACACAATTCTGAGGAATGGAATAGCTGATAGTAGTAACGGATAGGTAAAGGTATACATATATGTATCCTTTCACATGGGAAACCTCTCTTACAGAAAAATTAGACGAACAAAACTAGAAGCTAATTTTCAGGAGGGACCACGTGTGCGCACGCGTTCTTAAAGACAAGGCGTGCACACATTTTGATCAAAGGAGCCCGGAGCGTGTGCGTACAACCCGAGTGTGACTCATGCAAGTCTGGTGCCTCCTCAGAAAATGGGAGTCACTGAATTAGTCCATAAGTAAATCCAAAAACTATTTATAAGAAGCAACACTAAAATGCTCGCACAAAGCAAGCTCACACCAATTATGTCAGCATTGTTTACATTTTAACATGATTCTCACCATCTTAAAACCTGTCTTTGCAACTCCTACATCATGATTATTGAAACATCGACAGACTATTGCCCCGCTGCATGCCCCCCTCCCCCCCTCAAACATTATACTCACGAATGACGTTGATGGTGAGTGTGCAGGAGGCCATATTTCCAGCTCCATCTTCAGCAGTGTAGGTGATTTGGTACGTGCCAAAATCAAAGGTGCCAGTGGGCTGAGGATAATTTGGGCTGGTGGTCACTGTGGGTTGAACACCACTGTCATCCGAGACGGTGGGATTGGACCAGGTGAACGACAGGACCTGAGTGATCTCTCTGACGTAACCGGTGATGCTTGCAGGGCAGACGATGGTTGGAGGGGTCGTGTCCCCGCCTGAGACAAAGATAAAAGCGGAAAAGTTCTTATGAACTCTGTGAACACATAGCAAATGGGGCTTCGTGACCGCTCACAGTGAGGTCCGTAAGAGGCATCAATTGACACAGTTTGTGTGCGCGTGATCAATTTTGATCTAAAAATACACAAACCCATTCAAGCGGCAATGCATTAGAGTCCCTGCAACCTCTTTGTCATTGAGTGCGAGGTAAAGCAGATAGATAATAGCATATGTTAGTACTCATAGTTAAAAGTAGCCCAGGTTGGACTGCTCCGTTGTGTGCATGCGACGGAGTCCAGGGTATGAACTTCTGCCGCCATAGCGAAAAAAGTTTTGTCATATTTATCATATTCTTACCTGATATTTACATTACCTTTCGTTTACATATTCCTTGTGTCCAGAATTAAAAAGATGCTTGGTTTAGATAAAGTCAATATGTCCGTAGGCGACGTGCTTAAGATAAATTGCAGATCTGTTTTCGTCGTAAACATTTTCAGTACGAACTTCCCGTGTGAAACTTTTACCCGCGTGCATGCACGCCCCACATAGCAACTGTGTTGCGTGCATGCACTCATAAAGGCACCTTTCCATAAGCACATTTTTTATCCGTGTTGTGTCCGTTGCGTAAACATTGCATTCGCGATGCGTTCTGCGCATGTGATTTACCTATCCATATGTATACATGTATGAATTTGGTTAGCAATGTAGGAAAAAGAAAAAAAGGCAAGCTGTCAAAATCAAATGTGTCTATTGATTACGCTGTAACTTACATAAAAAAATTCAGAGTGCGTGGCGCATCAAAAAATAACCTGCATAGGGAAAGGCACCTTTAGTCTTCACACGGGAAGTTTTCACTGAGGATGTTTACAAAACAGTTTACGACGAAAGCATTGATCTGTGATCTATTTTCGGTAAACACGTCGCCCACTGATATTTTTACTTTTTTAAACAGTGCAACTTTTTACTATTCTCGACACAAGGAATATGAAACTTCAGCTTCCTCCATCAGGTAAAAATCAAAAAAAAAAATTGTAAAAGCTGGAATTGAGAACAGGTCCTAAGGAATATAAAAACGCACAAACAAAAATACCGGTGATGACACCGTCAACACTGATATATTACCTCCTGATGATGTGATGGTGACAACAAAACTGCAAATGGCCTGGTTTCCTGCCGAGTCCATGAATATGTAACGCACTGTGGTGCCACCGATCTGGAACGAAGAACCGGGGGTGTGGGATCGGGCCACTCGTACCGGTAAGTTGTCGTCGTCAGCTGCCGTTGGCTCATTCCACGTGGCTGTGCCGGTGGTGGATCCGGACGGGGCAACCCCGGAGGCAGCTGTGGGACAGCCTGTGATGACTGGGACACGAGTGTCAGCTGTGGAGTGAATCAAACGTGGAATTATGAATGGGTCCATGAAAACAGAGCCAACAACATTCGTCATATTTTGCATATAGAGGTTCATCAACAAATTATTATGCTAGGTTTTTTGTATCAAAAGATATTAATGGTATATCTGAATACTATAATAGTTTTACAAGAATTCATATTTTTGAAGTCAAATAAGACTCTTTTCTTAAATAAAAAATGTATTGGGAGTAAGAATGCAGTTTCTCATTTTGTCAATGTTCCTTTCTTCACTGGTTTCCACTTGTTTTGAAGCTCTGTGCCCTTAACAGTTTTCCACACGTAAAACAGCTTACAAAAACCATTAATTAAACTTGCTAACTAGACATCGTAACTGGAAATCGTCACGTACCTATGACGTTTACAACAAAGGCACAGCCTGCCGAATTTCCAGTCGGGTCCCTGAATGTGTACACCACATTTGTCATTCCGACGGGGAAGCTCTGGCCTGGTGAGTGGCTTGCCGTGACGCTAACTTGTCCTCCAGAGTCATCAGTTGCGCTGGGTTCAGTCCATCTCACAATTATCGTTGATGCGCCTATCGGTGATCTGGCCGTCACATCTGCCGTGGGACAACCACTGACGACTGGGGCTGTTGTATCCGTCCCTGACCCTGTTCACAAATTCACATTAAAGGTTGCTGAATGAGTTATCTTTCGTGATATAAAGCACAAAGATTATGTATTCAAAATGTGCATGATCCTGTTAACTACACGGTTGCTGAAAAACGTAAGCGATATTTCACCACCCTTCTTGATTTTGGTTTATCACGTGTTTACATATTCATTTCATTTACGTAGATCACTCAACTGTATCTACTTCTTTTGTTATTCGAATTTGACAAAGCGCCCTCTAAATTTTCATTTTGAATTCCGCGCGCTTTGGGCGTCATTCTGTTCTTGGATGAAGATGACTCAGTACATATTTCTACTCTTCTCCATTTTACAGGTATGACCAATTTATTTTGTTTTCTCCTTTAAAAGTTTTCTTGTAATCCTATTTGACAATACCATACGTTTAGCTACATTTCCTTTCATCAGTATTCTGTATTTTGTAGTATTTTGATGTTATGCCGAGATGATTTAGCATTTAACTAAGTGTGTAAATAATAACTTGCTACCTGTTTCGTTATTTAATTATAGTATTTGTGTATATAGTTAGTAATCAACTTAATGATTCTGTTCTTGGATGAAGATGACTCAGTACACATATTTTCTACTCTTCTCCAATTCACAGACTCAACGAATAAATCAGCAAAAAGTTAGAAGCAGTTTCTCCGTCCCATTTTTTGTGGCCTAGATTACAAGAAAGGTCACGTACATTTTAAAAAAGAAAAAATTTGTCTGCGTCAAAAAAAGACAGAATAGAAAGTTCACTAAAATTGTCATCTTTTAAAAATTATGTCAGTGAGAATCTGAAGTGTTTTTATAAGTCGACGTCAAGAGCAATACTACTGATAGCCTCTAATGAAATAACCATTTTTATTTTTCTCGTTCAGGCAGTATTTGTTTGTACACTCATTCTTTTTAATGATGGTAATTTTGTGAACTCTACCACTTGCCTTAAGAAACAATGTCTGCCTGATTGAAAAGCATTAAGATTTTAACAGGTGTATTCACATTAAAATTCTTACCTCTCACAGTGACAAGAAAGACACACAATCTGTTCCCGTGTAGTGTTGAATCATATGTATAACCATGCACGCAAAACACCAATTTTCAAAGTGAAACAGCATTTGTACGTTAATCCAATTGAAAAAAGAAAGTTACCTTGAACATTGACAACAAAGACACACATGGCCTGATTGCCAGTTGGATCCCTGAATGTGTACTGAACCATTGTCTGTCCAATGGGGAAACTCTGGCCTGGTGAGTGGCTTGATGTACGTGTTGGTACTGCCCCGGAATCATCGGTAGCTGTAGGTTCGGTCCAAGACGCTGTTGCTGTTGTTGCACCAGAAGGAGCTGTTACAGACACACCCGATGGACAACCACTGACTGTCGGTGCAGTCATATCACCTCCACTACCATCTGTTCCAAGATTTTAGTTACAAATAAAAGATGTAAAATTAGTGAAATGAGGCTCACTCTGGTGGTTAAGAAGGAAATGGTTAGCTCAAAAATCACCAGAAGTGCAAGAAAAGTTCATCTTTCTTCCCCTTACCTGTGACCGTGATACTGAATTGACATGTGGCAATGTTGACTCGGGCATCCCAGAATGTGTAGGTTACTCGGGAGACTGTGTTAGCATTAAATCTTTGCCCGGGATTATGAGTACTGGCTACATTTGGCTGAGCTCCACTGTTGTCTGTTGCTGTTGGTGGTGTCCAAGTTACAGTGGCAAAGGTTTGACCAGCATCCGGGTTGACAGTTATATCGGCTGGGCAACCACTGATGACAGGAGGTGTCATATCTACACCGCCCACTGCAAACCAAAACCAACCAAAACCAAATATGACGTTCTGTAAGCCTAAACACGGATGTAGTTTAAACTTTACACAGAGCCGTATGGCAACTTGAGATACACCATATGCAATGATCGTCATTACAAAGAAGACCCAGAAGAGTTAACTCAATATATTGGTCAGTGTTTTGCCAACACTCTAAACAGGGGATCATTAAACACTGTGGATATTTGTTCAAATTAACTGTTTTCAGAAAAGGTAATGTTTCTGGACTTTGTTGCCACTGTCTGAAGTTTTGGTATGGTGTTTCGTTTCTCTAAATAGTTTTATCAGTGATTGCTACATTTTCTTGTATCATCCCTAAGTGATCTTTTATCTAACGGCCTAACAAACATACCTTGGACGGTGACAATGAAGGAACAGGTTGCCATATTCTGAGAAGGATCCCTGAATGTGTATATCACATTTGTCGTTCCGACGTTGAAGCTCTGGCCCGGCGAGTGGCTTGATGTACGTGTCGGTTCTGCTCCGGAATTGTCTGTTGCTGTAGGCTCAGTCCAAGACACTGTTGCTGAAGTAACACCAGTTGGGACAGATATAGACACACCCGATGGACATCCACTGATCACTGGGGCGGTGGTGTCTCCAGTGCCTCCTACATTCAAAGCAAAAGCCAAAATGAAGATCGTTTAACTTCAACAGTAACACTGCAAGATGCACAATTTGAGAAGAAATAGAAAGCATGCACTGCCTAACTGTTCCATATCTTAATACCGTTATATCTTCTTAGTGGAAACTTTTTCAGCCTTTCCCTGTTTTGTGATAATCTGTTTCTGTATAGTGCTGAATCACAAGTATAACCATGCGCGCAGGAAACAAATTTCCAAAGTGAAACAGCATTTGTACATTAATCCAATTGAAAAAAGAAAAACTCACCTTGAACATTGACAACAAAGACACACATGGCCTGATTGCCAGATGGATCCCTGAATGTGTATTCAACCATTGTCTGTCCAATGGGGAAACTCTGGCCTGGCGAGTGGCTTGATGTACGTGTTGGTACTGCCCCGGAATCATCGGTAGCTGTAGGTTCGGTCCAAGACGCTGTTGCTGTTGTTGCACCAGAAGGAGCTGTTACAGACACACCCGATGGACAACCACTGACTGTCGGTGCAGTCATATCACCTCCACTACCATCTGTTCCAAGATTTTAGTTACAAATAAAAGATGTAAAATTAGTGAAATGAGGCTCACTCAGGTGGTTAAGAAGGAAATGGTTAGCTCAAAAATCACCAGAAGTGCAAGAAAAGTTCATCTTTCTTCCCCTTACCTGTGACCGTGATACTGAATTGACATGTGGCAATGTTGACTCGGGCATCCCAGAATGTGTAGGTTACTTGGGAGACTGTGTTAGCATTAAATCTTTGCCCGGGATTATGAGTACTGGCTACATTTGGCTGAGCTCCACTGTTGTCTGTTGCTGTTGGTGGTGTCCAAGTTACAGTGGCAAAGGTTTGACCAGCATCCGGGTTGACAGTTATATCGGCTGGGCAACCACTGATGACAGGAGGTGTCATATCTACACCGCCCACTGCAAACCAAAACCAACCAAAACCAATTATGACGTTCTGTAAGCCTAAACACGGATGTAGTTTAAACTTTACACAGAGCCGTATGGCAACTTGAGATACACCATATGCAATGATCGTCATTACAAAGAAGACCCAGAAGAGTTAACTCAATATATTGGTCAGTGTTTTGCCAACACTCTAAACAGGGGATCATTAAACACTGTGGATATTTGTTCAAATTAACTGTTTTCAGAAAAGGTAATGTTTCTGGACTTTGTTGCCACTGTCTGAAGTTTTGGTATGGTGTTTCGTTTCTCTAAATAGTTTTATCAGTGATTGCTACATTTTCTTGTATCATCCCTAAGTGATCTTTTATCTAACGGCCTAACAAACATACCTTGGACGGTGACAATGAAGGAACAGGTTGCCATATTCTGAGAAGGATCCCTGAATGTGTATATCACATTTGTCATTCCGACGTTGAAGCTCTGGCCCGGCGAGTGGCTTGATGTACGTGTCGGTTCTACTCCGGAATTGTCTGTTGCTGTAGGCTCAGTCCAAGACACTGTTGCTGAAGTAACACCAGTTGGGACAGATATAGACACACCCGATGGACATCCACTGATCACTGGGGCGGTGGTGTCTCCAGTGCCTCCTACATTCAAAGCAAAAGCCAAAATGAAGATCGTTTAACTTCAACAGTAACACTGCAAGATGCACAATTTGACAAGAAATAGAAAGCATGCACTGCCTAACTGTTCCATATCTTAATACCGTTATATCTTCTTAGTGGAAACTTTTCCAGCCTTTCCCTGTTTTGTGATAATCTGTTTCTGTATAGTGCTGAATCATAAGTATAACCATGCGCGCAGGAAACAAATTTCCAAAGTAAAACAGCATTTGTACGTTAATCCAATTGAAAAAAGAAAGTTACCTTGAACATTGACAACAAAGACACACATGGCCTGATTGCCAGATGGATCCCTGAATGTGTATTCAACCATTGTCTGTCCAAGGGGGAAACTCTGGCCTGGCGAGTGGCTTGATGTACGTGTTGGTACTGCCCCGGAATCATCGGTAGCTGTAGGTTCGGTCCAAGACGCTGTTGCTGTTGTTGCACCAGAAGGAGCTGTTACAGACACACCCGATGGACAACCACTGACTGTCGGTGCAGTCATATCACCTCCACTACCGTCTGTTCCAAGATTTTAGTTACAAATAAAAGATGTAAAATTAGTGAAATGAGGCTCACTCAGGTGGTTAAGAAGGAAATGGTTAGCTCAAAAATCACCAGAAGTGCAAGAAAAGTTCATCTTTCTTCCCCTTACCTGTGACCGTGATACTGAATTGACATGTGGCAATGTTGACTCGGGCATCCCAGAATGTGTAGGTTACTCGGGAGACTGTGTTAGCATTAAATCTTTGCCCGGGATTATGAGTACTGGCTACATTTGGCTGAGCTCCACTGTTGTCTGTTGCTGTTGGTGGTGTCCAAGTTACAGTGGCAAAGGTTTGACCAGCATCCGGGTTGACAGTTATATCGGCTGGGCAACCACTGATGACAGGAGGTGTCATATCTACACCGCCCACTGCAAACCAAAACCAACCAAAACCAAATATGACGTTCTGTAAGCTTAAACACGGATGTAGTTTAAACTTTACACAGAGCCGTATGGCAACTTGAGATACACCATATGCAATGACCGTCATTACAAAGAAGACCCAGAAGAGTTAACTCAATATATTGGTCAGTGTTTTGCCAACACTCTAAACAGGGGATCATTAAACACTGTGGATATTTGTTCAAATTAACTGTTTTCAGAAAAGGTAATGTTTCTGGACTTTGTTGCCACTGTCTGAAGTTTTGGTATGGTGTTTCGTTTCTCTAAATAGTTTTATCAGTGATTGCTACATTTTCTTGTATCATCCCTAAGTGATCTTTTATCTAACGGCCTAACAAACATACCTTGGACGGTGACAATGAAGGAACAGGTTGCCATATTCTGAGAAGGATCCCTGAATGTGTATATCACATTTGTCATTCCGACGTTGAAGCTCTGGCCCGGCGAGTGGCTTGATGTACGTGTCGGTTCTGCTCCGGAATTGTCTGTTGCTGTAGGCTCAGTCCAAGACACTGTTGCTGAAGTAACACCAGTTGGGACAGATATAGACACACCCGATGGACATCCACTGATCACTGGGGCGGTGGTGTCTCCAGTGCCTCCTACATTCAAAGCAAAAGCCAAAATGAAGATCGTTTAACTTCAACAGTAACACTGCAAGATGCACAATTTGACAAGAAATAGAAAGCATGCACTGCCTAACTGTTCCATATCTTAATACCGTTATATCTTCTTAGTGGAAACTTTTCCAGCCTTTCCCTGTTTTGTGATAATCTGTTTCTGTATAGTGCTGAATCATAAGTATAACCATGCGCGCAGGAAACAAATTTCCAAAGTAAAACAGCATTTGTACGTTAATCCAATTGAAAAAAGAAAGTTACCTTGAACATTGACAACAAAGACACACATGGCCTGATTGCCAGATGGATCCCTGAATGTGTATTCAACCATTGTCTGTCCAAGGGGGAAACTCTGGCCTGGCGAGTGGCTTGATGTACGTGTTGGTACTGCCCCGGAATCATCGGTAGCTGTAGGTTCGGTCCAAGACGCTGTTGCTGTTGTTGCACCAGAAGGAGCTGTTACAGACACACCCGATGGACAACCACTGACTGTCGGTGCAGTCATATCACCTCCACTACCGTCTGTTCCAAGATTTTAGTTACAAATAAAAGATGTAAAATTAGTGAAATGAGGCTCACTCAGGTGGTTAAGAAGGAAATGGTTAGCTCAAAAATCACCAGAAGTGCAAGAAAAGTTCATCTTTCTTCCCCTTACCTGTGACCGTGATACTGAATTGACATGTGGCAATGTTGACTCGGGCATCCCAGAATGTGTAGGTTACTCGGGAGACTGTGTTAGCATTAAATCTTTGCCCGGGATTATGAGTACTGGCTACATTTGGCTGAGCTCCACTGTTGTCTGTTGCTGTTGGTGGTGTCCAAGTTACAGTGGCAAAGGTTTGACCAGCATCCGGGTTGACAGTTATATCGGCTGGGCAACCACTGATGACAGGAGCTGTCATATCTACACCGCCCACTGCAAACCAAAACCAACCAAAACCAATAATGATGTTCTGTAAGCCTAAACACGGATGTAGTTTAAACTTTACACAGAGCCGTATGGCAACTTGAGATACACCATATGCAATGACCGTCATTACAAAGAAGACCCAGAAGAGTTAACTCAATATATAGGTCAGTGTTTTGCCAACACTCTAAACAGGGGATCATTAAACACTGTGGATATTTGTTCAAATTAACTGTTTTCAGAAAAGGTAATGTTTCTGGACTTTGTTGCCACTGTCTGAAGTTTTGGTATGGTGTTTCGTTTCTCTAAATAGTTTTATCAGTGATTGCTACATTTTCTTGTATCATCCCTAAGTGATCTTTTATCTAACGGCCTAACAAACATACCTTGGACGGTGACAATGAAGGAACAGGTTGCCATATTCTGAGAAGGATCCCTGAATGTGTATATCACATTTGTCGTTCCGACGTTGAAGCTCTGGCCCGGCGAGTGGCTTGATGTACGTGTCGGTTCTGCTCCGGAATTGTCTGTTGCTGTAGGCTCAGTCCAAGACACTGTTGCTGAAGTAACACCAGTTGGGACAGATATAGACACACCCGATGGACATCCACTGATCACTGGGGCGGTGGTGTCTCCAGTGCCTCCTACATTCAAAGCAAAAGCCCAAATGAAGATCGTTTAACTTCAACAGTAACACTGCAAGATGCACAATTTGAGAAGAAATAGAAAGCATGCACTGCCTAACTGTTCCATATCTTAAAACAGTTATATCGTCTTAGTGGAAACTTTACCAGCCTTTCCCTGTTTTGTGATAATCTGTTTCTGTATAGTGCTGAATCACAAGTATAACCATGCGCGCAGGAAACAAATTTCCAAAGTGAAACAGCATTTGTACATTAATCCAATTGAAAAAAGAAAAACTTATCTGCTGGTCGGCCGTCCAGCGTTGGGAAAAAAAATTACGCCAGTTACTTTTTGGATAGCTGCAAATGATGGACTATAGCTTTAATATGGGCTCTGTGCCCAAGTATCCCCTCAGCGGTAAGAAAGGGAGAGTTGGGGGAGACCACTCGGAGAGACATTCGAACGCGTTGCCGAAGATGCATGAGGCTCACGCAGAGACGCCATGGGTTTGTGCACATTCCGAATAAGATCAGTAGTGCGTACTTTGAGCTATACGCGCACGCAATGTGTCCCGCCTAACGGGCTCTTGAAAGTGGTGAAAAAGCGCCCTCTCTTGTTTGCACACGGAGCCCATTTTCGTCTTACTTTTTTTCCAGCATTCTACTTCAAAAACGGTATGCCAAGGTTGGACTGATTGAATAGCATACATATTTCAGCCAGTAAATTCACTTGAAGAGTCTTACCTACAACGGTGACAATAAAGTTACAGAAGGCCTGGTTGCCAGACGGGTCTGTGAATGTGTACCCAACGTTTGTCACTCCACTGGTGAAGCTCTGGCCTGGTGTGTGGCTTCCTGTCCGTGTTGGTTCCGCTCCAGAATTGTCTGTTGCGGTAGGTTCGGTCCAGGACACAGTTACAGAGGGCGAACCACTTGGGAGATTTACAGTCCGATCTGTTGGACATCCACTGATCACAGGTATTGTGTTGTCTATGGTTCCTGTTCCAAAAAAAAACAAAGACGAAGAATTTATTACTATAAAACAGGCACATGCTAGGTATTTTCAAAAGTCAAGTGCGTACATTAATTGGAAATTAATTAATTGGAAATTAATTGCCACTTTTGATGTTTGTGACTGTATATTTATTGGTTGTAAAGTGAACTTAAAACATTTTTTTTCTTATTTGACCAAAAAGTATTCGTCTTTTTTAAAATTATTATTTCCCCCTCCCCTGTGACCCAACACTTGACTGGAATTTGGGCGTTGAGTTTTTGTGATAAATTAAATCTGAAGATTGTTTGCTCAATTACAGCCTACACAGAGGTTATGTAGTACATGTTTTCACAAGACTCTTTGTAACTTATTGATAATGCCTACAAAATAGGGTTATGGTCAGTTGGGCAGTGTTACCATGTTTAAACTTCAATGCTAAACACTCCTTAATGTGAAAAGTTGTATCCTCTCTGAATGATCCCCATTTTCTATTGTCCAGGTTTGCATCAATCTGGACTTTGGGCCTGAGCCCTGGCTGCCGGCGGCGTGTAAGGGTTTACAGCTTCTGACTTGTGCTCTTGAACCATAGCGCTACATCAAATTACTAGAGCGCTAACTCCTCATTCTTACACGCGATGCTACTTTGAATCCTTCCTGCGAGCAGACATTTTGAATATTGTGTGCGTGTTTGTAGAACATAATGAAATAAGATGGAGTGTATTTTGAACGTGTACTCTAAATGCGATGCGTAAGAACAGCACAAGCAAACTAAAGCATGTCATGACGGTTAAAAAGCATCACAGGAAAACTCATCCGCCGCAGATACAGCACGCGTTTGCGTTGTTTGCGCAGAGCAAAATGAAACGCTCATTTGCTGATTGTGCGTTTCGGTTTTGGGCGTATCGGCCTTGATAACAAATCGGTATAGAATACGAACGCAGCTATGCAAAGAGCCGTACCAAGCCGTACAAAATTTCGAGTTTTCATAGGTTTGTGCCCAACATGGAAGTGCCCAGCAGGCATCACTTTGTACATCGAATCAGCGCTCGAGTAATTTAATATAGCTCTATGCCTTGAACAAAGATACTGTCCTTGGGAAACTGCCAACATAGTGCTGGATAGCTCAGTTGGTAGAGTGCTGGTACTGTCATTCAGAGGTCGCAGGCTCAAATCTCATCCCAATCAACTTCTTTGTTCAACTTAAAAAAAGTGTTTTCGCATGCACCTAGTTTATAGTCTCCCTTTCTATTTTATTTGGTCGCTTTTTAACATCATCAATTCCATCCTGAAAGACTTACTTGTGACAGTGACAGTGAAGGAACAGGTTGCTACATTCTGAGACGGATCAGTAAATGTGTAAACTACATTCGTCACTCCAATGGCAAAGCTTTGGCCTGGTGATCGCGTTGATGTGCGTGTTACGACTCCTCCGGAATTGTCCACTGCCGTTGGTTCAGGCCAATTCACAACTGCTGAGGTAGCACTTGTAGGGGCCATTGCTGTCACACCCTGCACTGGACACCCACTGACTATCGGCGGAGTGTTGTCAGCACCGCCAGCTGTTGCAAAGCACAAAAACACACTCGATTGTCACTCAACAAAAGTTAGTAACAGTATGATCCTTATGAAACAAAGCTGAGTTATCTTAACCCTAACCCCCTTGGCCCTCTGGCTAGGATGCAACCGCAATCTTGCAAAATCCTCCAATTGCCACCAAGAAAAAATTGGATTCAGCCCAATCCTCCAAAATCATCCGTTATTTCTTGAATTTAGTCTGTGGAGGGTGACCACTGCGTCAATCCTCCAACATCCTCTCCCAATTACTGCTATGGTTTGAGGCAGTGCGAATGGCGTTCAGAAGCAGTGTAGATGAAATATGAGAAAAACACAGGGCTGAACATAACCAATGCAGGATATGGCCTACTGGCTTGAGGTAATGCATCCTCCACAAAAATGCGATACATCTCTGCCATTCATCCTCAATCCTTGAAATCATCCAAAACCGGCGGGATGATTTTGGAGGATTGAGGAGGTTTAAGGTTGCTTTGTTTCAAACTGTCAAATTTGAAAAACTGTCGAACTGTTAAAACATAAACATGACCGGATTGCATTTTCAGCATCTGACTTGTCCAAGTGTACTGTACATGTATTATGGAGAATTTGTGCTTAAAAAGAACGGGTTGGTTTTAGGTAGTCTGAAATCTGCCTCAATATCTCATTCAAATGGAGTCAGAAAATGGGTTAATGTGATATCGTCTCAATGGCCTGTATCACAGGGTCAAATTGGCTTGAATAATAACACGCACACAAAACAGCACTTGATTAGTAGGGTAGGGTGAACCACAAAGTGAAGAATAGGATAGTTTTCATGCACCACAAAGTGAGAGACAATGCTTAGCCTTTGTACACTCCATATCACTGTTATGTCACTTTGTGATGCAACGACTATCCACGATACATCACTTCATATTGGGACTGACCACTTGCTAACTAAACCCTCAGTCAACAGGGAGGGTAGAATCGTCACAGTGCACATAGCGACTAGTGTGATTCCAGAAGCTTAGGGGGCATTGCCTATTCCAATAAGTATGTTTGAGGTAAGGTTTCCAGTCTACCTTCCTAGTTCACAGTGTTACATTTTGAAACATTTGTAACAAAACGTACACACCAGGGAAAGAACAGTTTTGAATAGGACAACTCCACTAGACAAAACTAAACTATTTAAACTGTATTCCTTGAAACTCTATTTGCTGAGACTTGCTTGGATGACCTGGATTACTTTTACACTTTAAAGCAGCACCTTCTATGAGATTGTAAATTATGAAAGAAAAAGGATTATTCAGAGAGACTTACATAACACAATGACATTAAAGTTACAGGTGTCACTGTTTCCAGACGGATCAGTGAATATGTACGTGACAGCCGTTGTTCCGACGGAGAACGTCTGGCCCGGTGAGCGGTTTGTTAAGCGCGTCACCACTCCTCCAGAGTTATCCACTGCCGTGGGTTGGGTCCACGTCACGACAGCCGAGGTGGCGCCGGCTGGGGCTGTCACAGTCACACCTTGCACTGGACAGCCACTGATGACGGGGGGAATGGTGTCCCCTTGTGCCACTGTAAACATCACCGGCAAGAGAAAGAAATCAATTCTTGACGTTAACGGGACAAGTAGCGCTAGCTTTTTGTTGTTGCTTTGTTATACTTTTGCTTTGACATTGACAAAATGAAAAGCCTTTTAATTAAAGCTAGATTGAACACAAAAACTTTTGGGGTCTAGATCTAGAGGCCAGTTCAAACTTCATATGAAATACATACGTGAAGGGAATTTGACGTCATGAAACCTTCACTCTGAAATTCACCTGAGTTGCAATGGCTGCTCAACTTTTGCAACTTCGCAGTGCCAATACTTGTTGTGACGTCATGAATTTACACTCAGGTTCATTTTTGTGCCAACTATGAACCAGTCTTAAGCTTTTTTTTTGCCAAAGTCACAAAAAAAGTTCAGGAAAATTATCAGGAAAAGGGTAATACTTTATTTAGTACTTAATTCATAAGAAGCAAGTAAAAATAAAGTACATTCAGCATTTGAACAGTTGAACCATGAGACTGACAAAAAAATTATGTGTTGTATATTTTGATGGCTGGCAATTTCAAAAACATACTGTCATTTTTTTAATATTTTATGAGACTTTAAGGTTTGCATGGTGGATATGAACAAAGAATGGAATGTTTGTGGTAACATCATGTGAATAATATCTCTTTTAAGTTGAGAGGAACCAGTTTTTAAACCTGACATCTTCTGATGACCAACAAACTGGTTCTTAATACAACTGGTTCTTCTCAGAACCACACAATCAAAAGAGATATTATTCACATGGTGTTACCACAAACTTTCCATTCTTTTTTCATAAATTTTAATTTAGTTTTGAGGAATACTGCCATCTCAAAATCAATTCACATAATATGTTTTTTCTTTGATTAAGGTAAAATGCCAATTCCCCAGAAGAAGAAAAAAAGGAGCAGACAGAAATTCCACCTGTGACGATGACGTCAAATGTACAGGTCGCACTATTTCTGCTGGCATCGGTGAATGTGTACGTCACCCTGGTGTTGCCCAACGGGAAAGTACTCATTGGGTTGTAATTAGACGTGCTGGTTACTTGCTGCCCAGAGTTGTCGGTGGCGGATGGCACCGTCCAAGACACTTGCACTCGAGTGGCTCCAGTTGGGAGGGTTGCCCGCACACCTTGGATTGGGCAGTTTGTGATTGTGGGTGGAATGTTGTCTGTAACGCCACCTAAACAAGGAGAGTATAAACACGCACACACAAAAATCACTAACATTTCTTGCCAGAATAAAAAGCAATGTGGGGTTTTTTTTGGATGATTTTTGTTAAGAGAGTCACCCACCACAAGGCCGTATTTAAGGGCCACTCGAGGTGAGGACTCCCAGAAAAAGGAAGCTAACAAAAAGAAATATTGACTTCAAGTATTGCCGTTACGCTTGAACTGGGACAGATTATTATTCAACGGGCAATCAGAATACAGTTTAAGGAGTTCTAGAGTGAGGTGGCGTGCGTGGGAAAAAATGGATGGATGAACCAAAGAACTGTGAAATGTAGTCTTGCATGGGATTTGTGAATATAAAGGATTCACATAAGAGACAGATCCAGGCTTTTGTAATGAAGGGAAAAATCTTGAGTGTATTAGTGTGAAAATTCCCTTCATTTTGAAAATGTGATGGAACTGTTTAGATTGACCTTAATTTTTATGGAAGCCGTGCCCGAGTTCCCCTTTAACAGTCACAACAAGAAAGTTAGGCATTGCCTGGATTTCACGCCAAGATGCTATGGGTTTGTACTGATTCACATGATTTTTTCATTTTCTTTCAAATTTGTTGTCTTTGAGAAAGACTCTGATAAGATCCTGAAAAAATAATTGTCAACCTGAAAAATAATTGTAACTAATTCACACGTATATGTACACACTTGAACCAGTGCAGGCATGGAGGGTCCCCCACACTGAGCTGTCACTAGTTATCATTAAAATGCCATGTCCAAAGAGAAATATTAATTTTTTTTCAACTCAATATTGGGTTCTGGCTTTCACTGATGTATATTATAAACACTGTGTATTCAGTGTAGTCCCAAGTGATTGTGAGAAACAAATCACTCGGGTGGGACTCGAACCCATGACCTCCTGCTTACTAGCGCAGACGTCTAACCACTCGACCACCGAGCTTGCCGGGATCGGCTGGCTGGTCCAAATCTGATGTAGCAGCGGGTACCGCAATGAAATTAGATGGACTTTACGTCAGGCTGATGCAAATTCAATATTCGAGTGATAAGATGTCTGCACTTTCTTAGAAAGCAGGAGGTCGTGGGTTCGAGTCCAACCTGAGTGATTTGTTTCACTTTCACTGGGGGGGGGGGGGGGGGGTAACGCGCTAAGTGTACAGTGTTTGTACATCGGTAAAGGGCTAATATTAAATTTACATCACCCCAATGAAAATTCCAGTTTTGAAAGTTTAAAGTTTTTATCAAATCGAAAAAAGAACAGGAGGTGGGGTTGGTTGGAACCTCCTTTACCCCCTCCCTCACCCTTCTAAGTCGACTACTTAAAAATATCACTAATTCCTCACTTGTGATGGTGACAAAGAACGTGCAGGTGGCGTCGTTCCCACTGGGGTCAGTAAATACGTAGCTGACTACCGTGACACCGACGCGGAAGGTGCCGCTGGGGTTTGGATGGGTAGAGTAGATCAAGTTGGCGGTGCCCGAATTGTCGGTAGCCTGGGGGGCAGTCCAGCTGACTACGGTAGCAGACCCTGTTGGGAGGTTGCGAGTGAGTGACGACGGGCAGCCGGTGATGACTGGTGGAGTGTTATCACCTATGCAAATAACACAAGAAGCGTTAGTGTGACCTGACCAGTGAAGTGAACGTCAATTGAGTTTTGCACCTTGAATTTGCAAAATGTTGAACACATTGTAACTCCGGGCAAATGTTCGCAGCAAACGTTTTAGGACGTTGATTAACATTGCAATTGTGTTCAAATGGAATACAGGGGCCAATTTCAAGGAGATGCTAATTAAGCACACAAAATTGCTTAGCACAAAAAAGTCTGGCTTAGTAAAAGCAGGTTACCAGCCAAAACTCCATGCGATTTTCATGCTAAGCAAACCACAGCTGAATACCAATCACAAGTACCCCTAAACAAATGGTCTTTTACACTGGGATTGGCATACCTCCAGAAACTAAGTCCAACAGTGTGTGTGTACAATTTCCCTTGTGGGTGTTGGAATTTGCCAGAATGGGTATGGTTCCTAGTAAATTAGGCCAGGGGGTTAGGGTTAAAAGCATTTCAACAAACTTTATCACTTGACTTAGAATTTAACACACTAGAGGTAGAGATTTTTTTCATGGTTCCATAAAAAAAAAAAAACAAGGGCAATTAATATGCATGTAAAGATTTAAATGCTAGGAAGTTACTCACCGACTAGTATCTCGCAAATGGTTCCAGCGAAGCCGCTAGCGCACTGGCAAGTGAAGTAGGTGTTGAACGATGTGCATGTGCCACCGTTGCGACAAGGTGCGCTAAGGCATGGATTACCGTCTGTCAACAACAAAAAAGAAGAACAGTTAATTTTCACTTTTCCTTTTTAAGACTTCATCCACAAATAAAGCTTTTATCTAGGACTTCCATGGGTAATCTTAAGACTGAAAAATAGTTTTAATGATCAAAACATATGTGACATAATTGAAATGTTTGGATGTTGCTATATCCATTTTGGGTTGGACTTTGAGGGCAAAAAATAGAGAATTGTACTCTAATATTCTTTTTTATATGTAATTTTGACCCCTCAGGTAATGAGATAACAACTAAAGCTGATGAGATCTATTTTATCTGCATCCTCACAAATTTGATTCCAGTATGGATGAATCCTGGCTCGTGATCACTCTGCACTGTACAGGCCCCCTTCAATGGTGCAAAGCTACTGCCCAATGACGGATTATACAATAGCTAGCACAATGCTTTCGCCATTGAAGGGGGCCTCCGTGATGGAATTGATAGCGTGCCCAGATTGGTCTATATCTATGATGACTGTTTTCAATTCAATTTCTTTGAGAGCACCGTGTATGACGTGAACACTTACATCTGGTCTCACAGTTGTGACCGATGTACCCGTCTGGGCAAGAGCAGAAGTAGTCGACATCGCCGTCAAAGCTGTGGAAAGCATTGGAGCAAGGTGCACCTGCCTCGCAAGGTGGTCGCGTTGGTAAGGCGCAGATGTTGAAATTTGGGTTTGTGCCTAAAGAATGAAGAAAATATCTATTCACTTCACTGTAAATAGATAGAGTGGCATTGCTTTCAAAGTCTTTGCAAACGATAACATTTGCAATTACCAGTTGTATACCAGGGCGGATCTGGGGGGAGGGGGGCAATGGGGCCATGCCCCACCCCCTTCCCCCAAAAAACGAACCCAAATGTTTTTGTTTTTTTAAGTGACGTCACAGTCACAATAAAGGCAGGCACTGAGTACACCACCATCTTTTCCTCAAAAACAAATTGGTTAAAGTGGTCAGAAATTGCCTTAGATCGCACTGCAGGGCATCTAAAACAAAACAAAAATCCAGGGTCCTTCTGCGGGCCCCGAACCCCACACAGTATTTTTTTTGACCCACTTTTTGGGGGACCAATTTTTTTGGCCCCCCTCCTCCCCGAAAATATTGTGTTCTGGGTCCGCCTTTGCTTGTATAACATATATTTCATTGTATGTATTTTCCTGATGATGAATCCAAAGGCATGGCAGTTTGGGGCAGTACAGAAAATAATGGGTTGTTATGGATAAATTAGGATAGGTTACAGGAGAATTCAAAGGAAATAGACAATGCTATTTCTGGTTCACATATGGTGAACTGTGTAGCCATTTCACTTGATCTTACAATCTCATAGTCAGTTTGGAAAATGTATGCATAGGAAAAAAAAAAACAATCAAAGAAAATGTCCAGGGCTATTTTTGGAGTCAGGCCATCTTTTACTCATTTTCAGTAAATGCTCATTTCGTGCACCTTGTCGATTTCATTCTAAATTACATCAACCATTTCAATGAAAATTTAAAACAAAAGACATATGCACTATAGACCAGACATGCCTCTGGTTACTGAGTGCCACAGTATCGTCCTTACTTATTTGGAAATTGCAATTGCTGCCACTGAAGCCCGAAGCGCATATGCAGGTGTACTGAACTCTGAATTGTCCCCGTGAGTTACTGTTGTAGCTGTTGTAACACATTCCTCCGTTAGAACATTGTGAAGTTCCGCAGCCATCAAGCTGTGGCAGAGTAGCTGCAAACAGTACAAAGAATTGCATGTGATCATTTGACTCACAAAGTATACTTTTCTCTATATTGATTTGTTACAGTTGGTGTGTACGTGCTTTTTGGGAGTGGCACCTTGAAAAATAGATTTTCAAATTGAATTGATAATTTTCTAGCATTACATTAGTTATGAGCTTTCCAATGAGACTCTGCACGAAAAAATTGGCTGACGACAAGTAATCAATTAGTTAATTTCAACTTTTGAATTAAGAGCGGGACGCTTCTTATTCGGTTGAATAGTGTGCGCAATATCTGAACTGCAGCGCGCCATTTAAAACCAATTTTTAAAACTGTATAAAGGCCCGCAAGAAGAAACGAGCAAATTTATTTGTTACAGGACATTATATTCCATTAAATGTCTCTAAAAAGAAAATTGAAATTTTGAAAATGCACGTATATACCAACTTGAAATTGAAAACAATTTACAAAAATTAAAAATCAGCCCAATTTTGGACCAGGGTTCAGAAGCTCCATCCATACAGCAAATTGCAGCTGAAACGTTTACAAACCAGTACTGGATGAGGGGGTTTTAAGATACCTTTACCCTGTTTTCATAGGATTTTTCTAACAGGATTCTTACAGAGATTTTTGTAATAGGGCAGTGGCGTAGCCACGGAGGGGCGTGGGAGGGCGACAGCCCCCCCATGAAACCTTGTCGCCCGCCCAGTCGTCCCCCCCCCCCCCACTGAGATTTTGAGTTTCTAAAAAAATTATCATTGATCTACATGACGCCCCCCCCCCATGAAATGTTTTAGCCCCCCCCCCCCCCAGCGCCCCCCCACTGAAAAATTCCTGGCTGCGCCACTGTAATAGGGTAGCAATGTATGCCATCTGATATTCTCAAGAAAACAAGTACCAAGTGGTACAACCCAAGGCGGCCGGGTGACGTGTGAAGACAGCTTACGGACTGTCCATGCACCTGCGGACCGTACTGGTACCTCGAGAGTACAGAAAACGAATCTAACACGCAAAAATATGCAGATTAGATGCATGCTCATCAGTGTATGCAAAACCGGTCTTCGAATGCAAAGCTGAAATACTCGAGTTGCATGAATACAATATATGGCCGAGTAAAGAGACCACCAACCAACCCACCCACCAACCAACCAACCTAAGCAGCTCAAGCCCATGGCGTGCTTCACTACCGCGGTGGAAAAAAATGATCACGTTATTCTTTTTTTGGTGTTAACTTTTGCACTGATAGAAACGTTTCAGTGCAGTAGTCAATATGCTTCTCGCAATCATCTACCCGCAGACTCCTAAGCCATATTGGAATCTATTGGCTATGGCTTATAATGTCTAGGTTACAAATACAAGCTGACAAGACCTAGCCGTAGCTCTGGGCCTTAGCCTTACTCGTTGTGGACTGGCAGTTCTCTCCCAGGAAGCCGTTGAGACAGACGCAGATGTAGTGAGTGCCGTCCATGGTGAGGCAGGTTGCGCCGTTTAGACACGGGAAGCTGTTGCATGGATTGGGGTTCACTGTGACGACTGGAAAGGCAATGCAAACAAATGGAAAGAACGTCAGGCAACTCAAAAAACTTCTACGAAAAAAATATCAGAGAATTCAGTAAACATTTTTCAATGATACAAGTTCCATAAATATTCCGAATGCCCGGAGCCACATTTTCCTTTCTTGTTCCCCGGTATTCCCTTTATTTCCTGCATAAACAGAAACTTCGGCTAAAACATAATTAACAATGCGGATAAACGGAATTTTTGTTTTCTTCCAATACAGTTAACAATGTTCTCGAGCACTGAAAACTAAAACAGTATTACATGTCAGGCTTATCTAATTGGGGATGAAAAGCTATTTTTTATCTTCTAAGGAAAACTGTCAACATTTCTTGCAGTCTTACGCAAGAATTATCTTGTGCAAACTCAGCTCATGCAAAATTGAACTTTAAATAGCAATAATACTACATCGGTGAAGAGAAGACCTTTGGAAATAAACATCAAAACACTGACAAAAAAAAATCATTTTCTTGTCACCCCTCCCTCCTCCCAGGCCCGTCACTAAAGGGGGGCCAGGCCTAACCGGCGAACAACTGGTCCCCCAACGGCAAAAACCACAAACGTCAAAATGAACTACATTTATGTTTCTTCTTGTGGTGTGCCCCTTAGCTGGAACTATGGCCCCCTAATGCCCAGAGCTGGTGCCAGTGATGCCTTCCCCCCTTCCACATCCCCACCCCCTACCCCCTTCCCCTTCCCCACAGTGTATCTCCTACGAGTATGAGACCCTTTTGGAGACCTTACCGAGTTCACATTCTGAGCCAGTGTGGGTGAGTGGACACAGGCAGGTGTAGCTCCGGCAGGCTCCGACCACAGTGTTGCAGGTGCCTCCATTCTGACAAGGGTTCAGCTGGCAGGGAGACTCGATTGCTGCAAGGGGAAAAACAAATAATGACGCCAGTGCTTCAACTCTGCTGATTGGAACTCAAATGAAAACACAACCGTTTGGCATCATCTAGTCAAAGATTTTTAGTTTGATCATTCTTAACAAAGGTAGCCAAACTAAATATTTACAAAATTAAATGAGAACAAAATTAACACTTCCTTTATCAGTGAACACATTTCTTTAGTGGATGTGGATTTCAGTAATTTTGATCTGACTCAATGTGGGCAAAGAAGTTTAAGATTGTTATGTAAAAAAAGTAGAATCAACAAGATATGTCAGAATGCCAGGACTTTTGAAAACTATGTTTTTATTTCTCCCCGAGTACCATTGAAAGAAATTTGAAAGTCATCCAAGAGTTGGAACACTACTCAAATTTCTCAAAATCTTTTTTTTGTTTCCAAAGGAAGGAACACTAGAGTTGGAACACTACTCAAATTTCTCAAAATCTTTTTTTTGTTTCCAAAGGAAGCTCATTTTCCCTAACAGTTTTATGACTCGGGGTTTCAGCTGCATAGTTCTCCCTTACTTCGTTCACAATTGTAACCAGTGAAGCAGCCCTGACACTGGCAGGAGTAGGCGTAGCAATCGTTTGACTGGGTTGTACAAACGGCACCATTCAAGCACGGGTTGGGATTGCAAGCATCACGAGCTGTATAGAGATACCGGAGAAAAACATGTTACAAAAATAAACAAGTGAAACAGGCAATCTTTTGTGCTGTTTTCTGGGTACGAACACTTTAAAAAAATTCCCTTTGCTGAGTAACTTTACTTCAAAACAAAAATGTACAGACTGTACACATATAATTTTTGAATTGTAAAGTTAAGTTTTTACAAGCAATGTAAAGTAATGTCAAACACCTATAGAAAGTAAGTTATTATTGTACGTACTCTCCTGACACCACTGCCCAGTGAAGCACCCAGAGCAGGCGCAGGTGTATTCATGGCAAGCAAACGGAGAGCTGGATGTGAGAGCTTGACAGATACCTCCATTCTGGCAATTGTTGGTGGTGCACGGAGAAACAGCTATCACAAAAAAAAATAAGGAGGGAAATAAGTTGAAATACGCATCACTGATAAACAGACTGCTCCGTTAAGCCCTGTCTCGTGGTGTTTGGACCAATCACAGCCACAACTTCAGTCCGACACAACATGTGGGGCGCTGTGGTCCAATGGTTACGGTGTTCGACTCACGTGCCGTGGTACGTGGGTTCGAACCCTGATGGGGAATGTGGTGCTTGTGTTCTTGGGCAAGACACTTTACTACAATTGCCTCTCTCCACCCAGTAGTATAAATGGGTACTTGTGAGGATAGAGACCAGAATGCGTTGATCTCGAGCTGCTGCAAAAACTGGTCTCATTGCCTGATGAACGGGGGCAATAATTGTGAAGCGCTTTGAGACCTTTGGTATATAGTGCTATATTATTATAAGCACCATATTATTATTTTTATTATTATTATTTTGTAGGACACAACATGTCAGACAAAACTCTGATGTGTGGCATTGGACAGTTCATGTGATGTTGTTGCCCACATGAAAATTAGCAGATTGGTTTGTAGGTCAATTTGTTAAGAATCTTAAAGAAAGTTTATGCAATTACATACAGACAAATCATTATAATTGGGATTGACTGTTGTGGCTGCCTCGGGGCTCACTTGTGCCCAGAGGAGTTTCAGACTACTAGTTCTCAAACTTATGAGAAAAGGACTCCCAAGTGACTGGTATTCGCAATCAATCCAGGAACCACACACAAAACACAATGAAGCCACTTGACATGCTTGACAACATGGTGGTGATTGCTGATAGTAGATTGAGATTGAGATAACAATCTGCAATTTAATAAAGCAGAACAAACACTAATAAGAAAACTATAATAAAAGTACATGGAAAAGTCTAATCTATTAAACATGGCAAGTTGAGTCCAAAAATGTGAAGTCTGATTTGTCAAGGCTAAACACTATTTGCAGTTCAATCTGTTTTTGCTGAATGAATAATCAACTGTAAAATCTCAGAAAATCCACTGAATTCTGTCTCTAAACTTATTAAAAGTAACTCATAAAATCAAGGAAAATGCTTCTTACCAAAATGGGGTCTTTCAAGGTCCACAAAGAGTGAATAAAGTGATGAAACTTGAAGAACTAAATCGCAATGAGTATGAAAACACTTGTCTCTGAAATCACATGGTCAGTAAATATGGCTGCCCATTGTTTATGTGGCAAGATTATGTGGTACTTGTACCCACACAAGGTCTCTGTATGCACATGGGAAGTGCACAAGGTCACTCTGGTGGTGGGAAGGAGGCTACTTAATGCAACACATAAGTAGGCTCTTTCACTTTTATGAGGTGAAAGTTAACTGTAGGCTCTTTCACTAAATATGAAGTAATACTCTAAAAATGGAATTCTAAATTTAAACTATGAAAAACTTGTTAAGAAAATTAATAAACTTAAGACAAACTCACTGCACAGCTGCTGCAGTGACATGGCTCCTCTAACTGCATCTCGCAGTTAACAAACTAAAATCAAACCTGAACTTCAAAGATTAATGTCCATGAAAATGTTCCTTCATCTTGGTGGACGTCTTGTCTCGCACGCACTGCTCCTCAGATGCGGACTAGTGTTGGCTCGTTAAATTGGTATCTACCTACTAATGAGTAACAAGAACAGTTAAAATGTAAAGTTCATAAACTAAATAGATTGTCGTCAGCAGTGGGTCTCTTCTGGCAGGATCTTCAGTTTGGCTCTTCGGTGGGGACTTCTCTGGTCTCTTGAGCTTCAGGCTTCTCTGCGGGTACCAACAGGACAAGCTTGTGTACTGGTCTGTCAAGGAGTGATGGAGAGTGTTGCCGTCTGCCAAGGTTGTCTCGTGTGCCATCGGCCATCAAGAGCTTCACTGACCTGACTCTTCCGTCATTGCTCGGGTAGGTCTCCACTACGCGTCCCAATGGCCACTGGTTCCTGGTCTGCTCACCTTCCTTGGAGATCACGACATCACCTACTTGTAGATCTCTTACTGGATTGACCCACTTTTTGCGCTCTTGAAGATGGTGCAGGAACTCTTTTCTCCATCTCACCCAAAACTCATTGGTCAAGAACTGGACACGTCTCCACCATTTGCGGGCATAGACATCTTCCTTCTGGAACTTTCCAGGCGGAGGCAGAACAACCTTGGGTTTCATGGTGAACAGATGATTGGGTGTCAATGGCTCTGGTGCGTCTGATGAGCAGAGATAGTCTGTCGTTAGAGGTCGTGAATTGATGATGCCTTCTACCTCAGTCATGAAGGTCCTGAAACATTCATCATCCAGTTGTGTCGTGGTTTTAAGAAGAAGACCCTCTAGTGCACGGCGTACTGTACCTATCTGTCTCTCCCACACGCCTCCCATGTGACTGGCATGCGGTGTGTTCAGCTTGAAGGGAATCCAGTCACAGTTGCTCTCTAACAGGTACTGGTGGACTCTGTCCTGCTCCATCTCAGCTAGCGCTTCTCTCAGCTCACTCCGAGCACCGATGAATGTTGTACCTTGGTCTGAACGCAGTTGACGTACAGGTCCTCTCCTGCTCTGGAATCTTGTAAGGGCATTGATGAAAGAACTTGCCGTTAAGGAATTTGCTGTCTCTAGATGAACACCTCTAGACGCCATACATGTGAACAGGACACCATAACGTTTCACTTGACTCCTACGCTCTTTCACCAAAAATGGACCGAAGTAGTCCACAGCACAATAGGAAAATGGGGGCGCTGGCTCTAGTCGATCTACGGGTAGGTCAGACATCTTCTGTCGCTGCAGCGATCCACGCAGTTTGCGGCAGGCCACACATCTTGAGATGTAGTTGGACACAGCTGATGAACCACCAATTACCCAGTACCCTCTCTGACGTAGCTCGTTGTGTGTCATTCCTCTGCCCATGTGATTCACCTTCTCATGAATATGGCGAATCAACAACTGGGTGACATGACCTTTGTAAGGGAGAACGGCTGGATGCTTAGCTTCAATTGGAAGATCAGATCTGGCAATACGGCCACCCACTCGGATGATGCCATCGACATCTAGAAAGGGATCTAGCCGGTACAGACAACTTGTCTTCTTCAGGTAGTCATTTCTCACCCTTGCAGTCTTTCCATCGGTGACTTGCCCGATTACACCCAGTTCTTGTAGGGCCTGTAACTCGACACTGAAATGTTCATGCTGAACATTTTTGATGATTTCCATCTCTCCATTCTGTAGTTCTGCCACAGTGATTGCTTGCTTCGCAGGAGTGGAACAAACTTTCCCTTCACAAGGTTTCTTCACTACTCTGTTCCTCAACTTTGTCTTCAACCTCAGACAAAGAGCGACTGCCCTGCAAGCTCTATTCCAGGATGAAAAGCAATCAAGTCGGCTCACTTCGAAGTGATGATGTCGTGCGTTGTTCTCAGCTGTTGTCACGAAAGCTGAGACTCTTTTCACATCTGGGTCTGATTCACTCAGTGGTGCAACTACGGCTGGCTGGGGTTGAAAGGGGCCATCCTTCTGCAAGAAATCTGGACCGGATAACCAGCAGGACTTCTCTATAAGTTCCTTTGCTGTCAGACCACGTGATGCTTCGTCAGCAGGATTTTCTTTGGTGTCTACGTACATCCATCTCTCTGGGTTAGTCAGACTTCTGATTTGCTGCACTCTGTTAGCAACATAGACATGGAATCGTCTTGCTTCATTGTTTATGTAGCCCAAAACAATCTTGCTGTCTGTCCAGTAATATTCGTGGAGCATCTCGTAACATAGCTCTCGTCGCAGGAATTCACTCACAGTTGCTGAGACAGTTGCTGCTGCAAGTTCTAGCCGGGGGATGGTGACGAGCTTCAGAGGGGCCACTCTGGACTTACCGACTACAAAGGAACAATGTGCCTTATTGTTCTCATCGACTAGTCGCAGGTAGGAACACTGACCATAACCATCTTGGCTTGCATCGGAAAAATGATGCAATTCAACTGCTGTCACAGTTCCAAAATCCTTGGGCTTAAAACATCGCTGGATTTGGATCTTCTCCAAGCCGAGAACCTCTAAACGCCATTTCTCCCACTCAGGTTGTAGCATCTCTGGCACTGGACTGTCCCAATCAAGTTTGTCGCGACACATCTGCTGCAAAATTCTCTTCCCTCTGAGGGTTACTGGAGCCACATAGCCATTTGGGTCATAGATCGAACTTACAGTTGAAAGTATGCCTCGTCTTGTGAATGGTCTATCTTTCAACTCAATATGGAACTGAAAGGTGTCACTCTCGACACACCAAGTGACGCCCAGGGCTCTTTCCATTGGTAGTACATCAACCTTCAGATCTAGTTCCCTTGTACCACTGGCTCGCTCTTCTGCTCGGAATTTTTCCAACAGCTCTCTTTTGTTGGAGATGATTTTGTGCAGTTTCAACCCAGCTTTTCCACACAGATTCTGACTGGCTTTGATCAGTAATGATGCTCTTTCCACTGTGGGTAGTGACTTCAGTCCATCGTCTACGTAGAAATCATTACGAATGAAGTTTGCTGCCTCTGCTCCAAACTCATCCTCTCCGTCATCTGCTGCTCTCTTCAGCCCGAAGTTGGCACAGCCTGGTGAGCTAGCGGCCCCAAACACGTGAACTTTCATTCTGTATTCGACCACTGGCTTCTCTGGATCACCATTTTCCCACCATAGGAATCGCAGCAGGTCACGGTACTTCTCTTCTACATAGAACTGATGGAACATGCTCTTCACATCAACCATAAAGGCCACTTCCTCTTTCCTGAATCTACACAGAACACCGAGAAGACCATTAGTCAAGTCAGGACCTTGAAGGAGATGGTCGTTGAGTGAAACGCCTCCATATTTGGCTGAACAGTCGAACACCACTCTTATCTTGTCCGGCTTTTTGGGGTGATAGACTCCGGTGTGCGGCACATAGTTTACCTTTCCCTCATCAACTTCCAGTTGGTCTAGGGGGACTCTCTCTGCACACTTTGGGATAACATCTTTCATGAACTCCCTGTAGTCTTCACGAAACTTCACATTCTTTCGGAATCTGGCGGACAGCTGATTCCATCTCTTGACTGCAAGTTGGCGGTTGTTAGGCAGGGTCGCAGCGTCAGACTTCAGTGGTAGTGGCATTTCGTAGTGGCCATCGGATGCTTTCTTTATTCCTTTTTCCATCACGCTCAGGAACTTCTCGTCTTCTACTGAGTATGGCTTCCTCTGATGATTCTCGACAAAGTCGGATTCCAACACCTTGAGAACTTTCTCTGGGTTTAAGACTTCTTTCACCCTCGTACCATAGACGAAGTGTTGGTAGCTTTGTGGTTCAGCAGCAACCACTTTGTTGCATACTGCAGGTTGGTCATCGGTTTGTCGTGCAGCCTTGCACACGTTCCCAATTACTCCCCAGCCTAGTAGTGACCTCTGGCCGTAAGGGTCATCCTCTCCACCGGCGATGATTTCCCTGGGTCGAACTACTCTGGGACAATTGCTCCCGATGAGAAGAGATATTTGCAGGGTTGGGTCATAGGGCATGAGCTTCTCTCCAAGAGACTTTAGGTGGGGCCATTGATGCACAACCGCAGGTTTCGGTATCTGGGATTTCTTGGCTGGAACGCTGTCCCGCTTGAAGCAGACTGGAAGTTTAACAGTGTGCTCTCTATTGACATCAAGCACTTCAAGCCCGGATATGCGACTGCTGGTGATTTGCACATTTTGCTCTTGCATTGTACTGAGTAGTAACTGCGTCTCTGGTCCCTGCAGGTTCATCCTTTCACACAAACTCTTTGACACGAAGCAACTGTTGGATTGTTCGTCCAAGATGGCATATTCGAGGAACTCCCTCGCTGGATCACTCTCACTACGAACCAACACTGGTATAATCATGGAGTGGTCACCTTCTCCTTCTTGGTCTGGTTGGGAACACACTTGGATACAGTTGGACATTCCCTCATCTCGTTTGGGGTGCACAGCAATGACTTCTTTGGGTGGGGATGAATTGGTTGGGACTTTGTCAGCTGGTTGTTTACTTGCCGTTGCTGACTGGGGGTGACTTGAAGCAGTTTCTTCTGGCCGTCTCTGTTGGAAGTTGCGATGGAGACAGGTCAAATGGGCACCAGCGCAGATCCGACAAACTTTTTTGTCGTTACACTCTCTCACTTGATGATCACTGGAACGTGCACAGCCCATGCACAGTCTCTTCTTGAAGAAGAAATCCTTTCGCTCAGCGAGAGGCTTGCGCAGAAAGCGCTCACAGTCGTCCAGGAGATGACGCTTATTGCAGAAGAGACAACTCTTGTCACTGGACAACTGCACTCTGCTTGTTGGTTCACCTCGACTGGTACTAGTCGCAAAAACACTGGTGTTCTTTTTCGGAGCACTTCCTGCATTTGAACGTTGTTTGTCCTGACTTCGAACCACGCTCTGCAATTCAGGAATGTTTGCCCTATCTGCTGCAATCTTCACAAGTTTGACAAACTCGCTGAATGGGGGGAAGGAATCCTGACCACGGATCTGTCTCCAATAGTCAATCTTGTCCCGCCACTTTGTCTCAAGGTTGAATGGAAGTTTCTCGACTAGACGAGCATTCTCACTGGCGTAGTCCAGCACTCCAAGGCTTGCTGTGGTTGCTCGTGCTGCCTCTACTTTCCCCAGAAAATCAGAGAAATCTCTCAAGCCTGCTGCATCCCTCGGCGTTAACCTCGGCCACTGACGGAGTTTGCTTATGAAAGCAGTGCTCACTACACTACTGTTTCCGTACCTCTCGTTCAATACTTTTCTTGCCTGCGTGTAGGCCTCTTCAGTGCCGATGAGCATGTAGTGCTCCACTAGGTGCTTTGGTTTCCCCGTCACGTATTGATTGAGGTAGTTAAGCTTGGTGTCGGCGTCAAGGGGTTGGCTGTCGATAAGGGAATTGAAGGAGTTCCGCCACAGGGGGTACTGGAGTGGATCACCGTTGAATTGGGGGACGGCTATCTTTGGTAGCTGGCTAGATGCAACAAGGCGTTTGTTTACATCATGCTGTTGTCTACTGGACTCGGCCAACTGTGTAATGCACTTCTCAAGTGCCGACGACATCGTCATCCGTCCTCCTTCACTTTGGTGATGAGAATGATGTACACTGGACTGTTCATCAGATCTGTTCTGACTGGCTGATGTAACCATGGCAACTGGTTGGAGTGACGCATTGTCCACATATGCGCTTTCACTTTGGGGCACAGATGGACACAATGGAGGGGGGTGATCACTTTGATGCGAGTTGAGGAATCTCTGCATATGTTCATGTTTGTCGGCGGGGATGCCGGACAGCTCTGATGATATTGAACTGTCGCCATCCCGCTCCAGCGATGAGTACACCTGCATCACAGCTCGGGTTTCGGCCAATTTCCTCTCTATCTCAAGTTGTTCTAACTTTTTGTCTCTCTCGATCTTCATTTCCTCCACTTTCTTTGCCGCCTCCAACTCCAGGAGTTTCAGCTGTTTTTCTTTCTCTGCATAGTCTAGCTGGACCTGCAGGGCAGCCGCTGTTTTCGCTAGTTCCAGCTTTTCTTCCTGATGCCGTGCATATGATGATGTAACGGACACGGCATGACTGGCTCGACTGGAACTCTTACTTGACTTGTAAGACGACATATGACCAGCATGACTTGCTGCTCGACCGGCGTTACTCTTCTTTGACTTGTCAAACTTATGACTAGAAGACGACTGGATTGGTAACGACATGACGTGGGTTTATTCACTCTGCATGCTCTGGAACGACTGGACTTTGGTTGTGACTTTGATTGTCCTTTGATTGTTATTGTGGCTGCCTCGGGGCTCACTTGTGCCCAGAGGAGTTTCAGACTACTAGTTCTCAAACTTATGAGAAAAGGACTCCCAAGTGACTGGTATTCGCAATCAATCCAGGAACCACACACAAAACACAATGAAGCCACTTGACATGCTTGACAACATGGTGGTGATTGCTGATAGTAGATTGAGATTGAGATAACAATCTGCAATTTAATAAAGCAGAACAAACACTAATAAGAAAACTATAATAAAAGTACATGGAAAAGTCTAATCTATTAAACATGGCAAGTTGAGTCCAAAAATGTGAAGTCTGATTTGTCAAGGCTAAACACTATTTGCAGTTCAATCTGTTTTTGCTGAATGAATAATCAACTGTAAAATCTCAGAAAATCCACTGAATTCTGTCTCTAAACTTATTAAAAGTAACTCATAAAATCAAGGAAAATGCTTCTTACCAAAATGGGGTCTTTCAAGGTCCACAAAGAGTGAATAAAGTGATGAAACTTGAAGAACTAAATCGCAATGAGTATGAAAACACTTGTCTCTGAAATCACATGGTCAGTAAATATGGCTGCCCATTGTTTATGTGGCAAGATTATGTGGTACTTGTACCCACACAAGGTCTCTGTATGCACATGGGAAGTGCACAAGGTCACTCTGGTGGTGGGAAGGAGGCTACTTAATGCAACACATAAGTAGGCTCTTTCACTTTTATGAGGTGAAAGTTAACTGTAGGCTCTTTCACTAAATATGAAGTAATACTCTAAAAATGGAATTCTAAATTTAAACTATGAAAAACTTGTTAAGAAAATTAATAAACTTAAGACAAACTCACTGCACAGCTGCTGCAGTGACACTTACTGTGTAAGATTAAAAGCACACTAATAATGCAACAGAATGTTTGCATACTTGTTTTATTCCTGGTTTTAAATATGCTTAAAAACACTTAAAATTATTTCTCCTTCATGTTGTTACCATGTGTTTAAAAGATTGTTTTTCAAATGTTTTTTTTTCATTTTCAAATGAATATTCAAATGTTGTTCTTCTATTTCTCTTAATACAGATGGCTCCGGACATTCTTAGCCAAAAAAATTGTATATAGGCCGACAGAAATGTTTTCAACTCTAGTTGAACTTCAAAGTGAAAATATTATATTCAGTATTCACATAAATTAAGAGTGCACTAGCATTACTTACGGATACGACAGAACTGTCCAGTGTAACAAGCTGGACAATGGCAGGTATACTCCAGACAATTGTTCACTCTGGGAGAGCACGAGGCGCCATTGGCGCACTGGTTGTTTTCACAGCTGTCGACAACTATTAGTTTCCAAAAATGAAAAAGTTTGGAAGTAAATCCACACAACAAAGACTTTTTATTGGGGTATTAAAGTGTGAATATAACACCGATTCAATGCAAATACTACTAATAATAATCATTCTAATAATAATAACATATTCCGAATATAGCGTTTTACATTAAAAAATCTCAAAACACTTTACAAGACATCAACACTACATGAAAAGTAAACCAGTAAAACAACATGTGAACATCCGGTTCGTTAGTGTGACGTCATCTCAATTCAACCATGTGTACTTCACACGGTGAAGCATAGCACGAATGGAACCGGAAGCTAACGCAACTCGAGCGTTTATCCAATGGGCGCGAGTAATCAGTGGTGCACGCGCGTGTATGACATTTCTACTAACAAACCGGATTGGGAGCAAATATGATTTTCTTGAATATATTCATGTGAAAAGTGAAACTGGGGAAATGCAATACAATGGATCTTGGAAGATTAAGAAAGATTTTTGAAAAGGGATGCACCATTTGCATTTGTACAGAGCGCCCTCATTGAGGACAGGTCTTTGCTCCTCTGCGATACATGTGAATAGACACTGCGTACTTCCATTGTAATGGAATTTAAAGAACAAAGCCTGCCCTCTGCAGTGGGTCTGTTGAGGTTCAAGGACTGAATCAATACTTACTGGTTTCGCAGAATCGTCCGATGAAGCAGTCGGAGCACTGGCATTCATACTGTGTACATGAGCCAGGAAACGCTGTACACGCTCCACCATTCTGACAGTTGTTGGACTGGCAGATATCAACAGCTGTGCCAAAGAAAATTGAACGTTAAATTTGCTGATAAAGTGACCTCTCTATTAGTAACATAGTTTTTTTTCAGAGTTAAATTTGAATTTCTAAATAAGGCAGGTATGTTTCTTCCAATTATGGTTACAAACCATTCTGAATTTTAACACATAGTAGGCAAAAAGTATTCTGAATTTTACACATGGTGGGCAAAGAGTATTCTGAATTTTACACATAGTGGGCAAAAAGTATCGTAGATGCAGAAGGAGTCTTAATTCGGGCGATTCACAATGCAGTGTGCCACCAAGAGTTTGCCATGGAGAATTTATTTTTCCCAGTGCAGTGTGGGAAACGGTCAAAAAATTTGCAGCGCACAATTTGAAATTGTTCTTCTTTTATTATTAGTAGTTTCGTAAGCGTACGATTCAAGTTTCTGTTTGCCCTTTTCTTTTCTTTTTATCAGAACGCTATGCCCCAATCTGCAAGAAATTAGCTCAACTGACACTCATTCAACTAGGCCACATTTTGTCGACCGTAAACTTGAAAAATGGACTCTCCATGGCAAACTCTTGGTGGCGCACTGTATTGTGAATTGCCCGAATTGTTCAAATTTAAAATGGAAACTTCTTTGAGGCCTAAGAGCAACTCACCGTTTTCACAATGGGTACCGGAGAAACAGAGTGTGCAGATGCAGCGGTATGCAGTGACTGACTCTGCCACACATACCCCGCCATTCATGCAGGGCTGGGACAAACAAGGATTGGCTGTGGATAGATCGTACCAAAAAAGGGCCTTCATTCACGAATATTTGGTCTATTGGGTTACTGCATTTTTTACATCATATCAAACATAATGAACAAGAAAATATACAAAGAATAACAGAAATGATATGAGGGATACAGGTAAAAAGCGTAAGCTCGTACAAGAACCTGAACCTGTTGAATACAAATTCAATTCACTTCAATTTAACAGAACATTCATTTCCACACCTTCAACAGTGATAGAGAAACGATAACAGTACAATCATGTGAACACTTAATATCAGGAATGCAACTGGGAATTTAGGGGAAAAAATGAGGAAATTCCAAACAACTTTGCACAGTGTTTTTCAATTTGTAATGGCATTCATGAGAAGTAAAAAACGGGGAAATCAGCAGATCCGAGGAAAAGTTGCATGCCTGTATAATGCAAAATGAAGAACAACAACAAAAAAGGGGATAAATTAATATAGAAATAAATAAATATAAAGCACACGATATGTACAAGATGAGGGTATGGAGGCACTTTCAAATAAGCAAGGCTTGTACAGAAATGTCTTTTATGTATGAGCACTAGCGATTTATATTTAAACATGTATAACAGACAAGACACAAGACAGGATGACTAGGACAAGACAAAAACACCACAGACAGATATACAAGGACAGACAAAACACTAAATGGATTCCAAAAACAAAAGCAAGTAGTATACCTTAAGAAGAAACAATCAATTCAAGACAAATACTTTTAAAGAATGGAGAAAAAAATGAGAGTATAAAGAAGAGAAAGAAACTTTGTCACTAATGAGAGATAAGAACCCGTTTGTAAAATAGTTAGAATCAACCTGCGGACGGCTGGGTTTTTGTTACTCCGCTGATGCAAAGTCGAAGTCCATAAAATCTCACGGCGTTGATTGAATATGAAGTGCGGGTGTACAGCAAAAATAAACTGTGTTTGCTGCGAGACTTGGTGGAATAGACCATCATCATGTTGCGGCCATCTTGATTTTTTCCCATTCAAATCATCATAACCAAAGCGAGACTGGAAGGAAAAATAGTCTGGTTCCTTTTTGCACAAAAAATATTTCATTCAGTACTGTTATTGGATACAGGGAACATGACTGGAATGGTGGCAGCATGATAAAGGTCTATACCCCTGATGTGTTTTTACTTGATGTGAAGAATGAGGAAAAGGACCGTGATAAGTAAGTTGTTAGTAAACTTATACATGAATATACAAGTGTGGAGTTGATTAATGTCAGTTAGAGTAAGAATGTCTAACTGGGTGAATAGTGGTGTGGTACGCTCACGGGGATGGGAAGATGTGCAAATTCTGGTGGTCCATAACCGAGTAATGGTTAGTGAGATGAAGTTTATAGTTAGAAGAGTTCACCCAAACAATGTTGCAACAGTTCAGACAGGGAAGGAGGGATTTGTTGAGAAGGACTATAGAGGATGGGGGAATTTACATCTACATACACTAGACCTATAAAACTGCTAATTTATCAAGTGATAACATTAATTAAGGTGAAAAAAAAATAAACAAACATATTCACTCATTCAAATAAATATATTTTATATAAAATTGAGAGCCTAAAGTAGTGCTGCTGAGGGTTATTGATAAAAAGTATATAAAAAATGACAAAAAATATACCTTACGATTGTTGTCTACTATTTCAATGTAACATTCAATTTTGAAGCTTTTCAGTTGGACTTTTATATAGCGATTTGGTACATGTTTAGGACACTTTCATAAGGCGTATTTAATAATGTAATCATTACTTTGTCTTTTTATAATGTCTACTTGAACTGTTTTGGTTACCTTCATGGCAACAACCCACCAATGCAACAGAACGAGACCACCACAAGTCACCAGAAATCCATCACCAAATCTACCAGTCACAAGTCAAGTCACAAGCTATTCCAACGGGCTGTGACAAAAGACATTCCTTTGTCACTGCTAATGCCCCGGTTATCTGTGACTCTGACTCGTGGATGGATAATGTGATCGAATTGACTACAACATTGGTAAGAAAACTCACCCTCCATGACAGTCACAGTGAAAGTGCACACTGCAAAGTTTTGGGCAGCGTCCTCAAAACGGTAGGTCACCACAGAGTTGCCGACGGGGAAATTGTCCCCGGGGTTGAAAGTATTAGACACCAGTTGGACATTGCCTGAATTGTCCGTGGCCGTGGGCGCTACAAAGTCCACTTGAACAGGGGCAGTGCCAGCAAGGATGGTGATGGTAATGTCCGATGGGCAAGACAGCAGTGTAGGCGTTGTTCCATCCACTTCAGAAATAAAAATCAAAATTTCAAAAATTGGTCATCAAATCCTTCTTCACGTTAAGAAAATTGGAGGTAACACAAAAACGAATCTGTTGGACACCGAACTGCATACGTTGGTTTTATTTGAGTGTTTGTTTCTTAATTAAGGTGTTTCTGTTTTGGTTTTACAGTTTAGATTTTATTGTTATTGTTATTTTATTTACTTTTTTTGGAGGGGATGGTTTTTTTCAGTGAAACAAATGGATGTAAATCTTCAAAATTAGTTAGTCACATCAGACCACAGTTCATGTTTAGAGGCAAAAGCCAAATCAAACCCCTCTTAAATCCAGAGAGTTTCAGTAATTTCTTATTGAATTTGACACTTCAAATCACAGACAACATTATTAAAATCCTGGAATCTTGACGTCACTGAATCTTGACTTGGCCTCCAGATTTTGCTTCATCACTGCTTTCAAAATCAATTAAAAAGCCAACAAAAAAAGAAAAATAACAGCACTGCTGTTGAAACCCCTCAGCCGGAGTCAAGTTATCATCCGGAAACCATTAACCTTTAACACACCACTGTACCTTGACCTTTGACCCCCAAACCACTCCGAACTTGCCTAGCCTCAAGTCCAACCCCCTACTGAAGTTCTAACCCAAATCTCAGTTCTAACCCAAGTTATCATCCAAAAACCATTTACATTTTACTCACCACGGTGACCTTAAACTTGGACTTTTGACCCAAAACATACCCCAACTTGCCAACTCCCAAGGGCAACCTCCTTCTAAGGTTACAATCCCAAACAACATTTGTAACTCAATTTATCATCTGGAAACTGAGCTGCCCAGATGGACGGACGCCCTGATGGATGCCCATACGTCCTCCCAGACGGACGCCGTAGGTGATGACAATACCCCTCCAGCCTCTCGGCTGAGGGGTAAAAGCTCTCAAATATTTGCTTTATAAATCACAGAATTTAATGATCCTAATCAGAAGATAATTCAATGTTGAGCCCGAGTATTCAAATTTTGGGGCCAAAATCTTAATGAAAGCCAAATGCAAACACAAGGGCGAGGTTTCGAAAAACCCTTCTTGCTCCGCGAACGCCCTTACCTTCAGTGATTGTGACTGTAAAGGAGCACATGCCACGGTTCCCAAAGAGGTCTACGTATGTGTACGTCACTTGTGTGACACCCACGGGCAGGAAATCACCAGAGTTTCTGGTAGACTCTACAAAGGTAGCATCCCCTGCATTGTCTGTGGCTGTAGGCGTGGACCAGGTCACTGCTGCGCCTGTGGCACCGATGCTTACTGTCCGTGTAAAGCTTGCTGGGCACACTACCCTCGGTGGCACAGTGTCCCCTGAAGAAGACAAAACCAGGTTAACCCTAGCTAACTGCCCTGAATCCTCCAAAACCGTCTTTGCCAAAGTGGAGGAATTTGGAGGATTGAGGTTACATGGAAAAAGTGCGTTACTGATTTCGTAGGATGCACTTTGTCAAGGTCTTGGGCCGGACCTTCTGTAGTTTTTGCTTGGCCGTATATAAATATAGGCCTGGATTATGCTTGAAATCCTCCGTACTGCTCCAGAATGTGCCTGCTGGAATATTTTGCAGGATTCAGGCAGTGGTCACCCCTCCACGGACCATATTCAAGAAATAGTGGAGGAATTTGCAGGATCGAGGCTATATACTATTTTTCCACGAAGAAAATTTGGAGGATTTTGCAGGATTGAGGATACATCATAGCAAAAAGGCCTAGGGAGTTAGGATTAACACCCACACCAATTAGCAAAACACTCATTAATTGGGACATAATTATCTGGCTCAGAGCTAGACCTTTCGATTCCAACCATTAGCAGAATACTGAAGTCTTATATAGCGCACGTATCTACCAGAAAGCTGTCCACCGACTCACTGGGGCAGTAAGACTCCATGACAGAAAAATAATCAACATAATAAACAATTTTCTGTACCATGCTTCAACTTGAAAAATTGAGTCTTTTGGGGGCACAAAAGCAGGGCGAAAACTCAACTATACAAAGAAATTCCTAGTGCGTGATAAACCCAGCTATTGAGGGCTGCTTCCAAATTCTCAACTCGTAGCGAAGCAGTTAAATTTGCAAGACAAAATGACTGCTGATTTATTTAACCATCAAAACTACTTTATGCATGAGAGTACAGACTGGATAGGATGGAGGGAAGCAACTTACGAACAATGACACGGAAGCTACAAGTGTTGGCATTGCCTGCTCCGTCAGTAGCTCGGTAGGTAATGGTATAGGTTCCAAACATGAGATAGGCGTTGGGTCCTTGGTTGGGATTGGAGGTCAGCGTGATAGTCGGCGAACTGCCAGAGTTGTCAGTAGCAGTCGGTGGACTCCAGATCACATTAGCTCCATTGTCATTGCCGGTGGAGACTTCCTCATTGATATCAGCCGGGCAGGTGATGACAGGGGGCACCCTATCAACTAAAAACACAATGTCAAGTGAACTTACAGAACTCAGGTTGTGCAGAATTTTAAGAAAGATTGGGCATTGGGTCACGCCTTTTATTCTACAATAAATTACTGAAATAACTGAAACCTTAATATGAAATATGAAAATAAACATACAGTGACGTTCTTATCTCTGATCTTGTTTTTAAATCTCAAAATATAGTTATCAGGCTAAAACCAAGGGCGAATCAAGGGGGGCCAGCGGGGGCCATGCCCCCCCCCCCCAAAAAAAAACCAAACTCAATTGTTTTTTTTTTCTAAGTGACGTCATAATAAAGGCAGGCATTGCGTACACCATCATTTTTTCCTCCACAAAAATTGGTCAGAGTGGTCAGATATTGCCTCAGGTTGCACCACAGAGCATCCAGAATCCAAAATTTTGTTAACCCTATGCCGTAATTTTTTTCACCCACTTTTAGGGGAACCACATTTTTTTTTGGCCCCCCTAAAAGTGGGTTCTGGATCCGACCTTGGCTAAAACAGGATTCAAAAACATCTTTCAAAGTTGCGTTTAACGGGGAATGTTTGACGAAACTGATCACATAATCGCTCTTTTGTAGGTTAGTGATGATTGCGTCAAGTTTAAATTATGTCAGTAGGCTAACTATACTCATCTTTATATGACAACTTTTTATTAAATAAGTCAGTGAAGAAAAAGGAACTTGTCTACTCTATCAACACAGTTAATGATATATTACCAGCTCCTTTTTCTTATTGAGATACTATTCACAGAAAACTTACCAACAGTGACAGTGAAGGAACAAACTTCGTTGTTGCCTGACCCATCAATGGCTCTGTAGTTAATTGTGTAGCTTCCAAATTGGAAGAAAGAACCAGGTCCTTGTTGTGGATTTGATGACAAAGTCACTGTTGGTTCGGCTCCACTGTTGTCTGTAGCTGTAGGAACAGTCCATGACACTTCAATTCCATTCCGATTGCCACTGGTGACTTCTCGTATAATATTGGTTGGGCAAGTGATTGCAGGTGGCACTCGATCCACTGAAAATTAACAGGATGATTGAATTGAACACAGGCGAAAGCAGCAACATATCCTTGGGAAACTCACTTAACATTTTTGATTGGTGAGGTAAAACTGTCTTAATTAAATGAAATAGGTGGTTTTATTTGAATGTTATATTTATCCGCCACATCTAACAGTGGAAAACTGCCAATTACAGGTACAAGAATGGGAAAGAGATAAAAGCAAATATATTCCAATAAAAAATAAACAAAGGACAATGCTCCCAACATTCAGAATTTCAGAAATAGTGCTTTTCGTCAAGCTGGTAGTCATTGTGCAGCGTGTCGCTATGTTTTTGTATCTGCTTCAAATTGGTTTTTTTTCTGTGAAATTATGATACCTTTGAAGATTTTTTATATTTTTCCAACAAAAGGTGAACATCGGACAAGTTGAAGCTTTCATCATTCATCTGTCTTTTGCCAAGTGTTATTGGATTCAGTTAAAAAAAAATCTGACTTTATAAATATAATAATGTATTCTTCCTTACTGGCATAGTCAAACACAGAATTAGAAAACTTACCAACAGTAACAGTAAAGGAACATGAGTCGGAATTCCCTTCCGCATCAGTAGCTCTGTAAGTAATTGTGTAGCTTCCAAATGGAAAGAACGAGCCAGGTCTAAACTGTGCATTTGATGTCAAGGAGATAGTTGGTTGTATTCCACTGTTGTCTGTGGCTGTGGGCAAATTCCATGTCACTTCAATTCCATTCCGATTGCCAGTCGTGACTTCTTGTAAGATGTTGGCTGGGCAGTTAATCACTGGTGGCACTCCATCCCCTGAAAAATAATACAAAATTTCACATAAAACAAGTGTTTTAACCTTAATAGAATTATGAATAAATTAGCACTAGCAGTGGACAAAGGCAACTGTATCTGTGTATCAACAGACTATTCCAACATCTGCCGTTCATAAAAGTGCATTTTATTAAAAAAAAAATGAATTTTTAAATGAATATCATTGAAGTTGACAAATGTTTCAACCTTAATAGAATATAAATATCTGATCATTAGCAATGAGACAAAGGTAACTCTATCTGTGTATCAACAGACTACTGCAACATCTGCCGTTCAAAAAATTGTGATTCTTTCAAAATTACATAAATATTTGAACCCCTACAAATACTTGGTTATCATGAGTGTTCGTCCATTAAACTAGGAGGATATCTTTGATAACAACAATCTGTTTTCCACATATTGCAATTTGAAAACAATTTGTTGAGACGTATTTACAATAATTCACTCAGGATCATATAATGACAAGGTTTAAATACATCCACATGTACCTGTGGCTTACATTTTAACCGACCAAATTTTCTTCAGTTTCCAAAGGAAAGATAAAAACAAGTACACAAATATTTTTCAGGAAACCAATTCTACAATCTTTCAGAGAAATAAAAGAAAATAACAAATCAACTGCCCACAAGACTTACGTCGGGTTATTGTCACAGTGAAAGAACAGGATTCCGTGTTGCCTGATGGGTCACGGTAGGTATACATTACAGTAGTAATACCAGGTTGGAAACGGCTATTAGGTTCATGGGTCCTTGAGACGAAAGTGACAGTTCCAGAATTGTCAGATACAACTGGCTCACTCCAGGTCACCTCCCTATCATTAGCTGTAAATGGTATGTCAAACGCGACATTCCCTGGGCATTGGACTGAAGGTGGTACTTCGTCAACTACAAACAAATAAAACATCAACCATTTCAGTCAATATTTTGTTGGAATATCTTCCCAGTCCAGAAAATGTGACATATTGCAATTAATATCAGACTTTACAAGACAAAAGTCAATTGACAGGTACACAGGTTCGAATAATGACGGGGAACATGGTGCTTGTGCTCTTTAGCAAGGCACTTTACCATTATTGCTTCGTACTTCCAATGGGACGTAAAGCTGTAGGTCCCATGTGTTGTGTAATGCACGTTAAAAAACACCCAGTAACACTTATTGATAATAGAAGGGGTTCGCCCCGGTGTTTCTGGAAGTGGCTGTAATATGTGCCGCAGCATCTTGTAAACCCTTATAAAAGTGCTACACAATGGGTCTCATATTTCTCATTAACTTCATTTACCTGTCTTTAAAAAAAGACATAATTACCGGCGACTTTACCTAAACATAAACTATAGACTACACTTTCTCATGTTTGAAATAAATAAACCTATAACGCAGGTGAAACATTCATATGACTTCCAAGTATAATCTAAACTTATTCATGTTTTATCACATCGCTGCCAAGTGCCAGTTAAAGTGAGTTTAATTCTTGAATCATTATTCTCGTGCACACACTGAATTGTAAAAAAAAATACACAGCGATCGAACAGAGTTTTATTCTAAACTTGGCCTGCCCGAAACAGAAATCAATTTCTTGCATTTGCTGGCTGATTTACCTGGCTCGGTTTGGGCCGCTCGCTATAATTGTGGATTTTTCTGATTTTTGAATTCATTTCAGAACGTAGTATCAAACTTTACTATTCAAAAATGTTTGACATAACGGAACACCACGTGTATGCACGTTGTGACTATCATACAAGAACGTCAAAGTGTATTCTGTGTATCATGCGTGCACTGAGAAAAAGAAAGTCTGTTGTCTGCACGTAAGACGACATTCATTTTTGCGGCGGGGTGCCGCTGCTTGAAGTCTTGGCACCCCGGGAATGGACTGGTTCTAGTTTGTGATACTGTGTACATAATGTACATTGAACAGTGGGAATCACGAAACCAGATTCAGTTCGTGCACGCAGTACATATTTGCTTGGCTGCTTACAAATTTACGTTGTTTCTGCCAATTTTTTTCTGACAGAAATCTCCACTCACAGCCGCTTTCTACTTGGAATTTTTCCAGGCGTGTCAAATTGGTCAAAACCCGTATTTTATGGGGGAAAAACGCACAATCGTATTTGCAACAAATTCCCATACGAAATACGGCGGAATCGTATTAGTTGGCAGGTCTGTATAAGCCTCCGGTATTATAAGACTCCGGTATTATAGCAGGAATGTTTCATAGGAACTATGGACTCTATGCACAACTACCCCAGCAACTGTTACACAGAGAGAGTTATTAAGGGAAGCACACTGGGCAGGACTCTGGAATGTGTTATTACAGTATGCCAGGCACTCACCCAGACTCCATGGGTTATGTACATTGGGCTTAAATAAGTTTTGCCTACTTGCACAACACGTGCACCAGTTTGTACACACACTGGTTTGTCTTTCCCACTGAAGCTCTAGAAAATGCTCACAGAGCCCATTATTATACAAATAATGAATATTCATGAGTGCAACGGAAGGAATACTGAGACAAAGATTGACTGTAAATTTTACTTCATTTCTATGGCCATCCACAACAGTCAACATAATTGTACATCCAACAGGTAGTAAAAGTTCCAATCCAAACAGTTGTAAACCAACAAGTTCAAAGTTCAAGTCCTAAACTGTTCAAAAACAGTCTAAGGGTCGACGAGTTTACTGTCCAAACATAGTGTTCGCTGCTGTTCGTGTCAGGGTTTGTGTAAAGTAACGGTTGCAATCGACCCAGTGTCAGTATGGACAACATGTACGGTCAACGCGTAGCGCTGCAATCTTTTAGCAATAGCAAAGTTCACGCTCCGTGATGGATATCGAGGCGTGCATGCAATGGAACAAAATGAATGGAACCAAAATGCACGGTAAATGGAACCAAATTGCACGATGTACAACGTAAATCATGCAATGGAATTTCGTCAATGCAATGTGCAACTGATTCAATGTCATGTGACTAAATTCCACCAATCAAATGTCAAGGATCTAGTCAAATGTTAGATAATACTCTTTATACACAGAGTCAACATGAAGTACTTGAAACTATTGAAACAGTTTTACTTTGGCTTCATTCACAACCTTGGTGGAAAAAACTTACCAACTGTCACAGTAAAAGAACATGACATGGAATTGCCTGCACCATCACTGGCAGTATATGTTATAGTGTACGTTCCAAATGCAAAGAAGGAACCCGGAGTTTGCTGTGAATTTGAGGTCAGGAAGACATTTGGTGCAGCTCCACTGTTGTCTGTGGCTGTTGCAGGACTCCATTGTACTTCAATTCCATTCCGATTGCCAGTCGTGACTCGTTGGGTGATGTCAGCTGGGCAAGTGATCACAGGTGGTACACGATCCACTGAAATTAAGAGACATCTCTTAATTTAATTGTACACTTCCAACCAATGATTGGGAAAGGGAAACTGTTGTTTGCAGCTGAAGGAACATTCCATGAGACGTGAATTCCATTCTGAACACCACTTGAGACTTCTTCAACAAGGTTGGATGGGCAAGTCAGTACAGTTCTTATCAATAAGGAATTGATTGCAGTGGAAATGTGCCCATGCACTTTCAAATGTTGCTGATGTTAATTTCCCCATTTAACATTATCAATTGCCTACATTTCTAACTATGGAATTCAAAACTTACCAACTGTCAAAGTAAAAGAACAGGACATGGAATTGCCTGCACCATCACTGGCAGTATATGTTATAGTGTACGTTCCAAATGCAAAGAAGGAACCCGGAGTTTGCTGTGAATTTGAGGTCAGGAAGACATTTGGTGCAGCTCCACTGTTGTCTGTAGCTGTAGGAACATTCCATGACACTTGAATTCCATTCTGACTGCCACTGGTGACTTCTCGTATAATATTGGATGGGCAATTAAGTACAGGTGGTACTCGATCCACTGAAAATTAACAAAAATGGATGATTTATTTGAGAAAAAAGAAGAAAAACAGCAAAACATCATGTAAACATAAACAGACTCATGTACTCGACCAATACAGTAATCAAAATTAGATATGGGTGTCACGATGACTTGAAAGTTAACTACCAGGGATTATCCTTAGCGGTCGCCCGCTCGCCAAATGCGAGTGAAAACAGCGGCAGGCGAGTTAAAACCCTCCTCTCAGTAGTCCGATGGGCGAGTAAAAAAACTGTTAAAAAAAATAAAAATAACGAAGTTTTCCCTACAGTATTTTTCAATCAATCAAAATAAAAAGTTAATGTGATACAACACATGAATACTTTTGCCACGCCGACCGAAATAAAAACATCGGTAGTTCGAATTCGTATCACTCCATGTATATTCGCAGTGCGCTGTGCATTGAAATCCCAACGATGAACATGAGGCGAATCAACGTGTATTTGCCATTACACATTGTGCACACATGCAGCGCACGTAATTTATTTCGTCTGCAGTCCACATGGTATGGACGTACGTACGTTAACATCGTATTCGTATCATACAACGTGGTGAGGAGAAAACTTTCATGACAGTCTGCCAAAACTTGTGCCCGAACAGATTCTTGGGATGATTTCTTGAACACTATCAAACGAATGTACTGAAAAGATGAGGACAATATGAGATTCAAGGAGCCTATTTTGAATGTAAAGACTAGTGAATGTAAAGTGGACCGTGCTCCGGAAAACGTTATGGATTGACGTGACCAGCGGAAGTTCGTGGGTCGCCCGCCCGCAGCGCTTCTTGGCTAGGCACGCTGATTGCACCATTCTTCGCTAGAAATGCATGGCGCGCGCGAGAGATGTTTTTTTGAAAATACTGGCCTTCTCACTCATTTTCAAACAAGTTAAAACAGTTCAGTTACTAACTTGGTAAACTCCCATTAATACCACGACTGTGTGCAATGTTTTCTTGTTCCTCAAGATAACGCTTTTTTAGTTCGTGTTTTATCAAAACATGTCGGAAATAGAACACCTAAAGCCTTAAGTTCGGAACGAAGCACACTGCATAAATTTTGATTATAACTTCTCCCCCTATTTGATTCCTGTTAATTAAAGCCTTGCTCTATGTTAAAGCATGGACGATTAAAGAAACATTGACATCACTTAAAAAGGAACTACATGCAATATTATGTACATGATTAAGATAATTGCCGATTGTATTCATATTGCATAATTTATTATCAAAAATGTTATCAAAAATGCTTATGGTGATTTGATTGAAAGTTACTATTAAAACATGTGGGCTAGTAAAAAAAGGTTGCGGCCAGTGAAAACTCTGGTTTACTGGCCCGGCCGGCCATTAAAGGAAAAAGTTAAGGAAAGGCCCCGAACTACTAGCGCTTTTGTTCCTGTATCGGCTGTCAAATTTCCTTTCTGCTAAAAAATGTATCAACTTGATTACAAATTAAGTTTTTAATCATTTTCTCCATTTGCCAAATATTACTTGATTCAGTTTCAAAAATATCATAGCATTAGTAAAGTAACCTACTTTTCCTTATGCATATTGCTGAATCATTTACTGAAAAACTTACCAACAGTAACAGTAAAGGAACATGACTCGGAATTCCCTTCCGCATCAGCAGCTCTGTAGGTAATTGTGTAGCTTCCAAATGGAAAGAACGAACCAGGTCCTAACTGTGCATTTGATGTCAAGGAGATAGTTGGTTGTATTCCACTGTTGTCTGTGGCTGTGGGTAAATTCCATGTCACTTCAATTCCATTCCGATTGCCAGTCGTAACTTCTTGTAAGATGTTGGCTGGGCAGTTAATCACAGGCGGCACGCCATCCACTGTACAAAATAAGAAAAGATCCCCCATCTGACAAATGTTTCAACCTTAATAGAATATTAACATCTGACCATTAGCAATGAGATAAAGGTAACTTTATCCGTGTATCAACAGACTACTGCAACATCTGCCGTTCAGAAAATTGTGCTTCATTCAAAATTACATGAATATTTGACCCCTACAAATACTTGGTTATCATTATTTTTTAGTCCAATAAACAAGGAGGATATCTTTGATAACAACAATCTGTTTTCCACATATTGCAATTTGAAAACAATTTGTTGAGAGGTTTGTACAATAATTCACTCAGGATCATATAATGACAAGGTTTAAATACATCCACATGTACCTGTGGCTTACATTTTAACCGACCAAATTTTCTTCAGTTTTCAAAAGAAAGATAAAAACAAGTACACAAATATTTTTCAGGAAACCAACTGAACAATCTTTCACAGAAATAAAAGAAAATAACAAATCAACTGCCCACAAGACTTACGTCGGGTTATTGTCACAGTGAAAGAACAGGATTCCGTGTTGCCTGATGGGTCACGGTAGGTATACATTACAGTAGTAATACCAGGTTGGAAACGGCTATTAGGTTCATGGGTCCTTGAGACGAAAGTGACAGTTCCAGAATTGTCAGATACAACTGGCTCACTCCAGGTCACTGCCCTATCATTAGCTGTAAATGGTATGGTAAACGCGACATTCCCTGGGCATTGGACTGAAGGTGGTACTTCGTCAACTACAAACAAATAAAACATCAATCGTTTCAGTCATGTTTATTTGGAATATCTTTCAAGTCAAGAAAATGTGCCATATTCCAATTCATCTCAGCTCTTAAAGCACACATCACTAAACAGCAGCAGACATATCAAACAAATATTATAGCAGGAATGTTACATGTACCCAATCAAAAAAAAAAAAAATTCTTTAAATGAGACTATATTAATCACTTTACACAACTGACACACTTAATCTTGATTTCGGTAACATACATCCTTGATAAAAAAACTTACCAACTGTCACAGTAAAAGAACATGGAATGGAATTGCCTGTCCCATCACTGGCAGTATATATTATAGTGTATGTTCCAAATGCAAAGAAGGAACCCGGACTTTGCTGTGAATTTGAGGTCAGGAAGACATTTGGTGCAGCTCCACTGTTGTCTGTGGCTGTTGCAGGACTCCATTGTACTTCAATTCCATTCTGATTGCCAGTCGTGACTCGTTGGGTGATGTCAGCTGGGCAAGTGATCACAGGTGGTACACGATCCACTGAAATTAAGAGACATCTCTTAATTTAATTGTACACTTCCAACCGATGATTGGGAAAGGGAAACTGTTGTTTGCAGCTCAAGGAACATTCCATGACACTTGAATTCCATTCTGAACACCACTTGAGACTTCTTTAACAAGGTTGGATGGGCAAGTCAGTACAGTTCTTATCAATAAGGAATTGATTGCAGTGGACATGTGCCCATGCACTATCACATGTTGCTGATGTTAATTTCCCCATTTAACATTACCAATTGCCTACATTTCTAACAATGGAATTCAAAACTTACCAACGTTAACTGTAAAAGAACAGGACATGGAATTGCCTGCACCATCACTGGCAGTATATGTTATAGTGTACGTTCCAAATGCAAAGAAGGAACCCGGAGTTTGCTGTGAATTTGAGGTCAGGAAGACATTTGGTGCAGCTCCACTGTTGTCTGTAGCTGTAGGAACAGTCCACGACACTTGAATTCCATTCTGATTGCCACTGGTGACCTCTTGTATAATATTGGAAGGGCAATTGAGTACAGGTGGTACTCGATCAACTGAAAATTAACAACAATGGATGATTTATTTGAGAAAAAAATGAAGAAAAACAGCAAAACATCATGTGAAAAATAAACAGACACATATACTCAACCAATATAGTAATCAAAATTAGATATGGGTGTTATGATGACTTTAAAGTAGTAAACTATTAGTCCTTTTGTTCCTGTGTCGGCTGTCAAATTTCCTTTCCGCTAAATAATGTATCAACTTGATTACAAATTAAGTTTTTAATCCTTTTCTCCATTTGCCAAATATAACTTGATTCAGTTTCAAAAATATCATAGCATTAGTAAAGTAACCTACTTTTCCTTATGCATATTGCTGAATCATTTACTGAAAAACTTACCAACAGTAACAGTAAAGGAACATGACTCGGAATTCCCTTCCGCATCAGCAGCTCTGTAGGTAATTGTGTAGCTTCCAAATGGAAAGAACGAACCAGGTCCTAACTGTGCATTTGATGTCAAGGAGATAGTTGGTTGTATTCCACTGTTGTCTGTGGCTGTGGGTAAATTCCATGTCACTTCAATTCCATTCCGATTGCCAGTCGTGACTTCTTGTAAGATGTTGGCTGGGCAGTTAATCACAGGCGGCACGCCATCCACTGTACAAAATAAGAAAAGATCCCCCATCTGAAAAATGTTTCAACCTTAATAGAATATTACCATCTGACCATTAGCAATGAGATAATGGTAACTTTATCTGTGTATCAACAGACTACTGCAACATCTGCCGTTCAGAAAATTGTGCTTCATTCAAAATTACATGAATATTTGACCCCTACAAATACTTGGTTATCATTATTTTTTAGTCCAATAAACAAGGAGGATATCTTTGAAAACAACAATCTGTTTTCCACATATTGCAATTTGAAAACAATTTGTTGAGAGGTTTGTACAATAATTCACTCAGGATCATATAATGACAAGGTTTAAATACATCCACATGTACCTGTGGCTTACATTTTAACCAACCAAATTTTCTTCAGTTTTCAAAAGAAAGAAAAAACAAAGAACACAAAGATTTTTCAGGAAACCAACTGTACAATCTTTCACAGAAATAAAAGAAAATAACAAATCAACTGCCCACAAGACTTACGTCGGGTTATTGTCACAGTGAAAGAACAGGATTCCGTGTTGCCTGATGGGTCACGGTAGGTATACATTACAGTAGTAATACCAGGTTGGAAACGGCTATTAGGTTCATGGGTCCTTGAGACGAAAGTGACAGTTCCAGAATTGTCAGATACAACTGGCTCACTCCAGGTCACTGCCCTATCATTAGCTGTAAATGGTATGGTAAACGCGACATTCCCTGGGCATTGGACTGAAGGTGGTACTTCGTCAACTACAAACAAATAAAACATCAATCGTTTCAGTCATGTTTATTTGGAATATCTTTCAAGTCAAGAAAATGTGCCATATTCCAATTCATCTCAGCTCTTAAAGCACACATCACTAAACAGCAGCAGACATATCAAACAAATATTATAGCAGGAATGTTACATGTACCCAATCCAAAAAAAAAAAAATATTCTTTAAATGAGACTATATTAATCACTTTACACAACTGACACACTTAATCTTGATTTCGGTAACATACATCCTTGATAAAAAAAAACTTACCAACTGTCACAGTAAAAGAACATGGAATGGAATTGCCTGTCCCATCACTGGCAGTATATATTATAGTGTATGTTCCAAATGCAAAGAAGGAACCCGGACTTTGCTGTGAATTTGAGGTCAGGAAGACATTTGGTGCAGCTCCACTGTTGTCTGTGGCTGTTGCAGGACTCCATTGTACTTCAATTCCATTCTGATTGCCAGTCGTGACTCGTTGGGTGATGTCAGCTGGGCAAGTGATCACAGGTGGTACACGATCCACTGAAATTAAGAGACATCTCTTAATTTAATTGTACACTTCCAACCGATGATTGGGAAAGGGAAACTGTTGTTTGCAGCTGAAGGAACATTCCATGACACTTGAATTCCATTCTGAACACCACTTGAGACTTCTTTTACAAGGTTGGATGGGCAAGTCAGTACAGTTCTTATCAATAAGGAATTGATTGCAGTGGACATGTGCCCATGCACTATCACATGTTGCTGATGTTAATTTCCCCATTTAACATTACCAATTGCCTACATTTCTAACAATGGAATTCAAAACTTACCAACGTTAACTGTAAAAGAACAGGACATGGAATTGCCTGCACCATCACTGGCAGTATATGTTATAGTGTACGTTCCAAATGCAAAGAAGGAACCCGGAGTTTGCTGTGCATTTGAGGTCAGGAAGACATTTGGTGCAGCTCCACTGTTGTCTGTAGCTGTAGGAACAGTCCACGACACTTGAATTCCATTCTGATTGCCACTGGTGACCTCTTGTATAATATTGGATGGGCAATTGAGTACAGGTGGTACTCGATCAACTGAAAATTAACAACAATGGATGATTTATTTGAGAAAAAAATGAAGAAAAACAGCAAAACATCATGTGAAAAATAAACAGACACATATACTCAACCAATATAGTAATCAAAATTAGATATGGGTGTTATGATGACTTAAAAGTAGTAAACTATTAGTCCTTTTGTTCCTGTGTCGGCTGTCAAATTTCCTTTCCGCTAAATAATGTATCAACTTGATTACAAATTAAGTTTTTAATCCTTTTCTCCATTTGCCAAATATTACTTGATTCAGTTTCAAAAATATCATAGCGTTAGTAAAGTAACCTACTTTTCCTTATGCATATTGCTGAATCATTTACTGAAAAACTTACCAACAGTAACAGTAAAGGAACATGACTCGGAATTCCCTTCCGCATCAGCAGCTCTGTAGGTAATTGTGTAGCTTCCAAATGGAAAGAACGAACCAGGTCCTAACTGTGCATTTGATGTCAAGGTGATAGTTGGTTGTATTCCACTGTTGTCTGTGGCTGTGGGTAAATTCCATGTCACTTCAATTCCATTCCGATTGCCAGTCGTGACTTCTTGTAAGATGTTGGCTGGGCAGTTAATCACAGGCGGCACGCCATCCACTGTACACAAAATAAGAAAAGATCCCCCATCTGACAAATGTTTCAACTTTAATAGAATATTAATATCCGACCATTAGCAATGAGACAAAGGTAACTCTATCTGTGTATCAACAGACTACTGCAACATTTGCCGTTCAGAAATTTGTGCTTCATTCAAAATTACATGAATATTTGAACCACTACAAATACTTGGTTATCATGAGTGTTCGTCCATTAAACAAGGAGGATATCTTTGGTAACAACAATCTGTTTTCCACATATTGCAATTTGAAAACAATTTGTTGAGAGATTTGTACAATAATTCACTTAGGATCATATAATGACAAGGTTTAAATACATCCACATGTACCTGTGGCTTACATTTTAACTGACCACATTTTCTTCAGTTTTCAAAGGAAAGATAAAAACAAAGAACACAAAGATTTTTCAGGAAACCAACTGTACAATCTTTCACAGAAATAAAAGAAAATAACAAATCAACTGCCAACAAGACTTACGTCGGGTTATTGTCACAGTGAAAGAACAGGATTCCGTGTTGCCTGATGGGTCACGGTAGGTATACATTACAGTAGTAATACCAGGTTGGAAACGGCTATTAGGTTCATGGGTCCTTGAGACGAAAGTGACAGTTCCAGAATTGTCAGATACAACTGGCTCACTCCAGGTCACTGCCCTATCATTAGCTGTAAATGGTATGGTAAATGCGACATTCCCTGGGCATTGGACTGAAGGTGGTACTTCGTCAACTACAAACAAATAAAACATCAATCGTTTCAGTCATGTTTATTTGGAATATCTTTCAAGTCAAGAAAATGTGCCATATTCCAATTCATCTCAGCTCTTAAAGCACACATCACTAAACAGCAGCAGACATATCAAACAAATATTATAGCAGGAATGTTACATGTACCCAATCCAAAAAAAAAAAATATTCTTTAAATGAGACTATATTAATCACTTTACACAACTGACACACTTAATCTTGATTTCGGTAACATACATCCTTGATAAAAAAAAACTTACCAACTGTCACAGTAAAAGAACATGGAATGGAATTGCCTGTCCCATCACTGGCAGTATATATTATAGTGTATGTTCCAAATGCAAAGAAGGAACCCGGACTTTGCTGTGAATTTGAGGTCAGGAAGACATTTGGTGCAGCTCCACTGTTGTCTGTGGCTGTTGCAGGACTCCATTGTACTTCAATTCCATTCTGATTGCCAGTCGTGACTCGTTGGGTGATGTCAGCTGGGCAAGTGATCACAGGTGGTACACGATCCACTGAAATTAAGAGACATCTCTTAATTTAATTGTACACTTCCAACCGATGATTGGGAAAGGGAAACTGTTGTTTGCAGCTGAAGGAACATTCCATGACACTTGAATTCCATTCTGAACACCACTTGAGACTTCTTTTACAAGGTTGGATGGGCAAGTCAGTACAGTTCTTATCAATAAGGAATTGATTGCAGTGGACATGTGCCCATGCACTATCACATGTTGCTGATGTTAATTTCCCCATTTAACATTACCAATTGCCTACATTTCTAACAATGGAATTCAAAACTTACCAACGTTAACTGTAAAAGAACAGGACATGGAATTGCCTGCACCATCACTGGCAGTATATGTTATAGTGTACGTTCCAAATGCAAAGAAGGAACCCGGAGTTTGCTGTGCATTTGAGGTCAGGAAGACATTTGGTGCAGCTCCACTGTTGTCTGTAGCTGTAGGAACAGTCCACGACACTTGAATTCCATTCTGATTGCCACTGGTGACCTCTTGTATAATATTGGATGGGCAATTGAGTACAGGTGGTACTCGATCAACTGAAAATTAACAACAATGGATGATTTATTTGAGAAAAAAATGAAGAAAAACAGCAAAACATCATGTGAAAAATAAACAGACACATATACTCAACCAATATAGTAATCAAAATTAGATATGGGTGTTATGATGACTTAAAAGTAGTAAACTATTAGTCCTTTTGTTCCTGTGTCGGCTGTCAAATTTCCTTTCCGCTAAATAATGTATCAACTTGATTACAAATTAAGTTTTTAATCCTTTTCTCCATTTGCCAAATATTACTTGATTCAGTTTCAAAAATATCATAGCGTTAGTAAAGTAACCTACTTTTCCTTATGCATATTGCTGAATCATTTACTGAAAAACTTACCAACAGTAACAGTAAAGGAACATGACTCGGAATTCCCTTCCGCATCAGCAGCTCTGTAGGTAATTGTGTAGCTTCCAAATGGAAAGAACGAACCAGGTCCTAACTGTGCATTTGATGTCAAGGTGATAGTTGGTTGTATTCCACTGTTGTCTGTGGCTGTGGGTAAATTCCATGTCACTTCAATTCCATTCCGATTGCCAGTCGTGACTTCTTGTAAGATGTTGGCTGGGCAGTTAATCACAGGCGGCACGCCATCCACTGTACACAAAATAAGAAAAGATCCCCCATCTGACAAATGTTTCAACTTTAATAGAATATTAATATCCGACCATTAGCAATGAGACAAAGGTAACTCTATCTGTGTATCAACAGACTACTGCAACATTTGCCGTTCAGAAATTTGTGCTTCATTCAAAATTACATGAATATTTGAACCACTACAAATACTTGGTTATCATGAGTGTTCGTCCATTAAACAAGGAGGATATCTTTGGTAACAACAATCTGTTTTCCACATATTGCAATTTGAAAACAATTTGTTGAGAGACTTGTACAATAATTCACTTAGGATCATATAATGACAAGGTTTAAATACATCCACATGTACCTGTGGCTTACATTTTAACTGACCACATTTTCTTCAGTTTTCAAAGGAAAGATAAAAACAAAGAACACAAAGATTTTTCAGGAAACCAACTGTACAATCTTTCACAGAAATAAAAGAAAATAACAAATCAACTGCCAACAAGACTTACGTCGGGTTATTGTCACAGTGAAAGAACAGGATTCCGTGTTGCCTGATGGGTCACGGTAGGTATACATTACAGTAGTAATACCAGGTTGGAAACGGCTATTAGGTTCATGGGTCCTTGAGACGAAAGTGACAGTTCCAGAATTGTCAGATACAACTGGCTCACTCCAGGTCACTTCCCTATCATTAGCTGTAAATGGTATGGTAAACGCGACATTCCCTGGGCATTGGACTGAAGGTGGTACTTCGTCAACTACAAACAAATAAAACATCAATCGTTTCAGTCATGTTTATTTGGAATATCTTTCAAGTCAAGAAAATGTGCCATATTCCAATTCATCTCAGCTCTTACAGCACACACGTCACTAAACAGCAGCAGACACATCAAACAAACATTACAGCAGGAATGTTACATGTCCCCAATCCAAAAAAAAATCTCTTCTTCAAATGAGACTCAATGAATCACTTTACACAACTGACACACTTAATCTTGATTTCAGAAACATAAATCCTTGATGAACAAAAAACTTACCAACTGTCACAGTAAAAGAACATGTCATGGAATTGCCTGCCCCATCTGAGGCAATGTAGAGAATGCTGTAGGTTCCAAACTGAAAGAAGGAGCCAGGTCCTTGTTGTGAATTTGAGCCCAGAAAGACATTTGGTTCAGCTCCACTGTTGTCTGTGGCTGTTGCAGGACTCCATTGTACTTCAATTCCATTCCGATTACCAGTCGTGACTCGTTGGGTGATGTCAGCTGGGCAAGTGATCACAGGTGGTACAAGATCCACTGAAATTAAGAGACATCTCTTAATTTAATTGTACACTTCCAACCGATGAATGGGAAAGGCAAACTGTTGTTTGCAGCTGAAGGAACATTTCATGACACTTGAATTCCATTCTGAATGCCACTTGAGACTTCTTTAACAAGGTTGGATGGGCAAGTCAGTACAGTTCTTATCAATAAGGAATTGATTGCAGTGGAAATGTGTCCATGCACTATCAAATGTTGCTGATGTTAATTTCCCCATTTAACATTATCAATTGCCTACATTTCTAACAATGGAATTCAAAACTTACCAACGTTAACTGTAAAAGAACAGGACATGGAATTGCCTGCACCATCACTGGCAGTATATGTTATAGTGTATGTTCCAAATGCAAAGAAGGAACCCGGAGTTTGCTGTGAATTTGAGGTCAGGAAGACATTTGGTGCAGCTCCACTGTTGTCTGTAGCTGTAGGAACAGTCCACGACACTTGAATTCCATTCTGATTGCCACTGGTGACTTCTTGTATAATATTGGATGGGCAATTGAGTACAGGTGGTACTCGATCCACTGAAAATTAACAACAATGGATATCGATGATTTATTTGAGAAAAAAATGAAGAAAAACGGCAAAACATCATGTGAAAAATAAACAGACACATATACTCAACCAATATAGTAATCAAAATTAGATATGAGTGTTATGATGACTTTAAAGTAGTAAACTATTAGTCGTTTTGTTCCTGTGTCGGCTGTCAAATTTCCTTTCCGCTAAATAATGTATCAACTTGATTACAAATTAAGTTTTTAATCCTTTTCTCCATTTGCCAGATATTACTTGATTCAGTTTCAAAAATATCATAGCGTTAGTAAAGTAACCTACTTTTCCTTATGCATATTGCTGAATCATTTACTGAAAAACTTACCAACAGTAACAGTAAAGGAACATGACTCGGAATTCCCTTCCGCATCAGCAGCTCTGTAGGTAATTGTGTAGCTTCCAAATGGAAAGAACGAACCAGGTCCTAACTGTGCATTTGATGTCAAGGTGATAGTTGGTTGTATTCCACTGTTGTCTGTGGCTGTGGGTAAATTCCATGTCACTTCAATTCCATTCCGATTGCCAGTCGTGACTTCTTGTAAGATGTTGGCTGGGCAGTTAATCACAGGCGGCACGCCATCCACTGTACACAAAATAAGAAAAGATCCCCCATCTGACAAATGTTTCAACTTTAATAGAATATTAATATCCGACCATTAGCAATGAGACAAAGGTAACTCTATCTGTGTATCAACAGACTACTGCAACATTTGCCGTTCAGAAAATTGTGCTTCATTCAAAATTACATGAATATTTGAACCACTACAAATACTTGGTTATCATGAGTGTTCGTCCATTAAACAAGGAGGATATCTTTGGTAACAACAATCTGTTTTCCACATATTGCAATTTGAAAACAATTTGTTGAGAGATCTGTACAATAATTCACTTAGGATCATATAATGACAAGGTTTAAATACATCCACATGTACCTGTGGCTTACATTTTAACTGACCACATTTTCTTCAGTTTTCAAAGGAAAGATAAAAACAAAGAACACAAATATTTTTCAGGAAACCAACTGTACAATCTTTCACAGAAATAAAAGAAAATAACAAATCAACTGCCCACAAGACTTACGTCGGGTTATTGTCACAGTGAAAGAACAGGATTCCGTGTTGCCTGATGGGTCACGGTAGGTATACATTACAGTAGTAATACCAGGTTGGAAACGGCTATTAGGTTCATGGGTCCTTGAGACGAAAGTGACAGTTCCAGAATTGTCAGATACAACTGGCTCACTCCAGGTCACTTCCCTATCATTAGCTGTAAATGGTATGGTAAACGCGACATTCCCTGGGCATTGGACTGAAGGTGGTACTTCGTCAACTACAAACAAATAAAACATCAATCGTTTCAGTCATGTTTATTTGGAATATCTTTCAAGTCAAGAAAATGTGCCATATTCCAATTCATCTCAGCTCTTACAGCACACACGTCACTAAACAGCAGCAGACACATCAAACAAACATTACAGCAGGAATGTTAAATGTCCCCAATCCAAAAAAAAATCTCTTCTTCAAATGAGACTCAATGAATCACTTTACACAACTGACACACTTAATCTTGATTTCAGAAACATAAATCCTTGATGAACAAAAAACTTACCAACTGTCACAGTAAAAGAACATGTCATGGAATTGCCTGCCCCATCTGAGGCAATGTAGAGAATGCTGTAGGTTCCAAACTGAAAGAAGGAGCCAGGTCCTTGTTGTGAATTTGAGCCCAGAAAGACATTTGGTTCAGCTCCACTGTTGTCTGTGGCTGTTGCAGGACTCCATTGTACTTCAATTCCATTCCGATTACCAGTCGTGACTCGTTGGGTGATGTCAGCTGGGCAAGTGATCACAGGTGGTACACGATCCACTGAAATTAAGAGACATCTCTTAATTTAATTGTACCCTTCCAACCGATGAATGGGAAAGGCAAACTGTTGTTTGCAGCTGAAGGAACATTTCATTTCACTTGAATTCCATTCTGAATGCCACTTGAGACTTCTTTAACAAGGTTGGATGGGCAAGTCAGTACAGTTCTTATCAATAAGGAATTGATTGCAGTGGAAATGTGTCCATGCACTATCAAATGTTGCTGATGTTAATTTCCCCATTTAACATTATCAATTGCCTACATTTCTAACAATGGAATTCAAAACTTACCAACTGTCAAAGTAAAAGAACAGGACATGGAATTGCCTGCACCATCACTGGCAGTATATGTTATAGTGTATGTTCCAAATGCAAAGAAGGAACCCGGAGTTTGCTGTGAATTTGAGGTCAGGAAGACATTTGGTGCAGCTCCACTGTTGTCTGTAGCTGTAGGAACAGTCCACGACACTTGAATTCCATTCTGATTGCCACTGCTGACTTCTTGTATAATATTGGATGGGCAATTGAGTACAGGTGGTACTCGATCCACTGAAAATTAACAACAATGGATATCGATGATTTATTTGAGAAAAAAATGAAGAAAAACAGCAAAACATCATGTGAAAAATAAACAGACACATATACTCAACCAATATAGTAATCAAAATTAGATATGGGTGTTATGATGACTTTAAAGTAGTAAACTATTAGTCCTTTTGTTCCTGTGTCGGCTGTCAAATTTCCTTTCCGCTAAATAATGTATCAACTTGATTACAAATTAAGTTTTTAATCCTTTTCTCCATTTGCCAGATATTACTAGATTCAGTTTCAAAAATATCATAGCGTTAGTAAAGTAACCTACTTTTCCTTATGCATATTGCTGAATCATTTACTGAAAAACTTACCAACAGTAACAGTAAAGGAACATGACTCGGAATTCCCTTCCGCATCAGCAGCTCTGTAGGTAATTGTGTAGCTTCCAAATGGAAAGAACGAACCAGGTCCTAACTGTGCATTTGATGTCAAGGTGATAGTTGGTTGTATTCCACTGTTGTCTGTTGCTGTGGGTAAATTCCATGTCACTTCAATTCCATTCCGATTGCCAGTCGTGACTTCTTGTAAGATGTTGGCTGGGCAGTTAATCACAGGCGGCACGCCATCCACTGTACACAAAATAAGAAAAGATCCCCCATCTGACAAATGTTTCAACTTTAATAGAATATTAATATCCGACCATTAGCAATGAGACAAAGGTAACTCTATCTGTGTATCAACAGACTACTGCAACATTTGCCGTTCAGAAAATTGTGCTTCATTCAAAATTACATGAATATTTGAACCACTACAAATACTTGGTTATCATGAGTGTTCGTCCATTAAACAAGGAGGATATCTTTGGTAACAACAATCTGTTTTCCACATATTGCAATTTGAAAACAATTTGTTGAGAGATCTGTACAATAATTCACTTAGGATCATATAATGACAAGGTTTAAATACATCCACATGCACCTGTGGCTTACATTTTAACTGACCACATTTTCTTCAGTTTTCAAAGGAAAGATAAAAACAAAGAACACAAATATTTTTCAGGAAACCAACTGTACAATCTTTCACAGAAATAAAAGAAAATAACAAATCAACTGCCCCCAAGACTTACGTCGGGTTATTGTCACAGTGAAAGAACAGGATTCCGTGTTGCCTGATGGGTCACGGTAGGTATACATTACAGTAGTAATACCAGGTTGGAAACGGCTATTAGGTTCATGGGTCCTTGAGACGAAAGTGACAGTTCCAGAATTGTCAGATACAACTGGCTCACTCCAGGTCACTTCCCTATCATTAGCTGTAAATGGTATGGTAAACGCGACATTCCCTGGGCATTGGACTGAAGGTGGTACTTCGTCAACTACAAACAAATAAAACATCAATCGTTTCAGTCATGTTTATTTGGAATATCTTTCAAGTCAAGAAAATGTGCCATATTCCAATTCATCTCAGCTCTTACAGCACACACGTCACTAAACAGCAGCAGACACATCAAACAAACATTACAGCAGGAATGTTACATGTCCCCAATCCAAAAAAAAATCTCTTCTTCAAATGAGACTCAATGAATCACTTTACACAACTGACACACTTAATCTTGATTTCAGAAACATAAATCCTTGATGAACAAAAAACTTACCAACTGTCACAGTAAAAGAACATGTCATGGAATTGCCTGCCCCATCTGAGGCAATGTAGAGAATGCTGTAGGTTCCAAACTGAAAGAAGGAGCCAGGTCCTTGTTGTGAATTTGAGCCCAGAAAGACATTTGGTTCAGCTCCACTGTTGTCTGTGGCTGTTGCAGGACTCCATTGTACTTCAATTCCATTCCGATTACCAGTCGTGACTCGTAGGGTGATGTCAGCTGGGCAAGTGATCACAGGTGGTACACGATCCACTGAAATTAAGAGACATCTCTTAATTTAATTGTACACTTCCAACCGATGAATGGGAAAGGCAAACTGTTGTTTGCAGCTGAAGGAACATTTCATGACACTTGAATTCCATTCTGAATGCCACTTGAGACTTCTTTAACAAGGTTGGATGGGCAAGTCAGTACAGTTCTTATCAATAAGTAATTGATTGCAGTGGAAATTTGTCTATGCACTGTCAAATGTTGCTGATGTTAATTTCCCCATTTAACATTATCAATTGCCTACATTTCTAACAATGGAATTCAAAACTTACCAACGTTAACAGTAAAAGAACAGGACATGGAATTGCCTGCACCATCACTGGCAGTATATGTTATAGTGTATGTTCCAAATGCAAAGAAGGAACCCGGAGTTTGCTGTGAATTTGAGGTCAGGAAGACATTTGGTGCAGCTCCACTGTTGTCTGTAGCTGTAGGAACAGTCCATGACACTTGAATTCCATTCTGATTGCCACTGGTGACTTCTTGTATAATATTGGATGGGCAATTGAGTACAGGTGGTACTCGATCCACTGAAAATTAACAACAATGGATGATTTAATTGAAAACAGAAGAAAAACAGCAAACCATCATGTGAAAAATAAGCAGACTAATGTACTCAACCAATATAGTAATCAAAATTAGATATGGGTGTTATGATGACTTTAAAGTAGTAAACTATTAGTCCTTTTGTTCCTGTGTCGGCTGTCAAATTTCCTTTCCGATAAATAATGTATCAACTTGATTACAAATTAAGTTTTTTTTATCCTTTTCTCCATTTGCCAGATATTACTTGATTCAGTTTCAAAAATATCATAGCGTTAGTAAAGTAACCTACTTTTCCTTATGCATATTGCTGAATCATTTACTGAAAAACTTACCAACAGTAACAGTAAAGGAACATGACTCGGAATTCCCTTCCGCATCAGTAGCTCTGTAAGTAATTGTGTAGCTTCCAAATGGAAAGAACGAACCAGGTCCTAACTGTGCATTTGATGTCAAGGAGATAGTTGGTTGTATTCCACTGTTGTCTGTGGCTGTGGGTAAATTCCATGTCACTTCAATTCCATTCCGATTGCCAGTCGTGACTTCTTGTAAGATGTTGGCTGGGCAGTTAATCACAGGCGGCACGCCATCCACTGTAAACAATAAGAAAAGATCCCCCATCTGACAAATGTTTCAACCTTACTAGAATAATAATATCTGACCATTAGCAATGAGACAAAGGTAACTCTATCTGTGTATCAACAGACTACTGCAACAACTGCCGTTCAGAAAATTGTGCTTCATTCAAAATTACATGAATATTTGACACCTACAAAAACTTGGTTATCATGAGTGTCCGTCCATTAAACAAGGAGGATATCTTTGATAACAACAATCTGTTTTCCACATATTGCAATTTGAAAACAATTTGTTGAGAAGTTTTAACAATAATTCACTCAGGATCATATAATGACAAGGTTTAAATACCCACATGTACCTGTGGCTTACATTTTAACCGACCAAATTGTCTTCAGTTTTCAAAGGAAAGATAAAAACAAGTTCACAAATATTTTTCAGGAAACCAATTGTACAATCTTTCAGAGAAATAAAAGAAAACAAAAAATCAACTGCCCACAAGACTTACGTCGGGTTATTGTTACAGTGAAAGTACAGGATTCTGTGTTGCCTGCTGGGTCACGGTAGGTATACATTACAGTAGTAATACCAGGTTGGAAACGGCTATTAGGTTCATGGGTCCTTGAGACGAAACTGACAGTTCCAGAATTGTCAGATACAACTGGCTCACTCCAGTCCACTTCCCTATCATTAGCTGTAAATGGTATGGTAAACGCGACATTCCCTGGGCATTGGACTGAAGGTGGTACTCCGTCAACTACAAACAAATAAAACATCAATCGTTTCAGTCATATTTATTTGGAATATCTTCCAAGTCAAGAAAATGTGCCATATTCCAATTAATCGCAGATCTTATACCACACATGTCACTAAACAGCAGCAGACACATCAAACAAACATTACAGCAGGAATGTTAAATGTCCCCAATCCAAAAAAAATCTCTTCTTCAAATGAGACTTAATGAATCACTTTACACAACTGACACACTTAATCTTGATTTCAGAAACATAAATCCTTGATGAAAAAAAAACTTACCAACTGTCACAGTAAAAGAACATGTCATGGAATTGCCTGCCCCATCTGAGGCAATGTAGAGAATGCTGTAGGTTCCAAACTGAAAGAAGGAGCCAGGTCCTTGTTGTGAATTTGAGCCCAGAAAGACATTTGGTTCAGCTCCACTGTTGTCTGTGGCTGTTGCAGGACTCCATTGTACTTCAATTCCATTCCGATTACCAGTCGTGACTCGTTGGGTGATGTCAGCTGGGCAAGTGATCACAGGTGGTACACGATCCACTGAAATTAAGAGACATCTCTTAATTTAATTGTACACTTCCAACCGATGAATGGGAAAGGGAAACTGTTGTTTGCAGCTGAAGGAACATTCCATGACACTTGAATTCCATTCTGAACGCCACTTGAGACTTCTTTAACAAGGTTGGATGGGCAAGTCAGTACAGTTCTTATCAATAAGGAATTGATTGCAGTGGAAATGTGTCCATGCACTGTCAAATGTTGCTGATGTTAAATTTTTCCATTTAACATTATCAATTGCCTACATTTCTAACAATGGAATTCAAAACTTACCAACATTAACAGTAAAAGAACAGGACATGGAATTGCCTGCACCATCACTGGCAGTATATGTTATAGTGTATGTTCCAAATGCAAAGAAGGAACCCGGAGTTTGCTGTGAATTTGAGGTCAGGAAGACATTTGGTGCAGCTCCACTGTTGTCTGTAGCGGTAGGAACATTCCATGACACTTGAATTCCATTCTGATTGCCACTGGTGACTTCTTGTATAATATTGGATGGGCAATTGAGTACAGGTGGTACTCGATCCACTGAAAATTAACAAAAATGGAAGATTTATTTGAGAAAAAAGAAGAAAAGCAGCAAAACATCATGTGAAAAATAAACAGACTCATGTAGTCAACCAATATAGTAATCAAAATTAGATATAGGCGTTATGATGACTTGAAAGTAAACTACTAGCGCTTTTGTTCCTGTATCGGCTGTCAAATTTCTTTTCTGCTCAATAATGTATCAACTTGATTACAAATTAAGTTTTAAATCCTTTTCTCCATTTGCCAGATATTACTTGATTCAGTTTCAAAAATATCATAGCGTTAGTAAAGTAACCTACTTTTCCTTATGCATATTGCTGAATCATTTACTGAAAAACTTACCAACAGTAACAGTAAAGGAACATGACTCAGAATTCCCTTCCGCATCAGTAGCTCTGTAAGTAATTGTGTAGCTTCCAAATGGAAAGAACGAACCAGGTCCTAACTGTGCATTTGATGTCAAGGAGATAGTTGGTTGTATTCCACTGTTGTCTGTGGCTGTGGGTAAATTCCATGTCACTTCAATTCCATTCTGATTGCCAGTCGTGACTTCTTGTAAGATGTTGGCTGGGCAGTTAATCACAGGCGGCACGCCATCCACTGTACAAAATAAGAAAAGATCCCCCATCTGACAAATGTTTCAACCTTAATAGAATATTAACATCTGACCATTAGCAATGAGATAAAGGTAACTCTATCTGTGTATCAACAGACTACTGCAACATCTGCCGTTCAGAAAATTGTGCTTCATTCAAAATTACATGAATATTTGACCCCTACAAATACTTGGTTATCATGAGTGTTCGTCCATTAAACAAGGAGGATATCTTTGATAACAACAATCTGTTTTCCACATATTGCAATTTGAAAACAATTTGTTGAGAAGTTTTAACAATAATTCACTCAGGATCATATAATGACAAGGTTTAAATACATCCACATGTACCTGTGGCTTACATTTTAACCGACCAAATTGTCTTCAGTTTTCAAAGGAAAGATAAAAACAAGTTCACAAATATTTTTCAGGAAACCAATTGTACAATCTTTCAGAGAAATAAAAGAAAACAAAAAATCAACTGCCCACAAGACTTACGTCGGGTTATTGTTACAGTGAAAGTACAGGATTCTGTGTTGCCTGCTGGGTCACGGTAGGTATACATTACAGTAGTAATACCAGGTTGGAAACGGCTATTAGGTTCATGGGTCCTTGAGACGAAACTGACAGTTCCAGAATTGTCAGATACAACTGGCTCACTCCAGTCCACTTCCCTATCATTAGCTGTAAATGGTATGGTAAACGCGACATTCCCTGGGCATTGGACTGAAGGTGGTACTCCGTCAACTACAAACAAATAAAACATCAATCGTTTCAGTCATATTTATTTGGAATATCTTCCAAGTCAAGAAAATGTGCCATATTCCAATTAATCGCAGATCTTATACCACACACGTCACTAAACAGCAGCAGACACATCAAACAACCATTACAGCAGGAATGTTAAATGTCCCCAATCCAAAAAAAAAAATTTCTTCTTCAAATGAGACTTAATGAATCACTTTACACACCTGACACACTTAATCTTGATTTCAGAAACATAAATCCTTGATGAACAAAAAACTTACCAACTGTCACAGTAAAAGAACATGTCATGGAATTGCCTGCCCCATCTGAGGCAATGTAGAGAATGCTGTAGGTTCCAAACTGAAAGAAGGAGCCAGGTCCTTGTTGTGAATTTGAGCCCAGAAAGACATTTGGTACAGCTCCACTGTTGTCTGTGGCTGTTGCTGGACTCCATTGTACTTCAATTCCATTCCGATTACCAGTTGTGACTCGTTGGGTGATGTCAGCTGGGCAAGTGATCACAGGTGGTACACGATCCACTGAAATTAAGAGACATCTCTTAATTTAATTGTACACTTCCAACCCATGATTGGGAAAGGGAAACTGTTGTTTGCAGCTGAAGGAACATTCCATGGCACTTGAATTCCATTCTGAACGCCACTTGAGACTTCTTCAACAAGGTTGGATGGGCAAGTGAGTACAGTTCTTATCAATAAGGATTGATTGCAGTGGAAATGTGTCCATGCACTGTCAAATGTTGCTGATGTTAATTTCCCCATTTAACATGATCAATTGCCTACATTTCTAACAATGGAATCAAAACTTACCAACTGTCAAAGTAAAAGAACAGGACATGGAATTGCCTGCACCATCACTGGCAGTATATGTTATAGTGTACGTTCCAAATGCAAAGAAGGAACCCGGAGTTTGCTGTGAATTTGAGGTCAGGAAGACATTTGGTGCAGCTCCACTGTTGTCTGTAGCTGTAGGAACATTCCATGACACTTCAATTCCATTCCGATTGCCACTGGTGACTTCTTGTATAATATTGGATGGGCAATTGAGTACAGGTGGTACTCGATCCACTGAAAATTAACAACAATGGATGATTTAATTGAAAACAGAAGAAAAACAGCAAAACATCATGTGAAAAATAAGCAGACTAATGTACTCAACCAATATAGTAATCAAAATTAGATATGGGCGTTATGATGACTTGAAAGTAAACTACTAGCGCTTTTGTTCCTGTATCGGCTGTCAAATTTCTTTTCTGCTCAATAATGTATCAACTTGATTACAAATTAAGTTTTAAATCCTTTTCTCCATTTGCCAGATATTACTTGATTCAGTTTCAAAAATATCATAGCGTTAGTAAAGTAACCTACTTTTCCTTATATATATATTGCTGAATCATTTACTGAAAAACTTACCAACAGTAACAGTAAAGGAACATGACTCGGAATTCCCTTCCGCATCAGTAGCTCTGTAAGTAATTGTGTAGCTTCCAAATGGAAAGAACGAACCAGGTCCTAACTGTGCATTTGATGTCAAGGAGATAGTTGGTTGTATTCCACTGTTGTCTGTGGCTGTGGGTAAATTCCATGTCACTTCAATTCCATTCCGATTGCCAGTCGTGACTTCTTGTAAGATGTTGGCTGGGCAGTTAATCACAGGCGGCACGCCATCCACTGTACAAAATAAGAAAAGATCCCCCATCTGACAAATGTTTCAACCTTAATAGAATATTAACATCTGACCATTAGCAATGAGATAAAGGTAACTCTATCTGTGTATCAACAGACTACTGCAACATCTGCCGTTCAGAAAATTGTGCTTCATTCAAAATTACATGAATATTTGACCCCTACAAATACTTGGTTATCATGAGTGTTCGTCCATTAAACAAGGAGGATATCTTTGATAACAACAATCTGTTTTCCACATATTGCAATTTGAAAACAATTTGTTGAGAAGTTTTAACAATAATTCACTCAGGATCATATAATGACAAGGTTTAAATACATCCACATGTACCTGTGGCTTACATTTTAACCGACCAAATTGTCTTCAGTTTTCAAAGGAAAGATAAAAACAAGTTCACAAATATTTTTCAGGAAACCAATTGTACAATCTTTCAGAGAAATAAAAGAAAACAACAAATCAACTGCCCACAAGACTTACGTCGGGTTATTGTTACAGTGAAAGTACAGGATTCTGTGTTGCCTGCTGGGTCACGGTAGGTATACATTACAGTAGTAATACCAGGTTGGAAACGGCTATTAGGTTCATGGGTCCTTGAGACGAAACTGACAGTTCCAGAATTGTCAGATACAACTGGCTCACTCCAGTCCACTTCCCTATCATTAGCTGTAAATGGTATGGTAAACGCGACATTCCCTGGGCATTGGACTGAAGGTGGTACTCCGTCAACTACAAACAAATAAAACATCAATCGTTTCAGTCATATTTATTTGGAAAATCTTCCAAGTCAAGAAAATGTGCCATATTCCAATTAATCGCAGATCTTATACCACACACGTCACTAAACAGCAGCAGACACATCAAACAAACATTACAGCAGGAATGTTAAATGTCCCCAATCCAAAAAAAAAAATTCTACTTCAAATGAGACTTAATGAATCACTTTACACAACTGACACACTTAATCTTGATTTCAGAAACATAAATCCTTGATGAACAAAAAACTTACCAACTGTCACAGTAAAAGAACATGTCATGGAATTGCCTGCCCCATCTGAGGCAATGTAGAGAATGCTGTAGGTTCCAAACTGAAAGAAGGAGCCAGGTCCTTGTTGTGAATTTGAGCCCAGAAAGACATTTGGTACAGCTCCACTGTTGTCTGTGGCTGTTGCTGGACTCCATTGTACTTCAATTCCATTCCGATTACCAGTCGTGACTCGTTGGGTGATGTCAGCTGGGCAAGTGATCACAGGTGGTACACGATCCACTGAAATTAAGAGACATCTCTTAATTTAATTGTACACTTCCAACCCATGATTGGGAGAGGGAAACTGTTGTTTGCAGCTGAAGGAACATTCCATGGCACTTGAATTCCATTCTGAATGCCACTTGAGACTTCTTCAACAAGGTTGGATGGGCAAGTCAGTACAGTTCTTATCAATAAGGATTGATTGCAGTGGAAATGTGTCCATGCACTGTCAAATGTTGCTGATGTTAATTTCCAAATTTAACATGATCAATTGCCTACATTTCTAACAATGGAATCAAAACTTACCAACTGTCAAAGTAAAAGAACAGGACATGGAATTGCCTGCACCATCACTGGCAGTATATGTTATAGTGTATGTTCCAAATGCAAAGAAGGAACCCGGAGTTTGCTGTGAATTTGAGGTCAGGAAGACATTTGGTGCAGCTCCACTGTTGTCTGTAGCTGTAGGAACAGTCCATGACACTTCAATTCCATTCCGATTGCCACTGGTGACTTCTTGTATAATATTGGATGGACAATTGAGTACAGGTGGTACTCGATCCACTGAAAATTAACAACAATGGATGATTTAATTGAAAACAGAAGAAAAACAGCAAAACATCATGTGAAAAATAAGCAGACTAATGTACTCAACCAATATAGTAATCAAAATTAGATATGGGCGTTATGATGACTTGAAAGTAAACTACTAGCGCTTTTGTTCCTGTATCGGCTGTCAAATTTCTTTTCTGCTCAATAATGTATCAACTTGATTACAAATTAAGTTTTAAATCCTTTTCTCCATTTGCCAGATATTACTTGATTCAGTTTCAAAAATATCATAGCGTTAGTAAAGTAACCTACTTTTCCTTATATATATATTGCTGAATCATTTACTGAAAAACTTACCAACAGTAACAGTAAAGGAACATGACTCGGAATTCCCTTCCGCATCAGTAGCTCTGTAAGTAATTGTGTAGCTTCCAAATGGAAAGAACGAACCAGGTCCTAACTGTGCATTTGATGTCAAGGAGATAGTTGGTTGTATTCCACTGTTGTCTGTGGCTGTGGGTAAATTCCATGTCACTTCAATTCCATTCCGATTGCCAGTCGTGACTTCTTGTAAGATGTTGGCTGGGCAGTTAATCACAGGCGGCACGCCATCCACTGTACAAAATAAGAAAAGATCCCCCATCTGACAAATGTTTCAACCTTAATAGAATATTAACATCTGACCATTAGCAATGAGATAAAGGTAACTCTATCTGTGTATCAACAGACTACTGCAACATCTGCCGTTCAGAAAATTGTGCTTCATTCAAAATTACATGAATATTTGACCCCTACAAATACTTGGTTATCATGAGTGTTCGTCCATTAAACAAGGAGGATATCTTTGATAACAACAATCTGTTTTCCACATATTGCAATTTGAAAACAATTTGTTGAGAAGTTTTAACAATAATTCACTCAGGATCATATAATGACAAGGTTTAAATACATCCACATGTACCTGTGGCTTACATTTTAACCGACCAAATTGTCTTCAGTTTTCAAAGGAAAGATAAAAACAAGTTCACAAATATTTTTCAGGAAACCAATTGTACAATCTTTCAGAGAAATAAAAGAAAACAAAAAATCAACTGCCCACAAGACTTACGTCGGGTTATTGTTACAGTGAAAGTACAGGATTCTGTGTTGCCTGCTGGGTCACGGTAGGTATACATTACAGTAGTAATACCAGGTTGGAAACGGCTATTAGGTTCATGGGTCCTTGAGACGAAACTGACAGTTCCAGAATTGTCAGATACAACTGGCTCACTCCAGTCCACTTCCCTATCATTAGCTGTAAATGGTATGGTAAACGCGACATTCCCTGGGCATTGGACTGAAGGTGGTACTCCGTCAACTACAAACAAATAAAACATCAATCGTTTCAGTCATATTTATTTGGAAAATCTTCCAAGTCAAGAAAATGTGCCATATTCCAATTAATCGCAGATCTTATACCACACACGTCACTAAACAGCAGCAGACACATCAAACAAACATTACAGCAGGAATGTTAAATGTCCCCAATCCAAAAAAAAAAATTCTTCTTCAAATGAGACTTAATGAATCACTTTACACAACTGACACACTTAATCTTGATTTCAGAAACATAAATCCTTGATGAAAAAAAAACTTACCAACTGTCACAGTAAAAGAACATGTCATGGAATTGCCTGCCCCATCTGAGGCAATGTAGAGAATGCTGTAGGTTCCAAACTGAAAGAAGGAGCCAGGTCCTTGTTGTGAATTTGAGCCCAGAAAGACATTTGGTACAGCTCCACTGTTGTCTGTGGCTGTTGCTGGACTCCATTGTACTTCAATTCCATTCCGATTACCAGTCGTGACTCGTTGGGTGATGTCAGCTGGGCAAGTGATCACAGGTGGTACACGATCCACTGAAATTAAGAGACATCTCTTAATTTAATTGTACACTTCCAACCCATGATTGGGAGAGGGAAACTGTTGTTTGCAGCTGAAGGAACATTCCATGGCACTTGAATTCCATTCTGAATGCCACTTGAGACTTCTTCAACAAGGTTGGATGGGCAAGTCAGTACAGTTCTTATCAATAAGGATTGATTGCAGTGGAAATGTGTCCATGCACTGTCAAATGTTGCTGATGTTAATTTCCAAATTTAACATGATCAATTGCCTACATTTCTAACAATGGAATCAAAACTTACCAACTGTCAAAGTAAAAGAACAGGACATGGAATTGCCTGCACCATCACTGGCAGTATATGTTATAGTGTATGTTCCAAATGCAAAGAAGGAACCCGGAGTTTGCTGTGAATTTGAGGTCAGGAAGACATTTGGTGCAGCTCCACTGTTGTCTGTAGCTGTAGGAACAGTCCATGACACTTCAATTCCATTCCGATTGCCACTGGTGACTTCTTGTATAATATTGGATGGGCAATTGAGTACAGGTGGTACTCGATCCACTGAAAATTAACAACAATGGATGATTTAATTGAAAACAGAAGAAAAACAGCAAAACATCATGTGAAAAATAAGCAGACTAATGTACTCAACCAATATAGTAATCAAAATTAGATATGGGCGTTATGATGACTTGAAAGTAAACTACTAGCGCTTTTGTTCCTGTATCGGCTGTCAAATTTCTTTTCTGCTAAATAATGTATCAACTTGATAACAAATTAAGTTTTAAATCCTTTTCTCCATTTGCCAGATATTACTAGATTCAGTTTCAAAAATATCATAGCGTTAGTATAGTAACCTACTTTTCCTTATGCATATTGCTGAATCTTTTACTGAAAAACTTACCAACAGTAACAATAAAGGAACATGACTCGGAATTCCCTTCCGCATCAGTAGCTCTGTAAGTAATTGTGTAGCTTCCAAATGGAAAGAACGAACCAGGTCCTAACTGTGCATTTGACGTCAAGGAGATAGTTGGTTGTATTCCACTGTTGTCTGTGGCTGTGGGTAAATTCCATGTCACTTCAATTCCATTCCGATTGCCAGTCGTGACTTCTTGTAAGACGTTGGCTGGGCAGTTAATCACAGGCGGCACGCCATCCACTGTACAAAATAAGAAAAGATCCTCCATCTGACAAATGTTTCAACCTTAATAGAATATTAATATTTGATCATTAGCAATGAGATAAAGGTAACTCTATCTGTGTATCAACAGACTACTGCAACATCTGCCGTTCAGAAAATTGTGCTTCATTCAAAATTACATGAATATTTGACCCCTACAAATACTTGGTTATCATGAGTGTTCGTCCATTAAACAAGGAGGATATCTTTGATAACAACAATCTGTTGCAATTTGAAAACAATTTGTTGAGAAGTTTTAACAATAATTCACTCAGGATCATATAATGACAAGGTTTAAATACATCCACATGTACCTGTGGCTTACATTTTAACCGACCAAATTGTCTTCAGTTTTCAAAGGAAAGATAAAAACAAGTACAAATTTTTTTTTCAGGAAACCAATTGTACAATCTTTCAGAGAAATAAAAGAAAACAACAAATCAACTGCCCACAAGACTTACGTCGGGTTATTGTTACAGTGAAAGTACAGGATTCTGTGTTGCCTGATGGGTCACGGTAGGTATACATTACAGTAGTAATACCAGGTTGGAAACGGCTATTAGGTTCATGGGTCCTTGAGACGAAACTGACAGTTCCAGAATTGTCAGATACAACTGGCTCACTCCAGTCCACCTCCCTATCATTAGCTGTAAATGGTATGCTAAACGCCACATTCCCTGGGCATTGGACTGAAGGTGGTACTTCGTCAACTACAAACAAATAAAACATCAATCGTTTCAGTCATGTTTATTTGGAATAACTTCCAAGTCAAGAAAATGTGCCATATTCCAATTCATCTCAGCTCTTACAGCACACACGTCACTAAACAGCAGCAGACACATCAAACAAACATTGTAGCAGGAATGTTACATGTCCCCAATCCAAAAAAAAAATTTCTTCTTCAAATGAGACTACATGAATCACTTTACACAACTGACACACTTAATCTTGACTTCAGAAACATACATCCTTGATAAAAAAATTAAAAAAACTTACCAACTGTCACAGTAAAAGAACATGGAATGGAATTGCCTGCCCCATCTGTGGCAAAATAGGTAATGGTGTAGGTTCCAAACTGGAAAAAGGAACCTGGTCCTTGTTGTGAATTTGAGCCCAGAAAGACATTTGGTTCAGCTCCACTGTTGTCTGTGGCTGTTGCAGGACTCCATTGTACTTCAATTCCATTCCGATTACCAGTCGTGACTCGTTGGGTGATGTCAGCTGGGCAAGTGATCACAGGTGGTACACGATCCACTGAAATTAAGAGACATCTCTTAATTTAATTGTACACTTCCAACTGATGATTGGGAAAAGGAAACTGTCAAACCAGTGAGTTTGGGGGTTTTGACACACATCTTTTATTGAAAAAAAGAACTTTTTCATTTTGCCGACGGGCATGGCTACGGCGACGCGTGCGTATACAGGTGGTACACGATCCACTGAAATTAAGAGACATCTCTTAATTTAATTGTACACTTCCAACCGATGATTGGGAAAGGGAAACATTTGTACGTGATATTTCAGTAAATCTTTAAATGAGTGCCTTACTGTCAAAACACTTTCCACAATGTTTACAGACATGTCAGGGAAATGCCTACTTTCCCCAAAATCAATGTTCAACCCTAAAATATTGGCCTTGTTACTGAGTAGAAAAGGCTGAAAGTTTGGACATTGAAGTTTCATTTGCAGTGTGGAAGACTTCTTTTATCAAAATTGATTTGAAATTGTAAATAACATATACCACAATGAGAACCCCAGCAGGTGCAGTTCTCATCAATAAGGAATTGATTGCACAGGAAATGTGCCCATGCACTGTCAAATGTTGCTGATGTTAATTTCCCCATTTAACATGATCAATTGCCTACATTTCTAACAATGGAATTCAAAACTTACCAACATTAACAGTAAAAGAACAGGACATGGAATTGCCTGAACCATCACTGGCAGTATATGTTATAGTGTACGTTCCAAATGCAAAGAAGGAACCCGGAGTTTGCTGTGAATTTGAGGTCAGGAAGACATTTGGTGCAGCTCCACTGTTGTCTGTAGCTGTAGGAACATTCCATGACACTTGAATTCCATTCTGATTGCCACTGGTGACTTCTCTTACAAGGTTGGGTGGGCAATTGAGTACAGGTGGTACTCGATCCACTGAAAATTAACAACAATTGATGATTTAATTGAAAACAGAAGAAAAATAGCAAGATATCTTGTGGAATATCACCACATTCATGTAGTCATCAAATATAGCAGTCAAAATAAGAAACTTAAAATAAGAAAAATGGCAGGTGACTATGACATGAAATTAACCTCCTTGGTCAACTGAAAATTGCAATCATATTTGTCACACTTTATTTGGAATATCTAAGAAAATGTGATAAAAACAGAGATGTTTTACAACAGAAAACCCATTCAATAATGTATTAATAAGTAACTTGATCTTCAGCCAATGAGATCTGTAGGACTGAAAAAAAAGAAGGAAACTATCAGAACAAAACAGCTTTTTGCATAATTGTAGATGATCATATGGAATTTACTAGTGTGCTAGAGCGGCAAGGCAACAACCTTGCAGCTGTGTTTATCCGCGAGGTTGCATCAATTGGCCGGTATATATCATCATCGGCACCACGAACTGACACTCAGTTGCCCGTGAGGGTTATTTTGGGTTATTTTAGGTTTCACGGACTGACATCCTCCACAGTGCCACACTTTTAGAGCGCAACCCATACATTTTTCGGTTTCACGAGCTGACACTGACTTTAATTTCACCAATTAAAATGCTCAAAAGTTAAATTGTTGTCACACGTATACGGATAGATTAAATTCGTGTAAACCTTTCCAACCATTTTCCTCCATTCTGTATTGCCGTATCTTGCTTGGGTGTCTGCAGTTCCTGAAAACGAAAATCTTCCTATTTTGCGTCAGTGTCGATGTGCGCCGCACTACCGGGTGTCAGTTCGTGAAACCGAAATTGTTGATTACATGGTTTTCACGAACTGACACCCACTTGCGGGTGAGTGTCAGTTCGTGGTGCCGATGACGATATGTGGCATGACAGTCGGATTGGCCAAGTCTCAACTAAGTGTACAGACTGTGCGGATGTACAGGGTTGGGGCTACATTTACAGGAAAGCCCCCCCCCCCCCCCTCCCCCGGCTCCCCTGAAGTCATCTTCAGGAAAATCACGCTGGAGTTCATGGAAATCAGGGACTTGCTCATAGGTTCATACTGTCTACATACATTAGTCACACATAACCACCATTTAATTCACAGGCACTGGTGAACAATATTTACATCTAACTAAAGAAGCACAAATTGCCTTGATATAAAGTCATGCATGGACAATATGCCCACACAAATGAAACATGAATCTATCCAGTTAGAGCTAAAATAATTCCACATCTCTTAATTAACCTCTGCCTGGGAAATATTTTCATTATGCAGTTGAACGTATCGGGTTTTGCAGGGTCCAACCATTCAGACCCATTTGGTGGCTGACCATGTTATGTGTGTTTAGCGGAGTCAGTGCTGCACTTTGTCAGTGAACATTCGCAATGTGTGCTGTTGTTTTTGCATACAGTTGGTGCAAACAGTTGGTGCAAATCACTGTGGTCTACCTGCTTATATCTCCTTTTACCAATTCATGATAAAAAGATTTATACTTGGCCTGGAAGGGGATATTCGATCTGAGTCTGTTGCATATGACGATTGATGGGTGGGTCATCGGAGACAGCATGTCTGGTTATTGGGGGGCCTGACTAGGCATCCAGGGGGCACAGGAATGCCGTCACATCATCATCATCATAAATCTATTTTATAGCCAATCTTGGTATGTGGGGCCTCTGGTCACTTAAGCATGCTTGAGGCAAGCACATGGTCACTTGGTCACAGCCTTTCACCAAGACAGTACTCAGAGGAAGTTACAATTGACAATTCAACCGGTTTGCCCTATCACTGGTATCCGGAATAAAACACTCCTCTGTGGCTGTGGCATAAACACAATGATTTGTTTCCCTTGTCCTTCATTTCAAGTCTGAGTATAATGTATACAGTACACCATTGGTGGATATTTCTCTTTTATGATAGTGTAGTGTCTGATTGAGCTCTGGTCGATCAGCTGCTGTGGGTGAGATCAGATACCACGTCCATAACTTTGCTCTTAACTATTCCAACAGATTTTGTAAATTTTGCTATTAATTTATTTATCTATTTGCTTATGGACTCATTTATCTATGGACTCATTAAAAGCCGCCCTTTCTGTCTCAAGTCAGAGATATTTAGGATGGACCGGAAGTGAGAATCAAAGAGATGCTCTTTGACATTATTTCAATACAGATTTATTCCAACTAATGTAGAAATGGAAACTTACCAACAGTTACAGTAAAGGAACATTGAGCCGAATTGCTTGCCCCATCAACGGCGCTATAAGCAATGGTGTAAGTTCCGAACTGGAAGAAGGCACCGGGTCCCAGCTGTTGATCTGAGGTCAGAATGACAGTTGGCGTAGATCCAGTGTTGTCTGTGGCTATGGGTAAATTCCACGTTACTTCAACTCCATTCCGAGTGCCAGTCGTGACTTCTCGAATGATGTTGGCTGGGCAGTTGATCACAGGAGGCACGTTGTCCACTAAAATAAAATCGAGATTGCAAATCGGAAGAGCCCATCAACCTTAAGACCCAATCTAATCATTAACAATAAGACCACACAACTCCATCTGCCACTGGATTTTTCACGGCTCAAAGACCAGCGAATAGCCTAATCACTCAATACTTGTATCAATAATGTTATTCCATCTACTATCCTTGAAGTTCTGTAGTTACAATGGACTGCATTAGAAACCCTTAAAACTTACAGAGCGTCGTAATTTTGCACATTTTAACAAATTAGAAAAATATCAGAAACTGGGCCCAATTTCACGGCGCTGTTAAGCACATGATTTTCTGCTAACAGAGCCTCCATCCATTTCATGGAGACCGTGAGCATAAGCACAGCAAAAGGCATGCTTACTTCAGTGGAAAAATTTGCTTAATTAATGATGTAACAATAGAAATCTCCATGCATGCGTGACCGTTAGCACGTCCACGCCGTGAAATAGTGCTAAGGGTTAGCAAATTTGTCTGCTATGCTAAGCACACCTTTTCTTCTAACTGTTTAGCAGCACCGTGAAATTGGGCCCAGCTTACACTTAGGCCTAGATAGCATTAAATGTGGAAGTTGTACATTCATGGAGCATGGTCCTACAGTAGCAATGTCTTCTGATCATGGTTGCCAAAATGGTTAATTTGAAGTACTATTTTGCCTGAAAAAAAAATGATGAGCACTATCCGCCAACAATCTGCAATCTCACTTCTGATACTCTTCATACATATACATTGTAGTTAGAGATGAAACGAAGTACCAACCAGCACGTGTAACGGTCACATCAAACCGACAGTCGCCTGTGTTGCCAGCCGCATCGGTGTATCTGTAGAGGACAGTGGTCACTTGGCCAACAAGAAACCTGTCCCCCGGATTATGGGAAATCAGAATAGCTGTTGGTGGTCCAGCATTATCCATAGCCGTAGGTGCTGTCCATGTCACCTCAATGTCTGCACCAGCATTAAAAGGGGCCGTCACAGTGAACGAAGTGGGACAGTTATCAAAGAATGGATCATCAATGTCAACTGCAACAAAAAACATCGAAAGAAATCGAACGCAACTTTTGAATAATAAATCATTTCTCTCTCAAATGGAGTGGATAATCCATGACATAGTCTTTAAAAAAAAAGGCAGAAGCAATATGTAACATTAGTGAAGCATTTTGAAAGTTATACTGCACACTAAGCTACACAGAAATATAACTTCAATTCACCTCATTTTTAATGACTTGTGTATTATCCATGTGTATAATCACGGTAACTCTGATATATCTTCAATGAAAAAGAAAACACCCCACTCAAAGCGACTGGTTACCGAAATTGAAAGTAGGTGTTCACAACCATACAATTTTGCCTTAAATCCCAAGCTTCTGTGCTTTTCTTCCCAACATACAATTTGGTGGCAAATTTCAAATCCATGTGCTTGTCTTCCAAAATGTCAAATGATCGCTTTTATTTTTAACAACTGACTGACAATTTCAGGGTTATTAGAAACTTTTTAAATAAGACTCAAAGCAAAGTTTACTGACAGAAACATCAATAAGTTTACCAAGTGTTACACCAAAATCTCTTTTGTGAGTTTGCAATATCTAAGAGCAATAGATTAAAAAAATATAAAAATGTTACTTAAAAAATATCTACATTCTTACCGAATACCACTTCAACAATGAATGAACACATGGATGCCTGGCCATTGGTATCGGTGAAAGTATACACAACTTCAGTTCTGCCAACGGGAAGTTGTTGCCCAGGATTATGAGTGGATGTTTGTGTAACTGGACTGTCATCTGTTGCAGTAGGTGGTGTCCAGGTGACAAAAGCAGTCCCTCCGAAAGTATTGGTGGTGAATACTAAATTGCCTGGGCATCCCGAAATCACTGGTGGCGTATTGTCAACTGCAAGGAAAGCAAAGCAAAGCAAATTTGTAGGCTTTGTCATTACATTGTCAACATGAAAAGGTGCAATCTATACTAAGCTCAACTGACTTCATTCACCAACATTTCTCTTTATCAAAAACACACTACATTGAGAGAATAAGAAACCATGACCTTTGGAAACGATCACAAGAAGAAAAAAAAATATTATGTTATAAGATTTTAGGCTTTGCATGGTGGAGTATCGGTATCGTTTTGGTTTGCGGTAACACCATGTGAAAATAAGTTATTACCACACGGTGTTACCGCAAACCGAAACGATAAATTATTATGACGCATAAACGAAGAAAGTCCCACTTTTGGAAACAAGTGAATTTTTTTAATGAAAGCTTGTAATGACTGAGCGTCGGGACTTTACTATTTCGTTTTCAAACTTGTCATTGGTTTAAGATGTCAGAAAAAAGATCTCCCTAACACAAATCTCACAGGTCCCTCTGAAAAGTTCCCAGAAAACTTTCACACTTGAACAGCTAAAGATTACAGATCATGAACTACACACTCAAGATAATTATTAGACTCTTACACCCGACACCTATCCATTATATAGAAGAAAGTTCCAAGTTTGATTTCACCAATTTATCCGTCAGTGTACTTACCGAACACGACAGTGACAGTAAAAGCGCATGTTGAGGAAAGCCCATTTACATCAGTAAAAGTGTATGTGACTTGAGTTGCTGCAACAGGAAAAAGTTGTCCCGGCGTATGTGTTGACCGTGTGTCAAAAGAACTAACGTCTGTTGCAGTCGGTGGTGTCCAGAAGACAGTGAGGCCTTGCATATTTGAGGTTGTCCTAGAGAAATCATCAGGACAACCGGAGATCACAGGTGGATCATTGTCAACTGTAACAGAGATACAAACAAATATTAATGCTCTCTAAATCTTAGGCACTTGAACCTGACAAGGTAAGTTCTGTTAGATCAGATATCAAAAGCTGACCTTGAAAATAATTTAAAACACAAAAGAAGTTAATGTATTTTTTTATGAAAATGGTAAAAAATTAACTTTGAAAAGGGAAAAGAATGGAGCACAAAGGTTCATTTTAATGATTTGAGCAGTTCTAGAGAGCAGGTTCGGGCGCGAATTGCAGTTAACCATGTTTTGACTAACTTCGCTCAAATGAAGGACGGTTGGAAATTCACTGGTTGCATCGCTGGTTTCCAATAGCCGCGGGCATCATAAAGCACAATGGCGAGCCAGGACTTTGGACCATGGTTTGACTAGAGAAACGTTCACAGGTTTCTAGTAGTACGCAGGCAAAAGCTAAATCTCAAATCGACCATTAAGCCTAATCAACCGTCCTCAGCCGAACTTGCTGTCTTGTGTAATGACGTTTTGTGGACTTGTTCCCCCCCCCCAAAAGAAAAACCTGAGATACCAAAATACATAAAAAGGTCATAGTCTAAAAAGTTTTTTTCAAGCACAAACCTATCCCTGCACCAGTGTACAATAACATCAATTTATGTCCAACACCAATCAATAAGCATGTTTTTACCCCTAACACCCTAGGGTGTGTGGAAAATCATATTAAAATTAAGGGATTCAGGACTGTACGTTTAAGACAAATATAGCAGCTACGCTTTGTGTTTCACCGGGTACCAGAGATCACAATGTCAAACACAATTGCTTATTCTTGCGTCAAATATTTGCCAAGTTCTAAATTGTTGTTCCCATCTTTTCTTAATTGGTGTGAAAAATTCCATTATCTGGTGAACAGGGGAAGAATCTGCCAACATTATCGTGCTTTTTGAACTGAACAGTCTTAGGCCAAACAAAAAAAAGTCTCCCGTTTCTGGTATGGAGCTTGCCCAAAAAGTGGTGCGGCGACGCAGCTTTTTTTTTTTTTTTAGTTTTTTTTTGCTTCAAATGTCGGCTGATGACTGCAAATGGTGCCCGACTAAACTTAGTGCAAATATATGGGAGTCTAGAGAGGCCACATAAAGCTTATTCTCGATCATAACCCCATCTAAAAACACGTTAAAATTGTGCAGCAGCAGGATTCCAGTCAAACCAGTGAGTTTGGCGGTTTTTAGACATCATCTTTTATTGAAAAAAAAACTTTTTCATTTTGCCGACGGCATGGCTACGGCGACGTGCGCGCATACCAGAAACCGGAGACTTTTTTGTTTTTGGCCTTAGCCTGTCATTTTTCAATTTTTAAGAGTGCCATAAACACAATGGACAAAATCACATACCCAAGCGAACAATGACAGAAAATTGGCAAATGGAGGATTGACCGCCCGCGTCCACAAATGTAAAAGTCACAGGTGTTGTGCCGATAGGAAAGAGATCTCCAGATGAGTGGGATGCAGAGACAGTGAAGGCAGACGCATCTGTTGCTGTTATAGCTGGCCAGGTGACTCTTAAGGGAGCATTGGTAAAGGTTTGTCTGACGAGATTACCTGGACATCCTGTTATGACTGGGGGCTGCGTGTCAACTGATGGAGGGAATCAAACAGAACAACGAAAATTAGGTGTTTTTTTTTGTTTGCCTTTGTTTGCATTTCTTTTGGCAGTATTGCTGATTGAAACAGCACCTTGTGGGTCTGCACATGTACAAAAAAAAAAAACCTTTTTCGCATGAAAATCTTCTGATGTGAAACAAAAGGTTTAATGGAACACTTGGAAAAATAACAGGATGCAAATTTAATGTCATTCTAATATGCCAAAGGGGCTCACTTTTTTCCCCAAATTTCCTTCAACATCACATTGTAAATTTTTGTTTTTCTCTCCACTTTTTTTTGCCCAATCCAATATGAATTCTGAACGATGGGTGACCAGGTGGCATAGGCCAGGGCTACCTGTCATGTCTCTCCATAGACCAAAACAAATTTCTCAATGTTTGAAACAGTAAGAAGTGCAAAATAGATATTCAGATCCAATGATTTGTTTTATCAAAGATGAAATCGGTGAAATTCCCCTCCACATAAAGATGAAATTGGTGAAATTCCCCTCCATATAACGATTTTTAGCTTGAAAGCCACATAAAAACATATTTAAATGAATAACTTCAAAACCAAGCCAGAATATTTAGCAAAAGTCATTCACTACTTTACTGATCATTTGGGAAAACCTTGTAGAAAATTAAATTTCAAAGAAAATCTTTGGGAAACTGCCTCAATGGCATAGCACATAGTCAGATGATCAAATGACTATTTGGCCACTGCAACATAAAATGAACTCACCGACTGTTATTATCTGCTTAGAATACAAACTCATTTACACTGTTAAAATCTGTTGAAAAGTATACTCACGAATTTGCCAGCTCACTCGAAAGCCAATATATGGGAGGTTTTTGTCAGAGAGAAAGTACATCCATATCGTGTCAGTGTTTGTGACTGTCACAGGATTGGGGGCGTTATAGCCTTCAAAGAAGAAGACGCCGTCAACAGTGGTGTTTACACCATTGAATTCGCTGATGGGTGGAGTTAAACCTCTGCCAATGTACAGCTCATCTTTATCAGTCTCAATTTGAAAGGCTGTGTCAAATGTGAAAGTGAATCCACTTGCTCCAGGAACATAGAGGAGGTACTGTGCTCTGTAGCGATTTGGGTAGTTATTTGGGTAATTTAGAGATATGAAGCTGCCGCTTGAACACTGAGACCCATAGCAGGTGAACACTTCCTGATTTTCTGCAAAATTAAGGGGGAAAAAACTCTTTTTCAGTTGATCTTGTAAGGACGAATTTCATTGTGTCAGTGCAACAAGGTTGTAATTTTTTTCAAAAATCAGCATTTTGTGTATTTCTGTCAGGTTTTACCTATAGATTCTCACAGGAAACTTTCAATAGAAAATATTGCTTCACTATGACCTAACCCCCTAGAGTGATTTTCTAGGAACCTTCTTCAATCAGGCAAATTCCATCACCGGCCACATGGTTAACTGTACTGAAAAACTGTTGGACTCTGATTATTGGTGGTATGCCTAACCCTATGTAAAGCAGAATCAGTTTACTAGTACAGACCTCACTCTAACAGATTCCAACAAACCCTGGTGTTGGGCGTTTGACTGGATGGGGATTGTTAGGGTTAATTAATGTTATATGGTCTTATCGCAATTGCGAGCCTTATGTTCGTGCTAAAATGTTATATGTCAACGTGTCTCAATGTAAAATGCAATAATACACCTTTGTGTATGTCCCCATGAATTCAAAAATACGGAGTATCATTATACTACAACTGGTATAACATTAAACCATGTAAATTGAACATCTGTGTGCATGATAGCATAAGTACACATCAGCCAATTATGGAGGAGATGCCTCCTTGAAAAGAGCAAGAACAGTAAAACAAAATCTCCCTTTCTTGGGCAAAGGTTGCACTTATACTTAAACTGATTTCAAACAAATTATTTCAAGTGATTTGTATGCCGATGATGTGTACCTGCAGCATTTGGGCATTCACTGTGTTGTGTAACTTACCTGTTTGCACCTCGCAATTGTATCCAGCTTGATTCGGCATATTACACTCGCAGACGTAGCCTTCCGCTGAAGTTCTGGTGAAACAGTTGGCGTTATCCCTACATGGATTGGGGTTGCATATGCCTGTGTTACCAGCTAAAACCAAGAGAAACACAAACAAACACTGACTTCTTATCTTCTTGGGAATAGGGATTGCCTGCTAGCACTATTGTCTGTTCATCTTTAGCTATGCCTCCCACATGCCTGTCACCAGCAAATAGGATACCAGCACGAACTGTACGAGCTGTCAGCTGAACTTATTGCTTCAGGTATAAACATGGTGGCCTCTACATTGGGATTGACATGGAATGGTGTTTTTTTTCCTCAGTACTTTGTTGCATATAAATAAAAAACACATCACTTTTAGCGCAGACTGGAGCACAGTTTCTACTTGTAGAAAAGGTAAAAACCTTTGCAGAACTGCCACAGGCACAAACAGTGGATGCCTACTGAATGGCCACTTGTATGGAATTCAACAGGCAGTTCACAATTAATTGTCAAATCTGCACCCAAATTTAGACATTAGGGTGAAGTGGAAATGTCTACTCAATCAAGTACCAATCTTCATATTAAATGAAAATTTAGAAAGGCTGCTTTTTGGACATTCTCTTTTGTCTCTTTTCCCCCATATGTTTCTCAGCTTCTCTTCTATCACAAGTCCTATGTGCACAGACTTTCTGGACAGAACTTCTGTCACAAAATGGTGCAATATCCACAATTCATGTTTTATGTACGTGTTCATCTTTTCAAACCGTGAATGAAAAATAACCAGAGAACAATATTGTCCACGATTCCCAGCATACGTCCGCGATTGGGGTCGTGTACAAAACCTATGGGAGTCTTCCTAAAAAGTTAAGAGTAGCCTACAAACAAAAGAGGGACAATAGGACGGTGAACACACGTTTGGGTGTGTGCATGCCATACAGTTTGATGTTATGATTCACGTACTGGTGCACATGACAAGGTTTTATCTGAATGCGCAGCAGAAAAAGGTGTACAGCAGCAAAAGGGCTATTGGAAATGTCTGCCATTACCTTGTACAATCATATACATACATCCAAGACAATGATGTATGGAAAAAACAAAAACAAAAGAGGAGATGTCAACTGCCTCCAACTTTTATTCACATTAAAACCACATGTACCGGTGTATGAAATTCAAATTTCCCTACCTTGTTGAACCAAGACGGTGAACATGCAGAATGCAGTGTTACCAGCTGCATCTTGGGCTTGGTACCGGATGGTGTATTGTCCAACAGCCAAGTTAGAGCCAGGAGAAACCCCTTGAATCTGTGTCACAGTGGGTGTGCCTTGGTTGTCTGTTGCTTGTGGTACAGCCCAACTTACAAACGTCGTGGTGGACCCCGTTGGGATCATGAAGGTGGGTGACGTAGTAGGACAGTCAGTAAATGTCGGTAGTGTGGTGTCACCACCACCTGAGAATGAGAAATACAGCAAAAACAATAATGCCTGTCACCAGCAAATAGGATACCAGCATGAACTGTACTACAATTGGGCCAGAGCTGTCAGCTGACCTTATTGCTTCAGGTATACATTAACATAGTGGCCTCTACATTGGGATTGACATGGAATGGTGTTTTTTCCCCTCAGTACTTAGTTGCCTATAAATTAAAAAAACACATCACTTTTAGCGCAGACTGGAGCACAGTTTCTACTTGTAGAAAAGGTAAAAACCTTTGCAAAACTGCCACAGGCACATACAGTGGATGCCTACTGAATGACCAATTGTATGGGATTCAACAGGCAGTTCACAATTAATTGTCAAATCTGCACCCAAGTTATAGACATTAGGGTGTAGTGGAAATGTCTACTCAATCAAGTACCAATCTTCATATTAAATGAAAATTTAGAAAGGCTGCTTTTTGGACATTCTCTTTTGTCTCTTTTCCCCCATATGTTTCTCCGCTTCTCTTCTATCACAAGTCCCATGTGCACAGACTTGCTGGACAGAACTTCTGTCACAAAATGGTGCAATATCCACAATTCATGTTTTATGTACGAGTTCATCTTTTCAAACCGTGAATGAAAAATAACCAGAGAACAAAAGAGAACAATATTGTCCACGATTCCCAGCATACGTCCGCGATTGGGGTCGTGTACAAAACCTATGGGAGTCTTCCTAAAAAGTTAGAGTACAAACAAAAGAGGGACAATAGGACGTCCACGATCGACGGTGAACACGCGTTTGTGTGTGTGGGTGTGTGCATGCCATACAGTTTGATGTTATGATTCACGTACTGGTGCACATGACAAGGTTTTATCTGAATACGCAGCAGAAAAAGGTGTACAGCAGCAAAAGGGCTATTGGAAATGTCTGCCATTACCTTGTACAATCATATACATACATCCAAGACAATGATGTATGGAAAAAAACAAAAACAAAAACAAAAGAGGAGATGTCAACTGCCTCCAACTTTTATTCACATTAAAACCACATGTACCGGTGTATGAAATTCAAATTTCCCTACCTTGTTGAACCAAGACGGTGAACATGCAAAATGCAGTGTTACCAGCTGCATCTTGGGCTTGGTACCGGATGGTGTATTGTCCAGCAGCCAAGCTAGTGCCAGGAGAAACCCCTAGAATCTGTGTCACAGTGGGTGTGCCTTGGTTGTCTGTTGCTTGTGGTACAGGCCAAATTACAAACGTCGTTGACCCACTAGTGATTGTGAAGACAGGCGATGTTGTGGGACAGTTAGTAAATGTCGGTAGTGTGGTGTCACCACCACCTGAGAATGAGAAATACAGCAAAAACAATAATGACGTCAAGCCCAGTAAGAGCTTGTCACAGAGCACATAAAATTCAATTCAATCGATTCAGAATAGCTATTCACTGGAAGTCTTTTCGTGCATGGGCCTACACAATGGGCAAGAGTTATTCCATTCATTGGCGTTACGGTGTAATTTTTCTTTCTTTTTTTCACATTTTTGGGAAAAGCTAAGACTCGAGTCTAATTCACAATTGACAGTAAATGAATTAGTGAGTCTGTGAGGTTCAAAGAGAGCTTTAGGCTGGACCGCCCTCTGATCAGCAAAAAGCAATACTGATCCTATTTATATTGCTGAAAAATGGATTCTTATGATTTGTTAAATCTGACAAGTCTGCATAGACACTACGGTAGACTCATGTGCCTGGAAACTGACCTGTAACAGTGAGTTCAACCGTGAAGACACATCTAGCAGTGCTCCCTGTTGGATCTTGGAAGAGGTATTCCACTGGTGTTGTGCCAACAGGGAAAGCAGTGTTGGGAGAGTGAGTCTGCATGACAAGCCGCACATGCCCACCGTCATCGTAAGCTGTTGGTTCTGTCCATGTCACAAAACCACTGGCGCCACTGGTCACTGTCTGCTGGATATTATTTGGACAGCTTGTGATGACCGGCCCGTAAGCGCCGGTTACTGTGCGGGGAGACACAAAACAAAATGAAAGTTCTCAATCTTTCATTGATATTGTCTCACTTAAATGCAGATGTGTTGCATTTCTGTATGCATAGACCTAATATTGTGACATCAAATTTTAAGTGGTATTCAGCACATGCCTGCACGCTAAATGCCTATTGCTTCTGCCTAACACCGTACTGCCACTCAATTTGAAGTAACAACTCAGATGCAGTCATTGTTATGTTGCATTTAGCAGGGTTAGGGTTAATGCAGTGAAACTTACAAAAGTTCAGAACACCGCAGAGCTCTGTTTGCCGGTTGCAATACTCCAATTAAAACTATTATATTCAACTTTCATAATTCTTCTCAGAATATAGCCAAACAAATGTGGGCAGCTCATCACTCACTGTTCTTCGCTAATCTTAGTACACCAAATACAAATGTGCCGGTTGTTCAAGCAGATAAATGGAGAATTTTGGCCATAAAAATTAAGCAAGACTGAGCAATGTAGTTACAAGTTATTGCAAGATTTGAAATTTGCCGTTAAGCTGACATGTGGCAACTCAAGTCAATTTTAAATCGTTATTCAACTTACCTGCTCTTCGCACTATGAAAGAACAGGAGGCTCGGTTGCCAGAACCATCAACAGTATTGTAGGTGACAGTGGTGAAACCCTCCTGGACTACTGATCCTGGGGTTAAAGTTGAGGTTGTGGAAGCGATCCCTGAAGCATCAGTTGGTGTTGGTGGAGTCCAGGTGGCAATGCCACTTGCACTAGCAACCACATCAGCAGGGCAGGTCAAAGAAGGCACCACACCATCCGTTCCTAATTGGCCAAAGATTTGTTTGTTTTTAAACTGGCATCATCGACCATTCAAAAAAAAAAATCACTGTGTATGCAATGGAGTACTGAAGTGAATACGTCACGTGCACAAAATGTGTGTAAAAGACATGAGCGCGTGATTCGGCTCGAGAACCAACATGCGCGCATACTCCATTGGTTTGCACTACACTTTCTGGTTCTAAATGACGTCACACTTCGGTACTCCATAAGAAGTGGGATTTCTAATAACAGCCACGTTACTTTTTTTTCAAAGAGGATAACATTCCTCAACAATCCAGCTATTATTGGTTTGGAAGTCGACCATTATTTGCATAAATGAACAATAGATCAAATACAAAAGTACAAATGTAGTACACTGAGTAGACCTGCAGACTCCAATACCAGATCCGGCTATTTTGAATCGGGCTATTTTGTGAAAGAGGACCTCAAGAGGACTAGTGTTGAGATACATACATACCTGTAGTGGAAACAGTCACTGTGAACATGCACTGGGCTGGTGAGTTGGGATTGCTTGGGTCGATCCACTGATAAGTAACCTGGGTAGTTCCAACAGGAAAGGCAGTGTTGGGGGCATGTGACCGCCAGGAACGTCGCACTACGCCATTATTGTCTGTGGTACTTGGCTCAGTCCAGCTCACCACTGCAGTAGTTTGGCTGGATGCTATAGGCTGAGTGATGCTCCCTGGGCAGTTGAGCACTGTTGGAATGGTACCATCATTGTTGACTGGAAGAATAAAACAAAAAAACATAAGACAAGGTTATTCTTTTTAATAGGTAACATTTTGTCACATATTTAAAACAATAAATGGCAAAACACTACAATAGTTACAAATAAATAAACACATTATTAAAAAGTTTTTAAACAATCGTTATTGTACTTTACAATATTTTAAGGAAATTGATCCTGTCAGCGGTTGTATCCCTCTACCCCTGATTTATCCCATTTTTTAAAAAAAGATTCAAAATCCTTTCCCAATACGTACCTCCAGTCCTCACAAAGAACGTGCAGAAAGCACTGTTTTGCGGAGGACTTGTTGGACCGTTATCTACAAACCGATAACCAACGGTAGTGAAGCCATAATTGAATTGCGTGGACTCTGATGTCTGACTATAGATGTTGGAAAACTCAAATACGGGTGCAAAAATTGGTCCGGGCTGAATATTGAAGCCACTGGGTGTGTTCCACATAGCAGTTGACGCCTGTGATGTGGTGGTCAAAGTTGTTCCTGCTATATCTGTACCAGGACAGCCAAATACTTGTGGTGGCACCATATCTGAAAAAAAGGGGTTTTTTTTAATTAAAAAGTCGGGAATTCAGAGAAAGTTTGTACAAAGTATGGAATGTTTGCAGTAACACTATGTGAATTTTATCTCTCTTGAGTTGTGTGGTTCTGAGAAGAACTAGTTGTTTTAACTCAACGTTTCAAACAGTGTGCTGTGTTCGTCATCAGGAGACTGCCGAAATGACTGCAAGATTTTCACAGAATAATTAGATGTCTAGGGGTAGAGAGAGTGGTTTTAAATAAGGGAATAAATGTGTGCTTAATTGTCGAATCAGTCGAATAAGCCTACTAGAGGATTTGGGCCTGGAGTAGTCCAAAAATTTGGGATTCTCAATACTGTGTGTGAGAGTCCCAAAACTTAAGGTATTGAAAACATCCAAAAACAAGAAAATAGACTGGCACCTAAAACAACCAGTCCAACACCGCTTCAGTACTGCATCAATCAACTGTGCCAAAAGAAATAGGTGGCATGAACCGGGAACTAGTCTCTTTTTACTACACATTTCTCCATAGTCAGCCACCAGACTAACAACACTGATGAATGAAGAAGTCAGTCTTTTCAAATATTCAAGAAATCTCTCCTTTAAAAATTGAATTGTGTTTGCAATCTTGGTTGGTGAAATACTAAGGACCTTTTCTTTGCCCAATGTAATGTTTGGAGAAATTTGCTTGACTACAGAGTGAGTCAAGTTGGCATAATTTAGTTTTGCACGTTTCAGAGCACTCCAGGTCCCAGTCTGGGCCGGGAGCCACTACAAACCAGAAGACATCGTCAGATATATTATGCATGCTATACAATGTAGAATGAACTAATTATAATTGGATTACTACTAACGTCCACTTCAAAAAATATTGGTTCACGCCTCCGCCTTTAAGGCTTTAGCACAACTTTTCGAGAAAAATAGTTTGCGTTACATTTTGCAGCGCTGTGTGGTTCGTCAAGGGAAAGAATGTATCCAGATGCCACTTCTTTCGTTGTGCACAAAGTCTAGGAGTTGAGCATGTTGAGAGCACAAAATTGGAAATGTTTCTCAATCTCAGTCCCTGATTCGTGTCATTTCAACATTTTTATAATGACGATAACCTTCATTAATAGGCCTAACGTTAGGCCTAGGGCTAGGCCTACATATGATGAAAAAATGGCATCTGCGGGGCCCGTAACTACACAATTGCCACAATTTCCCATGAAAAATCAAAATGCTCCGGGCCCGGTAGCGTTTCTTACAGTCACAGTTGACAGTTACAGTTACAAAGCTAAGAAAAGAGTAAGACAGGCTCTATCTCTATGACAATAGCTTGAGCATGGGCTCGAGTATCTTGAGCATTGTTGAGTATCGACGACTTCATAATGAGTTAACTTATTGACTGACACGTGTGTACACAACAGATGAGTCGAACCTGCAGTACTATTTACTAGTACTAGTAGTAGGAGGGCCCAGCTGTCACTCATTTTTTAGACCGTCCGTGTAAGATCAATTATTATGAGCCATTGATTTACAAATTACATGCCTGTTTGTAGACATTCTTGACTCTTGTTCATCGCAAACCTGCACAGAAGTCAGTAGGTTGGTGAAATCATGGAGGTAATTCTACCTCCAGGACCATGGTGAAATAAAGTGACGTTCTCTTGTCCAAGAATAGCGACATCTACGATCCGAAAGAAGTAAGTAGCGGCAGCATGTGCCCCCCAAAAATAAGTGTCGTCTGCTTTTTCGTCATGTTCGTACGTATACCGACTTGTATATACATACGGTGGCACATAAAGGACATGAAGAAGATATAATGAAATGATGAATAACGTATTCCGCGAGATTCCGTTGTTCGTGGAAATGTTCATCATAGGCCACTGTAACATTGTGCAAAAAACATTTCAGCCAATCAGCGACGTGCAGACGTTCTCTAGCTCCGGAGACGATGAAACACAAGTGGCGCGTACGTCATCGACGCAAAAGACGACACTTTTTTTCCGTCAAGCTTTCAACCAATCATTGATCTCCATCACCGAAAATTAAATATGCGTACACATTGACTTTGCATGTATAATGTAGCTGTATAAACTGGGGTAAATATTATTGTTGATGTACCCTAGGCCTAATGTGGCGCGGCCCCCAACGTGGTGCACTTTGATTTTTCGTCTGTAGCACCTACCTAGAGCAAAAGTTTTAAACACTCATGTTCATAAATCGCGAGTTTATTTACCCGTAACAAAGTAACAAGAAAAAAAATTGGCGTGATTTTCCGATTTTATTTTCAAGTGCAAAGTGAACCCTTTAAAAATGCCCCGAAAAATAAGAAAATAATTTTCTGACAAACATCTGGCCGGGTATGGAAGTAGAGATAATAATTATTTATCAGAATTAATCAAGTTTAAAGAATTCTTAAATGTTAATTTGGAATTTTCCGAGATTTATTCAGGCGGGTGCGCCACGTTAGGGAACACTCCGCCTATTTGTGCCCAATTTCCGGACGCCACCGTTTTTGAATTTCGGATTAAATTTTATGAAACTGAAATTGTTCGCAGAGGTTAAATAACAAACATTAATAAGGTAAAAGTACTAGTATTTCACTGCATGAATTTGAGGTTTGTCAACAAAGAAGTTTGGCAACACTACACGAGGAAAGTTGGGTAAGCTTCGAAGTGCGCCACGTTAGGGAGCACGACTATAACTGCATTATAACTTATAAGGCTTACTATTTTTTTCTGGTTGCTTTTGCGCCTCTAATGATTGGTCAAGTCAATCGAAAAATCGGCCACTGTTGCCTTTAATTTAAATGCCTTATTCAAACGTGAAGACTTGTGCCAGCAGAAATTACCAAAACCAAAAATACGGCAGAGGGAAATTCAACTCTTGTTTCACATCCCAGCGAAGTTTATTTAACTTATGGCTGAAAAAAAAAGAATTTCAACATGAAGAACTCTCAAACAACAGTAAGCTCATCATATTACTGGAGATTGTCATGTCTGTTGAAGAGAACAGTGTGCCCTTCTTTAGCCATCCTCTTACAAGACACATGGAAGCTTCCAGCATTTCAGGCACTGAGCTGTGCTTACGTCGATGCCACAGCCTAAGTTTTGTCAGCCATTCATTTCTCAGTTACTTTTTTTTTGAGGAATTCCATATGAAAACTATAGGTCTGTGTCTGTTTAAAAACAGAACACATAACAGGGCATTTCCACATTATGATTTGTTACGGACTCAGTTATGCATTTGTTGGCGATGTGCAGTAATGACGTATTTCGTGTTCAAATTTATTTTGCTAGTAGTAGCCAAAAAATGTAAAAGTTTAAATATATTGAAAATCAGTTGATGACGTCATTTTGACATCATTTCGACTGTTGCATACTATTTACTAGTAACATCTACCTTCTCACCATGTTTCATGACGATCAGACCTACTTTTATGTATTCTAAGAAAATTGCAGTTTTTATGACGCCATTTTTAGAGAAATGGGAGGCAAAGAAAGGTTTACTTTGATGTGTGCACGAAACACGTATCGCATTACGTACGCCCACTATTCGGCCAGTCGGGAGTATAAGTCCTACTTTTTTGTATAAGTATCACAGGGATCTATCACAGTTAATAATGTATATTACGCAAGTATCTGTGATAAAGAATGTTTGGTCGACTTGAATACTGACAAGATACACGTTTTGAGCTTTTTTACGCTATGTACATTTTGTAAAAAAAAAAAAACACCGACAATTGAGCGTTTAGGGAATATCGGATCCTCATTTCGGGTCACAAAGTATTTCTCACTGTCTGATTCGTGGTTATGGAGGATTTTTCTTCTATAAAAACTCATAAAAAAATTGGAAAAATGGAAATCCGTACTTCACTCGATGGCGTCATCAACAAAGGCTTTTTTTGCAACTTTGCGGACAACCAAAAAATCGACTTTTGAATTGTTGTACTTACCCTGTGCGAGCGAAGTTCTAGCCAAACACAACAACACAGCCAGCACAAGTCGCTCCATGGTTGAAATTCGGGCTCTGCGTGTCCCGCTAAAAAAAAAGTCCAGTTTTTTTTAGACCATCAACCGGCTCGCTTGCAAGTTTTCTCACACCAAAATGTCCACGGGACGAACGGTTACGGAAAGCAGGGTCGATACTCCACCGGCTACGGTGAGAAACGACGCTACTGTGCCCTGCCAGTGCAACAACTCGATCCCTTGTAGTTTCGACAGCGCTCTGTACACACCCTCCCTGGATCCACCAATCCCCTACGTGGAAAAACCAAGTTCCTAGTTCAGAAGTTCACTAAAACACGCCCCGGTTTGTCCCCCAAACGCGTCGCCATTGGTCAAGGTTCCAGTCACGTTCTGAATTGGTTTTTTTCAGCGCTCTGCGAGGATTATAATGCCCCTATTGTCACCAACTTTTGTGTACTTTACATAGCAAGCCAACAAATGAATACAAAAAAGTGGGTAGGCCTTGTACATTTTAGTGCGCTCAAAAGATATAAAGCTTTAAAAAAAAAAAAAAAAAAAGTTGGTTGATTTTTTAAGTTGTCTTGTTAACGTGGGCGGAATAAAATATTACTCACCCGTTATTAATAAACTCAAAAAATGATCATTTGTTCATTCATTTTTTTCTTGCAAGGAAGCCTCAGTCTGATGGAGTCTGATATAACACATACATTCCCCCATCCCATTCTGGCCAATTTTAATCGTCTCACAGTCATATTAATGCCGAAAATTTGGAAATTAACAAAAGTCCTCATAATTGGCTCAATTTTCACCGATGAATATTTTCGCTCCTGAAGAATTTGGAGGCAAAGACAATAACCTTGGAAGTTTGGACCATAAGATGCACATACAACACACTTTTTAGAGTGACCAAATGATTTCATGTCAAAGAAATTGATTACGATTATTACTACAAAGGAAGTCAAACCCAAACCTTTTTTTAATTGTTTTTTTTTAAATTACACAAATTAAACTATATAATCTACCGCTTCTCTCACTCACTTCACCATGTGTGTGTATATGTTGTTGGAACAGTTTACTGTTATTTAATACCTCATTTTTCATTCCCTCTATTAAAAGAAACTTTTGAAACAAACGTTACTTTTTATATCTTTAACTCCATACATATTTATTCCCACATATACTTGTATACAGTACATAATTATATAATCCACATCAAACTAAATCCACCAAAATTCAAGAGCTGGTTTTCCACGATGTTGATGGATTAAACACTTTATAGCCCTACTGCATAGTGTTCGGTTTGACATATCTGAAATGATTTTTGGGGAAAAAAACTCAGGATATTATAGTCAAAGAACAAAGTAGGTGTGGTTTGTGTTGTGTGGTTGACACACTTTATCCGAACTAGAACTGACATTTGGTAGACTGACATTTTCTTGTAAAAGAAATTTCTCACTTTATGTGCACAAAACTGACTGCACTGAATCTGTGATCGGGGCTAACTCCTTTCAAAAACATTAGTTCAATAATATCAGCTTTTTGGAATATAAGTCGAGTCCATCACAACTTCTCATCAGTGTATGTGCATCACAAGTTTCGAGTCAAATTAGGCCAAATTAAAAAAAAAATGTTTAGCGTCCCCGCCCGCTTCCTTTTTGGAGGCCGCATCCTTTTTTTCTTTTCCTTTTTATTGAAATATGAAACCCCCCAAAAATGATAAATTGAATGATCTTTTTGGAAAAAAAAAGTTGTACTTTTTGGCTCTCAAAGCTGGTATCATTTCCTGAGTCCAAGTGGTGGCCATTTAAAAAAAAAAAGAGCTGGCGGCCATCTTAAAAAACAGCCCAGCCGCACGTTTTGGACAATGGGCCTGGTGGCCATTTTGGAAAGAAAAAAAGGGGGCTTCTCCTTCCTTTTTTTCAAAAAGGCAGGACGCTAAACATGTTTGTTTGTTTTTATTTGGCCCTACAAGCTACTCAAATGAACTTTGACAACAGAATTGCTTTGTTTATTGTTCTACCACTGTTACTTGTGACACAATCTCGTCCACAGGGCCTACTTTATTGCCAACCTCAATAATAGGCCCTGGGATGTCAACTACTTACTCGTGCTCTGATTGGACAGTGAACAACACAGTATTGGCATATGTTCCATAGTATTAATAAGGAAATAAATGTGTGCTTGGGAGGTGTTAAACACTCTGTTTAAGACCGGTTGGAGTCTGGAATGCTGATAATTACTTGAGCCGAAGACTCCAACCAGTCTTAAACATAGTGTTTAATACCGGCCAAGCACATATTTATTCCCATTCATCAATACCTTTTCGATAAAAAAATCCAAACTTTTCGGTCCAAAGGTCAAAACAAGTCCAAAATTATACATTTCCAACGATTTTGTTCTACAATTATTTTTTTTAAACACCCTTCTACAGCTATAATATGTCAATCCATCTCGCGAAAAGTGGTGCACAACTCCTTATATGCAGATTTGCGCAAGCATCACTAAAAGGCACCGGATTTCATAGGAGTCCAAATTTCATGTGACCCTGGGAAAAGTGTTTCAAACCAGCCAGCCGGTCTTTATCAACCATTTAAAACCAGCAACAAGAACCGATAGGAATCGGTAGACTGTCTTAGGCATTTATGTATATTTATTAACAATGCAAACCATCCGTTTTCAACAAAAGGGCCTATGTATCCTTAATATTAATAAGATCCTTACAAGTATGCAAACACGATCTCAACTGTTTCACCACGCGTAGTAATATTCCTTTAACATTTAAAAATATTTTTATCAAAATTGACTCACGTACGTACAGACAGCGTTCAGACAGCAACATGACATAGCCTTGCAATGCATGGATTTTTCAATCAAGCTATTAAATCTAGTACCAAAGAGACTATGCTGTGAATGTGACAAAGATGTAAAATTTTGGTATTACCACCAGACTACTATGTGCGCCCAGAACACATCACTTTCAGGGAGCCTAATTTGCATACATGATCCAAACTTTTGGGTATATGCAAATGATGAGAGAGCAGGTAGTGGTGGGAGCGTGCTGCTCAACACCCTGGGAACGAGGTTGCATGTGACAGGACTTGTGTAACGACTTGTGATTTACTTTTGACTGGACTTGTGATGGACTCGACTAACAGCAGTGAGTTAGCAACAACTAAAAAAATATTTAGATAACATTTTTTTATGAACCATCAGTTGGAATCTTCACTGCTGCTACCCGAGCTGCTGCTCCCACTGGCATCGTAGTCGGCGTCCGGGACTGTGCGGTGTTGACCTTGACGATCTGACCTCGAGGATGACCTGTGGTGACCTTTGTGCCTCACTTTGGTTTCCTTCTTCTTCATTTTCTTCTTCTTCTTTGATTTCTGGTTTGAAATGACAAAAAAAAGAAAACGGAACAGAAAAATAGCGATAAAATTTGGTTTTCAATGGACCTATATTCGCTAGGAAGCCATTTTAGATCGTGTTCCCTGAATCTATTTTGTAAATTGTAAACTGTTGGATGGGATGGTGCCAGACTATTTTATGATTGGAGTGCGTGCCAAGCCTCGCTTTCAAAATTTTTTTTGTGGAAAAAATGTGGCTCAAAACATTAGTGTAAGTTTAATCACACATTTTAAATTATTCATCAGAGCAGACTGGTATTAATTGTAATGAACTTTTATTTCATTGCTTTCATTTCCACTCTTAAGTTCCAAAAATGAAGAGTTAACCTCGCTTTCAATTCAATATTGCCAACTCGTGAATAACGTCTATAGTGGATTGCCCAACTGTAGAATTCTGTAACTGAATTCTTTCATTGCAATATTGAAGCTTCGTGGCCTAGTCAAAAGCTTAAAAATATTTTATAAAATCTCCCAGTATTTAAAAATTGCTTTACAAACGTACCAAAAATAGGCTTAGCAAATACAGGATACCTGCCAAGATGACATTGAATTTTCACTGCTTGTGCTGGTTCCCAGCAATTTTTACTAAGCACATCAATTAATACATAATTTTTTTTACACCAGCTTCTTAAAATGGGGTCCTACTTTTGCAAAATTAATTGGCAAACCAGTCCAATTTGTTTTCAATTTGCTTCTCTTTTTTTTATTTTGTTCATGTGAACTTCTTCAGTGGGCTCTTCTAAAGTGATATCAGTTTCCGGCAAGAATTTCTTATTTCTCATAGTCCAGAAATAACTTTCAATATTCTACTACTAAGGGTATTCTTACATTAAGTCACTTACAAGCCACAATGTTTTTGTTTTTCCTTTGAACACAAAACTGCGGTTAAGGTCACACAGAACAAGGACGACACATATAGAAACTGTCATATAATTGGTATGTTATTTTAATTTTTTTTTTCTTTTTTAGACAAACTCAATCAATGAATGGGAATGTAAGTGACGTCACAACTGAACTCGGAACTAAAACAGACAAACTGTGCCATTGGGAAGATTGTGGGAAACAATTTGGAGCAATGTACAAGTGGCAACACCCTCTGAAGTGACAATAAAAACAAACACAAAACACAATAATAATGTTTCTGACTGTTTTTTCTCGGACAATATGTCCCCTCTGTGGGAAAAACCAATATAGATTGTGATTCATTATGTCCAAACTGCACCAACGCAACTCAGTACAGACTTTGGGACATACCAAAAAAAAAAAAAAAAAAAATATCTCCATTTAGAAATGCCTTTGAAAACACCTGTGTGTGTGCGCCTTTACACGTGAGTTCACCCCCTTGTATGAAAAAAAAAGAATGGCCTTGCTAGATTTTTCCAAAAGAAAAAGGGGGAAAAAAAGAAAAGGGTATCAAAAGAATGCAATGCTCAATGGAGTGACGCACAGGGACTAAGGTCAGAGTATTGTACTTAAAAAGCTTCGGGGATGGTTACGTTGAGTACTGTATGAATTGAACACTGTGTGTTGCAGCATGGGACGTTTAACATGAACATTAGGTTCAATTTGAACTCCATCTTTTTGATACAATTTAGCCCATTCGGAAGCAAAAATTAGGTTGGGAAAACAATACATTTGTTTACACAATGGTGTGGATTTTCAGCATCAGCGACTGGTGTTCGCTATTCAGAGTAAAGGGGTCAGTGTGTGTAATTTGGTGTAAGTGGGGTCACCAACATGGCCGCCGACAGAAAAATAGGCTACTGTTGTTGCACTACCACGACAACTATTCGTCGGGTGTAATCTTGAAATGAGTTTCAACTTAATCTGGCCGCTTTCCCTCTAACAATTAATGTTGGTCCCCAATTCACATGAACCAAGAATGGCGAATGCTACAACACGACATTACAAATTACAAGTGCATGTATTCCTGATAAATACTGGGTGCTGCAACAATGTGACGCACTGTTCATGTATTAATCTAATTTCCCGCATTGCCTTGGTACAATAACTATGAACGCCTTCTTCTATAGTATATGTACTAAGAATCTATTCTTCATGACCTCAAAAAAAACCAAAAAACCAATTGTCAGTTATTTGCCGGGATGGCCTGTGTTACAGTTTACTGCCCACACAGACTGTGTAGGCAGTAAACAATAACAAAAACAGTTTCGCGACCAACAGTTCATCATTTTTTTAGAACATTTTTTTATACTGTCGCCTCCAAGTGGGTACTCGTTTCAATCTGTTTTTGTTAAATAATCACTTACAAGTGAAGATTACATTTTCTTTGATGGGTTATGACATGAAAACTTTTGAAAGAAATCATGAAACAAAAAAATTCATAGCATTGGCATGATTGATGTCCAAGAAACATCTTCATAGAGAGTTTTAGTGAAGAGCGACAACTGAGGAGTTTGAAATTTTTGTTGTTATTTTTTTCCTGCAGTATACTAGTATTGAAGACACAAGCACCGAGATGTCAAATGGATCATTCTATAAATGTAGGGTCCAAAGTGTGATATTTTTCCCTGTCCCATTACATTGGTACTCTGTAATGTGCCATTCAAGTATGATTAATCCTCCTATTTAAACAGTCACAAACAGTCAAATTTCCATCCACTTCCCCTGCTATACTTTTAACACAGGCTAGTCACCAGCAGTCAGATCATATATCAAGCAAGCACTGTGACTTGTCAAATTCAGTCAACAGACCATGAACAGACAAAGCAGGCAAGTTGTGGGCACAGCTGGCTTATCAATCACCCACAGCCAAAGCAAAGCTGTATCAAGTTATACACAAACTGTCACAGCCAGTCGATCCTGCTTTATGTAGGCTGGGAATTCTTAACTGTTGAAAACAATCATTAGATTGATTTTGACTGAAAGGACAACTTGGCACAAAATGTATGTTTGCATAGGAGGGTTAAGAATGACTTGAAATGATTTTTTATTTGTCCGGTAGGTAGTTTGCTATTCATAATCATTCTTGGAGGACGACTGAATTAAGGAGAGCATCAGAACTATAAAATTATAGATGCCAGATATGACAGGAACAGGAATAAAAGTGTACACCAAATTTATAAAATGGCCCAGATCAAAATCTCTCCTTGGAAATGAATGAAAGGAATAGTAAAAAAAAAAGGACGTCTCCACTCTCCAGTCAATTTAGCTGATCAGGCCGGTGTATACATTCAGTTTTCTTGGCATAAAAATAACTGAAAACATTTTGAATATCCCCATTTTGAATATACCCCCATTGCAGGTTACTTTTTGGTGGAGAGAAGTGTTGGTAAAGTAGCTTGCCCAAGGACACAACATAACGGCAAGCAGCTAGATTTAAACACCTGACACTCTGATCAAAAAATAAAATAAATTAGACACTCTAATTTTTACGTTACTTTGTACACACCTGTGTACTTATTAACCCAAGTTCCTTCCACTGACTATCCGCTATTGCCGAGTATGATATATGTCTGGATCTTTTATAACTAGTTGTCATGCTCATTCAAAGGCATATTCATAGAAAGGTGGAAATCTCCTTGCTACACCGGTGTCAGATTTAACGTTTGGTATACCATGAGGTATATCTAGGTTGTGTAAACTTTAGGTTTACTCCGATCTTAACGACAACCAAGTTAATGATCATTAAATACCAAACCCTAGCAACACTCGCCAAACAGAATCTAACGGAATCTCACCTTTTTATCCTTGCTGGTCTTGTGCCGGCTGCTGCTTCGACCCTCGTGTTTTTTCCTCCGCTTTTCCTTCCGGTGACTCTTCGACCGCCGGTGTTCGCTCGTGTCCCTGGGCAATCCCTCTGACCCTTGACCCCTGTTCCCTGTACTCTGATTGGCTGCTGATGAGGAAGGCGGCGGTAGTCTGGGGCCGTACACTTCCTCAGATTCTGATTCAGAGTTCATGGGAGGAGTCTGGACCCCACTCCGATTTCTGGCAGTAGTTTGGGGAGACTCTAGTCCATTGCTTGCTGTTGGGATTCCAAAGGGTGGTTGTTTTTCTGCCGATTCCATTCCAGAGGGATGAGGTGACCTTACGTGACCATCATCTACACAAAATTTAAAAAAACACAGCGGTAAAATGCAAACAAAACAAACTTGAGCGAGAAACGGAGATCCAGGCTGCGTCCATATTACTTGGTTATGCCGGCAGTAACACACATGTGTATGGGAGGTGGTTTTTAGCCACTTTCATTGATGCATTTGTAATTACAAGCCCCAGCCAAATAATTTGACCCAAGCCTAAGTGGGCCATGACTCTAACCCAAACTCCCTTCTTATTTTTTCCCTGGAACCTTTCTGTACCCTCTGAAATCCTCCAATTGGCAGAAACACAATACTGTGTATTTATGAAGCGCATGTATTCACCAGTATTGGTGCTCAAGGCGCTACATCATTATTACCCCTGCTCATTGGGCCAATGAAACATTCCAAATACCGTCTCTGCTCCCTCCAGGGAGTTTACAGCTCGATGCTGCCATTTTGGCACAGAGCAGCTAAAATCAATCACAATAACCATCTCTGCCCCGACAGGTACCCAATTTACCCCTGGTTGGAAAGAAGTAACGAGTGACAAAGTGCCTCGCCCAAGGGTACACGCACCATAATCCCAGGCTGGACTCGAACCCACAACCTGCAGAATTACCCGCAGACCACGAATTCAATACTCCAGCCCTTTATTTTGTCTTCGCCCTCCTCACTTGAACTGGAGCTGGAGTCTGCAAAAATGGCCTTGAAGAGGTCCATTCTTTGCTCTTCAAATTTCAAGGAGCATCAAGTTTCGACAAAAACTGGCTGGGTTGTACCTTCCTCAATCCAACAGAACCCAAAAAAACCTCCTGCTGGATTTTGAAGGATCTTGGAGGGTCAGCGTTAATTCTGCAGTTGAATTATAATCCTTACCTGAGTGGTTTGGTTCTTGTTTGTTCGGCGTTTCCTTCCCGCCCTCTATCGCTTCTTGCTCCGCCCCCTCCCTTTCGTCCTCCTCACTTGAGCTGGAGCTGGAGTCTGCAAAGATGGCCTTGAAGAGGTCCATGGGTGGCCGGCTCTCTGTCTCTGCTTCGTCAGCGGCCTAAAGATGAGAGAACGCGTCAAACCACCGGTCTTAAGAATACCAAGCAACTGTTGATAAGCTGTTAACATGCTCAGCCATAAAATAATTTGAGTCATGGGATGTGTTGCTTCTGCAACAGTCAATCTTAAGCAAGTCATAAGTCAATAAACGATCAATCACAAGGCTATCACAAGTCTTTCACAAGTCAATCACACGTCAATCACAAGTCAAGTCTACGCCAATCATAAGTGAAATCTCCAGTTGGGTAATGAGTAACTGGGGACAGACAAAGAATGTCATAGTTTATTTAAATAGCTTGTGACTTCAGTTCAGATTGTATGACTTGTGATTGACTTGTGACGCATTGTGATTGACTTAGGAAGACTTGTGGTTGACTTGTGAACACTTGTGATTTCTTGTGACTGGCTTGTGATACTTGTGATGACTTTATAATTGACAGCCCGTTTTTCTTTCCAATTTGAACATTCAGAACATTAATTATCAAAACAGAACCATAAAATGGCAGCGATCTGCCCTACCTGTGGATCGACTTGTGTCTGACTAGACGCCGCCCCATCCTCCTCTCTGGACACGCCCACATTTGCCAGAAGGGCGGGTCTCTTATCCCACCGCGAGGCCTTGTCTTTCAGCTGCTGACTTCCAACGAGCTCAGATGCAGAGCTAGAGGGCGCTGTTGCATCATCGGCCGCCGGGGCAATGGACAGGAAGTTGAAGACGGAAAACTTGTCTTTCTTCACCGTTGGCAAACCAACGACAGAAGACCTGCAATATAGCGATAGCAGACAACAAATAAGAATTTTGCTTTAAAAAAAAAAACCTTACATACCAGTTACATACGGTTGTCAAGCACAAGAAATTGCTAAGCGCATAATATCTGCTCAGCGAAAAATGGTTACCAGTTTCTAATTCATGCAATGTTGCATCTCATTAGATTTGGTGTGGTTACATTAAAAGGTAATATACCCCCCCCCCCCACTGAGATTTTGAGTTTCTAAAAAAATTATCATTGATCTACATGACGCCCCCATGAAATGTTCCAGCCCCCCCAGCCCCCCCCCCCCCCACTAAAAAATTCCTGGCTACGCCACTGGTTAAAAAAATCATTCAACCAAAGACCTGAGGAATATGAATACTAAAGAAGAACATACACAATCTGATATACTGAAAAAATAACGACAACAACAAAAAGGAAAATGTTTGGATATTATAAAAGAAATTACTCCCCCTACAAAAAACACCCTGAGAAATATGAATATTTAAGAACATACACAACCTGATACACTGGGGAAAAAAAATTACAACGAAAAAGAACATGTTTGGACTTTGTAAAAGAAATATTCCCCCCCCCCCAAAAAAATGAGAACAGTCTTTGACTAGAGTTCCCAATGTCTGTTGAACAAAGGCTTTGAATGAGTCACAAATTACTTTAAATAGACTAGTACTACTATGCACACATTATGTGGGATGTCCCTAGCAGTACACGTCATGAACACCCCTGCTTTTGCAAAAAGAAGACTGAAGAAAGGAAAATAACACTAAACAATTCACGTCCTGGTTTAATGTGACCTCGATTTTGAGTGGGCACAAGTGATGCGTGTATGACTGTCAGACTGAAAACAACTTGACAAGGGCTGGGCCCAGGACTTTCTCTGTTTAAAATGACCACAACAATAGACCAGGGTTTAACTTGAAAATTAATTCACAGAACTTGCGTCCTCTTTTGTTCCTGAGACCGTACTTTTGTGCCCTCATTGTCCTCAGTTGTAATGCGCCCTTGGGGGAACAAAACTGACCCGGGAAGTGGGCGACAAAAGGTATGGTTTTGACTAATCCTGATGTCACATACATTTTGGGTTCGAAAAACATGAAACTCCCCTGTCCTCTGAAAGCTGTTACATTCTTTTCTGAATAATTGTTGTCACTTATTAAAACTCTCCGTCTCTCGGTGACAAAGTTGAGAGAGATACCCCATCTGTCAAAATCTATCAAGTAACGATTTTTAACAGTTTTGTACATTGGGCTCATATGGGTACAATAAGCCAGTTAGGTATTTCAATGACCCAAGGTCATCTTAGATAACATCGCTGACGTGATGTTACGCGATGTTACGCGCACGCACATTTTGCTCGTAATTGACACACAAGCGGCGTGCGCCCGCGTGCATTCGTGCGCCTTCGATCGTTCGATTATCCCAAATGACCCATGGCCCACAACGTTGTGCACATGCACGGTTGATGAAATACTGAACTGGCTTATTGACAGGCTGTGGCAATATTGTCAACTGAAGGTACCATGCCTTGACTGAAAGTAATAGATATGGTGGGTTTCAGTACTGCCGAGTGCCTGGCAATTATTGATTTATAAAAAAAAAACAATGAAGGCACATTAGGTTCACTCACGCACATCCCAGCAAAACAAAGGTACTGCCCTCTATTAGGACACCCTACAATCTATCAACCCCTACAACAGCTTTCAATAGTTATGTGGTTTAATTCTGGCAGTTGGTGACTAGCCTGTACAAAAGCTATGTGAGAGGAAGTGGGTTGGTTTTTTGTCAGTTTGTGACAGTTCTATCAGTAGGAGAGTTACGAACGTGAACATTTGACATTTTGCAGCAGTTAGGAGTAGCTACGTCGAAAGATTGACTGGTGCCATTGTCCAGAACAACTCCCTAATCTAATCCATGGAAAATGACTACATCAAGTTCTCAAAATCTATTCGGGTCAACTTGATATTCTTTAAATACTCTAAAACGCCCACCTGAAATAGGCGTTACTTACAGTGATTTGGGCTACGTTACCAGTTTGAACACCTAAAGCTAAACTTTACGCATCCCATATTGAATTTCATATCATAGAAATGTGGCCCAAAATGTAACCACTGACCAGTTCTCATTCTTATTGGGGGGGGGGGGTGTCTCTTAAACTAAACGTACATAAATACATATTCATAGGGCATTCAATTTTATTTACTGTTGTACTCACACGTACAACTGAATTGGCAAACATCCATAATATTATCAAGTGGAGAGCGGCCCTTTGCATCAATCCAATCATACATCAAAGTGCCAGATAACAATAACGAAAAAATAAAGTAACTTTATTTCCCCTTTCCCCCGCCCCCTGGACCGGTGTGCAGACTATTTCTGTTCTGTGTGTCCTACTTTATTCACAGTTTGAGGATTGTAGAGTCCCACACTATTAAAGACTGCACACAATAGGCGTAAATTCCACGCATAGCGGGCACTCCTAGCCAGAAATCATCAAAATCCGGCAGGAAACCTTTTCTCTTTTTTTCCAGGTGGAAAGTACTGGGTGAATAGCTGTAGCGAGGCTCCGTCGATTCATGGCATATAAAAAAAGCAACAACTGCAGATTAATACAAACTGACCATGCAGGAACGAACAACAATAGCTGGGAAAAGTGCAACTTGGTCTTAACCGACCAACCCGGGACTCTAAGCAAAGCACTCAATGAAAAAATTGAAACGCGTTTCATACCGATGCAATAACTGTTCATAATCATGAAACCATTTCAAGAAAGATTGAGAAATAATGTGGACAGATACTACTGTATGGGGAGGGAGGGAGACAAAATATATATTTTTAAAAACTTTTTTTCTTTTAGTAGGTGGGTTGTTAGCTGTTCCCGATCTCAATCAGGAACACCTTTTGTTTACGTTAAGATTCTGTTTTTCTAGTGTTTTTTTTTTTGTCCCCCTCTTTCCACTTTTTCCCTATAGGTTTTGTACACGTTAACATCTTACAAGCTTATTTGGGAACTCTCAAAATGTCACATTTAAGGTGCATAATTTCTCATAGCCCTATATCTACCGAAGTACAACTCCGATTATGTTGAAACTTGGCATGTACATAGACAAGGACAAATTCTAGGTGAAAACTTAAAGTGATGTCATGATGACATGATCACGTCGTTTATTTTATGGATTTCTGAAGTTTCTTTTTTTTTTTTCTTTTTTTTACTTTTCAGCATATTTTATGAACAAAACATGCAAAATTCAAAATTATTTTGGCAAAACCTTTGATAGGTAATAAATATGGGCACAAAACTGGGAGAGATGTGTGACGTCATCATGGTAAGTAAATAAACATAGATTCAACTTCACAGGAACAATGTCATGTTTCCAATTTCTTTTAAGAAAAACAAAAATCACGTTGGCCTAGGTATGTGTGCATTGGGGACACAATGAAGAATTGGGTTTAGTAAAAAAAATTTACACACAAAAAAGTTGACTGAAGCATGCAATCTGGTTGAACAGAGTATGAACAATGACAGATTTTGCAATCGCGGCGATCTTGTCACGAAGATCGTAGAAATGCTTTATAACGATCGACCGATAACATCAAAGTCCACAATTAGAAAATACACATATATGGTCAATTTTTTAAATGCTCAATCACACAGTGGCAACCATGAATAGCAAGCAATAAGATGTATTAAGTACATTTACGAAAGATGACAAGGAAAGTGGCAAAATACTACATGGGATTTTACATGTCTTTGCACACTACAGGGTGAGTCAAAAAAGAACGACACCCAAATGTCGGGACAAAAAATAATTACTATCAGCAAGTCTTTTTTTTTTTTACCTTTTAAAATTATATTTTCGTTGGTTTTTAACTGTTTATTTGAATGTCTGTACAGCTAATGAGTAATGCATGACCACAGGATGTGTAACATGCTACTGTTATGCATCAATGTTTTTATAATCGAATGGTGTCTACACAAGGTATTTCAAACATTTTACGCTGAACTTGATTCCCTGCGTAGGCACGATTTTCGGACCTTAAAAAAACAGAAATGTTAGTAATAGGCACACCCCCATGTCAAGAAGAATAACACAGCATGTGGCAACCTACTAAAGATGACGAATACTACACAATGTCTTAAACAGGGCAAGGCCAGCGGAACAAAATTCCAACTTTTTTTTTTGCATTCCGTTATTGTCAAATATATTCAAAGAATTCCGGCTTGCACAAAAGTCATTTCTTCAGGTCCGGCACCTCTACACAAAAGCAAGTGGAGGGATGTCATCTATACATATTTTTAGGCTTAACTCCTGTATAACCTTTGACCTAGGCAAATCTTTGAGGGGGAGTGTGGCATAGTGGTTAGGGTTCGTGACTCCTGGTCAGAGTGTCAGGGGTTCGAATCCAGCTGCTGGCCATATGTTGTGTCCCTGGGCAAGCCACTTCAGCCCCACTTGCCTCTCTCCACCCAGAAGTATAAATGGCTATCGGCATTAGCTGGGGAGTAACCTGTGATGGACTGGCATCCCATCCAGGGGGAGTAGAAATATTCTCAGCCGTTTCATGCTACTGAAACCAGAGATAAATGCCGACCTGATGGGCCACATTGGCCCGTGACAGACTTTCGTTATTTTTTTTACTTGCCAATTTTTTTGATTTGAAATGGATTTTTTAAAAGCAAATTTCAGGGTATGAGATTGGAAGGTTAACATGTAGGTATATAATTGTACATATAGAAAGTTTGCAGTCAACCATGTTGCAAATAGGGAAAATTTAGGTTTGGGGAAACTCCTTCTGCAATTATTAACAGTTGTTTTCAGAAAGTTTCATTATCAGGTTTTGGGTTTCAGAGTTTAGAATACAGGCAAACTCCCCATGTTGTGGGACTTGAGTCCAGAAACAAGTCCACTTTTTTAGGGAATCAAACTTGGGCTCAGGTTGTCGGATTTGGACTAGTAGGCCTTAGATTAGGACTTGAATTTTTAGGACCCAC